TAAAACAGCTATTATATTAATTAATATAGTAGTCTACTGTTTTTTTTTTTTAATTATATTATTTAAGTATTTTTTTTATTTTATAAATTTTATAGTAATAGTTAAAATATAAGTCTAAAGTTCTGCTATTTATATATTCTTTTAGTAAAGTAGGGTAAGGTTTAAGGATAATAATCTTTAAGTTTTAATTTTTATAAATAACTCTTTATTTCCAGTATTAGTAAAATTAATATATTTTAGTGGCTGAGTAGTTATAGATTTTCTAAAGGTAGCTATTATATTTTACTTTCTGCTTAAAATATTATATACATTAATTATTTATATAATTAGTTTAATATACCTTTTTATAAAATTAATAGTTAAGGTTAACCTAAAGGTAATCTTTTTATATATATTAATAAACTTTATATATTTTAAAAATTTTATTAATGTTATAAACGTAAATAATTCTACGTTTATTATTATATAAGTACTATTCTTTAAGTTATTTAAAGAAGTTTCTTTTAAAGTTTTCTCTTTTAATATACAGTTTTAATTACGTTTTACTTTTAATATATACATTTAGTTATATCTAAAGTTTATTAATTTTTTTAACTTTTAGTAAGTTATATTTAAGGTTAGTAATATTTATAGTATATTAAAAAATTAAAAGTACTTTATAATTCTATAAGTTTTTTTAATAATTATCTTTTTAAATATTATTTTCCTTAAGTATTTTTATATTTAAGATAATTTCTTTTAATTTAAAATTAGAGTTTTTATAAGTAGGGCTATCTATTTATTATAAAAGTATTATTATTTAGTTTTCTTTTTTTATAAAATAAATTTCTTTTTTAAGTTTAAAGATTTTATTCTTTTTTTTATCTTTCTTTAGGGTTTTACAGTTTTTAACTATATAACCCAGTTTATTACAGTTATAATATTTAAAGTTTTTTTTCTTTTATATAGCGTTAAGGTTTATTTTTTTTAATTTATTATTATTATTTTTAGTAATATAGTTTTATTATTTTTTACTTTAATTTATTTAATATTTATTTTTTTTATATATTTTCTTAAAAATATCTATTTTTAATTTATAAAGTAGGTTATTAGCTTTAATATATTTATTTATAAATAACATAAGGTTATACTTAGATTAGTTAAGGTTATATATTTTTTTTTTAAGTTTAGGTTTAAATTTATTATAGAATTATTTAATAAAGGCTGATTTTCTTTATTTAACTTTTATAAAGACGTTTTTAAAGTTTATTATATAGTTTAAGTATTTTTCTTTTTAATATATATTAATAAAGTAATTTTTAGCTATATAAATTTCTTTAATGTTTTTAAAGGCTTTTTTAAGCTTTTTTATATATTTTTTATAATTATTAAAGATTTTTTAAGTCTTTTTATTAACTATTTTAGCTTTAGCTCTTAAATAGTTATTTAAAATAGGTTTAAACTACTGTAAGGCTTATTTTTTAAGGCGAGAGGCAGTAAAGTAAACCTTTTTCTTAAGGGTGTTAAGGGTATTTTTAAAGTCTTTAAAATAGGCTTTAAGTTAGATTAGGTATCCCCTAAGCTTTTTAATATTTCCGTTATATATAGGTAGTAGTTAATATTTAATAAAGATATTAATATTTTTTTTTTTAATTTTTTATTAGCTTTATTAACCTTAATAATAAATATTTTTAAAAAAGCTATAATTTACTTTTATAATATCTTATTAATATTTTTTACATTTTCTATAATAATATTTCCTTTATTATTTATTTAAAATCTATTAGGGCTGTTAATTAAGGTATTAGCGTTAAATAATTTAAGTATAATAGTTTTTTTTACTTAAAAGATAATTAATATTTTTTTAAATAAGAGTTATTAACGTATAATATTTTAATCTTTATTTTTAATATAAGGTAAAAGTTCTTAAAGTAATAAACCTAAGTTGTAGGTTTATATTAGTAAAAAAGACAGAGAGTAGTTTTTAAGCAGTTGTAATTATAAGTGTATAAAAGTAAAATAAAAAGTATAATTTATATTTAGTCTTAATACTTTATTAACGACTGGTTATTTAAACTATTTAAATAATTATAATAAAATAAACTTATATATTTAATTATAGTGCTGGTAATTATTACGTTTAATAGTAATTACTAAAGTAATTATTAATCCTTTTTTAGTAAGCGTAAGTGTAATTACTAGTAATGCAGTAAGCGCTTCCTTCTAATTAGTGCTGCAGTCTTTTATTAATCCGTTTGTCCTACCCTATAGGCCTATTCAGGCGACTATAAGATATTAAGTTGTGACAGTCTAAGGTAATATAAAAAGAAGATTAATAATAGTGGGAATATATTATTTACTAATATATTAAAAGGTAAAGGAAAGTTATTTTATTTAATAACTGTTAGCCTTAAAATAGGTAGGAGAAGCTTTATTACTTCTTAATCCACCAGCTTAACTACTGTCATTAGGGAAGGTTAGTCCAATAAGGTTTAATTAATAAACAAGGCTGGGTAGGGATTAGCTATTTATAAAGGAGGTACTGCCGTTAACGTAAGTTCTATAGAAGTAGGTGCTGCTATATCTATTACATCTGCTAATATTAGAATAGCTTTAAGCTGGGACAGGATTACTAACAGCCGGCCTTCAGCCTCTATTTATAAAATAAACTACCCAAGGCTGTTTTATAATCTATTGCTATAGCAGTTTATCTTCATTCTTCTCGTCAGCATAAGTAAAGTAGGGTACCATCCGTTATACATCTATAAAGACAGCTGTATTAGGTTAGCTTAAGTCCCAGCTAGGGCTAGTTACATCCAGTTAATCTACTGTAAAAACACCAACAGTTTCCAATTACTAGGTTTTACCAATAGATCTTAAAGCGTCTGCAATTACTACTATATAAGATATTAACGTCGGGAGAGGTATATAGAAGTCGGATATCTAGGTCACTGTAGTAAGGGACTAAAAGATATATAAAAAATAACTTACTGCTATCTAACCTCTATAAAGGTAACTACCTAATATATATACCTATATATTAGGTACCGGAGGTTATGTGACCTCACACTGCCTGTAGTTAATTGCCTGGGAACCATAAGACTGAGCCATATTACAAATATTATTCTACGGAGCGAGAAGAACTTCTAGAGGCACTACAGAGATTATCCGCGATATGAACGCATCCGACAAGCTAAAATTCCTCGCCTATAGATTTGTAAGAATCTGGTATCATACCATTCAGATGTAGAGTTCCAGTACAATCCGGTAATTCGGCTGCTTTTGACAATGGCCGTATGATACTCTCGCAACAAATGTTTGTGGGTCGTTGCATTTTCCTCTTTGGGTAATTTTTAAAATAAGACTTTGTGGGTCGTTTGAATCCTACTTGAGAAAATGCGGGGGATCTTTATTCATTGACGATGTAGCCGCAGCTTTTTTGTCTTTATTTGTTCCCTCACGCCGCATATTCTTCCAAAGTGATGACGCTACAATGCACCATCCAATGTGGCACTCCGATCCAGCCGTAGTGATGCCTAAACGAGAGCGAATGCAGTCAACAGCCGGTCTTATTCCGAATGTAGAATATATAATGGTCACTAAGCTCTAACTTCTCCAATCTCCAAGACGTTTCATTGCAATAAGCAGCCTTGAGTCAATAAGCTCTCAATTTGAATCACATTACATACCCATACCAGTTCTGCAAATCTGAATTTCTTCGGGCTAGCTTCCTTTTAATCTCATTGTATTCATCTCACAATTTACATCTTGAAAGCTCTCAACAAGATGGCTACGAACGACAATACGAGGTCGGTTATTATCAACAGCTCAAATCGTCAAGAACATTCTAACTCTTAATCAGGCCCAAGCTTTTATCCGCAGTACTTGACTCTCATGGAGGAGAGCGTCGGTTCAATGAGATAAACTCTATCAAGGTCACGTTTAATCTCTCGGGCTTATTGTTTGATGACAAAGGCTGTCCAAGCCACCTCCAACCGACAATTACTATTAATCCTCATGCTCCCAAAGCATCATTTACAGGCCTAGGTAATGTGGCAGATGAACGTTGGGAATTCCTCCCAAATAAGACGTGGATTGAGCGTAGAGATGGCTCTGTGCGTCTAAGTCGGGAAAATCCCCGCGTGGCTTGCGCCAATGCGCAAGACTCGAAGTGGGATGACTTGCATATGCTGTATTTCACCGGTTATGCTATGTGGAATTATCTCACTGCTCCCTTTTCTTTTACGTTACCAGGCGTTACCACTCGGGAGCTGAAAGATCACGCCGAGAACGGAGAGACGTGGCGTGTTTTGGAAGTCACATATCCCGACGATTTCCCAACACATAATAAAATCCAGCAATTTTATTACGATGAGCAGTTCATGGTAAGACGCTTAGACTATGCACCAGACGTTCTAGGAGGGCCGAGTGCATCGCAATATATGTTCGATTACAAAACAAGTGGAGGACTGACATTTCCTACTCTACGTCGCGTGGTGCCCAGAGCTGCAAGCGGGGTTTTTGGGCCAAGACTTGTTTTGATGGATTTGACGGAGATTACTGTGAGCTAGTATCTGGAATCTGCGAGATATGTAACATCAAACCGCTGGAATGATTTCGATTACCGGGAGAATTGGATCATATCATCGGGACACTCAGCCAACAAGCTATTATACTCTGCTGTACTCGTATATTGACACATTTTCTGTCACTGCCCATGGAATGTCACTTGAGTGCATGTATTCCGTATAAAAGGGTTCAGATCGGCTAGGTCGAGATTACCTGATTCACTTACGTTGGGTATATAAGTACCTCTACGTACGTGCCATCGATCCAACACGTAACAGAGGAGCCCATGAAAGAGGTAACTGAATATGAGTAATACTGCTGGTATAAGACACTTTTATAATTAAACGAAGTAATTTACTTTGACCCATCAGATATCAAGGCAACCTAAGTTTCCTTATATATGATTTTCGTATTAATATGTATCTATTTAATAGAATAAGATATAAATAATATTATAACTTTTGAATTAATGTTAGAAAATGTAATCGAAATGCCTCGCTATCAACATCAACAGCAACTCGACAATTCGGGACAGGGGGCGAGGGAGTCTCCAGGCGGTCTGCGATCATAACGCCGCGCGCTTCACCGTCTCCTGTAATAACTGAGACAGCCATATCCTTATATTCGCATATGTCGGGTTTCGACAGCACAGCCACGGCCAGGGGATCATGCATCGGGATCGAGTCTGTCTTGGGTCTCCCTGGAAACCGAACTGCTTGATGTTCTATGTAGGAGATCGTTGCGTCTCCAGCGAAGGCGGCGAAACTTGACGTAGACTTCTTGAGTTCCAGGGCATCCGCCATACTCAGTCGAACTCGCAGCGTGCAATCGAGGCCGATCCAACGCTGAGGAATGCCGGAGCGTAACACGGTTCGGGCAGCCTCTGGATCCGAGAAGACATTGAACTCTCCAGGTTTGTCACGAGAGTACATAGTTCCCAGGAACACTCCCCCCATAATAACCAGTTCTTTGATAGCTGATTTAATCCGAGGTTCAAGAAGAAGGGCGATGGCGACGTTGGTGAGAGGGCCTATGGCGACCAAAGTGATTTCGCCTGGATTAGCCATTATGTGCTCCACGATGGCCACGGGGGCATATCCTGGGTTAGGAGCCCTTGCGGCTTCTTTCTGTGCAAGAACGTGGGGCAAGGGCGTACGCTCCTTGTCAGGGTGGATGATGGGGGAGGCCGAACCGCGCACGAGAGGCGTGTCGTGAATGCCAAGGCGGTTGAGAAGGACGCCAGTCAATATAGTAGCGCTCTCAACGTCGGTGTTGCCATTGACGGTGGTGATCAAATCAATTTGTATGTCCGGGTCCGCATGCGCCAATGCGAGGGCGAAACCATCGTCGACGTCGGATCCAGCGCCCATGGACAGATCAGTGTCGAGAATAATCCGCGTCGGTGCTATCTTGTGCGGCGACATTCTGATGGTAGACAGCAGCTATGAGCTGGTTCGGCCGTATGCTGTTAGAGGAGGCTCTCATGGATTATTGAACGTTGAGAGTGGGTTGACTTGTCCTTAAAATTGATTGAATCTTTATATAGTGGCATCAGTTTTCCAAGTAGAGACTGGAGAGCTGTCCAATTTTCATGAATATTTGTTGCTCGATGGCTCTGGAAACTAACAGCCCAATGTCGGATGGTGACCGGCTCACTTAATTCCTTGTCGGACAGTGTCCGACTCGAACTTGTTACTTCAACTGTAACGGTTATGCTAGTTTCCTGCTTGATTGGAGGAACCGCTCTTTCGGGTCGCTTGTGTTGAGTTACTCCATTCTCTCCGCATCTTCTCCACGGTCGGACGACTCCGACTTCTGTGCTAAGGATTCTTCTCCACTAGATCAACCCGCAGTCCAGTAGCAATAGCGTCGGAGGCAGTCCGATCTTGGTGCGTTTCCCAATGTCGGAAGCCATCCGATTCCAAACTCTAACCAAGCCCGTTCTCAGACGTTTTCCTTCCGGCCCCTGAATAGAGCCATTGTGAAGACTGTTCGAATAGCAAATGCCATGGTACGATCAAAGTCAGGCGGACAAAGCAGAGTCATGATATATTTAGTCAGAGCACCCGCCTCAAACTTTTCGTTGTTCCTCTTCTGTAACAGCGAGCAACCTCGATTTTTCACACATGCACTTCATCATGGAACCTAACCAAGAGTCTAATGAGAAGGTGATAACTGCCACACATCTCGAAGCACTCGACAATGGCGATCTTTCAAAGCCTATCGACAAGGCATTTACCGAGGGCTATGCGGTCCAGATGCGATCCGAGCTGGATGACTTGCCTATTTTGAAAGCTGTGCGCATATACTGGCGTATCGCTGCAATCTGCATGGTGGCTGCATTCAGTGCCGCACTAGAAGGTTACCGTACGTTCTTCTTTTGTCTGAAGATTGCGAACTCGTGCTAATTTCGAGTTGAAGAGCTTGCGCTCACAAATGCCATTGTCTCAAACAAAGGATTCATCCGTCAAATGTCCGGCGGCGGTACCAAGATCAACCCTACTCATGTGGCTGTATGGGGAGGCATGCTCTCAACCGGTCAATTTGTTGGCGTGGGCCTCCTTCAATTGATCACAGACAAGGTAGGCCGCAAGGTAGCCATGCACATTACCTGGGTTTCTCTTGTAATCGTAAGTTGCCGGCCTATCTCCTTGGTGCCTCTGGTCACTGATCCTCTATACATAGTCTGTGTCTCTGGAAACGGCTGCGACGAATTGGATCTACTGGCTCTTTGCTAGGCTTATTGGAGGAGCAGGCCTCGGCATGATGCAAGCGACGTATCCTGTTTATATCTCCGAAAACGCACCAACCCAAATTAGAGGTCTCCTAACCACTTCCTACATGTTGTGAGTGACCCAGGCACATATCTTGTTATTGCAACAGCTAACAACGAAGCAGGTGGTATGTTGCCTCACAAATATTTGCGCCGTTAGCCTTGCGACAATTGGCATTCAAAGACCCATACAACTTCAGAATTCCCATTCTGACTCAGTGGGGCATGCTTGGAGTCATGCTCATCATCAACCTCTTCTTCCTGCCAGAGAGTCCCTGTGAGTGTAACAAATCTTCACCAAGGTCACAATCATTTGGCCCAAGGCTGACCAAATTCAGGGTGGCTTGTCCAGAAGGGTATGGTTGAAAAGGCAGAAACTGTGCTGGCCAAGACACACAAGGGTGTACCTGGTTATGATGTGAAGAGCGAACTGGTGAGACCTAGTCCCTTAATCTACTCGAGATATCCGCTGACAGTAGCAGTCAATCATTATCGCCACGGTTGAGCACGAGCGGCAATTTATCGCAGAGGATAAAAACCAGTACAAGCAGATCTTCCAAGGTGTAAACTTTTGGCGACTCTTCATCTGCTTCTGGCCTAAGGCCATACAACAATTGACTGGGCAGAGCGTCACAAACAACTACGGCACATACTTCTGTAGGTTATCCCGGCCCAGAAGCGGTGAATTCCGTGTATTATAGCTCTATTGCTTACGTATTTTAGTTCAACTTGCCGGTAATAACAGTCCTTTCACGGTAACAGTTATTCTTGCGGTTTGTCAGCTTGTGGGCGTCCTCTCAACCTCTCTCCTGTCTGATGGATTCGGCCGGCGATGGCTCACTTTGGGTCTTTTTGGTTCCGGAGCTGTTTCGATTCTTGCCATTGGTATTCTGGGATCTTTCAACTACCAGAGTCGAGAATTGGGTAATGTCTTGGTAAGGCTTGCAATCACCATAATATTTGGCCATAACTAAATGTAATTGCAGGTATTTTGGGCGTGTGTGTCCAACTTTGGCGTCATTGGCGGTGCCAGTATTGCGTACTCCTACATCGCCGAGATTCCCACCCAAAGACTTCGAGCACGGACTGCCTCTATCGCGCTCATGGGATCATTCGTTCTCGGTATCTGCTTCAACTACACTGTCCCGCTTATGCTCAAGGTTTGGGGTGTCAGAACAGGCTACTTGTACGTTAACAGTTCCTATTCTCAGATAACTCAGAATGTGTCGCTGACCTCACTAGCTTTGGAGCAACAGGTATTATTTCATGTATCATCGGATACTTTGTTCTGCCGGAAATTGCTTGCCGAACCCCTGCCGAGATAGACGAGATGTTCGAAGACAAGATTGCGCCTCGCAAATTCCGAAAACATGTCACACAAGTTCAGTTGTTCCTGGAGGAAAAGCAAAACAAAGGGCAATTGTCTCTGGAGGACAGAGCGTAACCAGGTATCGGCAGCATTGGCATGAGCCTTGTAGAACCAGATTGCGGACTAGGAATCTGGGCCAGGGACTTAAATGTGATCAATTAGATGAACGAAAGAAACGAAGCTGTATCTACGATGTATTCAATCTCTTTGCGGTTCAACGAGAACTAAGAGCATTTACAATACGCCACTAATCAACTAGTACAATGTTTTTCAAGCATCATCTCCTGACTCCACTCACAGTATTTTGATCGTGTTTTCACTTGAGTTGAGCTGCTCAGCATTTTTGTAGATCTTATTGATGGTGCCTTTTCCTGTTGAGAGTCTGTGATGACTTGCAGTACAACTCCACTACTCAAAAGACTGGTGGTATCCAGGGACGGCACAAGGAACTAGCAGATATCTTAGCAAATACGGCCATAGCCTTAAGTAATCAGTAGGGAGTTTAGAGGGAATCTTCTTCTTCTTCAAAGATCATCATCACTCGATATTTGAGCGGGAGGCCAGCAGGACATCTCCATCTCTTTAACATATAAAAGACGGTCCTTCTCTTCAAGAACCGATGGGCTACCGAGGTTCGCCATAACATGCTCGAACAACGGGTTTGCAGCGTTTCTTTTAGCCGTTTCACTCACTACCCCTCCTTTTCTCGTCAAGGACAGCTCCGATTCAAACGTGATGGTCAAGATGTAATAGTCGAGTTTGCCGGGCTTGCTTTTTTTACAACTTGTCCAGTGTTTTTTGTAGTAAGCATTCGAACCAGTCCATCGGGTTATTTTATGGCACTTGCCCGACACATCGGCATATAGAATAGTGCCACCAAATCTCCCGAAGAACCAGTTTTCGGCAATGTGCTTTCCGATAGCGTCAACCCGATCTTTCAAGAATTCCAACGACTCGAGTTCGATTCTGAATTCACTTGTTGAAGGTGACATGTCTCTGGAAACTGTGTTGATCCAATTGGCTTTGAAATACAGCGGCTTATCGTAACTATCCCAATCCCATCCCCACCAGTCGATATAGCGAATTGTTAAGGTTATCCGTCGAGGATGTAGTCCACGTAGGCTTAGTAGCGCATGCAGGTCACCGTCCTCCAGGCGCTTCGTGCATGCAAAAGCATGGAAGCTCTCAATCTCAACTTTTTCTTGGCCCTGCTGCGCCATTTTATCAAGCAGATGCACTAATTTCTTTGCATTATCGTAGTAGCCATTTCCAGGCGGTGCATGCGAGTCGGAGCATATCCAGTGTGTCTGCTCCTTAAGGGTAAACGGGAGGAACCACGCCTCGCGATAGATAGCGCGGCATGTCCTAAGCAGCTCGGTGCTCGTCTTGCGAGGTGCACGATGAGAGGGTCGCCAGAAGGAAGCGTTGGGGTCGTACAAGGAACATGAAAGCGTGTCTTCGTAATCAGACAGCACGTACGTAAATATCCTGATACGTACTTCTGGTGGTAAGATGGAGAACAATGGTGACTTTTCTTGTGTAGTAATCTTTTTGGAGAGGAGTTGCTGGTGGAGAGGCACTGCTGAGTTTCTGAGACCTGGGCGGCGAGAGTAGTGTTGACCCTGAGGGCCTCTTGTGGACGGAGTTGTGAGTTCCATATTGGGGAAACAGAAAGGATGATGATATGGTTGATTGCGATTTGCAGCTTCCAGGGGCGTTGCTATGATTAGCTTGTGGAAAGCCCTTTGACTATAAAAAGAGAGCAAAGGAAAGACTAGGAAAAGATGGAAAGCCGGGGGATCACCAGTACTGGCGGCGGGGTATGATTGGAAGACAGTAACTCTTATTATTGCGTAGTACTCCGGATAAATACTAAAATTCCAGTGCTAATTAATATTGGTATTAGTATCAGATTAGTCCCAACTTTTATTATACTGATCCTTGACTTTTCCTATACTCCAGAATCTCAACACAACATAATTCCTTCCGTCGTCAGATCAGAAGTCCTGTGCATTCATTGACAGCGCGACACAGACCCTCGATAGCTACTGAGATCATTGGGTGGCCGTTTCACCTACGGCTCTTGTCTTATCTCATTTCACGCAAAATATTTCTCTTGATGATTGGTTAACAATTTGTTGTTCAATCGAGGGCCTCATGACAGCCAGGCTTGTCCCTTACAGGGCGTTTACCATTGTCGACCTGACCGTGACTGTTCAAGGTCATCCATCACCTTGTGGTCAATCTGGACCCCCCTCAACAAGTACAGATTAATATCCACTGTAGTCTCAGACATGCAGGGTTCGGTCAATCAGTCACGTCGGAAGCAGACCTCTCCATCGGCAACCAGGGCCAGTCGGGTCCGAGTCCGCCCCGTACCGCCCCCTGCCTTCCACTCATCTGGATCTATTCGGAGCGCCCACGGGCGCCATTCAATTCCCGCATGCGACAGGTGCCGTTCCTTCAAGAAAAAGTGCAGTCGGACCTTTCCCGCATGCGATTTGTGTGCCAGCGCGAGCCAGAAGTGTTCATATAGCGCAGTACCGACTACCCCTGAGGCAGAGGTCTTGCAATTGAGGGCAAGAGTCCAATGGTTCAGCGATTATTTCAACCGTCATATCTTGGAATCACACCATGTTGCAGACATTGGAGATGTTGAGACTGGTTCAGATCTTGTCTCTTTGCTTGGCAGTCGCCGACTGAACATCAATCCCATGAACACAGCAGCTCAGCAGTCCCAAGCACAACATCACGACGCACTTGTTGCAACAACATCTTCCAACATAACCCAGTCTCAAGTCGAAGGGGGCTCACATCCTAGTCAGACGGGATCTGGTAACACCGATTTGGGGCCACCAGGTCTCAGTGTTCAATTAGATGGAATTGGCAATACCACACCCGTTGATGCAGAAAATGCTATTCTGAACGACAACCAATTGCCTTATCAGAACTCAACAGCTACACACGACCAAAAGACCAATGTCTTCGGTGCATCCCACGGTCTACCAACGGATGCGGCAGCTCGCCGCTTTGTTGACGCCTATTTTCGGAACGTCAACGGAGCATACCCCTTTGTCAACCAGACCAAGATCCTTGAGAATCTCGAGACATTGGGCGACCTAGCTCGTAGACTTCGTGACTCGGAGTCTACTCTCCTATACTTGGTCATGTCCATTGGCTGCACCGCTCTAGAGCGAGCCAGTCAGGTCCCCAGAGACACGGCAAAGCGGTTCGAGGTGGCATACGCGGAGATTATTCAAGAAAGCGTGTGCCGAGATAGTATTGAGTCTGTCCAGATCTTAATGCTACTAGCACTCTATTCACTGTTTGACCCGACTGGCGCATCGGCCTACTCTATTGTTGGCATTGCTGCACGGCAGGCCATCACGACAGGGCTAGCTCGTAGGGCAGTAGGTGAAAATGCCTATCCGCCAGCTGAAACAGAGCTTTGCCATCGCCTGTACTGGAGCATATTCGCCCTCGATAGGTTGATGGCTGTGTCACAAGGTCTACCGGTGGCACTATCTGATAACGCCGATGTGCCGTTCCCAAATCTGACTGTCGAGGAATTTGCTGGCACTGATAGAATAATGCATGCGCGGAAGCTGCAGACAAGCCGACATGTCATCCAACTACGTCAGCTAGAGGGCCGTATCATGGACCGTGTTCATTTAAGAAGAGAGACTGAGATTGCGGAGCTAACACCCCTGGATAGGCGAGCAACTCTGAGTGGCCTCCGAGCCTCCATCGAAGACTGGTATATCCAAGGGTGTTTAATGTCACCTATAGGTGGTGATAACACCACCGTTCATAGCAGCACTACGTGGCTCAGTGCACGGTATTACCACTTGTTGCTACTACTATACTACCCAAATCATTTTAACAGCTCAGCGGGAGCTGTATCACGGCAAGATCTGCAGCAATTTGCGCAGCGCCAACTGCAGGCGACGTCCGCGCTCTTCCAACAGCAACAACTGCCTCTGAATTGCAATACTCTTTACAGATTGATGCCGGTATGTCTGGTGTTAATGCATCACTTTGTATCAGTATGTCGTTCAGCAAACTGGACAGCACAATCTGCGTTTCCTTTCTTGGCCAGAGACGAGGTTGTAGTCGCTCTGTCCGTCCTGGAGGCGTTCCCAGAGGAATGGATTCTTGCACATCGGGCGGCGCAGGTGGTGCGTCAATTTGAGGGTGTCATCTCAGGCGGCATGGCGGCCTTCTTTTCAGATGACCGTGTGTTCCCTTTGAGGGCTACTAGAAGCGAAATTGCCGTCGTTGACGGAGGCAGTGGTGCAGGAGAAGCTTGCGGTGGCAAAGAGAGCTTGCTTGCTTTGATGGAGCCCTGTATCGCGAGAATGACGTCTCTAATACAAGAGATGTTGGGGAAATCAACGTGCTTCCAGTTTGTCGAGTATCCATCAGACGACAGCAAACGAATGGATGGTCCGACGGCAGCTATGCCCCAACCGCAATCGCATCAACACTACCAGCAACAGCAACAGCTTCAACCTCAAGTAATTAGTAACATGAGCATGAATCGGAACGAGATGAGTGGCATTCAGCAAGTTGGTGTAGGAGTTGACGATGTGATGGGCTATGGATGGAGCGCTATAGATTTGGACTTTTTATGAATTCAGAGGCGATTCTGCAGCGACTTGGCTAATCATGTACCAACACCTCTGGGTAGAACCTGGCAACTAGAGGTGTGAACCGTTGATCTCATTGCTACCAGATCCTTATTGTTTGTGGTTCCAATAACGACTTCTTCCAGCTAGTCAAGGCAGCTGGCCATAGGTACAATCGCCGACTCCCTCCTAGTTCGCCAGTTCTCTAATTTTTTTTAGAATGTAACATCTTTTCCAATGCTTTAATAGTCTCATCTGCACTATAGTAGGCACTTGACAATGAAATAGATTGCTTAATTTACTAAAAACTATGTGTCATATAGGTTAAATTTAAAATCAAGATGAGAGATTCAATAATGCCGTAACAGCTGGTTCAATGAAAGGCGATGTCCCAGCCTCTGTTTTAAAAATCCCAAATTAATCCATACTTCAATTCAATCGGCAACAGCTGATCAAGCTTAATCTTGGAGATCCAAGCCATACGGTTGGCAGAAGCACATAAAATACGAGTTTGACCCCTGAACGTTCAAGACCAAACTCAAAATGCGCAAAGAAAGCCCGAACAACCAAGTTCAAACACAACGCAACAGACTCCAAGCCTGCACGCTGGATAGTGTTGAAGTAGCACCTGCCTGGAGAAGGCAATGAACATGAGCGGTGAAGAAGACCGCTCATCTCCTAATTATTCGTCATCACCTGGCATCTCCAAGAGGATCAAAACATTACGAGGAACAAATATGAAGCCATATAACATTCACCTCCTCTTTGTAGGGCTGTCACCGCCTCAACACGCTCTGGGTTTCATTAGACGAGACTTCGCAAAGAATAACATAGCTGTCGCCCAACTGGAAGGCGAATACACGATCAACCTTAACACCCAGGAAGTCCTCTTCATCGATCGCGATTCTGACTTTGAAGAATTTTTTCGCTGTCCCAAACACAGCAACAAGCGGCTTACCAAGAATAGAGATGCTACCTTTGTAGCGTGCTGCCCTCTGAACCAGGTCCTTCTCGGAAACCAAGATACCGCCTTCGACTGTTGCGGCGTTGACTACCATCTGACCCGGTCGGAAGTCACAGGCTACAAATGCTGCCCTCTAGGCCAAGTCTATGATGGTGATGGTGTCTGTTATCGTGATACAGACCTGAAATGTAGCCAAGGAATAATATTAGCGGACGGCGAGTGTGTTAATCCCTCTAGCATGATTGAGGACATGGATGGCGCCCGCAAGGTCATATCTCTTCCACCTAGGTGTGAATCAGGTATTCGTGAAGGTATATATTCAAAGCCTATTTCTTTTATAAATTAATACGACTTCAGTCTATTGGGTGGTAGTAATGATATGATATTTTAGGAAAGTACTATATCCTCCAAACGATGGACGGCCATTTACTTGGATACGACAAAGAGGGCCATTACTACATCTCAGGTATCAGCCATGCCCACACATTCGGAAAGTTCAAGTTTTGCAGGACCGAGGTCTGCGAGAGCACATCATTCATTAATCCCAACGATGAATTCCGTATCAACGATATTCACGGGCATACCAATAGGGGCAGGGGCAGAAGGCAGTGGTTAAGCTTCTCAACGAATGGCGGCCCTTTCCGCACCACGCCAACATGGAACGAAGCTCAAAGATTTTCCATTACAAGGTGGGTTGACGGCAAGTATTGCATGGCGGCTCTATACGATGTTTTTGACACTCAAGTCTGCTGGCCCCTGGAACTCTTCCAAGTCCCTTGTGACATCCGCGTTCCTGAGAACAACTGCATCTGGAACAAGATTTCTGGTAACTCTGAGGACACTCGCCACCAGGTAACATCTGAGAATTCTGAGGCCGAGCAGCCGATTATGAGATCCGATTCAGAGTATCGCTCTACAATACGACTGATTCGCTGGAATACCCTGACTATTGTTTGGCAAGCCTTCTTTGATATATTTATACTATTGGTACTTCCAAGAAGTAAAAATTGTGATGAGACATCTTTGAAAGGTAGCAGAAGGCCGTATGTTTTAGGTACCCAAATCTTTGCACCCTACGCAGCGAGTCGCCATGCAAGGGGATGTGTGAGAAATACGAGTTAAAGGACACTACTGGTGCGGTGAGTTCCAAAAAAATCTTTTAATAGTCAAATTCTTAACATTCTAACGACTTAAATGGCAGTCAAGGCCGTCGTTTGACTCTCGATGGATCTCTGTGGAGAGATTAATGCCTATCTAGGATGTCATGTGTCCGGCGTATATTTGTACATACTAGTTGAGATTCACAAGCCGGATAAAACCTAAATGGTGGTATTTTGAGAAAAGAATAAATACCAGACAATCTAACTTCTCCTCTTCTTAATCATTCGTTTGCATACCACCGCAATGTATACAGTGATGCAAGCGCAAGCGCATCTTACTAAGACTCGCACACATCTTACGTCGTTCTCCAGCCCCCTTGTCAGCATCGACATCATCACAGCATAGCTTGCTAGTATTGACAGAGAGGACGTATTGGTACTTCTACTATTATATGGTGCTCAATTGTGTGGTACTAATACCGTCGCGCCTCATTCAACTGCACCATCAGAAGATGGCACTCTCCAAACGCATTACGACGCAAGCATACTAATGTATTATAGGAAACCAAGATTCTATTTCTCTTAATCATGAAGAACAGCCGTCACAACACCAGGTTGAATCGTCTCCAGCTTCTCCAGGAGCTCTGTCCAGATCTGCTTCTGGAGCACCTTGCCCGACTCGTTGGTGACCCAGTCCGGAATGTGATCCCTGAAAAAGTATCACTATTAGCAATGATTCATCCATCAGGCAACGGAATCCCGTAAAAACTTACTCTCGGATCTCACAAGAAGTCAAATATTTGCCGTGACTATCTTCACCAGCCGCAATACCGTGAATCAGCGTCCGACTGCCCTCCTCAGCACTCCGCCCCATCACCAGCTTTGCGCACCACGCCTTGAAGCGCGTAAAGGCACTCAGCTCATGGTTAAGATCAGTCTTGCACAATCCAGGATCGACGACATTCACAATGACGCCAGTCTCAGAAACAGGCTTCAGAGACGCCAGTTCTCGCGCGGCAAAGTGCTCAAACATCTTGCTCACGGGATATCGATTGTCATATGTGGCCTCCCACTTGGCCTTGTCGTTGAGATCGTCTAGGATGCCCGTCTGGGGGAACTTGTTGAGACTCTCATAGGCGAAGAATCCGCCCATGGAGCCAACGAGGACAACGCGTGGCTTGATATCGTATTTGATTGCACTGGCTTGAAGACTCGGGAAAGCCGCAAAGGTAAGTAGATACTGGGAAATGAAGTTGACAGTCATATGGGCCTCGCTACCCTCCTTGACCTGCCACGCCGCATGCGAGACGCCAGCGTTCAAAACAAGGGCGTCAATTCGGTCGATTGTCTCCATTCTCTTGCTAAAGGCCTTGATGGAGTCATACGAGGCCATGTCCAGAGCCCACACCTCAATGACATCCTTGCGGCCAGCCTGAGTCTCGATGGCTGTCTTTGCAGACTCGCCTTTCTCCGCATTGCGCACACCAATGATCACCTTGGCAGCTTCAAGACGAACAAGACGCTTGGCGACTTCATAGCCGAGGCCGCCGGTAGCACCAGTCACGATGTAAGTCTTGCCCTTCACGTCGTCGACCTCCAGGGCAATGGGCAGGCTCTTCCTTTGGTTGGAGAAGAAATCCGCCATACACTTGGTAGGGAAGTTTGGATCGGTAGGCATTTTGAAGGACGTAAAAGACGATGCGCTAAAACGAAGAGGGAGACCAAGGGACCAAGAAAAGAAGACGAAGGGATTGGATGAGAAGTAAACCTAGTTTACCGTACCAGACGTAATGTAGGTAGGCAGAAGGAAGAAAGAGGAAGACGAGCAAAAGTCCGAGAGACAGGAGACTAGAGACGGGAGTGTTTCTCTCCCCAGGTCACACGGCCAGCCTCAACATTTGATCCGATGTCAACTATCCTGCATGATCCAGCCGCCCTCGCAGGCATCTGCCAGCTTAGTCAATCGCATCTGCTTGATATTACGACTGGGTAAAGCTGCCTTGTAAGTCGTTGACCCGCTAACAACTGGCAAGGGAGCAAGCATATGCAGCTCCAGTTGCCCTGCATCAAGCTATCCTACTTTCTAGTAAGCCGAGCCAATGTCATCTGCCGTGCGACTTTGCTTGGTTCCCCATTTGGCAGAGACAGGCGGACTTACGGAGTACAGGCACGGGGATTGACGGGCTAGTAATTCGTGCACTTACTCTTCGTAAATATGTACGTGGTTCATTCAATGCCTAATTGCTACGCAAATTAAATGGTATCCATAGCTGAAACAATCCTCCATCATTGAGTAGACATAATTAGAGCATTGACCATGCTTCTCAAGGGAGCGAATAAATCACCTATCCATCGCAGCAAAATTACATACACCGTCACACCGCATAGCTGAATCACACTCATTGATCAGCCAGACCAGGCTAAGACACGGAATCCAAGACATACAAGGTGCCACACCGTAAATTATTCATTTACTGACTTGCAATAGCGGGCGTCATATCGCAGAATCGGGCTTTTCCAGCTTTTAAAGGCCGAGACATTGATTCTCCCTCTATTCCGGACAACAAAAAAAAGATCCGGCATCAGAATGATAACGAATGCCATTTTAATCGCACGTCCAGAGACCATCTCTCTGCAGATGCATTCAACAACCCAATTCTTGCGTGGACATTGCTACCTGTCAAAGGTACAGTCTACTTTGTACCTCTCTCGTCTCCCTGCAATGCGACGCCCTTCTATTGGACGGCACCAGCCAATCAGAAGATTGATCGGATGGCGAGCAGAACAGCCAGGGTTCACCAGAATCTTCATCCTCTCTTGCGGATCCAGTCCGCTACGCGTGAAGTTTACTGGCCATCTTGGAGTTTCACAGCAATTTTAACTCCCCTCGGGACCTGGCGAGGCTGAACCAGCATTTGTCGGGAGAGATTTGGGGTTTGATGCGAGGTTAAAATTGCTGTGAAGCTTTGGTGTGCCGGCTAAAAACCTGGTGATTGGCCTTCCGGCTCAGCTTCAAATCCCAAATCTCTCCTGATGATGCTGATTCAGCCTCGCCAGGTCCCGAGGGGAGTTAAAATTGCTGTGAAGGCCTCATGATGGCGGACAGGGGTACACTTCGTGGGCCATTCGACGAGAAAATCGAAGCCCAAACCGATCTAGATCTCCAAGCCTCGGGAGAGGTTAAAATTGCTGTGAAATTTCAATGCTCTACACTATCTCAATCTAAATCCCATTCAACATCTCACTAAGACGGTTGCCATTCAAAGCCCCTGGCAAAACACGACATCACTCTTCAGGCAAGCAAACAATGCAAATCAAACATCTAAGTGGAAGATTATATGACAGATGCATAAACGTACAAAAGCAGGCACAACAACCTGTATGGCATGCGATAAAAAAACGCCAAACAAGCCAATTGCGCTCTTCATAAAACACACACAAAGTCCGATGAAAAAAAGACACACCAGACTCGCGCGTGATATGAGATTAATTTGCATCACGGATGCACTCTCTCCCTCCCCCATCCATTTTTTGTAATTTCTCCCATTTCAATCAAGCCTTCCCCCTCCCAGCCAGCATGCTAAAATGTTCTAGTACCACTAAGACAGTTTCTTCTGCCAGCCGACCCAGCTACGAGAAACTACACGCCAGATCTTGACCTCGCCACTTCGCAGGTCATCCAGCTTGTAGCTTTCTTGCTTCACCTTCTTGCCATCTCTGCCTTGCTCCCAGGCACGAACCTTCTTCTTGGTGCCATCCCACTCAGCCACAACGCCGACATGGTCCGGCTTGCCAACTTCGCTGGAATACTTGGCATGCATGGGTCCATGTTTTCCCTGGAACTTGGCGTTGCGAATGGTGATGATGTCGCCAGGACGAATGACATCGTGCTGCTGGGTGGAAGCATTGGCCATGTTGGCGTAGACGAGGGCACCGTACGATCTAGTGCTAATAGGCAACAGGGCATCCTCTAGAGGTCGAATCATTTCCAAAACAAAGCTTGGCGCGGTTCCATCACCGACAACTTGATCCTTCTTAGCGATGGCGGATGCGGAAATACGTCGTCCAAAGGTGTCATAGGCTTCCTCCATCTGGTCCTGTCGCATCGCCTTGGGGGGCGCCTCATGTCGTTGCTCTAGCTCCACGGTTGTCGGGTCATAAGGGTCGTAGCGAGCCGTAATAATGGTCTGCGAGTAATCCTGGAACAAAATAAAGGTTTCTCTGGTGATTATAGTCTTTTCGCCTTCATTTGTCGTAGTTGACTCGTCGCACTCAAAGTGGATATCCTTTCGGCCTTGGAGGACGGGAGGCAGTTGATTCGACTGCTTCCACCAACCGCTCTGTACAGCCAAGTCAATATCCCCCGCAATGAAACCAGAGTCCATCGACGGGCGGTGATGATCAATCGATCTCCGGGGAGCACTGAGACTGGGCCTGGACATTTCCATCGATGACCGTCCACGCGAACCTACAGGGGGTGGGACTCTTCGATCAGGTGGCGACACGGCTCTAGAGTCATCAAAGGAAAGAGGAGTCGGCTCATCCTCTAGAACTGGGGAGTCACCATCATCCGCTCTAGGATGGGAGATGAACAGAGCATCGTGATTCTCCTCTGCTGTGGGCGCAACCAGTCTAGGAGGAGGGGCCGGGGGCGGCAAGATCGGAACAGACCGAGATAGATCTGTAGACCTTCTGTTCAGTGGTGGAGACTGTGGCACGGGAGGAGGAGCGGCTCGTGGCGTCGAAGCAAATGGGGGAGGGGGAGGCAATTCTGGGGGGGCATCGTTGAACGGCGACTGGAGGCTGGTCTCCTCCATGCTAGACTCTTGATCATGCGCTGCCAAAGCATCCTTGTGAGGCACAGACGATGCAATGTCAGTATCGTAGTCACCCTCGTACTCTGTGGCCTCTCCAATCTCTTCTCCTGCCTGCGCAGGCCTAGTCGGTGAGGCGACGCCAAAGTCTACAGTAGATCGCCGGCTTGGGGCGCCGGGAGGCGGGGGAGGCGGCGGTGGGCGAGCTGTTACCGCAGCAAGTATGGAGGCAGCTCCTGGGACGGGCGGCGGAGGTCGGCTAGCACGTTTGCTGGTTGGTGATGTTGGCGAGAATGCACCAGGGCGCGGCGGCGACTGGGGAGGCTCTGATGGGTGGGCAGGCAGTGGAGGGGGGGATCTCAGTACTGCAGCAGCCTCAGGGTTCTCACGGGCCCCATTAGACAGCTCATCATCAGATTCAGATCCCTCTGTAGCTGACTTAACAGCGGGGGGGGCTGAGGGCGGGGGTGGGGGAGATCGAGCTGTTAGCAGAGCCAGTCAGCATGTGAACATATAGTCAAGCGCTAGGTTTCACATTACCTCCAGCGGGAACGGGGGGAGGTGGCGGTCGAGCTTCGAGATGTTAGTGTGCACATCTACACTATTCATGATTACCATATCTATACATACCCGCCAATGGGACAGGAGGAGCAGACAAGTCTTCTTGAGGAATAGGCGGCGGTGCTCTATGTTCCGGGGCTATGGGAGTGTTAGCAGACGGAATGAAAGGGTTTGAGATGCCCAACGCCGGCAGACTCACCTTCTTCGGTGTGCACAGGGGCAGCAGCAAGAGGAGTGGCATCTTCCTCTTCTTCAGATCTCTGTTCTGGTTCAGCCTCTGGTTCATCAGCTTGCACAGTCTCTTCGGCTGGCTTAACTGGAAGGCCTGGAAGGCCCATGCCCGGGAGTGCCATCATAGTGGGAACAGGAGGAGCATGCGGTGGTGGAGTTACATCCTCTTCCCGCGTGGTAGCAGATTTTGTAGGTGGCTTGGGTGCCTTTTTCTTCGGAAGCCCACCTCCCATCGGAGGAACGGGGGGGGCGCCAAACATGCCATGGAAGCCCATGCCGCCGCTCATCTTGGCCATTCGTGCTCGGAGTTCTTCTCGGCGCTTGACTTCAGGATCCACATCTTCCTCCTCCTCCTCTTCCTCTCCCTCCTCTTCCTCCTCCACCGTTTCCTGAGTCTCTGTCACTGGCTGTTCTACATCAGCAGCGGGAGCAGCGGATGAAGAGGTTGGAACTTTGGAGAGTCGTCGTGAAGTATGGTCGTCAGCATCCGCCTCAGCAGCTTCATCTTCGTTAGTGGCTTCTCCGGGTGACTCCGTAAATTCGGGTCGCGGTGGTAGAGGAGCTGATTCAGAGGGAGCAGCATCCATCGAGGCCCTTGGGGCACTTTCATCGGTGTCTCTTCGTTCGGGCACCTCGGAACCTTCAGCGGGTTCAGGAGCAGAAGCTTGCGAATCAACACGCTTCTTAGGTGGCGGCGGCTTCTTGGGCTTCTCCTTCTTGGACAGTGCGTCAGCATGGCGCTGTGCCTGTTCCATCTGCTGCTTCTGGAGGAGAGCAATGCGCTCCTTTAAGCTGGTAGGCTTGGGCTGATCTTCTTCGTCGCCCTCCTTCTGGGTTTCAGAAGCAACCAATCCAGCTCTCTCGGCTTGTCCCTGATTCTCAGCCACGCGCTCTTTGATTTCGGGATCTTCTTCTCTTCGGTAAATCTTGGCCGCGGGGGCCTCGCGAGGAGGAGGAACGAAGGCATTTCGACTGGGAGGCGGTGCCACAAATGGTTTCTTTACAAAGCCCGATGCGCTACCACCGCCGAGGCCACTGGGTTTAAAGGGCGCAATTGGGGGTGCGGCCGACTTGTTGAACGCCGCAATGCGGTCTTTGAAGGAACTGGGCTTCTCGGATACCGGGGGAGGCGCGGCCTTGGGCTTCGGAGCGCTGGCGACTGGAGCAGCCGAGGCGGGAGAATCAGCACGCTTGGGCGAGGTTGGCAGAGGCACCGGAACTGGCGCAGGAGCTGCCGCTGGCGGGGGAGCCGAAGCCGGGACGGCAACAGGCACGGGAGCGGGAGCTGGAACAGGAGGAGCAGGAGCTGCAGCAGGTGGTTCTACCGGCTGGCTTTGCCTAACGGGCTCGGCGAGTCTCTTCGGCGAGGGCTCTGAGGCCACGTCTCCCGGCGGGGGTGTCGATCGCGCAGCTGTGTCCTCGTAAGAAGGCTCCGGAGGGGGGGCAGGGGGGGCAGCGGCGGGTTCGGATTCTTGCTTGTGCTTCCTCACGGGTCGCGGGGGCGCCACGGGCTCAAACTTCTCGACAAAGTTGCGAGGGAAGATGCCCTCCCTCTTGGCGCCGGACTCGTCGACGTACTCGCCGCCGTACCAGTCGGCGTCATCCTCGTCCGTGACGGCAATGACCTGGCCGGCGGGGAAGTTGAGGTCGTCCTCGTGCGGCGACGAGTACTCGTACAGCGCCTTGACGCGGAACAGGGCGGCCATTGCGGTGTCTGCAGCGGCGGCAATGCTGGACTCGGGCTCAGCTCAGCACGGCCAGCCCAGACGTCTTTGTAGGAGGAGGTTGTCGTCGCCTGTGGGGCACTAGAGAAGCCGTCCCTTGGTCAGCCGGTGAGTGGCTAAAACGTGGGGAGAAGTTGGGTGAGGGGGATGGCCGTCGCGTACGAGGAATTGCTGGGCCAAGCGGCAGTTTCAGCCCAGACGCAGGCGAGGGGGGGATGGAGGCAGAAATGGGCGTTTGAGGTCTGGTCTGGTCTGGTTTGGTTTGGTTATGTTGGTTTGTACAGTTCAGTATAGTCTAGTAGACGGGCAAAGGATGAAAAGGCTCAGAGGCTGTGAAACGCGGTGGATCTCTGGGAAGTGTCGACGTCAGCGCACCATGACAGGCTGCGACGAAGCCTAGGCAATGACGAGAAAGGCCACTAGCAGGCGAGTCCAGGTAGTCGCAAGTAGCAGTACCTAGAGGAGGTTGAGTGGCGGAGGGGCCAAAACAACGAGCGAGCTAGCCTAGGAGTGAAAAGGGTCAATTGCACGTCCCGAGGATGTGCCGCATTCGTCACCGTTACAGCGAGGTTCTTCCCGGGTTTGGTTTCAATCAATTTCAGTCAATGCTACAGTACCTTATGCCCAGGACGTCGTATACCTTATGTAGTAGTTGAGTCTACCTATATCTATATGCACCCTTGCCAAACACGAAACATGCTAGGCCACGCATGCGAGATCAGATTTCTATAATTACCTGCTCCATCAATGCAAGGGAAGCTTCGTTTCTGCATCCCCAAATCTGGCTGCCTACCTGCCTACCTACATACTACATAGATACTAGCCACAATCGCTAGCAGCATTGCATCTGACAAAACAACCGACACAATTCCAAACCAACTCTTCGGACCTCCGGCTCCAGCACCATCGACACAGCCCTCGTGCCGCAACAATCGGGGCGCAAACCGCGCGTCTGTGGCACATGCCCAATGCCTGAGGCCCTCAACCCGGCCAACGTGTTGCTTCATACTCGCACCTACCAGGCACCCCTGCGCATCTTCAATTGCCTATCAATACAAACGATGACACCCATAGCAAGGCCTGTCCCTCTGTCATGTTGCGCCACCCGGTTGCATGTTTCGCCCGCCCCGGCGCCACAAGCACAAACCCCTCCAGCTCTCCTGTAATATGTAGGTACAAGTACATGCCTCTGTAGCACGCTCCATAGAAGCAAGGCACAGCGGCTTTTAGTGGGGTAGCAGCTTCAACGACCTTACTGGTTGGTAATCGCCAGCGGCCTTTGCTTTTTTGCACCACCGCAAGCTTCTAGATGCTCCAGCGAACATCGACATCTTCAGCAGTCCGAACACAGGCAAGTGTCTAGACAGACAGGCAAGGGAGCACAGGGTATCACAGAGGGGCACACGGGAAACTTTCAAAGACCTCATGGCCAGCCAATCTAGTCAGCTCAAGGGCATCCTGAAAGACTCGGTTGGGCTCTCCAACGAGCCCAAGCAAAGCGCGCGCGAGATCGCCATCCACCATGCCACGCTCCTGGAGCACAGAAAGCAGCTCGAAAGCCAGATTCTCGACAGCTTAATCCTCTTGTCCGAATACCCCCTCATCAGAGAAGATCCGCACAACGCATCGAACCCAGCACCATCCGATGTCTCAGATTTCAAGGCCAACGTCAGGCTCTTTCAACCCTCCGACTACGATGACCTCATCGAGGAGCGCAATGTGAATGAACTGTGCGGCTACACGTTGTGCGGCAAACCAAGACGCCAGACTGGCTCGGGTGGGGAATGGAAGCTTACGGGCAGTGGCGAAATCGTCAAGCGCAAGGAGCTGGAGAAGTGGTGCTCTCAGCAGTGTGCGCGCAGAGCCCTCTTTGTCAAGGTTCAGCTTAACGAGACCGCGGCCTGGGAACGAGCGGGAATTCCCGACATCCAGATTGATCTTTTGGATGAAGACAAGTCGAAAGAGACAGAGGCAGATCGAATGGCTCGCAAGCTCGGCGAGCTCAAGCTGGAAGACCAACGGCAGGCTGCTCGAGATTCGGCTGCCCTTGCAATGGAAAGAGGCGACAACAGAATCAGCTCTTCCATAGACAAGGTCAAGGTTACGTTGAAGGAAAAGGACGTCAAGACGCCTTCTGAAATGACTGCCCCGGCTGCAGCCGATAACTCAGAGGATCATTTACTCGTCGACGGCTATAAGGCAAAACTACCCGAGAAGCAAACAAAGGAGTCAGGGATATAAGGGCGTCAAAGTGGTATCAATACGGAGGCATAAAAATTTGGCGTTGGGCTGTAATTTTGGTCATGGCCATGCATGTATTGGAAAACAAGAAAAATACGTGGTTCGGGCATATATAATGATACCCATTGGCAACTTGATTTGGTCGCATATCTTCGCCTATTCCGAAGTCACCGGTTAGGTGAAATTGAACAAGAGCGAAATAGCATATCCAGCTCAATGCAACCTTGCATGTTCAGTCACATTCACAGACAAGCGTGAAGAGAGGGACGGTTTTTTGGCAATCAAGCGTCATCTCGAAATTAATCAGAGAATCGGCGACACCTTGTGGGGTAGAAGATCTTTCTTTTTCGAGATCTATGCACTCACTACCATCCTGAGACGCCAACCTGCAAAATGTTGCAAAACCAGAGACCCAATATTTTCCCACAAAAAAACCTTTTTAGTCGCGGCGAGGGCGGTCGCCGAATCGTCGCTGGCCACGCTCGGGAGCCTGAGCCTGGGAGACGGGGATGACGTTGACGGGGATGGACTCGAACTATATATGCGGTCAGTTGGCAACGTATTGTGGACTTCGGGGGCAGAGAAACGTACGCCAAGGTGCTTGAGCAGGTCCTTGGTCTCGTTGTCGACATCCAGCTGGCCAGCCTCGGAGAAGTCGAGAGCGGAGACCTCGGGGACGAACTGATCCTTGCGCTCACGCTCCTCTTCCTGAAGCTTGAAGGAGATACCACGGACGGGTCCTCGCTGAATACGCTTCATCAAGTGGGTGGTGTAACCGGCAATCTATATTCCCAATCCCGCAGTTAGCCACAATGTTTTCCTCGCTTTTTTTGCCTCCTCTTCTGTATTTTTCAAGTCGGTGTTTTTCCTCGTTCAGTGGATGGTGCTGACCTTGTTGCGCAGGCGCTTGGAAGCGATGATGGCAATCTCATCGCAGATGCGCTTGTTGGTCTCGAAGTCGAGGGTCAGGCGGGGGTAGTACCGCTCAATGATGACCTTGGCAGACTTCTTGACAGTCTTGGTACGAACGCGACCCATTTTGGCGGTATTGAGGTGGTGCTTGGTGGATTAGTGAGTGAAGCGTTGCGAAATTCCCATCAACAGAAAACTTGGTGGTTTAGCACTGGTGGGGGCGTGGCAGCCGAACTGATTAGGGCTCGGAAATCAGCACGTGTAGAGTCATGTGATTCGATTTCCAGTTATCGGGGCTGTTCCACTAGCCGTTCAAGGCTAGCGTGTTTTCCCAATTGAGCTATGCTCATTCAGGTCACTTGTAGATGCAAGTTCTTTGAAGCACTGAGAGCTCATCAAAACATTTACAGCTCATCTCTTATTGGTACTACTTTACATGAATGATACATAGGTAGAATTTGACAACATTTCATAAAATACAGCGTTAGGCAATTTTCAACGCAGCCCGTCTTTTTGTCTATCGAGCTCGGAATTGCCAAAAACTGTTCAGACACTCCATGACCCTCTCTCCTCATGACTTGTCAGAGCGCGATGACTCTTCCAGAATCTCATCAGCAACACGGTTCAAGCGGGCCTCGTTAGATACACGTGTAGGCCGTTGGCTTTCCTGTGCGCTAGGAGCGCTAGGGGTGCTGGGTACATAGCTCTTGGTCGGGCCGTCATGGTAAATCTCAGTGAGGCCTTTGCTCTCTCTCGCAACCACCTGGGCCTCCGGGCCCGTCTCTCGGAGCTGCAAGACGACCTTGCCGCTGGGATCAACGTTGGCGGTCGTGGCCTCGACGTAGGCCTTGGCGCCACCAAACGTGGTGGTATCAAGATGCATGATGCCGTTGAGCATGGACCTGGTGGGGGATATTCTGCGGGAGCCGTATGTTCTTGGGTTGAACTCGTTGTCACCAGAGGGAGCATCAGCGACGAAACCTCCGACACCCAGCTTAGGAGACATGGGACCAGCCTTGGGATAGACCACTCGGGCCAATGCGGGTGTTCGCTTGCCCTGGGGACCGTAGACGGGGTGGTTTTCCATGAATGAGCCGGTTCGCAGGTAGCTAATACCAGCGGACGGGTGGCTCGGAGGGGGGCCGGATTTGCCATACGGGCTGTCGGGAGCAAGGCTGTCCCGGTCTGACCAAAAGGTTTGAATGATTCCAACTGGCTGTCCCAGGGGCGCCAAGTCAAGGAACTTGGAGACAAGAGCATACAATGTCACTCTGTCGTTGCGTAATGAGCGCAGGTAGTCTGTAAACTGCTCCTCCGAGATATCTCGCGCCTCGACCTTGGCAGGAGCCGCTTTGCCGGCCTCCAACGCAGTCTTGTTCTGGCTCGTAGTGATGTCGTCCGCCAGCTTCTCCTTTAGGAGTGTTCGGAAATGCGCCCGCTTAGGACGGACCTTTTTGTTCAAGTACTCGATGAACTCTCCCTCCGTCATTCTAGCAAGCCAAGGACCCTGGAACTTCCATCGTCGATCATCTCCCCGTCCACGTTGGAAGTCTGTAAAGTCCATATCCTCCTCAAACACTGACTTGTGCCACAATTCCGTCCTTGAGGAAGAATCGGACTTCTTGTCGGTGTTGAAGGGCACGGACATGGCCACTCGCAGTTCCTGGAACTTCTCCAACGACAGAGAATGGTCGGCCGCAGAAGCAAAGTTGGTGACGTTTTCAACGGTGTCGACCTGTTTGATTCGGATAAAAGGCGTAGACGTGGCCATGGTTGATTTCAGAGGGAACGGACGCTTGAGTCCCCAATCACCCTTCTCTCGTGAAGCCAATGGCGAAGTGATGGACTGGTGCTGCGGATACGGTCTCGTCATTGTCGCAGACTTGTGATCCCCGATATGGAGGTTCGTCGACGGCGGTTCGGGAAGGGGCTTGGGAATTGAGAACATGCGTGATGTCCTCAGCAGCGCCCCCCCGGGCGATACGGCTCGGCCCCCCATTCTGACTGTCGGGGCTCGTTGCGAAGCTCAATGGCCTGAGGTCGATGCCACTCATACGATGGATGCAAATTCTTTGGCAGAGTTGAGAGACGAGCTTCCGTCTGCCGGAGTTGAGCCGGCCAAACTCCCCTCGTTGTGGCGGGGTGTGGCGCGTGCAAAGCCCCGCCAAAATCTTGCAGTGTTCCAGGGTATGCACCTTATCGTGTAAGAAATTCAACGGCAAGAGAGCTGAAAATTCACAGAGAGAAGAGGCTGGGAAAGGGTTCACGATTGAAGCCGAGCAAAGGGTTTCAGAGGATATTCTTGGGAAAATAATGCAGACGGCCAAAAGAATGGCGTCCAACGTGTACACATCTCCGGCTCTCACGTTTGAACTGATTGCAAAATGTTCAGTCAGTTTCACCCAAATCTCAAAAAGATATGGTCTGGTTACTAACTGATATACCAAGCAAGACGACTCGAGCTCGTGCCTCTATTCTCACACTTCCCCATGGACCTGTTCAACTCCCTATTTTCATGCCTGTTGCCACCCAGGCCTCTCTTAAGGGCATTACTCCAGAGCAATTAGAGGATACTGGCTGTCGCCTTTGTCTGAACAACACTTACCATCTGGGCTTGAAGCCTGGCCAGGAGATTCTTGACGCTGTTGGCGGTGCTCACAAATTGCAAGGATGGAATCACAACCTTCTTACAGATAGCGGAGGGTAAGTCTTTGCTCAACTCTATAGAGAAACGAGTGTAGGCTGACCTATCATGGCAGTTTCCAGATGGTCAGTCTGTTAAAGCTGGCCACAATCACAGAAGAGGGCGTTCGCTTCCTGAGTCCCCATGACGGTTCACCTATGCTCCTCACCCCAGAACACTCTATAGATCTGCAAAACACAATAGGCAGTGATATCATGATGCAACTCGACGATGTGCTGGTGACTACCTCGCCAGACAAAGCCCGAATGCGAGAGGCCATGGAGCGCAGCGTAAGATGGCTGGACAGATGCATTGCCGCTCACAAGAATCCCGACAGACAGAACTTGTTTTGCATTATCCAGGGCGGACTGGATCTGGATATGAGACGAGAGTGCTGCAAAGAAATGTTGGCGAGGGATACTCCTGGCATCGCCATCGGCGGGCTCAGCGGAGGAGAGGCCAAGGCAGACTACTGCCGCGTCGTCGAGACATGCACAGCCATGCTGCCCGATCTCAAGCCTCGATATGTGATGGGCATTGGCTACCCAGAAGACCTGATCGTCAGCGTCGCTCTCGGAGCAGACATGTTCGACTGCGTCTGGCCCACAAGGACAGCGCGATTCGGAAACGCCGTCACGAAGAACGGCGTCCTCAACATTCGAAACTCAAAGTACGCCAATGACTTTGGTCCGATTGAACCCGGCTGTGGTTGCATGTGTTGCAGAGAGGGCGAGGACGGCATGGGCATCACGCGAGCCTTTATCCACCACAACGCTTCCAAGGAGACGGTGGCGGCGCATCTGCTGACGATTCACAATGTTTGGTATCAGCTGCAGCTCATGCGCGACATTCGACAGGCGGTTATTGAGGATAGGTTTCCTGCGTTTATCCGGCAGTTTTTCGCAGGGCTTTATGAGGATAAGACGCAGTACCCTGAGTGGGCTGTGGAGGCACTCAAGAGAGTCAATGTTGACTTGACGGTATAGTAATAGATTCATTAAACATATCATTAACGGTCGCTAAAGCAGCTGTCTCAATGCACTTTGTGTGTATATACCCAGAGTATATGACATATATATCCAGCATATCCCTCCTACTTCGGCGGGATAGTAATTACATCCTTGGCAGTGACGTTGCCCGTTACATTCATCTCAACATTTCAAATAAAAAAATTCACATCATTAATTCCTTCAGTGTACGCCCAACCGCCACTTAAACCATCATAGCAAAGCCAGCCACTGCAACCACGCCGGCAGCGAGTCCGACACGAGCAGTTGCAGCCGCATTGGACGTAGTAGCTGGCCCTTGAGTAACAGTAACGGTAACTTGGCCGCCCTCAGTTGTCGTCGCTCCGCCGTTACCTTGGTTCGTGGCGGTATCTGTGGGCGGGGTGGTCGAGGCAGAGCAAACATCGCTGAAATGATGGCAGAATGTAGCAAACGTTTTGGCCACTATCGTTGTGTTAGTTGATACCTTCGAAGATACAGCATCCTGACAAGTAGAAGAAAATACGAACCGTCATAGGCGGTAACGGGCTCTCCGGGGCCGGCTGTGGCGCCCCAGTTTCGACATGTCGAAGCATATGTTTCGATTTCATCAGTCCATGTTATTTGGCCATCCAAAGCAGTTCGACAGCTATACAAGCACATATTTCGTCAGCGTCAGTCTCAGCTACAAAGATGGAAGAAACCCTACCAGTAGCAGTAAGCCTGCTGTCCAAAGGGCATATCTGTAAAACCAGGTGTTGCTCTGGTGCACTCCTGGAAAATGTCCACCATCTGGACACAGGCAGATGCAAGGGTTGTCACAAAGCTGGTTGCGGTTCCTGTTCCCGCGCCGGGTGAGGTGCCCGAAGCGCCTCCAGTTGCGGAAGCTTTGGTGGGTTCAGCCGTTGAGCCCTCTGCTGTAAAGCCACCCGATGTTTCTTGCGGAATGCTGCTCGGCGAGGAGGCCGGTGAAGCGGTCGATCTGGATGGCGGAGGAGACTGAAATTGTGACGATTGTTTAGGAGTAGGAGACGACGCTGGAGGTTGCGAACTGGTTGGAGCAGCTTGATTACGGCAGACCTCTGGGGAGCCTCCACAGACGGTATAGAGATAGTCGTAGGCTAGCGGCTGTGTTAGAGGTTACAGGAACTCAATGGGCGGCAGATCAAGACATGTACACACCAGAGATCTGAGAGCCCAACTGAGGCGCCTCGGAACCGAGATAATCGGCGCAAGTACTGTAGACGGGAGCTACATCAGTCGTTCCAATGCAGCAAGCACATGCTGCGAGCGACAGCGGGTTCGCAGTGGACAGCGCCTCGGATCCTCCAGCTTGAGCAACGCAACCCGAGAGAAATTGGGCCGCGGCGGTGCAGATCTGGTAACCCGGATCGTTGGGGTTGAGGGCGTTTACAACCTCATCGTAGTTGATGAGTGGCAGTGTCATTTGCGCCGCCGCGCCACCGGCCAGTATGGGAATGAGCAGAGCGAGAGCCATCTCGAACAAGAACGAAACAATGCAGGACGGGGTATCACACAAAGCACAGAGCAGGAACAAAAAACCACAACGGTGAGGCGAGCTTTCGGTTTTAAACCCACAAGCTCCTACAGCTACTCGTACATGGGAGACACGCCATTTTTTCAGACGACAGCTTCTAGCGCCGCCCAAGGTCAATAAAAGCTGAGCTACCGGCATCACGGGGACGAGTCTAGAGGGTCAAGGCCAAGCGCAGAGCTGGGATGCTCATGCAGCCTAAGCGACGCGAAAGCACAAAGTAGAGGGGGATGCCATAGCGGTTGCGCTCTTGTTTTTTCCTCGCCGCTGTTGCACGGCCAATTATGAGGCGGATTTCCGTGCGGCTGAATCAGTAGCCAAGGATCAAGCTGGGCTAGTCGCGGCACGGCTCGGGGGGGTTGGAGAGAAGGATTTGTCTCTGTTTGTCGGGAGGGTGGAGAGACGGTACGGCTAATATCGCTGGGATGAAGTAGATGGAATGATTCAGTCTCTGATGCTGGAGTAGCAACTGTGATTAGACTTGATGAGCGCTGATGGAAGATGGAAGATGGAAGAGGGAAGAGGGAGGATGGAAAGCCATGTTCGTAGGCGGCGATTGAGTTGCGGATGTGCCCTGACTGAGCGATCTTTGGGCTAGTCGGGCCTTGATGGCTTAGTGCCACAAAAGCAGCCAAGGACGAGATGCGTTGTGAGCACATGCATGAGACGCTATCGACTTGGCAAGAGAGCTGGGGCGGTGGCGATGATTGGGATGGAAGATGGAAAGGCAGATAAGAAAGGAAGCAAGACATTGAGGCTGTATGAGTTACTCCCTACTTTCTCCGTGCATGCATTGTTCTGGTGTGATGTTCAGGCAGCTGAGTTGGGGCTCGCGTTGTCGTTTGTTATGTTTTAAACACCAGACGATGCCCAACAATGCGGTGAATTTTGCTGCGCATGTGTCTGCCTAGAGACTCTCCACAGTTTGAGAGCAAGCTTGTTTGTTAATGTCGCAGCCTTATTCAATTCCCTCTAACCGTTGTGCATCCATTCATGAAATGTCATCACATGCTCTGCTTTTTCTTCTGCGTGCAACTCTGGAGCACGATAAGCGGACTTTCGGGCCTATGGAGCCCCGGGCAATTGGAAGCTCGATAGCCTCAATTACTGGTGCTTCGGCTGAAGCATCAACTTGCCTACCTGGCACTAACCTACCCTACAAAGTGTACCTAAACATGTACAACCAAATGCATCCAGCAGGCGCTGACTTGCCGGGGAAATGACTTACATGAACATGAACCTGCCTCGAGATTGGATTTAATCTCATGCGTCTGCAAGGTCTGGCAAGCTGTGTGGAAGCCAGCCTACATATGTAACACACCTGGGCCTTTTCTTCGTCTTCCTTTCAAGAGACAGGCATCTTGAGATCGAGGAGCTGGCGTTACCCCGGATGTAGCTTAAAAAAGCAGCAGAGCGGGGACCGCTAATAAAATCGCCCCTTTACGTTTGCTTGGTACTTGCAACTTTAATACTCAGCACAGACAATGGGACTACCTGTCAGGTATTTTTAGTTACGGCGGTGGCATGGCCGGAAATTTACACATGAGAGGATATTTCACGCTCTCAAATGAGATGGAGCATCCTGTGCCATTTGTAATTGATGCCGTCTGGACATTCGGACCGCCAGATCCCACTCGAAGCTACTACTACTGCTGGGCGTAACTCTCGATAGTACTCGTACCTGATAGCCTGCAACCTCGTGTCGTCGGATATGGGCTCCCGGTCCTTGTTCTGCTAGCCGATTGTACTAGCAGAGCGGTGGCAGCACTACTGCTGGCAGTCATTCCACCTTTTCGCTTGCAGCCGTTAATCGGAGGCGGCAGTTCCTGGCTTTATGCACCTACTAGCACAGTTGCTTGTGATTCTGCTCAATCGGACCTCGTCGGTTATAGCTGGAGGCAGCGCTGACGAATGGCTACAAATAGCAGCTTCGCCAAATCCAAGGCCTCTGCTGTGGTTCGGCCACGTACGTCCTCACAATGTATTCCTGCCTGGAGGTCCACCGCTGCAAGTCGACCCCAGCGGCAGATGATGGATGATGGAATATACGAGTGAGTTGGAGGTTGGTGGCGTTGACTGGCCGATTTGGCGGTTTTGGCTGATGTCATGACATGAGACACCCACCCCCTCCAGGGTCTTGTTTGGCCTCAATCGTGGCCCGCATGCATCGCTGCAGCTATCATGGATATCCCGATTGTAAGCACATGTACAGGTAGGGAGAAGCTTTTGCTCCACTGCAGAGAGACCTGCCGTTTCGGATGCCAGAAAACACCCCCTTGCCGTGGTGCAAAACACCAGACAATCAGCAAGATGCGCGTGAGAAGCTGTGCCGGCGCAGCGTCAATGCTGTGGTGCCCGACCAGACGAGGCCTGATCTGAGGGGTGTTGCCAGCCCCCCTATATGTGATGGATGGATCAATATGTGATAATGATATCAAATGAGATTATGAGATTATGAGATCCGGACCGGCACGTGATCGGGGCGAGACTGATGGGACGCGAATTGGGGACTGGAATTAGGGGAAGCGAAGCGGCTATGACGATGGCGACAATTGAAATTACATGCTGGCCATGTCATTAAACGCCCCGAGCCACAGGCGCCGCAGCGTGCCAGCCCAACTTCCCAACTTGACCCCAAACAACAACAACAGCAGCAGCGCCGCCATCACCAAAGCAGGGCGCATAATCGAGTGGCACGGCAGACGAGAGAGAGATAATTGAGGCATCATCAGCACAAGCACAAGCAAACCGCACCGCATTGCAGAGGCATCGCAAACCCGCATTCTCTCTCTCGACGCTCCACTCACACCACCATCGCACAGAATACACACAGGCTTCTTTCGGCGTGTTCCTGGCGTTCTACTCCTCTACTAACGCATGTCGCCTCGCTGCAACCCACCGACTAAACCGGTCTTATAAGACGCCCAAATGGCGTCTCCGCCCAATACAGAGCCGCCACGGCGTGCAGCAACAAACTCCAGGGACGAAGCCGCAGGCCTATCGCAGTCACTTAGCCAGCTGTCACTCGGCCAGCGTGGCCCGCCATCCCCCGGATTATCGCCATTGCCCTCTCCCTCGACGCCGCTGACGCCTTTAAATCTCCCTCGCCATGCCTCTCCTTCGTCTGCTCGCACTCCATCTCTCAGTCCCTCAGGTAGAGAGTCGCGAGCTGCAACCCCCACCCTCGTCCGCAAAGCCTCGATGAACTCCCTGCACTCGGCAAACGGCGTCGGCCCTTCGCGGTCTTTATCCAGGCGCTCCAGCCTGGGGCAGGTTGTTTCACCGGGCTTGAGGGCGTCGTTTGGAGCTCCCGAGCCTGAATGGCGTCCGCCTGTCACGCCCAGCTCCGTGGCGAGCGGCCACTTCAAGGACGAGCTCGAGGCCCATCACGGGCCCGTGTCTACGCTCTACACCGAGACGGTTGTTGTGCTCAACGATGCCGTCTACGGCCACCGCTTCTCGCGCCCGCGCACCCCCAAGAGTGCCCTCAACACCATTGTGGAGCGCCCCGAGCGAATCAAGGCCAGCGTCCTGGGTGTGTCCGCAGCCTATGTGCGTCTTGGGGAGCGTCACAGCGATGGTGCGCTGCCCATTCTGCCAAAGGGCAATGTTCACATGCTGCCCAGCATCCCCTTTCGCATCCACAAGACGGATCGGAGGCTGTCGCTGCTGTCCCCTGCCGTCACCAACGTGCATGGGACCAAGGGGATGGAGGAATTCAAGGCCATGTGTGAGTCTGCTGAGGCCGTCTTGGCTCGTGGAGGAAAGGAGCTGCAGAGGCCGGCCGGGTCCACGACGCAGGAGAAGCTTCATGAGGGCGACTTGTACCTTTGTGGCGAGTCGCTAGATGCCATTGAGGGTGCTCTGGGAGCTGTGTGCGAGGGCGTGGATGCCGTCTTTTCTGCTGGGCCGCGCCGTGCATTTGTTGCCGTTCGACCTCCCGGGCACCATTGCTCTGCCAATCTCCCGTCTGGCTTCTGCTGGGTCAACAATGTCCATGTTGGAATTATGCACGGCATCCTCAACCACGAACTCACTCACGCCGCCATCATCGACTTTGACTTACACCATGGAGATGGCTCTCAGGCCATTGCCTGGGCGCACAACTCTCGGTCAAAGGCCGCCACCAAGAGCCATGCCGCCTGGAAAAGGACGTCGATTGGTTATTTCAGCTTGCACGACATCAACTCATATCCCTGCGAAAACGGCGATGATGACAAGATTAGAAACGCAAGTATTTGCATTGAGAATGCACACGGCCAAAACGTCTGGAACACCCATCTCCAGCCATGGAAGACAATCGAGGATTTCTGGGACCTTTACGAGACCAAATACACCATACTCCTCGACAAGGCCCGCAGCTATCTCAAAGCTCAGGCGGAGAAGCTACAAGACGCAGGCGCCAAACCGCGGGCTGTCATCTTCTTGTCTGCTGGCTTTGATGCTAGTGAATGGGAGGGCGCTGGAATGCAGCGTCACAAGGTCAACGTGCCCACCGAGTTCTACGCGCGGCTCACGCAAGATATTGTTCAGCTTGCCGCAGAAGAGGGCCTCTTTGTTGATGGCCGTATCGTCAGTGTCTTGGAGGGTGGCTACAGCGACAGAGCCTTGACTTCGGGCATTCTCAGTCATCTCAGCGGTCTTGTTGGGAAGCAGAACGTGCCTCGCCAAGGCCGTCTTTCTTTCACGCAAAGTGCCTATAACGAGGATGATGAGTATCCTGCACACTCGTTATCATCCATCAACCCGTACGATCCTTCGTGGTGGTCGGCTGACCAACTTGAGAAACTGGAAGTCACAGCAGGACTACCCGATCTCACGCCAAAGAAGCCGCGTATGGTTACTCCTCCAACCTATTGTACACCAACCCAAGCTTCTACGGCTAGGGCTGTAGACCCCCTCAAGATGCGACGAAGCATGTCGACTCTGGTCAACAGATCCAACGTCTCAAGCCGATCTCCATCTCCCTCGCCCCCTGAGGTTCCATGGACGGTGGCTGCCAACGAGCTCTCAAAGCTCCTCATACCGCGGGATCGCCAAACCGACAGCCACACGGCTGATGATTTGAATCCAGAGGCGGCCCGCGTACGGCGGGATAGGCAATCGAGTGGCACGCCGGATCTCGAGCGACCAACATCGAGAATGTCGCTTCGCGATCGCAAGCCTAGGTCTATTGATCCCATTCAAGAGGAGAACAATGCTCGGCAGATGAGGGACCGGAGAAAGACCGTGGGTCCTTCAGCAATTGCGGCAGAAAAGGTGAACATGCAATTTTATGAACACCCCCTTTTGTCATCAATAGCGACGACTAACATGTGTTATCAGGCATTCGCTCGCGGCCAAACACCGCAACCACCCCTTGTCGGCTTGCCTCCCAAGCCCAAGAATAACCGTCGGCTTAGCACATCGTCGGTTGCTCCCACGCAACAACGTAGTGTTTCTCGTGCCGCAACGATCAGCGAGGAACTACCACTTCGCCCTGCAACATCTGCGGGTCCCATCGCCGGGAGGCCTATCTCAATTGCAGACAATCACGCGCAGAGTGTCGGCCCTACCGGAAGAATCACTGTTAGAAGGTCACGGCCGACCACGGCTCATGGTGAGCCGGCCCTCAGGTCACCAATGCTTGAAGCCAGAAAGGAGGGTCCTGCAGAAGCAACTACGGCACCTTCAGTTGCAAGGCTGGACGCTACTATTGACGACATGGATAAAATCACCAAGGATATCAAGAAGATCAAGATCAACTTGATCACCCAGTCGCAAAAGGAGGCAAAAGAAAAGGCTCGCCTTGAGGCTGAACAAGCCGCCAAGTCCGAGCTGCGCACTTCATCTGCCAGCACCAACAGATCCGTGGAGTCTGGCGGCCTCAAGACACCCAACAGCGCCACCGGCCGCAGATCCAACTTCAACGCTGCGTCCCCAGATGGGACCATGCCGGCGCTATCGACCGCCTCTGAGAGTAGCCTATCAACCCCCAATATGGAGCACTTTACACCACGGACTGTTTCCCCTGAATCGAGACAAGCTGTGCCAAACGTGAGCTCTCCTCGCTCGGCGAAAGTGATGGATGAGACATCCGAGTTTTTCCAGTACCAGCCTGAAGGGCCACCGCCGGTCTCCATTCCTCCTCAGGAGCCGCTCAAGTGGCTTCCCCCAACACTCCCAGGCGGCCCTCCAGTTGTCACACCTGGCCTCCTTAAAAAGAAGAGCAGTGCTCTTTTCCAATATGGCAGCAGCGGCACAATCCCCTTTGCCCCCAAGCAGCCAGCTCACCGCAACACCTCACCTCAAAACAAAACCCAGAGGAAGCCAAGCGGTACTATCAGGGGCACCCCCAGATCTCCACCAAAATAGTAGACGGCTACCATGAAAATGCAAAATGGAGACGGTATTAGATTTCTTATGTCACACGGATGGTACGGTATGGAACACGGAAAGGATAGGAGTTTGTTTGCTTTCCCCCCCCCTTTGCCTGTTTAGCGCTTGTTGAAGCTCGTTCTCTCCTTTTTTTTTGAGACCAACTGTTTTCTAGCCAGTATGCACCCTTTGCCAAACTACCAGCCTCTGGAATGCTGGGTTGCCTTCATTACATGATACCCGTTCCCAAACAAAGAAAAAAAAAAATCTTGTCGGAAGCTATTTATTCTACCTCTTTAGTACATCCCTATTTTTTATAGATGATATTGATCTTCCTTCTATATCATAATCTTGTATCTCCCCTGAAGTAAAATCTTGTAGTCTGTTATAGCCTATTATACTCTAATCTATGATGAGACTTGTAAAGCGTTTTATGGAAAGTGCTGGCGGAAGTCCTTGAGAGACACACCCACGTCGTTGAGCGTCGCTTTGCTGGTTTCTCCTGCTTCGAGGTGGTTTTGTCGCTGGAACGTCCAGACTTGCTCCACGCCGAGGCTTTCTAGGAATGAGAGTGCGCGGCTGTAGTTTGTGGCGACTTGGGCGATTCCGTGGCTGTCGTCGGACATTGTGAATTTGCCTCCTAGTTGAAGCCATTCCTATGATTTCACCGTTTAGTAAGATCTCCCCCTTTACTACTAATTTTGGAGAGAGATGCTCTGTAATGTTGGCGTACCTCTGAAATGATTCGGCCGGGATATGGCTCGTCGAGGCCCTTTCTCAGGGCTGCAGAGTTACACTCCAGCCAAGCACCAATCTGTGCGGCATACTCAAGATTTCGACGAATCTTTTGCCAGACGCCGGGCCACTGTCTGACGTCCCTGCCCGGGTCCTCGCTCATGAGGCGAATGAGATCAAAGTGACCGACAATGCGCGGTTTCAGCGCCTGCAGCATCTCATACTGCAGATCGTAGTAGTCCTCGTAGAGGCGCTCCTCTGAGCCTCCGGCGGCGGCGACGGCGGCGGCATAAGTTGCCTTGTCGTAGTCGATGGGGATGCTGTGGACGTGGTGGACGGAGCCGATGAAGTAGTCGACGAAGGGGGATTCGTTGAGGGATTGGACGAGGGGTGTGTATGAGGGGCGGATGAATTCTGCTTCGAAGGCGATGATGATGTGGATTTGGGAGGCGTATTTTTGTTGGAGGCGGCGGGCTTCGATGAGGTAGGATTCGTGGCGGGGGGGAAGGGCTTGGAGGGAGGCTTGGGGGTCGGACAGCTAGGTGATGAGTGTTAGATGGATGGATATGATTTATGAGGTTGGTGATGAGATTGAGATGGTGAATGAGTGAGTGAATTGGTGAGAATGATGTGTGTGAGTAGTGAGTGATTTGGGTGAGAATGATGTAAGTGAGTAAGTGAGTTTAGCTGTGACATGTGAATATGTGGTGTGGAGGGGTAGATGCGAATTGAATGCTGTGTAACGCGAGACAATAACCAAGATTGGGAAGACGAATTGCTCAAGGTGATAGGATAAATAAATAAATGAATGGATAAATAAAAAGATACGCATGCGACATACCTCTTCTGGATACAAGTCTCGCTCCTCATAGCGAGGCATATGCTCTGTAAGGCCAATGGTTTTATACCCAAGAGATATAGCGTGCAGAATGATGTCCTCCAGCTGGTCGACAGCATGGCCAGGGCAGAACTGGCCCGAATGGGAATGCATTGTGAAAGCCATTGCGACGGAAGCCCGAGCGAAACAAGGACACTCCAATGAGTCTGAATATCCAATTTTTATTATTGAATCGTGTTATCTTGGAAGTAGAATTTGGGTTTTAAAGAGAGGCAGACGCTCTATTTTTTTCTGCTGCGAGATCGCCCGCTCATCGGGAGGCCCACTATTTCCTTTCCTGGGGCCGGATTCGGTAATCTCGGAGCCCGTGAGGCGGTTCTGGGAAATCATTGGTCTGTTGGGGATTGGGAAGGATGATTGTATAAGACGTTGATTGTCTTGTGACTGTGGCTGTTTTAATGCCGGTATTAAATTCCAAAGACCAACGCAAATCTACATGCCAGTTGTTGGTGAATAATAGGTAGCCAGCTACATACAACTGTCATACAACTTGTGACTGGATGCTTGACTCGCTGCATCTCCAAGCCACCACTTGATTCGTGCAGAGGCTAGGCACCAGCCACAGAGCAATACACAGCTCACGAGCCACAGTCTCAACCATGTGGCTCCTGCCGAGGCAGATTCCTTATCAACATCACAGAGCGTCTGATTGGCCAGTCAATCGCATTTGCTCATCGCATAATCACGTGGTCTACAAGGATCTTTTGATAAACAATCACAAATCGAATTCCTTGAAACGGAAGGCCCCGCTTTATCTACAACACCGATTAAGCTTCAATCTGGGAAGGACCATCAGCTCCGCTCCGGAAGAGGGCCAAGGCTTAATCCGACTCTTCAGCACTTTAACCAAGGCTTCTTTTCTTCTTGATCGACACTGCAATCAGCTTCAGCTCAGCATATGAAACAGCTCTATAAGACACCGCCACGCCAGCTAGCCCTCTGCTGCCTACGAACGAGGTGAACTATGGTAATCTCCCGAGGCCAAACGGGGCAACCGCCGGCAATGAGAGCCAAGAGATGGGGCGTATGCAGCCACGTTAAATCCGTGGGAAATAACAAGGCGCGGCAAGAATTCCGCGTTCGACAAGATGAAGGTGCGGCTTATTCGAAGTGGTGAGAGCTAATACTGGAAGGTCAACCTGTCAAAAAGAAAAATCACCACCAAAAACAAGGAAAGATGGTGTCTTCCCCCCCGTATCTCGTGCAGCTGGGAGGCTGAGAATGGCGGGCTGGACTAGTTTTCGGGAAACCGGCAATGGCGGCGCGTTAAAACTGGACGCCAAGCTCGACTCGATCAAGCGCGAGGGACTGGTTGTTTGATGTCTTTGCGGCTGAGATTTGCTGATGATATCGAAATCCCTGTCCTTGTCTTCATCTTGAAGGAAAAAGAAAGGAAAAGGGAAGAGAAAAGACTCGACACAAGTGCTGTTGCAGTCTATCGAGTATAACACGCTCAACTACCATTTGGAATCCCCAGAATCTCAATCGTTTATCCCTCATCTTCAACGTTGGATTCTGCCAAAAGGTCCGCGGAGGGGCGCGGGACCACTTGCATCCAATATTGATCTGCAGGCTGAATTGGCCCCTTGCTATTTCGACTTCGGGATGCAGCTGGCTTAGGGCGCCAAACCCAATGTGATGAGCCTCCAATCAGGACTTCGTCCCCGACGGAGAGGGCTGGCGTGCTACTTTCGCTTCCGTGACGGACACGGCCTCTGACAACCGGCCTAGTGCCCAAAGGGTCTTCCCATTGTGCACTGGCAGAGTCAAGAATGCCTTGCCCCATGTCTGTGAACACGAATGAGGCGACGACATGTGCACGACCCCTGCGAGAAATCGATGGCCCGCTCCCAAGGTCACGATGCTAGATGTTATCGGGCCATCCTTCCCCATGCGAGTATGCTAAAGGGCATAGCTTTATAATACTGCTGGGATGCTGGATGAGAAATACTTCCTACCACCGGCGCATCCTCCTGACGGTTTTGTCTTTTTTTCATTGTGCTGCTCTCCGTGAGAAAACAAAGGTGTCCAAAGGGTGGCATCCACGGGTTGGATTTGGTCAAACATGGTCAAGATGCAGAATCTACCGACCTCGCTCGCACTGCTGGTCTCTTCCCTCCTTTTCGCGTCGACCTCCTCGGCTCTGCACATCAGACCTCGACAAGCCGATGCTCTGCCCACGCCAATCGCCCATCTCTCCAATGCTGCAGCCGCGGCCGTCATCACGCCTGGTCCCTCTCTGGATATCGTTGGCGAGCTGAAGTTTGCACGCGCACTTCCTACTATCCCTGCGTGTGCCACTTCGTGCGTTGCCTCCGCCGTCACCAAATCGACAAACTGCAAGTTGGGCGACACTCTATGCGAATGTAACCATGCGACCATCATCAACAACGGCGCGGCGTCTTGTGTCCAGAGTGCCTGTGGATATGTTGGTGCTGTCCGTAAGTAGCCTGGATAAGCATTGTGTTTGCAATGATAGGTTCAAGCTGACTTTGTTCAACAGAGGCTCAGGTGGCGGGAGAGGAGCTGTGTATAAGTGTGCTTGCCGGAAATATTCCTAGTAGTCTTTTGTCTACTCCTACCGACAACAACAACGTCCCTGGTCAAACGGGTGTTTCCTCGCCAAGCCCGAGTAGTGGGTCGAATGGCGGATCGAGTGGCGGGTCCAACGGAGGTTCAAACGGAGGATCTAATGGAGGCTCATCCGGAGGATCTTCAGGTTCATCAGGATCTTCGGGGTCATCTGGCTCATCTGGCTCATCCGGCTCAACATTCCACAAGCCCAGCAAGAGACTCTCCAAGGGGGCCATTGCCGGTATTGTCGTTGGTGTTGTCGTAGGTATTGGTGGCGCAGCCGCAGCCATCTGGAAGTTCTGCCTGAACAAAATGAAAGGAGGAAGCACACCACCACCCGCCGGAGTCGATCCAGCACCTATAGCTGCACCAGCTGCTGCTGCACCCGTCGTTGTCGCCCCTGTTGAAACGGCACAAGTCTCTCCCGTCGAACCTTTCAAGCCATCGGTGACTCCTCAGACCGTGTCCAGCGTGTCGCCGTTCCAGGGGTCGACTGGTACAACGTCTCCGGTATATCCAAACGCCGCCGAGCTGTCCAATGGACCATATCAACAGCCCCCTGCCGCATACGCGTATCCTCCGCATCCAATGGGGCAGGTATATCATGAAGCTCACGCACAGCCGCCAGAAATGGCCGGTGACACGCATTTGCCGCAGGAGTTGCACGGCGGAGGACCAGTGTACGAGATGGGCACGCATAATTAAAGGGTGAAAAATGGATGAATATACGTAAATAATAAACGAGAAAGCTAATGTATGTAATCTAACAAATGATATCCACGTCTATTTCAAATTCTATATAAAATACACCGCTCAATTGCAGAACTTCGGGGGAATAAAACGGAACGAAATAGTACAAAGAAAAATATCAAGACATCTCAAATCCCCAAATGTACTTTGACTTCCACCAGGGCTTTTTCGCTCCTTCGTCTGCTCTGTTATTATACCCTTCTTCTTGAACATCATGCTTCCCAACAATATTCAGGAACACTTCGTTCAGTGTCGTAGGACTAACGCTATGGTGCGCAATGCCCAAATACTCCTTCTGTTCCTCCAACATGATAAGCAGTCTTCCCCTGGCGCTTTCACTAGTAGTCGCTGCCCCGCCTTGCATCGGCACCGCGGACGAAGGCATCGAGAAGCGCATCTGTCCATGATACGTCTCCTGCTCGACGGATGCTCCGGGGAAGTTATTCAGCACCCACGCACGAAGGTTGTCCATCTCCTCTGGAGTAGAATGAGGCGCAGTTTTGGTGACGAGGTGGACGTGCATAGTATCTCCGAAGCGGTGACGGAGCTTCTCCGTCGTCCCGAGGGCGAGCATGCGGCGAGCCATGATGCCAGCGCGATTGGCCAGCGCGTCAGCTTCTTCCATGCTGTGCGTGGTGAGAAGGATGGAACGACCTGGGACGATGCTCTCGAGAGTGCGCCACATGATGCGCTTGGCTGCCGCGTCGAGACCTGAGGACGGTTCGTCGAGGAGGATTACGGGCGGGTTTCCGGTGAGGGCGATGCCGAGAGAGAGCTTGCGCTTGTTGCCCCCTGAGAGAGTATGTGCCATAACGTCTGCATAAGCTTCCAGCCCGACGGCGCGGATGACGGCGGGGACTTGGTGGTCGATATCAGAGATGCCCCGAAGGCGAGAGTAGTGGCGGAGGTGCTCGCTGACCGTCATGTTGTCGATGGCGTCGAACTGGGGGCACACGCCGAGATTTGCTCTGGCAGCGGCACGGCGTTTGGTGACGGAGATGTTTTCGATGAACACATCGCCCCCGTTACGGCTTGGTGCAATGTCGCCTCGGATCAGAGAGATTGTGGTCGATTTACCAGCGCCGTTGGGACCAAGGAGAGCAAACACTTCGCCGTGTTCAACTCCAAAGGTGACATTATCGACAGCAGTATTCTTGCCAAAAGCCTTGGTCAGATGCGCGATGCGAAGGCCGTCAGACTGGCCATCTAGGCCATCGACACGGAGCAGTTCGTCTGCGACTTCTGGATCGTCAACCTCGGGAGACTTCTTGGCCTTCTCAGAGGCATATCGACCAGCGCCGCTCTCGATCCAGACTACTATGGAGAACCAAAAGATGGATTGCAAAATGAGATAGAGTAAAGGACCACCGTATGCAGTCATTGCCGCAGGATTAGGCCGAAGTATGTCGTTGTCGCATGTAGTCGAAAAGATGTTTTGACCAACCATCGCCGTGCGAATTAATGAACCCGTGGGGAAGATGGCGGCAATGACCCAATGTGCGATGAGAGTGTCTCGATCGGTATTTGCCGCAGGAGAATAGGTAAGGATAAATAAGTATGTAATTATGTAGATTGCAAAGCCTAGTGAATGCACGACAGAAGTCATTGCGTAAGTTGCCATTGCACTGGCGCAAATGAGAGAAAAGAGATAGGAAATAATGATTGTTGTAAGAGCGTAAAAGATGAAAATAGGAAATAGATAGCCTCCATTATACCATGAATTCGATGATACGACAAATATCATGGCAGTTAGGATCATAGGCACTATCATTATGCCAAAGTCGAAGATGACATGCGCAACCCAAACCGGTAGAGTACGAACACCGCTCGAGTATTGCAAGCTGCGAACATTCTTGAGCCTCTCCGAATTCGGATAAAGACCAAGGAGGCCCGGGAAAATTGAGAAAGCAACAGAAAAATAGATCACAAGCTGGAGTCCTCTGCCGGTTGAAGGAGCGACGGGATAGTCAAACGCTTTGTATTCCGTTGCAATGGTAATATTGGCGAGCATCGTGTTGAGAAAATTTTGACCCAAGACCGAAGAGTACATGGAAAAGTTGTCGGCCTTGAAAGCCAACGTCGGGACTGAGTTAGAGTCGCCAAGCCACATGCCCGCGGGTGTAATAATCCTCCTGTTGTTTTTGATATAGTCCTCAAAGGATGAAAGCGAGTCTACTAGATCGACGGTGACATTCCCAACAGTAGTAGAACTATCACGGCTTCGGAGGCTAGCCTGGCCCGGTAGAATTGGTTTGAACAAATCTGTCATAGAGTTGCCAAATTGAGATGATGGGCCGCCGGCCAGATGGGCCGTATCCAAGAGCTTGAAGAAATTATTGTTTGATGAGTGGCTGCTTCGTTGCGTGGGCGAGCAGCCAACCAAATCGTCGTTGCGAACAAGAAGTTGAATAACCGAAGCGGCAATGATGGGGACTAGAAACGCAGCCGCATAAGGAATCCAATTCGTCTTGAACACTGTAAATCTCTTTCTCAGAAGTACACCAACCTGCTGAACCATGCCGATCTGTCGTCCCGTGAGCAATGACAGATTCTCGCCGGCGATGGGCGTATCGCTTGCAATCTTGGCAACCTTTTCGTTGATGACATCGGGTTGCCGCTGGAGGCCCTCGCCGTGAACTTCCTCAGCCAGGTGAAGAAAGACATCTTCAATGGTTGGGCCAGAGGATCTGTATGGGATACCAGCGGCTTCCAAAGCCCGGATAACCTTGGCAGCCTGGTCTGAAGATGAGGACATGTAAGTTACGTTGTTTGTAGCAACCTTCTTTGTGACACCTTCGATATCGGGCACTGCGTTTAGGGCCCTTGGGTTGAGTACATGAATGCGGTAGCCGGCACCAAAAGTGTCTTTAAGTTGCGCAGAGGAGCCTTCAGCCCTCAATGTTCCCTTGGATAGGATGGCAATGTTGTCGGCAAGCAAGTCTGCTTCATCGAGGAAATGGGTCGTCATGATGATTGTACGCGAACCACGCTCTTTTAGGAGAATGTCCCAGATTTTTCTGCGCGACAGAGGATCAATGCCAGAAGACACTTCATCAACGCAGCAGACAGAGCTTCCACCAATCAACATCATTCCAAGCTGAAGCTTTCTCTTTTGGCCACCTGATAGAGTCTGTGACCAAGCTTTTGCCTTTGATCGAAGCCCAATAGCGTCGATCAATTCTGCAATTTCAGTATCCGGAGTTTTCTTGCGAGGATTTTTGATACGGCTAAACAGCCGGATGTGTTCCTCCACAGTCAACTCGTCCCAGAGGACATTCTGCTGGGGAGCGAATCCAAGACCGCCGGACGTATCGACGGAGATATTACCGCTGGTGAAATCGCTAATACCAGCGATGGCGTCAAGTGTAGTGCTTTTGCCGCTGCCATTTGCACCAAGCAATGCCAAAATCTCGCCCTTCTTGGCCCTCAATGTCAAGTTATCCACGGCGACCACCTCGGGCCTTGGTGGCGAGACAAAGGAAAAGAATTTGCGAATCAGACTTGGCTTGTAAATTTTGGTCATATTGTCAATACGGACCGTATCTTGGACGCCGCCGACAGGGCTTTCGAGAGCAGTTGACGATCGAGTACCCGTGCTCACTCCGTGTAGAGTTTGCTCTACAAAAGCTGCAAGGAATGGATACACGGCCATCTGGATGATGAAAAAGATCCAATGAACAATACCAGGAAGATTAGAAGTGTGGCCTGGCGGTAGGTGTATCAGATTCGTTGCTTGTCCATATTGCTCGAATCGAGCAATGTATATAATGAAATAGACAAAATTACACGGAGTGAAGAGCAAACTGAGGACAGCGACTGTCGCAGTATTGGGATGTGGAATAACCTGGGCCACTATACCCAGAACCATCCAAGTGATAGAAGTCACTATGCTCGAGAGCTGAGCCTTTTTAAAGAAGCATGCTCCGAGAAGGGACATGGACGTCATGGCGATGCCGCCGAGAATGAAGAAGATGATCATGATACCAAAGCTAGTGTTTGTCCAGATGGTGACTCTAGCAACAATAGATGCCACGATCCAGCCTGGCATGTAAGTCAAGGCAAAGGCGTGATGATGGGAGATGAGCCTGGCGAATTGACGGTGCCACCCTTGGCTTGTGGGCATCATGGCGTCGATAAGCTGGGATAATCCCCTTTCTCTCTCGGTAGCAATGAAGCCGGGCATATGATAGCAGACGCCAATCACACCGGTTATGAAAGAAACACTCAGATAGCTGATAAAAGAGCTCTGGTATTTTCGCCGGACCTCAGCCTGGCGCTCGTCTTCGGTCAATTCGGTATAAGCGTATTGCTGCGTTGTCGAAGGAAAAGAAGATCCAGACTTGAGGCCAGCAATAGCAGCATCAACAGCACGCTGGAAAGGCAGTGCATATATCTGGGCGTCATTGTCGCCCTTATCCGTCAGGAAGCTGTTCCCAAGGCCAGCATCAGCACGCAGAGTATAGTTCCAGAAGCCGTCGCTGCCCTCGTCAGGAGAAGAATAAAAGACCACAGCGCCGAAGCAGTTTGATGTGCCGCGAATAGTGCTCCGGCAGGTATACCCTAAGTCGGATTCGTCTTGTATAGTTGTCGCATTCTTGCCCGCTCCTTTGACAATATTAGAAACAGAGCTAATAACACGTTCTATGTCACCACCCGTGTGGCCGCTGTTGACGAAGACGACTGTGTTTCGGCCGCCATCGGATTTGGAGAGAGCATTGTCGAGAGAAAAGATGTTGGCTGGAGATCCAAAGCCATATTTGTCGTTGGGCTGAGTAAACTTTTGGCCAATGCCTAGATAGACAGTAAGGACGATGGGAAGAACAAGAGCGCTGTAGATGGTGGAGACGCTGTGACGAATGAGGACGATTCTGAGCGTCTTCTCTGTCAATGCCCAGATCTGACTATAGAGAGTCATGTTGGGCAGAGAAGGGGCATGCCCTCGTCGTGGTATGGAGTTTAGGTTGGTGTCTTCCATCCACAGATGGAGTATCTGAGGATAACGAGGAAGGTATGAGAAGTAAAAGCCGTTGTATCACCGTGTGAGAGGTGATGGCAAGGCTAGACGACTGATATGGATCAACTGTATGGATGATTCAGATCCAAACGAGAAACAGGGGAAACAAAGACGGGAGGATCAGTAGCCTTAAATAAAGTTGAACCCGATGCATTCGTCTGTTGTCTTAGCCATCAAGGCACTAGCCAGGAGAGAGTCGCAACAGCCGCCATGATGATGGATTGGATTGATCCGCGTATTAGCGACAGGGATCACACGTGTGGGTTGCATTTCGTTTGGCTCGGTTGTTTTTCTGGTGAGGCTTTGTTGGAGGCAAAGCTCTAGAGAGGAATTGAAACTCGTGCCTAGCTGCGCCATGATGCGTCAGTGGCCGCCATCAATCCACTGGAGGGGATATAGGGCTCCAGCTGCCCTGAAAGCTCCGTAGGATCCCCTGCCAGAAAGGGCATTTAGTGAGGCCCCTGCTAACCGTAGCCAGCTAGCAGCGCCATATTTGGCCCAGAATGGATAAGGTGGACGCTAAGTTTCGCGGGTGGGGTTGGGGAGAATCAGCGCCACGTACTTCCCAAACGGGATCTGGAACATGTGAACCTGTGCAAAATTGCATCTTCGTAGTTGTTTGAGATGGATGGATGCTATGGAGAGACCGACGCCGTAAATGTGATAATCGCAGCGCTGTGACCGTTGCAGTACCAGATTGAATGTGGTCCATCCATAAGTATTGTATTCAACTGACATCCAGTGGTTGCACAGCCTCTCTGAAGCAATCTCCAAAGCCTGTCCACGGCTTCAACATCAAACCACCATCCCGACCGTAGCATGGCGCCACGCGGCTCCTCTGCCAGCTGCTGCTCTCTTTGCTGCGATTCCCGGGCAGTACGAGCAATACGGCACGCAAGCGAGCGATGAGGCATCGAAGCCTAAAATTCTAAGTCCTGGTAGCGCCGATCCTTCGAGACGTGGGCCGCAGGTATTCGCACTAACATTTGGCGCATGAAGCTGGGCAGCGCCAAGAGGCCTCTAGAAGCAAATACGCGCAATACGGCACCATCGCGAGACTGGGGTTGCGAGGGTCTCGGGCTTTGATTGGTCACGATGGAAAGGGGCGGGTATGCCTTGGTCACTTGGACCATCTGTTGGTCAGTGAAGTTTTGAGGCTGATCATATGTATGTACTCGTAGAGCTTCTTGATTAATGTCACTGAGTTCTAAGCCAATCGTAGTTGGACAAGGAGGGAATTAGACATTTATTACCATGATGTGGTCGTTCTACTCAAACTTCTAGACTGGTCTAGAAGGCAGCACGTTAAAGATGAAAAGCGCTCAGCTTCCCCATCTCCATGTGGATTGCATACCTACATCTAGTAATGGGTGATATCATGATGCAGATGCCCTTCGCTCTGAGAACTTACATCAGGATTGGACGCCACTTTGATCCTTCACGTAAAATATGTTCCTTTTCAGAAATGACCTGATTATTGTAGAGGTCCTTCATTCTGCCCAACCTGACAATTTCCTCTTTTACTATTTTCATCTAGATTATGATACGCTACTCCTCCGATATGTCCAAGCTTGCTATCATCGACTCTAGCTCTAGGATAACCTTCTCGTAAACAGCCTCCTGGAGTCTGGGCTTCTTCAAATCCTTTCCATGCCCAAAATCACACTCGAGAACTTTCTGCGTCAATTCCTGATATACTGGCCCCAAATAGCATGACTGTGATGCTAATCGGCGGACTCCCTCGATGTCGTTGTGGTTGATGCGCTCCCACCTCCCAATCGCCAGGAGAGCTACTCCCAAACTGTAAAGCGTGACATTGCGCACTCCGTACTTGTACTGTGCATCCTCAATAGAATGAGTCAAACTGGCTGGAGATTCGACGTCCATTAAAGAGTCTCCGGCCTCGCGCCCCCCGTGGATCAGCTCTACACCAAAGTGTAACGTTTGGAGTGACATAGTCAGGTCGTCTCCTTGTCGGAAGAAGGCAAGGTCTCTGACACTCCACAACTCGTTCAGCCATGGAGTAGAGTTGAACTTTAGCACCGCAGAAACGAGTCGATGGGCCAATCGCAGTTGGCCAACAATGGTCAGTCTGTTACTAGCGGATTGGCCAAGCGCTTCATCCATGAGCATCACGTCGTCAAGACCCATTTTACCGCAATGATGGCTGCTTGAGCAAGGGAAGAAGCAGTGGCGATATCCTTCTTGTATGCAGCTGTCGATATGCCCCAGACCCTCTAATTTGCACACAATGTCCGGAGTTGAGCATCGTCTTGACAGTTCGGGGCAGAAATGCCCCGTAAGCTGAAGGTCATCTGGTGAAACAACCGTCGACTGTGAGGTGGCAGCTGTAGAGCCGATGGACGCTGATTCGGCATCGCTATTGCTGAGATCAGAGCCGTCGCCGAGGCTGGAAAATCTGACCTTTTGGCGTTTTCGCCGGTCATTCTGTGAGTTGTCCGCTTCTGAAGCTGGAGTCATTAAACCTGCACTGGACCAAGTGATGGAGTCTATCGTCCTCGACCGGACCTCTAGTCTCGTCAAGGACGTCTGGAAAAAGGCCCTCTGATGTAGTTGAGCTCCATAGCAGAGGATGGCAATCTCCATCTGCACGTCAGTCTCTGCTTTAGCGTCTAAGAAGAGCTTAACGAAGTGTCTCAGGTGCGGTGTCTGTGTGCTCGACCAAGTCGTTGTCAATGCTTCATGGAGAGCCTTTGAAGCCCTTCGTATAGCGCCATATGCCCCAAATTCCAACGGCAGCCTCCCTGCTCTCGCACCCGGCTTCTTAGCCGTATAAGACTGACGTGGTTGAAGTTCGCCGACTTGTTTTCGCAGACGTCTCAGACTACTGTTTGACTTTTCGAGAACATTGATTTGATCTTCGAAATTTTTCTTCTCGAATGTAATCGTGACTCGTTTTCTCAGCTTTCGAATGGAATCTTTCAGCGGTTTGCGCTTAAGTTGCTCATCCTTGAGAGTACATTGCTTGAGTTAACTGTTCCGTTTGCTATTCGCTGACCCGACAAAATCGTGATCGCATTCTTACCCGTTTTTGCTCCTCTTCCAATGGTGCGAAGCATTGAAATGCTTTCTGAAGCGCCGATATACTCTCTTTGATATCGTTGATAATATCCACCAGCGGCATCATATTTCTCCCCAGTCGCGCTTCCACTTTGCGCCCGTGTCCATGGGCCCGCCACTCATCATGTTCTGGATCCTTCATCATATCTTTGACGACGGTGTGTTGGTCATCCAAGACCAGACGTAGGACCAGCTCAACTTCATTGAGAAAGTAGTCTCGCTGTGCCCCAAATAATTTCCGTATTCTCTCGACTTCTGCCGAATAATGGCAAAAGACCTTGAATTTTGCGCGAACAGATTTGTAGACGTTGACGGAGTTCCCAATCATGGGCAGGATTCCATACGACAAGGACACTGGATCCATTCCTGGTTGAGTGAGTGACGATGGCTTCGTTTTTCGTAGCTACGACTGAGGAGTTCAGGCAAAGAATTTGGTCTGTTATTTGACCGCCCTCATCAGGTAGCAGGTAGGAGCTGAAGCGATAAATGTCACGGATTCCGGGGGCAATTGAGGCGGAGCCTCCACCGGCGCAAACAATCATGTGCATGTGCATTAAACAGCCTTGCAATCCTCCAAATCCGCCCGCCTGCAACCAATCCTTGTCGGGCTACCCAGCAACCTGCACAATTTATTGGCTGATATAGGCGATGGGCGCCTCCGCACTTTCAATCATGGCTATGTCGGCATGCGTGCGGCTGATATGGTCTGTTTAGATCTTGTTGTCTGTCACCCATTTTCTCTATGCGATGATAGATTTGACCTGCTGCAATCACATACGTGCAAAGCAGCAAATGAACTCCAGGCTGTCCACAAAATCAACGCTGTACTTTTCCATTGCGCAATCGAACCTGAGCTTCACGCCGTAAAGTCTTGGGCGGAACCGTGCCATAATGGCACAGCTTCTCCGATCTCGAGATGCATACGACCCCATCAGAAATATTCAGGAATGGCAGTTGCAGCAACTAAATGTCCAACCCAGTGACCACATTGAAGAAGCTGCCAAACACAATGAAATCGCTGGACTCTCGTCAAGTTTATTGGCTCTCTTCAAAGAAGTCGTTCTCACATTATCGGAGCAGGCAAACATCCCCAAAGATGCTCGGATCAGCATCGAACGCAGCTACAGTGCTCTGATTCTATGGTCAGATGGTTTTGGCATCGCGCAGGGCCGTCTAAATGACACTTTTAACAAGTCACACAAACTCCGCTATACAGTCTTCAAGAATTTATTGCATATTGGACGTGTTCTTGTCGAACGTGCGTATTTGTCTTTAGCTACACTCTGTTCGATGATCAGCTGACTGACGTGACGATTGCCGTCATCTACAGGCTTAGTACCTGCGGTGAATACCTCGTCGGAGAAGTTAAAAATGCTGTGTTCCAGCGTTGAGTCAAATATTGAAGCGACAGGTGGCCTCATAGCCGAAGAATCCAGCAGAGAGAGCGATGATTCCTCCAGTGATGCGGCCTCTACTTTCTCGGATGATGATATTTATGAGATTGCGGAGGACCTCAAGACCGATACTTTTGTTCTATCCGGCCTAGATCCATTGTTGAAATCTCCGATATTCGACTCTCAGCCCAGAAATACCATAGACGGCCCTGCTGTTCCGACCTGGAGTCCCGAGAAGCACTATTTGGAGAGAATCGGCCACAGGTTCCCTTCCGCAGACGTTCTTCTTACCTCACACCTCGCTAGGGTTAATTACGAACGCTATCTGCGGTGCCAAGCAACCAGAGAGGCTCGGGAAGAAGAAGAAACTCTGCCTATAATGAACCAAGAAGAGGGAGATCGATCCGGGACAATAATCGCCGGCACTAAATTCAATGATTCCGGTGTCGGCACCTCCATTGCACTGACTATGTCCTATGCAGAGACTACGATGACTTACAGTCATTATGGCAATGATGGCAAGTCCGTACGCATACCGCCACTCTCGAAAGAAGCCAAAACAGGCGCGCCGTTTACTTGCATTGCCTGTGGTCACACAGTCGTCATTACGAACAACTCCGCATGGAAGTAAGGAAGAGCCCAAATGCAAGAAACATGAGTGTCTGATAAACTAATAGGAGATTAGACGGCACATATATCTTGATCTTCAGCCCTATCTATGCTTAGATATATCATGTCCCTATAGCAGCAGCACCTTCGAAAGTCGCGAGAAATGGATTTCTCACTTAGCATTGGATCATGAGATGGAGCCCAAATGGGAATCTACTGAATGTCCCCTTTGTAGAGAAGAAATAGGCAACGGAAAGATGGTCATTACTAGGCATATTTCCAGGCATCTCGAAGAAATATCGCTATCAGCTCTGCCTGGTGATGCGGAATCAGACGCAGAGTCTGAAAGTAGTTCCGAACCCAGTGATGACAGTGCTTCTCTCCATGAGAGAACTTACGGTGGCATTGACGAGGATGGAGAAGCGCTTTCATCTGAATACGATGCAAACTTGGCCTCTGAGGATAATATCAATATAGACGCCCAAACGAAGGCAAAGAACAAACACCTGGTACGACTCGAAGTGGACAGAGCGATCGCACAAAAAGCTGCTGAAGTTACCGCCGCTGCAAAGGCCAAGTTTGAGGAACTGAGTATGATGGAGATGGATGCCATCATTGAGAAAGCGAACAGACAGGCAGAAGAGGTTTCTAAAAACAAAGAATTAGCTCATATCATGTTCAAAGATGCCGTTGGTCGAAAGTTCTCCTTTCCGTTTCACATATGCTACACCTGGCAGGTACATCTCTTATTATCCCCTTGTTCTGCTCATTATATTACCGAGCGTAATGAACTGACATTAATCAATAGGGGATGGAGGCATTGATTAAGCAGGCATTCCAACGGATTGACGTTCTTGGTCCCCACGTCCAAGAAGGCCACTATGACTTACTGGGTCCTAATGGCGCAATCATTCCTCCCTCTGTCTGGGAGGAGGTTATTGAGCCGGGTTGGGATATCGTCATGACCATGTGGCCGCTCGACAAAACACCACTGGCGGGACCGGAAATAAATGAGAGGCCTTATAATGAAGAAAAGAGTCGTGAGAACATCAACCCAGTCCAGAACAGTGGCAATTCAAAGGTATGGTTCTCAAGTTCGCCATGGTTGTGTAGACCATATTTTGTTTACCAAGTACTGAACATCTTTCAGAAAGGGCCAAACATCTTCACAACGACGAAAACATATTTCAAGGACGAACCCCATAAATTCGCTCAGTTTAATATCATTTTGGATAGGATGTTACCAACTACATGGGTCCCTGACAGACGACGACGGTCATGCATCCAATGCAGGGTGGCAAAAGTAGGTATATGATTATTATGTTATTATTCAATTCCTAATGAATCAAATAGGTCGAATGCGATGGCGAACACGCTGATTCTTGTACGAGATGCCGCCTTAAGAAGTTACCTTGTATGTTCCAATCTATTTCGATACCACGGCAACCCCCAGATGCGTAAGTTGCTTCAATGCAGTCACCAGTTTTGGCATAAGCTGCTAACATATTTGCTACCAGCGATAGCAACGAAATACGCGAGGGTATTGTCAAAATTGGCCGGCTATTCAATGGTTATCCTTCATTTATCCACGAGTTAAACATTATACTGCCGCCTGGATATCGCGTCGAGGTTATTGATGCGAGAGCAGTGCGATTGTTTATGCCTGATAGTGAACCAATCGTCGTCCGATTTGGCATATCAAAACCTTCAACCATGGGCGTCGATAGTCAAGCTGGCAGCAGTGGGCAGCGCGAGGCGCCTTCAGACGACATGATGGGTACTGACCCTCAATCTAGCGATCCTAACCTCCCCTCCACCAAGCCCGATATCCACATATCTGATCAACACGATATTAATGACTACCAGGCGGACTCTTCCTCACAACACCAGCCCAGCGATAAAACATTCCCTAACACTCACGAACAATCAGCTATGCCGGTTCCCATCCCCCAGCTGCCGCATCTCGACCGTCCTTTTCCTGCTCACGCTCCGGTACCGTCGTCGGCTTCGTCTCAGGTCACACCTCCTGGGCAACACCCGCAAACACCAGATTACCAGAGGAAACAGGCACAGCGAAATGCTGGCGCCATTACTGCGAGAGAAGTCCTTGGCCCACTAATTAGCGTGCATACGGTGCAGTTGATGCTCCCGTACGCATATCAATTGACACAACTGGTGTGGGAGGCGATCAAGACTATCATTGAGCGAGATGATCGCGCTAGAGACGACCTGAAGCTCTTGATGGATCTCGTGGATAAGAAAATCGACTCTATGCATTTAAATCGCGGTGATGGGTCAGAATTAGGGGGCAAGTCAAAAGATGACTCGTCCTCTGTTTCGTCGACCTGGAGGGAGTTCAGAACTAAGATGTTTTATGAGCTGGAGCGACAACCGCTTGCCTGCAGAACCTGCCGTCTCAGGAAGAAACGCTGCTCTGGCGAGCAGCCCGAATGCATGACATGCAAAAGATTGTGGCTTACTTGCAGTTACGAAATCACCACCCAAGAGGACGACTCGACAGTTGCTGCTCTAGCCTGGAGCGAGCCTAAGATTAAGGCTAGCAAAGACCAGGAGCGACGAACACTCGCCTGCAGAACCTGCCGTTTCAGGAAGATACGCTGCTCTGGCGAGAAGCCTGAATGTATGGCGTGTATAAGGGAGGGGGTTACTTGCACTTACCAAGTCACTACCCTCCAAGGCACCCCGCTCACAGATTACATGAATTTTGAGGCCGGTCGTGGTACGGGGCCAAATCTCTCCAATATCATAGACAGAGCACTTTGAACGCTGACAAGAACTCAATCTTAGCTTCCGATTTTTCTCTGCCAAGGGAGTCAAAGCAGGCTCCTGCCCACTCGGTCATTAAGACAAAAGGCGCATCAGAACTAAGGAACGCTGAGTTCAAGGGCTTGCTTGACGCCATGAGCATTACAAAAGGTCTTCTCAAGAAAGGCGAGCTGTCTGAAAGATTCGTGAACAAAATACAAGTATGTGGTACCCCGTTAGATGGAACAATCCGGGTTATTATACTGACTCAATTCCGCCAGAGTCGTTTCATTGACAACCCTGACATATACAACCAAGTTTTACAGACTCTTCGAGAAGTACAGGATGGTACCCGTTCAACCCAAGACGCTTATATAGCAGGCAAAGAGCTGTTTGGCTCGAATCCGGAGCTGATTGACGATTTCCGTATCCTTCTAGCCAAAGAGCTCGGATTTGATGAAAGAGTTATACAAAGAGCTCAAAGTGTGTCACAACATGACACTGAAACTTCCAAGGAAGCTCCTACGACTGAAGGAGACAAGGGTAAGGCTACGGAGGAAATGGCAACAGTGGGCAGTAAAAGCGGTACCAACGACGGAAATGAACCTCAGTACTGCCTTTGCAATAGAGGGAGCAGTGGTATCATGATCCGATGCGACAATGTCGACGTAAGTCCAAACTCATTCTCTGTCACTGTACTCCATAAATATCTTTGAAGATGTCATAATTGAGAATCTAGCTAATACAGTATCAGAGTTGTAAACTTAAATGGTTCCATCTGGAATGCGTGGGTCTTTCTGCTGCTCCTTCATCAAAAGATAAGTGGTATTGTCCCGATTGTCGTGGCCATCTTCATACCGAGGAGGAAGAAAGTATACCACCGCGGCTGCTTCAGGTATCAGCAGGAGAATTGATGCGCATTCGCAGTCAAAAACCCAGGTTGGCCGATGTCCCAGACGATAGGCTCAGGGAGATGATTGTCAGTGTGAAAAAGAGTAAATGGAAAACGCAGCAGCAACACCGAGTCCAGGAAAACCAACAGCATGCTGGTTCTAATCACATTAACATGGCCCTGCCGGATGAGCCAGCCTGGAACCCAGCAAAGATTTTTGAGTAGGTTTCTACCAGCGAACTTGGACTTTTTTTTTTCTTTTCTTTATTCCTCTCTATTTCCTTTCCGTTCTACCTCCTCTCCTTACTTTCATCCCTCCCATGACTTGTTAGATGTATTCATTCTTTGATGAATGGACTAACATGGTAACTAGACAATGGAATACCACATTTGGTACGCCCGCCCAGTTCGAGCCCAACAACGCGCCTCATGGTCCGGTGCAGATTCAGCAGCCTCAATCCGACCTCACTCCCCCAACTCAGGCGGCGATTCCAGATGCCACAGCCCAAAATACGCAAAATATTCAGGCCAATCGAGAGGGATTAGCTCAATATGACAAGATGATTCTGGAAACTATAGATGATCTCGATCCGGTTCTTCAAGATATCGATGATAAGCTTGACGCTATTGGGGGTCGACAAAATTCAGAACCGGCTGCTAGTCAGACTAGTCTACAAGTGTTTGGTAATAAGAAGGTGCCCTCTATTGGTAGGATTGATTATCCCCCTCCTAACCCACACATTTATATCTGGCCACCACATTCGTATGATGATCCTGGTAAGGAAGAGAACGAAAAGACCGGATATTCAACTCTACCACCACCTCCTCCACCTCTACTCATGGCGGAGAATGAAGTCATTACCGACCCTGGGTTATACAACGGTGAATATACATTCCTGGCCTAGCCATTATTCCTACAACTCAATACTGATGTGACGTTAATATAGCTCTTAAACTACCATTACCTTCCAGCAAAGAACTAGAAAAATTACTCATAAAATATCCCGGCCATGAGCCATTTCTAGCCACTCCTAGTCCAAATATCTATACTAAGCAAGTGCCACCTATCGCTGGTGCTTCGGACGGTGGCAGCTCGGCTGAGGCTAACAGCTTCGATAAACCCTCTCATGAACGAAACTCACCCAAGGTTCCCTCATCGCCATTTGCACCTCCCGTTTCCAGTCAGCTTCACGAGACTTTTACACCCTCTGAAGAGGTGCGGCCATCAACGTCTCGGTCATCCAAAAGAGACTTGGCCGCTGGCCCCTCAGAGCCGACTGATGAGCTTCATGGAAACGTAGAGGCACAAAACCTTGATGGGTTTTACGATGATCCTAATCTTGAATCTGCTCCAGCATCTGACTCGGAGGATGAGATGGCTAATCTTGATCTTACGATTGACCCAGAGATTGACCCAGCGTCAAATAGACCGGGTCGGTCCCAGGGACAGGAACGAAACCATGATTTCACGCAAGAATTCAGCTCCGGCACTTCTTTTGTTGCTCAGAACCTGGCTGATGAACCTGAACCGGAGTCATCTAAGCATGGCATACACCCGCTACCTCCAACTGGATCTCCGACCACAGCTTTGCCTTTTGTTTGTGATAGAGTTGGATGCTCAAAATCTTTCGAAAACAGGCATCAGTTTGAGTAAGTTGACTTATTTTCATACCACGATGATGTTTTCATAATATTTCCTATATCTTATACTGTCAGCTACACGCAGGAGAATTTGACTAACGCTCGGTGATCATACAGACGCCATCTCGGATGGCATGACAAGAAGTTAGACTGTCCTATAACAGGCTGTGATAAACGTTACCAGTACCAAAAAGACCTTGCGAAACACATCTGGAGTCATCACCCAAGATGGGCTGAGGAAACTGGTCGAAAGCCAATACAGACAAAGTGCAGAATTTGCGGGGTCGTGTTGAATCGACCAGACAATGCCAAGCGCCATATGGATGAAGTTCACAAGAAAATAAAGAGAAAGAGAGGCCCGGGGGCCGAAGGTTCTAGTATGCACCCAGAAGCTCACGACTCTCTCGGCGGGAGCGATAGAGCAGAAAATGAGCAGCCATTACGCGCTATGACGGAAGAAGAATCCGCTACCCAAGTCAAAAACGCCTCACATCCTCCTGTAGGACCGTCAGATATCAAGAAGTCCTACGACGAAAGGGAGAACTCAGATAGGGGCACAGGACCTCGTGACCCACACGATGATCCAATTTGAGGAGAAAACCGTGAGCTCCTTCGTGACAAAGGGAAAGCGCGAGCGGCCCTGGAAGTCGAAGCGCTAGTGGCCCTGGAATCCGCTGTGAAAGCCAAAGACGTTTCATCTCCTTCTATAGGGCCATCGGCTCCGAAGTTTGGATCTGCGCCAAACCAGACTCAAGATGACATCGAAAGAAGTATAGCGGCAGAGGAAAAATTTGAACGTGCCATAGAGGCCTACTTTGACCAGCTTGATGATGAAATGACTGACAGTTGACGAGTTCCGGGAGCGAAAAGAATCGCTTGAGAGTTCGGCCCAGCAATTGCTAAATCGCGAGCCGCCATCTGATGCTAAGCCATAGGAGACAGATGCTGAGACTTGTACTTCATGAGCTGGGCGAAATTACTTAGTATAACCCAGGAGAGAGTGGAAAGTGCCGGGGCGTTGGAGTGACGTCGAGAAGGGTTTTATATCAAGAGCGTAGAATTGGATGCTGTGCTCAAGTAAAATATGAAGTTCCAAGTCATTAGAATCTTCAATTGACTTGTACTGTGACGCTTTGCAACGCTGTGGTTATTTAACGGCCAATGGGTACTGTTAGATCTATTTATTGTCTCTGAATTGGTGGTGTGACCAAACTGCCCCATCATATTTAGAGCATCTGCCTCTTCCCAATTTCATCCTCGGTTGCAGGATTTCTCTCAATAGCGTAGTGACAACTCACTGTGGGGGGCTTAGAAATACGATATCTCGTCCTGTCAATCTTAACGTGATCAATAAGCAGATCCCGATTACCGAGCACACGATGATAAACGTGGCAGCCGAGATGCTAGCTTACGCCTATCTACAACTCAATTAATAATCTTCAGTTGATTCCATCTCCATGCTGCTTTCCCCTGCAATTGTGCAAGAGTATTGGTGTTTTGGTCGAAGCCACGTCCTGAGTCATGGACCCTTATGACGTCAGCGCTCCTCAATTACTTCCGAGATGAGTCCCGCTTCATGGGGTTTTCTATCGGGATGAGCTTAAGCGAGTGGCTTCAGATATTTTATGCATGAGTATCTCGATTCTTATTCTCAGTAAAGTGATAATGAGTAAGTACAAGAGTTTGGTGTTTTGAGTTAATTGGGTCATGGGAAGTGCATCGAGCGCTGTCTAAAGTAACGGTAGCACCGAGATGAATGACGTGGTGAGCACAGATCGCTTCACATCTAGATAGCAAGAGCCGTTAGATGACCATCTCGGAAATGCACAAATCAACAAGTATTGATAAGATTTCGATAGCTTCTCAATTGCTAAGACAGAACACAATCTATCCAACTGCTGGTTCACCCCTAAAGATTCTCTCATCTTATACGCTGCGAACAAGGGTAGCATTGACTAGTTGTGGTATAGCCTCCTTCAAACTCTGATCTAGATGCAATATGCCGAACCCCCGTAGCCTGATCCAGCATGGCCTCCAACAACGGCAACTCTTTACGCTGTGGATATCGCTGGCCATTGCCCTTCCAAGCTTAGTCCTTCCGCCGTTGAGCTGCGTGCCGATGCCATTGTCTGCCAAGCTGTGTGAAAATGTGGCGACCAGTGCCATGTTAAGAAAATCGTGATGGGTTCATGCCGGATATCGGCGCTACGCCTGTGACGTGCTATTCCCACACGCGTTACTAATGGCATACGAACGGCTAAATTTTCTGCTTGATTCCATAAGAATTGGACCAAAATGACATCTTCGGACCGCTTGTGCGTAGAGAATATAAATAAGTAGATGCCTTCTGATCTCTATGTAAATCTCCTAAGTAAGCCTCGAGTATCTTTGGCAGCTTTGTAAAGACGATTGAAGCTGAAGTCTTCACCATGGAAGCATATCGCCAGTATCATTCCCTGGGCAAACGCCTAGAGGCCCAGCTACATCGAACTCGAGGAGCAAACAACACCACACCAACACCAAATGTAGACCCAGCCGATATCGATTTAGAGGCAACATCTTCTGGCTCGACCGATATAGAGGACAATGCATCACAACTCGAGCCAATTGAGAGGCCTCTCAGTAAAATTGGCACAAATCTTGCCGCAGCGCTTACTGGCATCACACATAAAGAGCATCCTTCAGCGAGAGACACAAAAGTTTTCGTTGTTGGTTTTGAAGGACCTAATGATCCATTGAATCCACGGAACTGGTCTCTTACTAAACGAATTTTTTGTACGCTCAATGTCGGTATTATTGCCCTTGTTGTGGGTATGGCGGCATCCATCGACTCAGCAGTTATATCTCGGGCAGCAAGGGAATTCGGTGTCAGCGATGTTGCTGAGGCTCTTGCAACTGGATTGGTAAGTTGCCATTGATAGGCTTTTAAATTTAACTACACAGAACTGCTAACACTGGTTTTAATACAGTTCCTCGCCGGTTTTGGCTTTGGCGCTCTCATCGCCGGTCCCTTGTCGGAAACGGTCGGCCGAAACCCCGTCTACTTCGGCTCCTTGGCAATATACATGCTCTTCATCATGGGAGCCGGGCTTTCGAAAAATTTGGGAGGACAGCTAGTGTGCCGCTTCTTTGCCGGTTTCTTTGGAGAGTCACCGCTGTCGACTGTTGGAGGATCCATTAGCGACTTGTGGGATCCTATGAACCGCTTGATTGCGTTTCCGATATTTGCAAGTAAGTTAAATATGCCTCTTAATACAAATTGAAACAGATTGATCTAACAATGAAATAGCTGCTGGGTTAATGGGACCCATCATAGGACCTATCATTGGAGGCTGGATCTCCCAATCGCACGATGTATCATGGCGTTGGACCGAATGGATCACGATCATCGTATCCGGAGCTCTCCTCATTTCACTGCTACTCTTCCAACCCGAAACCTATGAACCGATACTTCTACAGTGGAAAGCGAGCCATCTCCGTCGATTGACAAAGGACAAACGCTATCTGTCTGCGGCAGAAATACAGCATGTGACATTTCGTGCTCGGATGTTGACGGCGGTGAAGCGGCCGTTTATCATGACTATTCAGGAACCGACTATTATGCTGTGGACCGGTTACCTAACTGTTGTATACCTCATGCTGTTCGGATTCCTAGATGGCTACACCTTCGTCTTCCAGAGGACGTATAACCTCTCGGACGGCATAACCGGTACCCTATTTATAGGCATTGGTGTTGGACTCGTTTTGGCTTCAGCATCACTCACGCCTCTGCTATTCAGATGGGCCAAGAAAGAATTCGCAAAGTTACAAGCCGAGAAGCCCGGAGAGAATGCTCGTATTCCGCCCGAATTCTTCCTTTGGTATGCCCTTATCGGCGCACCAGCCATCCCCATCTCCTTCTTCTGGATGGGCTGGACAGCATATCCCCATGTAAGCATCTGGTCGCCCATCCTGGCTTCCGTGCTTTTCGGCTTCGGCATCTTCTCCGTCTTTGTGTCGACGTACATGTATCTGATTGATACGTATGAAATGTACGCTGCGAGCGCACTGACGATGATTACACTGGTGCGGTATGTTGCTTCGGGAGGAATGATTGAGATATCGATTCCGATGTATGAGAATTTGGGCATCCACTGGGCCTTGACAATGCTGGGCCTAATCGCACTCGTGTTTACAACAGTTCCCTACGCGTTTTATAGATTTGGCCCCTGGATTCGGTCGAAGAGTCGATTTGCAAAGACACAATAGGCAAAAAGAAACATTAGAAAGGAGAGCGATTAGAGAAAAAGTTTGGTCCTGAGGATAATATTGACACCTCGATGTTTATATGAATAATTTTAGACGATTCCCCCTCATAGAAAAAATAGATTGATAATATTGAAGACGATATTTACAATAGCTCTTTCGTGCGAATCTGTGCTAGACATTCTCGTATGACAACCAGCTCATAGATGTAACAAAATGATTGTGCTTCGCAATGGCAACCGCGTTCAGATAACCGATTGACTGCCAAGGGGTCGAGTCTTTTCAGGTCGAATTGTGCCCACCTCTAGTCCTCGTAAACCTCCTCGTACTCCTCTTCATACTCTTCCCTGGCCTCTGCCAACTCCTCGTAGTCGCTGCTGCTAGCACTTGAAGAACCCTCAACCTCAGCAAGGGCCTCCTCGTACTCCAAACGGGCTTCTTGAACCGACTCCCGATCGCTCTCAGACACATAGTTGCCTTCTGCATCTCTTGCAGGGAGAATGTCAGGCACGCCACTCTCTCGGTATGGGTCGTTGTAATCATTGTAATCGTTGTAATTAGTGGTGTTGTACTCGTTGACGATGATGGTCTGTGACGGTGCCTGTTCATACTCTTGGCGTCTCTCTTCTTCATACTCGTGGCGTCTCTCTTCTTCATCGCTGCTGTCGTCTTCCAAGGCGTGATGCAAGAGGGCACCGCCCACAAGACCGGCAGCAACACCTCCGGCGGCACCAAGAAGCAAGCCACTCTTTCCAGATGACTTCTTCTTCTTTTCTTCACTGTAGCCCTCTCCGCGGCCCTCACCACCATAGCTACCCTGGCTGCTATGGCCATATCCTCCTGCAGCAGCGCCGTAGCCGGCAGGAGGGATGGGTGGTGCACCATATGAGGCTGAAGGAGGGGGTCCTGTAGGAGGAGCCCCATAGCCTCCTGGAGTCTGTCCGTACGGCGCTGCTGGGGGATGCGGCGACTGGCCGCTGCCTCGTGAATCCTCGCTCGGGTAAGACTCCATGGGAGGTCGCGGAGGGGCAATATAGCCGGGGGCCTCCCACTGGGTCACTCCGGTCTCCTTGTTGGCATAGTACCAGCGCTGGCGGCTCTGGTCAAAGAGGGGAATCCATCCTTGAGGGAGAGCCGGCTTGTCAGAGGGAGGCTGATAAGTTGGCTGAGGGGGAACAGCATTGTATTGCGCGGGAGGGGCTCCATCTTGGTTGGCTGAGTGGTAGCCATACTCGCCATGCTGTCCTGAGCCTTGATCTGCACTCAGCTACAAGTTCCACGCGGCTGAGGAATTTTGGGGGGGATACAACTACACAACTTACCGGGGGGAGGGGGGGACTGGTAGGGCTGAGAGCCTCCAAGTCCGAGCTGGCCAAATTGGCCCGAGAGGTTGTCAACGTATGACATGATGGGAGTGAAATGGCGCAGATGCAACGGCCAACGCTGCGTTTGTTAGAGGAATGCAGTCAAGTTGAGCTGACGAGGAAGGCGTCACAATATGCTGGACATATATATGTGTGTTTGTGAGTGTTTATTGCTGGAGGGAGCCGGCAAACAGACGTCACAGGACGGTGCAGAAAGCGATGCAAGTTGAAGGTTGAGGGTATCCAAGGCTTGGCTGCATTTGATTGTGCATAGATGGGGCCCTGCAGCCCACGAGGCGCAGGCAAAGCGGGTGATTTCAGGGGGGAGGGGGATGAATCAGCGCATGTACTGGATGCTTGTACTGGAAGCTTGTACCATCAAAGAGAAGAGCAATGGCGGCAATACATTGTGTCTGGTCCCGTGGCTTAAAGCTCTTTGTTTGGCGTCCATGGCTTATGATCAATACTAGGTATATGTTCCTTTGTTCCAATCAAGTCTCACGGGCCGTGCCGAACGCGCCATTTTCTGGCTGCTTCTAGGCTTGACCCCCGTTGCTTTGAACTTTGACCAGGGCGCTTGAAGCAGCGAGTTGAGCACTAGAGACGTCAAAATGCTTGGCTGCCATCATGTACCCAGTAAAATACAGCCGGCGCAGCGCAGTTACAGGTGGGCTGGGGGGAGAGAAGACGGAGATTTCGCAGCCCTGGAGATGAGACTCGGAGTTGAGTGCAGTTTGAGTCTGCCAATGGCGGGGCAATGGAGGGGTTGAGGGGCATTTTCTGCAGGGCCTGAAATGGGTTTTGTCGCGGACACTGTATAGCGAGGTTGCAGTGAAGGTTCATGCATCTGTAGCGGTTATAGTGGTGAAACATGGATCCAGGTCATCATCATTCTGGAGCGATACCAGATGACAACTGATGTTGGAGGCCCCCTTTTGCACCATATACAGAGTACAAATTCGATATCAACATGCATGGATATGATATAGCAACTGCCAAGATCACATCTGTCGACACTTGCATGTGCGCAGGTCCCGTCACATCGCTGCACTGCCACAGTTCAGTGCGAGTGTGGAGAGGCAGCCGCTAATCTCCAGCGCCAAACGGGCAGCTCCCCGCCCAAAGACGATGCAGCTCCAGCAGCTCTAGCGCCCTGTGGCCCGCCAAGCCGGACTCCGAATGGCGCAGCTGGCGGAACAGGCTGACCGCAGGGCTCTTGGACTGGGACTGCGCTTAGGCTTAGGTTCCATGCTGCGTGATTACATACTCGCGCTGAAGCTGGCTGAGGGAGTGCTGTCATTCGCTTTCCATTAGTAAATCAGCTACTCTCCCTCTTCCAACCACCAGACGGACAGACATACATACAGACAGACAGACATCGCCACCAGGTGCTGCTACGAGGGCAGCGCTGTCGCATCTCGTCCTCGCTTCTCCTGTCCTGCTCTCTTCCATCACTTCGCTCTCAACCCACCACAGCCATGTCCGGATACCCTGGCCAAGGCTACCACGGCGCCGGCCAGCACGGCGGAGGTGGAGGCTATGGATATAACAACTATCCTCCTCCCAACGGCCCTCCTCCACCCCAAGGATACGGCGGAGGAGGCTACGGTGGTGGCGGCGGTTATGGCGCGCCCGGAGGATACAACTCTCCTCCCCCGCCCCAGCCAGGCTACGGCGCTCCTCAAGGCGGCTACGGATCTCCTCCTCCTCCCCATGGAGGCTACGGTGGCCATCCTCAGCAGCCTACATACAGCTCTCCTCCTCCCAGTGGCTACGGCGCTCCTCCTCCCCAGGGCGGCTACGGCTCTCATCAGCCTCCGCCTCAACACGGAGGATATGGACCACCTCAAGGCGGATACGGCGGCCACCAGAACCAATATCCTCCTCCCGGGGGCCCTCCTCCGAGCCACTACGCTCCTCCTGCGCACCACCCTCCTCCGGGCCTAGATGCCTACGGCTACCCCCTCAACCCTCCGACTGCCATGCACGCGAAAGCTGGCCCGCCGCCTCCCTCGGCCCCTCAGCAGTTTGGTCACGGTGCTCCGAGCGGCTACACTTTCCAGTACTCCAACTGCACAGGAAAGCGAAAGGCATTGTTGATTGGAATCAACTATTTCGGCACAAAGGCCGAGCTCAAGGGATGCATCAACGATGTCCACAACGTGTCGGCGTTCTTGGTCGAGCGATATGGCTATAAGCGTGAGGATATGGTCATTCTGACAGACGACCAAACCAACCCTGTCATGCGGCCCACCAAGGCCAACATCATTCGTGCCATGGGCTGGCTGGTCAATGGCGCACAGCCCAATGATGCCCTGTTCCTTCACTATTCCGGTAAGCAACACACATGTTTCAAAGGAGGAATATCAGTCAGCATACTGACCATGTTTTGTTTCTAGGTCACGGCGGTCAAACCGAAGACAAGGATGGCGATGAGGACGACGGCTACGACGAAGTTATATACCCCGTTGATTTTGAGCAGGCTGGACATATCGTAGATGATGAGATCCACTTCCGTGTTGTCCAGCCCCTGCAGCAGGGAGTGCGCCTCACTGCCATTTTCGATTCATGTCACTCGGCAACCGTCATGGACTTGCCCTATGTCTACTCCACCAAGGGTGTTCTCAAGGAGCCCAACTTGGCCAAGGAAGCTGGTCAGGGTCTCTTGGGCGTAATCTCCTCCTATGCTCAGGGCAACATGGCCGGTGTTGCTAGCAGCATCATGGGCTTCGCCAAGCAGGCATTCAACGGCGACGAGGCCTACAAGAAGACTGTGGCTACGCGCACATCATCAGCAGACGTCATTATGTGGTCTGGCAGCAAAGATGACCAAACCTCGTATGTACTTTTCTTTGTTTTGTTGTGATTTTCAGATGCTAACACAAACCCACAGTGCCGATGCCACCATTGGAACTCAGGCCACCGGTGCCATGTCGTGGGCTTTCATTTCCGCCCTCAAGAAGAATCCCAAGCAGAGCTATGTCGAGCTGCTCAACAGTATTCGAGAAGTCCTCGAGACCAAGTATACTCAGAAGCCACAGCTGTCTTGCAGTCACCCTCTAGGTATGTTCTTAATGCGAGTTTGATTGTGACGACAGTGTTCTAATACGATGATACAGACACCAATCTTCTATTTGTCATGTAAATTTAACAAAAAGAATGATATCCATTTAATACAGAGATGTATGCATAACGAGTGAAATCTCATCCCAGATGCGTGCGTGAAAAGGACTCAGGCATTAAGCTTGCTTCTTCTTGGATATCCAGCTTTTGACCACGTCATTACCCCTGGGCCAAAACTCGATGTTCATTGTTTTTCCATCTCGATCCACAAGAAGGCGAAACTGGTCTTCATAGTGAGTCCCGCAATATTCTGTCCTCGAGTGCCATAGAATCTTGTCTCCCTTCATCAGCCCACCTTTCGCCGCCTCGGATTGCTCAACAACTCCGCTTACGATCCCAGAGGTGAGGCTTGATAGGTTAAACCCCATATCCAGCACTCGTTGTTCGTCAGGGTGAATCCCATCAAAGGCCGTCTTCATGTCTTCCAAATCCATGATTTCGCCGCTACGCATTCGGTAAAAGTGCTCCTCTGCAGCCCCCCCTCCAATCCAATCTCCCAGATACTTTAGCCAGTCTTTAGTCTGCACTTTCTCGCCGCGACGTCGACGGCTGCTGATATCAGCTACAATTTCGTCGATTGGCCTGAGGACACCTGCGTTGCGGGATACCGAGGCGCGACGAGTGAAGCAGTCCATGCGAATCATGTAGATACAGCTGCGCATTGCAAGGGCTGCTTGTCCGTACCATGAGTCAAGTGGAATCTTGTCCATTGGGTAGGTTACAAAGGGATTCGTAAAGTATGACGAGAGGTAGCCGTTGAGAGTGGCGCGGAAGTAATCTGGAGAACGTTGGCCGAAGCGGTACGGGAGATAGATTGTGTAGATGTGAGATATTCCTATAGTTTGTTGTAAGTAGATGCTGTTAGAAAGGAAAGAACGTGAGAATAACCTTGAGTAAACCAATCGTTTGGTGTGCCGTCGTCTTCGAGATCGAGTTGGGCCCATGTAGCTATCATTGAAGAATTGAAGAGCCGTACTAGGTCCCAATCCTCCTCTTCTTTGGTGTGGTCATCATAGTCGACGAGTATCCCGCTTGTTACCTGAGTTGCGCAAAGGCCTCTGCGAACTTTACGCATGAAAACTTGGCGAGCTCCGCCCTCATCTTTGAAGAAATCGCAAAGACGAGGAACCATGTTTCCCATGAATTCTCTCATAGCGCAGAGATTATCTGGCGGTGTGCCCAGCCAGTGAATTCCACGAAACTTGTTTCTGGCATGATCAACGTCGTTATGAGCAGTTGGTGGGAAACTCGTGATCTTGCCGACCATGAAGACACATTCTGATAATTCTTTGAGTGATATTACTCTTTTCGAAATGGATCCTTCTCCAAAGCTGCTAAGTGTTCTGATATCCTTGGGGAATTTTGAGATGCCCCAGTCGATCGTCACATCGACTGTGGTGGGTTCTTTGACGATTGGAATAGGTATGAAAGATAATGCTATGCCAACCAACCCATCCTCATCTCTCCTTAGAGCTTCAGAGCCCGAAACAAGGGTATCCTCTTCGATTGGTATAACGTCATATTGTATGATGAGATCCCCTTGTATGGGTCGATCTACTTTCCACACCAAAGAACGATTTTGGTTGGAGGAATGTTCAATAACGATGGTGAGTGGCCCAATGTCATCATTTGCTTGGATGTTATCAAATTTAGTTGCAATATCTCCAACAATGTCTTGAAAGTAATGAGTTTCGTCCAATGGGCTGCCTCCCTGGAGGCCTCTGTAGAGGCCTCCGACGATCAACTTGACGGATATGTAGGCGATTTCCGCACGGCCATTATCGTGAATTGGCATGAAGTTCATGCTAAACTGAATGTTGTTGCTATCAGACATAATGGCTTATATTTGTAAACAGTTTGAACCAATTATACTGATAATTGGACAATGAGGAGTGTGTAAGTGGCAAGGACTGAAAGTTGAAACTAGTCCGTATGTGTGATTCGCTGTGATTTAATATGCGTGCATTAGTGTGCGGAGGTCTTTTGGAGGAGTGTTTATTCATCACACCAAGTTACAAAGTCATCTCATATCTCAAATTGCATGTATGGGTTGAACTGGTTTTATGGGGGTTGTCTATTAAAATACCTTGGCTGCCCACTTACCTACTTACTGCTGGATTCTACAAAGTAGAGAAAGGTAGAGATAATATCAGCTATAAAAAGAAGTAGAGATACCATCTAATAATAGAGGAATGACGCAATAGCAGAAGAATGAGGTTATAAAACTAGATACTAGAAAGGCAGAAAGGTAGTAGAGCATAATTAAAGAACATGGTTGAAGTTTGGGTCATGACGTGATACTTATTAAGACTAATGACAAGGGTATAAGATCATACCTGGCTCTGTTCCGATCTCTGCAACGCACATACACGCCCATCGCCTCTTCCGACAACTTAACAAAATTTTTACTTATCAGCGAACAAAGGAATGGTAAATTGAAACAGCGTCATCTCAACCGGACGAGGCAACATGCGCGTGGGATAATCGTAGTTAAATGGTATCTCGATTTCCTCTGGCAGTTGATCCACCGTGCCTATCCACAGGGGAGTGTGAGCAGAGCACGGGTTTGATATTACGACTTTGGCAGAACGCAGCACTAATATACTCATGCTTTAAATCTCGAATCATAATGTTAGCGAAATCCAAGTCTTGCAATTTGGGTTGCAAGAGGCCTTATATCATACAAACTAGTTTTATGTGCGTGTTGACACAGAAACTCCCTAATGACGAACTGGACAATTACAAAATAAACAACGATGGCCGATAAAGTTTATAGAACAAGGGCAACGACTCCAAAAAACGCCTCATAAATAGGTACAGTAATACCAGTCGCAGAAGAAGTATATCAAGCCCAAACCAAGATACCCAAAGAGTGGTGGCTGTCTAACCTTCAAGTAGAAATAAACGCCTAATGAGATGTATTTCTACTTCATTACGGTTACATGACTCATAAACCACAACGAGGGTTGTTATAGTTCCAATCGAAGGCATTTAGAATGCCATAAAAGTGAATAACACCCCCCAATACCACAAAGGAGTGAAAAATCTGATGAGACGCGCCAAAAATGTCGAATTTCTCGGGTATTCGAGACTCTGGGAAATGCGTCTAGCATCAATTAGTCACAGACAACATGGGTGTTTTTCGCAAGGAGGAACTTACAACGTAAAACATAACACCTGTCAGAATTGAGAGACCCTCGAGGTAATAGTAGCGAAGGCCAGCTTGTTTGTCTAGTTGATCATATGGAAAGATGGTGGCGGCATGGATAATGGGTGCAAAAGCAGAGAACCCCGTGGCAACAAAGGTAGAGAGTCGGAGCATGCGCCATTTAGCACTCTGAAGCCCGGGACTTACAACAACAATGCCAGTTAAAAGCCCCAGCGTTCCAATCTAAATGACAAATTTTCAGTAGGCGAACGTATCAAGCATGTGAAAGTGTATTTGTAGCTTACCATTGTCCAATACAATTTCTGCAGGTTGGGCTCACAATAAAAGCCTATATAAATGCCCGAAATAAACGACCCCAGGATCTGGAAAACGATGGCAACGTAATCCATCCGGGCCCAAAGACTCGCCCATGTCTCAGAATGGCAAAGCAACGTGTGATACATTGACGAGATTCCGTAACAAATAATAGACGTCGACAAGTATATATGAAACACCAGCTGGTCTCTCCAAGATGCATCGGGATAGTGAGAGCTAAAGTACACATAAAAACTATAATTGCCTACAACGGCAATGCCAGCAGGCACAAGGTGAGTGTAGATATTAAGCGTCTCATTATGCACATGCCCAAGGCTCTCGAAGCAGAGCTTGGCGGAGTTGGTAACAGGGCGATAGCCGGTGCGAATGTACGAGTTGTGAGCATACCAAGACGGCACTTCGCCGGCAGTCAGCAGTCGCCTCGTCGTCTTGGATCCACGAAGATTCTCGTTTCGGCTATCGCTTGTGCCATCTAAAGCCTCATTTCCGCCTGCTGGCGACAGGCGTCTATACAGTGCCATATAGAACTCGAGTTGTCAGCCCTAGATACCTGATGAAGTGATGTCCGACGGAAGAAGCAGCGTCGCCAAGTTAGTGCTGGTGCCGGATATGTTTTAATAAGGCGCAGAAGCAGCGCCGGGAAAAAAAAAAAGAGGAACCGCTTATAGTAGACAGGGTTGATGATGATAGGATATGCTAACGGCAATGAAAATCGGGAAAGCAGAAAAATGGCGAAAGGTGGCCAGGACAAGCATGAAAATGAATAGCCTCATGCAAGTTATAAATAGGCTTGTGACCACGCTTCCCTGCACGAGTTGCCCAATGACTCAAGCTTGTCTAAACACTATCGTGGCCATCCCTCACGTGTTGGAGCTCCATCTTTAGTCTATGTAGAGCCGCAAATAGTTGACCTATCCAATAGGATAGAAGAGCGCAATTGGCCCAGCAAGTCTCATGTCATAGTCTCTGCGACATTTACAGGCATTTGGGAATAGTAGACGACAAGGGGCAAGATGTAAAGAATATGACAGGACAAAGGGTGGTCAGATATTAGGTCGATTGGACGAGCTTATCATTGGTCAAGCAACCCACCCATGGTCACATCTCGGTGCAAACAATTAGACCTTATGACCTTGTTTTCAACGTTGTCTATTCTTCGCATAACACAGCCCTAGGAGATCAACCTTGAAAAAGATATTATTAGACGAGGCTCCTCGACGCCAAGAGCAGAACCAAGCTATCATGCATGTATGTGGTCCGACTTACACGTAACGCTCCTCGCTTAGCTGGACATTTCCAGTCTGAAAGATGTCACTCCTACACTACTTTGCACAATTCCCCATCACAGAGGATCGGGGCTCTCGGGGTTGTGTCAACAGTCTATCCGCTAACCCTGGGGATTCACTCACTACGACTCGATGATGGTAAAAGAAGCCCCCTGGGATAAATGATGTGCGCGTTCCTTTGTAAGTCGCCTTTGAGGGCGTCTCCTCACAGCTTCCTTCTCCGTGGTATTGCGATCTTAAACCCGATACTGCTTCTGTGACCATGAGCAACAGCACAGATGCCTCGGAAACGCGAGTCAACGGCTGGAGGGTGTCCCCCGATGGCCGTGGAACCATGGACATACTTTGGACATGCATCGTCACCACATTTCTCTGCACATTCACCATTCTTTGCCTCAACTTGCCCTCGAGAAACGACAGCTCGGTGCGCATCCAAGGCCGCAAAATCCTGTGGATGGCCATTGCAATCGCCGGACCCGAGTTCCTGCTCACCGCAGCTGCAGGCCAGCTCGCCGCTGCTCGAGACTCCGTCAAGGCTTTTCACGCCCTCGGACACACCTCGTGGACGTACCGGCACGGCTTTTTTGCAAACATGGGCGGATTCGAGCTGCAGCCCCTGAACGGCACCCCGTTCCCTGTCAACTCGAAGCACATACTGTGGCTCATGTCGCGCGGCCACATCCGGTATCCGGAAATTTCCAATGAAGAGCTCCTAGATAAGTCCAAGAAGGATACAGTTTCCAAGCTCATCACCTGCTTCCAGGTCGGCTACCTCATCGTGCAATGTATTGCGCGCGGAGTCCAGAATCTCCCCGTTACGACAATCGAACTGTCGACCATGGCCATCGTCGTCTGCTCCATCATGACGAGCATCTGCTGGATCTCCAAGCCTCAAGACGTACGATATCCCGTGCGAATCAAGATGCCCGTGACCATGGACCAGGTCCTCCGCGAAGCTGGCCCTGTAGCTGCACGGCCATATCGCCAGACCCCCCTCGACTTTGTAGACGACCTGACCCCGAGTTGGGCTCTTAATATTCAGCCCTTCATTAAGCTGCCTGTTGGACCATATGAGCGCCCCCTACCCCGGATTGGCGACAGCAGATTACCATGGCTGGAAACACTCGAGAGTCTCTACTTATGTATCGCCACCATGATATATGCGTCGATCCATCTCACTGGCTGGAATTTCAAGTTCCCATCACAGGTCGAGCAAATTCTGTGGAGAGTATCAAGCCTAATCTTGGTAGGCACAACAGCCCTCTTCTGGGTCCTAGAAACAGGCGCAATTTGGCAGCGCTACGGAAGCGGACACAAGCTTTGGAAAAAGATGTTTGGGAGCGAGGACAAGTCGGGTGTCCTAGTAACAGTTACGGAAGATGCAGCTGAATTAGAGGCTGGGCAAGTTGAACCGCGCGCTGTCGAGCCGTCCATGCTGGAGTCGCAACAGCCCGTCGTGGAAAAGGAGGAGGAGCCCTGGGCACCGAAACAGCTTCCGCTGGTGTGGGAATTTTGGACCATCTTCCCTGTGGCCTTCATCTATGCCATGGCAAGGCTATATATCCTCGTCGAGCCCATCGTTGGCCTGAGATCGATGCAGGCGGGAGCGTTCCAAACGGTTGACTGGATGGCATTTTTGCCACACGTGGGGTAGAATGCGTGTACATGTATAAAGTATAATATAAATCAATATCAAGAGCTGGATGGCGTCTCATCTCGTCGACACGATCGAATCCAGCATTGGAGACTGCCCTCTTGCAGAGCCTAGTCGTGCTTTGCTCTCATCCACTTCACCCATGATATTGAGAGTTTCGTTGCGTATTCTAGGATAATTAGCATCCATCAGCAAAGAAACAACCCCCGCATTTACCGCCAAGGCACATATTCTTGCCCAGGAGACATTCAAAGCTCTTCGTATCCTCTCACCGACGGTAAAATCTCCCTTCAGAGCCTAGTCCAAGCCGCTGACCGGCACCGGAACGGGTCCACACTAACGTCAACTCAACCCTCTCTCGATACTGGCACTCACCTCAACATCCCTTTATAAATCCATCTCCATCCCGGCATTCTCGTATTTCACGTCATCTCCAATATCCACAATGACAAATACTCGCTCTCCTGTACCTGTAAGCTTCCTCGATGGCGGCCTCGGCACATCCCTGGAGCAAAACTACAGCATCGCTTTTGGCCCCGACACCCCCCTCTGGTCCTCCCATCTCCTCATCTCGGACCCGTCAACCCTGCTGCGCTGCCAAAAGGACTTTGGAGACGTCCCCGTCGACATGATCCTCACAGCAACTTACCAGGTCTCGCTGCACGGCTTCGCAGGCACCAAAACCGCCGAGTTTTCAGATGGCATCGCGCCGGAGCAGGTGCCTCGCTTCCTCGAGACAGCTGTGCACATCGCAGAACAGGCGAAACAGCCCAGCAGCGCCGTTGCACTAAGCATTGGCCCTTATGGTGCTTGCATGATCCCGAGCCAGGAGTATAGTGGCAAATACGATGCTGCCTACGATTCGGGAGACGCTCTGTTCGCCTGGCATCGTGAGAGGATGGAGGTCTTCGCCAGTATCAAGGATGTCAGACAGCGAGTCCGGTACATCGCCCTCGAGACCGTCCCTCGCCTCGACGAGGTCATCGCCATGCGCCGCGCCATGAGTGCCGTTCCAGGCCTCTCATCGGGTGTTCCGTTTTGGATCTCGTGTCTGTTCCCTAATGAAGACGAAAAAATCCCGGATGGAAGCTCTCCTGAGGCTGTCATCCGGGCAATGCTTGACCCATCCATCGCACCGGCCGTTCCGTGGGGCGTGGGCATCAACTGCACGAAAGTGTGGAAGCTCGAGTCCTTGCTGCGTCGGTATGAAGCTGGGGTTAGTCAATTGCTGCAGGAGGGCCTTGTTGAAAAGTGGCCTGCATTGGTGCTATACCCAGATGGAACAAATGGCGAAGTGTATAATACAACAACCAAGACGTGGGAACTACCTCAAGGGACTGAACAGAAAGACAGGATCCCGTGGGAGACGCAGCTCGCAGAAGTTATACGGGCTGCAGAAGCAAGAGGCAAATGGTCTCACATCATCGTAGGCGGGTGCTGCAGGGCTCGTCCAAGCGATATCCAAAAACTTCGCAGCTGTCTAACTACTTGATACTAACGCAATACCTAACAAACAAGCAAACAAACCAAAAGACTAAAAACTCACACACAAGAAAGAAACATGTTGCCTAATTTCCTCTAAGCCTTGCTGTTGAACGCACGCCCTTCGCCCCCCTATCAGAAGCCCAGGCTAGAGATATCAGCACTGAGAGGTTTCCCAGACATCATCTCTGCGACCACCTTTCCTGTTCCCAAGCTCAAGCTAATTCCCCACGGGCCATGTCCTGAAGCAATAAAGACGCCACCCGGGGCTTGCTCAGTCGACCTGAAATCTTCTCCAAGCTTGTCCTCTGGCAACCTTGCAATGTATGGCGTTCCCCTCTTTGTAATTGGTCTGAAGCACAGCCCTTCACGCACAATCTCCAGGTCTTCTCCGTTAGGTGTAGCAATGAGACGTCGTGCAATGTTCTTGAGCTTTTCAATAGACTCGTTAAAAGTCACTGCCTTGACGGTAGGTTTCGGCAAAGGAATAGAGGCATGGTTCACACCAGCCACGTAAATCACTCCATCCGTTCGAGAATACACCTCAGGCGAGAGTGCGTCCATTGTCGTGTAGACAGAGTGGCATGTCGTCACCTCGCTGGGGGCTTTGACAACGAGCGAGTGACCGCCCAAGCTCTCAATGGGAACGTCGACGTAGTAGCGGTTCTTGAACAGGTCGTGGAAGACGGCGGGGGTCCAGCAGCCCGCTGCCAGGAGCACTCGGGTTGCCGGAATCAACGTCTCCTCCGAAGACTCCGCATGACAGACGACGACGCCGGAAAGTTTCCCGGCTTCATCGGTTTCAATACGCGATGCGGAGGCAGGGTTGTGAATATGGACTCCGGCAGCCTTGACCTTTTCCAGGAGAAACTTGCAGAATCTCAGGGGATCCCTGGCCTGATGTGTCAGCATGTTTCGGAATGGTCATGTAAATTGTAAGATGCAATCAATACTCACACAATCGCCGTGCCACTTCCATCATCAATCACGCTCACCGAATCGCCATCCACCCTCCTCAGCCAACCAGGAACCTCGCCGTCTTGGTGCTCCCTCCGCGAGTCCACGACTCCGGCTCTGCTTGTGCCCTCCAGCAGCCAATCCTCCCCTCTCTTGCCATTCAGCAGAGGCCCGTTGGGCTCGTAGCTCACCGTCACGCTCTTTGCATATCCCCATCTCTCTCTGCCGTTTTCTTCCTCAGCCAGCTTCCTGTGCTCCTCGAAGCTGAGCTCAGCCAGGGGCATCAGCTCGGGACGGAACCAGTCCTTGGCCAGGAAGCCTCCAGCAAAGCCAGAGGCAGAAGCGAAGAGCTCATTTGCGGAGTCAACGAGATGGATGGAGTCTCCCGGCTGGTGTTGGAGGAGATAGTAGGCGGTTGATAGGCCAATAACACCGCTCCCGAGGATGACAGTGTTGGCCATGGCGTCTTTCCACTGTGTGTTGGCTTCGTTCAAGTCGTCAATCTTCGTCCCAACAGCGCTTCAGCTCTGTATAAATGAGACGCAAAGACGCTGGCCGCCTCTACCCCGGAACCGCCCAACTTATAACTCGAGTCAGTCCATCCTCCCTCCCGGCTCACCGTACCGGAGGCTACCTTACTTCTTCGATTAGTAGCCCCTCATCTGCCCCCCACATCCGGTTCCTTGCTATCGGCTGGGGAAAAAAAATATCCCTGTCGTGGCCGAAATCGTTGGCTCAAGGGGGCCGCCTCTTCTCTTCCTCGCCTTGGATTAAGTAAAAGAAACGCTCCTCTTGCTGCCGGACTCTGGCAATTGCCCGCCATCATGACGCCCAAGGTATTTATTGTGACTGGCGCCAGCAAGGGCCTTGGCGCAGCCATTGTCAAGCAACTTTTAGCGCAATCCCACAAAGTCGTTGTCACGGCCAGGTCAGAAGATCTGCTGCTGAAATTGAAGGAAGCACATCCCAGCCAGCTGGAATACCTAGCAGGCGATATCACAAGTTCAGGGGTGAGCTGCATTTTCCCATCTGGTGAATTCTTATAATTTGGTGTGAAATATCTGACAAGAGTGTGGCTAGATTGCCGAGAAGCTGGTGGACCTTGCTGTCCACTCATTTGGTAAACTCGATGGCGTGGTCATCAATCATGGAATTCTGGAGCCAGAGAAATTCGCAACGGCTTCGCTGGAAGACACTAAGCGCCTCTACGATATAAACTTCTTCAGCTACATTGCCGTGGTAAGACGGCAAAACGACGCCTTGTCAACAGACATGGGCTGACATCGCATAGGCCAAAGCTAGTCTGAATGAGGTCAAGAAGACTAAGGGGTGCATCCTCTGGGTCTCGTCAGGAGCCGCCCTCAAGCCTTACGTTGCATGGAGCACCTACGGCTCATCCAAAGCAGCCATCAACTCCATTTCGTCTCATCTGGCGGTTGAGGAGCCCGACATCACCAGCATAACCATCGGGCCAGGTCGGGTAGACACAGACATGCAAGCAACCCTACGGCTGAAGGGCAAAGACACCATGGACGAGAAACAGTACCAGAGCTTTGTCGATGCCTTTCAGCAAGGCGCACTACTCAAGCCTGAACAGCCAGGGACGGTGATTGCCAACTTTGTGGCCAACCCCTCACCTGAGCTGAGCGGACAATATGTTGTGTACGTTCCCCATCCCAAATTACAAGGTCAATCACTAACTGTATCTAGCTGGAACTCACCTGAGCTGGCGGCTTATCAAGGATGATTGGTTGTTTTCCTGCAACTTGGTTGTGTTAGCCTTGGGTCAAGACAAAATAGAACAACATAACAAATGTGAATGAAAAATTTGCAGTCAGTCGAAAGATGAAAAGCTCTTAATGATCTCCACATGAAGATTCAGTATTAGCATGGAATATAAGTTTTTTCATCACGCAAATGTAAAAATGATGTAGACCAAAGAAATAAAAGCAAGCTACTGCCACCTACCTCATGATTCAGCGCCGGCATTTTTGCCATGATGTCAATCTCCATCGAGAGCTTTAATACCACCAGTCAGTCTCTGATGTGCATTGCTCACACAGCATAGCTTGAGAAACCAAAGTCGAGCACGTTATGGTTCAGGAGAGTGTGTCCGCAGTATGTATCTCGGAATTTGATAATACTTTACTTGGTACATCACGATGTGCCGAAGCTTGTCGAGAGGAGCGGGTCGGTTCTTACATTTCAAGCCTGAAAATTTTTGCACTGCCTGAGAGAAGCATTGTTAGCCACGAAGCCCAACAAACGAATCGCCCATGATAGAAAAACAAGGTGAAGCACCAGTTGTGAATCAGTAAGTGTCTATTTGGCTTAAGACTGTGTCTGTCAGCAGGAGAGGCTTGTCGGACCTCCTCAGACTGGGGCGACAACATATCTCATCATAAAACCAATTGGGGCCGTCGCGGGTGATCCGGAGGTTCCTTACCTGTACTGGCAAGCAGCAGTGCAGTCACACATGATGCTGATGAGGAGAAACGAGCTCCAAGCTCGATTTGAGCTGATACAGAGCTGCGTCTGCTCTCTTTGCAGTATGATGAAGAGGTGGAAGAAGGAAGAAGTTTCTTAACCGAAGCTCGAGCTAAATAAACTTTTTTTTTTTTTTTTTCTCCAAAGCTGGTTCGCGCTAAAAAGATCCACTTGTACTCCATACTTGGCGAAATGCTGCGGCACGTGAACAAAGCCCCTCTGTAGGCCAGTCAGCGACTGAGTCTCAGTGGGCTGCACTGCTATTTGAAATGGGCACGCGCGAGCAGCACCAGAATTGCTGCGCGCGTCCTTGTACCGGGTACTTTGGCCTTGTACTCCGTGCTCCAGCAGTGCTCGAGTATAACAGCAGCGGCTGCCCCACTAACAAACCGTCTGGCTGGGAGATATTCAAGTCCATCATTCATCACTCCCTGAGCCGCCTCAGACGCCCTGCGCCGCATACGAGTATTGCCCTCAACAGCCTCACAAATCCAGTCTGATTGTGTGCGATCCCCTGTGCCGTCTTATTCTTGTTCAACTATATATTGCGTCTTCGTCGCCTTTGTCCACAGCTTCCGCGCCTACCTCTGTTTGCGCAACTTGTGCACCCTCCGCCGCTCTGAGTCTCAGGCAGTATCGCGTCTAAGCCACAGCCTCGTTTACGTCGCCTCTTCCAACATGTCGGATCATGAGTTTGGAGGTATGTTGCGCCTTCTATTGAGCGCGTTTGTCCCTTTGATCTCGTATTTTTATATCCGTTCTTCCAAAGAAACATGGCCGTGCGTCACTGCTCCCGTCGCCGCCGCCGTGGTGAGGGACCAATAAGACCGAGCTTTCGGTTTCATTGTTTGTATCCGTGAAGTCATGGGATTCTCATACAAACTTGTGCATCGCCATTGCGGATGTTCTTTGGCGTATTTATGACTGCACCTCATGCCATCCCCTTCATGCGATCTTGATTTCTCTTCAACCCTTACTTTACTCCGCATCCTTTCATATCCGCCTCGAGAGTCTGCGTTCACATCACCAAGCCCAATAATGTGGGACCATCATCATGAGAATGACGGGACCGGCTTGGGTCCAGGCAACAGTATCATGCTGCACTATCAAACCCATGCCACAGACATTGCATTGCTAACTTGTTCTCTTACAGGAAGCAACGACGACTTATCGCTGCCCAAAGGTATGTTTGCTCTCCGCCTCACGGTGCAACATGACATTTCAGTTCCACCCCTGGCAGCAATGTGACACACAGCCATCTCATCACAGACCCTGAAGCTAACAACGTACTAGCCACTGTCCAGAAGATTGTCAGCGAAATATTGCCTCCGCAAACGGGTGTCTCCTTCGCAAAGGAGGCCCGTGACCTGCTCATAGAATGCTGTGTTGAGTTCATCACCCTCATCTCTTCCGAGGCCAATGAGATCTCAGAGAAGGAGGCCAAGAAGACGATTGCGTGTGATCACATTACAAAGGCACTAGAACGGCTTGGGTTTTCTGATTACGTGCCTGCTGTTCTAGAAGCCGCAGCCGAACACAAAGAAGTTCAAAAGGTTCGCGCATGTCTCCCGCCGCCGCATCCTTGGTCTGCAGCGCTAACATCATCAACAGGGGCGAGAGAAGAAAGCAGACAAATTTGCCAATAGTGGCATGTCTATGGAAGAGCTCGCTAGATTGCAGGAAGAGCAGTTTGCCGCGGCCAGGCAGCGCCACACATGATGGGATTTTGCTATGGTGATATCTTGAGAGAAGGCGTCAAGGTGGGCATTGCTAGGCGTTTTTTGTTATAAACGGTGATGAGGGTCGGTAGACAGGTCAGGACTCTGATTTGGGCCTTCGTTTCCAGGAGTTGGGTTCGTCAATACTATTCTTTTTCTGCTCATCCCTGGATGCATACTTGTGAATCCATCGAATGCGCTCTTTCGCCCGAGGTTTGAGAACTGGTGATGCCTCGACCTTATTCCTCCATCTTATCGATAACGCATCAGGGGTGTTCCAATGATGTAACGTCAGGCCGCCTCTCACATGTTGCGACCCCACCATGGTTCGCGCCCATCTGCCTATCTCCAAATTCTTTGAAGCTGCTGCCTCTGCCCATCACCGCATCTCCAGCCGCAGATCAACTCGCCGAAAAAATCAATAAAAAATTCGCCAAGATAGGTCGAAAACACCGCAATCGCAACAAGCCTTCAGGTCCTCGCGTCCCCCGCTGGCTTGCTCGCAAAATGGGACAGGAAGAATCGACTCTGGCCGCCTCTGGCCCTCCAGCCACACTCGAAGAAAGAAGCCTGGAAGCCGTCGCCGACTATATCAAGAGCGGCAATGCTCGGCGCATTGTGGTCTTGACAGGCGCGGGTATCTCGACTGCCGCTGGCAGTAAGTTGGCTCATGGACCGGCCATATCGATGCAGCTAACAATCGCATAGTTCCCGACTTTCGATCGCCAAAGACGGGCCTGTATAGCAACTTGGCGCGCCTCAACCTTCCCTATGCCGAGGCTGTCTTCGACATTTCCTACTTTCGCAACCATCCCGAGCCCTTCTATGTGCTTGCGCAGGAGCTATATCCCGGAAAATTCCATCCGACTGTCTCTCATGCCTTCATTGCGCTTCTTGCTGAAAAGGGCCTTCTTCAAATGCTCTTTACGCAAAACATTGACTGTCTCGAACGAGCGGCCGGCGTTCCTGCACACAAGATAGTCGAAGCCCACGGCAGTTTTGCGACACAGCGTTGCATTGAGTGCAAAGTCGAGTTCCCTGATGCCGATATGAAGGCACATGTTGTCCGAGGTGATGTCCCTCATTGCAATGAATGCAAGGGACTGGTAAAGCCAGACATAACATTTTTCGGCGAAGCCCTTCCAAGAGACTTTTCAGAGAAGTCGCACAACACCGTCATGGCGGATCTTGTTCTCATTATTGGAACAAGCCTAACGGTGTATCCATTCGCAAGCCTTCCCGAGATGGCGAGAAAAGAGGTGCCGCGCGTGCTCTTCAACATGGAGAAAGTCGGTTCATTAGGATCGCGAGTTGATGATGTACTTGAATTGGGAGCGTGCGACGACGGTATTCGAAAACTAGCCAACTTGCTAGGCTGGACAGACGAACTGGATGATATATGGAGAAACATTGTTGGGAATGAGGAGGCCGATAGACAACTGCGCAGCCAGACTGATCGTGATGAAGAGCTTGAAGATGAGTTGCAGAAGTTGACTGGAGAAATTGAGACTGTCCTCAAGCTTGAAGAGGAAGAGGAAGAAAAGAAGCAAAAGGATGAAGAAAAGAACCAGGAAGTAGACGGGGATGTTTCACATGATGCCCAGACACCCAAGGATGACGCAGACGTTAAAGAGGCTGCTAAGACAGAGAATGTCAGCCCAGAAAAAGAAGAGATTGAAGAGAAATCTACAGAAGCGGAGTCTAAACCGGTGGAAACCCCCGGTTCCAGCACAGCGCCACCAGAAGAGAATACGGAGCAAAAAGTACACGAGGTTACAACGACAGATGGCAAAGAAGTTAAAGAGCCAACAAAGGAGGAGGGTGGAGAAAAGCCTCAGCAGAATTGAACCCAAGAATCTATGTTATGACACGATAGATTCCATGAATAGTTTCCGTATATTTCCTTTTAGATACAGAACCACGACGAGTGCCTACTTATATAGCATGGCGGCTGGATTTCATACTTATCTCTTCCTTTGCTTCTTATATTTCGTACAAAAGTTGAAGATGAATAGTTTCTTCTTTAAACATGTCGCGGAAGCATTACTTTAGCCTCTCATCTGCCATTGAAATATAATCAAGTGCGAATAATATCGCCGAATTGGCTACAAATATACCTATGTAGTCTCTGCATACCCCTATATACTCTCAGCCACAGCACACCTCTCACAATCCACTGTCAATCTGATCAGGAATATTCGTATTCGTCCAATTTCCCCACTGTCTACACGTCTCCGCCACGACATTCGGAATCCTCAAATTCCTCACACCCTCCGGATTCGTAAGGAAATGCGTAAACAGCCCAGCCGAAGCATGCCACGCAATGTGGCAGTGGAACGGCCACACACCCGGATTGCTCGCCGCGTCAAACTGGAACACGACATGTCCGCCTTGACGAACCATGAAGACGTCGCGGCGCTGTGGGTTGGATGGCCGAATAATTGTCTTGCGGTCCCATTGGCCGGGACCTTCGTGCAGGAGGTACATGTTGAAGCCGTGGAGATGCATGGGATGTCTTTACGGATTCCGGTGTCAGTTACATGAACATTTGGTAGAAAGGGGAAGGGTGATGGCTTACGAAGCGGGGGCGTTGTTGAAGAAATTCACTCTGACGCTCTTTGCCTTGCCCAGGTTTCTCACAGCCCACTCGGGTTCAAAAGTGAGGTTTCCCAGATTGCTCAACAACAACGTCGGGCTATTGTAATTGCCTCTGAAGGAAACACCATCCAGTCCCCATAAGCTATGGCCCGTCGCGTTTTGGAAAAATGTCAGCTCCATGTCGACTTCTAGATCTGGCTTGGGAAGGGGGAGCTTCATGACAGGCTCCGTCATTGAGAAGTCATCATTCACGCAAGTACGAGGGTCGGGGACATCCCAAGGTGTAGATTTTGGGGTTGTTCCGGTATCTGCATTGTCGTAGTAAATGGCTGCCAGGGCATATGGTTGATTGGCACCAGAGCATGCGCTGATATTGCTGCGCATCCAGTAGGCATCCAGGTCACCATTTGCTTTGACAAGGACATCACTGCGCTGACCAATACCAAGAGTGACGACTTTAGTCTCATAGGGCTTGACATCAACAAAGTCGTTGGCAATGACAGTCATGTTATGGCCGTCAATAGAGAAACGCTGAAGAGCTGCCGATCCAGTATTCATGAGTCGAAGGAGGTGAGTCTTGCCGCGCTTGAACCTAAACTTGGAAATACCAGCGTTGTCGGTGCATGGTGTGCCATCCGTGACCTGAGAGCAATTAAACACTCCTTTGCCGTTGATCAAATTGTTGTCTGACTTGAATCTCGTCAATGCCTGCACGGTGCTCATAGTCTTCTCCACCAGATCAAAATACTGCTCATGGTACCAGTCAGACAGCATTACAGGGCCGAGATCAATGTCGTACTCTTGCGATTTCGGTCCATGGATCACTATGGGGCCTAAGAGGCCACCCGAGTACTGCGAGGAGTAATGAGAGTGGTACCAAGTACTCCCATAGAGAGAGGCCGCGAACTGGTACGTGAAGCTCTTCCCCGGAGGCACGGGGCACTGCGTCACAGAAGGCACTCCATCTTCCCAAGGAGTCCCCTTCTGAAGGAATCCGTGCCAGTGAAGCGCAGTACCCTCCTCCGGGCCGGTGATGTTGTTGTTCAGAGTTACTTGGATGGTGTCGCCCCAATTCGCCTCGATCAATGGGCCGGGAAATGCTCCATTGATCAAAAGGACGTTGCGCTGATATCCATCTGGAGCAATTACTTCACGGCTAACAGTGAAGTCATAGTGTCGTATAACACCTGTATAAGGACTCGTGTCATAGTAATTGGTGTGCTGGTCAAGGTTGCTCCATGGATACCCATTGGGGAGTGGGTTATTCGTGAGACAGGCAGGGAGGATTGGGGCAGTCAAGGCTCCCAAGACAGATAGTCTGGGGACAGTTAGGACCGGATTCTTAAAAGCAAGCAAGTAAGTTAAACATACCCGTTGGTTTGTTTTTGGGAGAGTCTGCTCGTGGCCAAAGACACTCCCCTCTTTCCCAGGCGGCTATGAGAAACCCCCATGATGACTGAATTAGCACCCAGAGAGAGTCAAACTGAAGGGTAGTCTCGCATTAGGCAAGACCATATCCACACAAGTAAGTGTCCCTCTCCCTCTTTATATATACATGTAGGTGCATGTGGCTATGTTTACATCTTCAGCGGGGACTTCGGCGACCGACTGCTCGGACTTTGTCTCGCAGAAGGATTCGGTTGTCAAAACCCCGCCGTATCGAACCAACACGATGAAAGGATGTAAGACAGCTCCAAAGCACCAGCCATCAGAAACGCCCTTTGCCCTGCATGAAACGAATCCATCTGAAGGGCATTGTTGCCTACTAAGAGCCTAGCGTGGACAACACCACAGTCACAATCCCCCTTTAGTCGCCCTTGGCGAAAAAAAAGAAAAGGAAAGAAAGAATTGCGATTGGCAGGGCTATTCAAGTCAGCCGTCTCGGAGGATTTTCAGCACGGCACGGGGATTTCGGCTTCTCGTATACCGGAAAAGGAGGGTTGGTGTTCAATTCATCAACAACAGTTACACAACTTTAGTCCCCGATACTAGATAGGTGTAGCTAAACATAGGAGAGATTTCGAGTTGTGCGCTTAAAGTTGTGGACGGGTGATGTGATGCCCGTTGCAGCGAATCGAGTAAATGTGTGTGCCATGGAATAGCTGCAATCGGAGATGACATCTCCAACAACCAGAAAGGTGCCCTATAGAATACCTTTTGTAACGCATTATACAATGTCTCAAACCGTCTCTTGGCAATCCCTTCGCCGTATCGAACATTTAGACTATCGATTCTCTATTCATAGTCAGCTGACTGGTGAAGTAGCGATGGGTCTATCGCTGAGTTACACCTAACACGAGGCAGACGAAGGAATAACGACGAGGAGCTAGACGACCATCTAGCTTTGTTCAGCTTCAACAAGACAGTGTTGCCATGCTGGCGTAATAGCGGATACAAAGCCACCAAGAGTTCCTCGGTCTGGGGTTGATAATAGGAATAACATCCATGAGTGACCAGGTCGAGAACCTCAGCAACGTTACAGTCACCGTCGCAATCTCATAAAGTAATATCAAATAGAAGACACGAGAAATTTTCCGCCACTATTTGTATGACCACAATGACGCCAATTTCATGCGAGTAACCACGCCTGTTGGGTTCAAGCAAGGATTCCTAAAATGAGCAGTTACACAAGACTGATGTTTCTTCCGAGAGTATGAACGAGGCTGAAAGCAGCATCCGAAAACTTCCATATCATCGCTCCAGTTGATCGGCACAATACGGCAGCTGAATGAACTCATCGGACATCATAATCTCCACCTGAGTCACAAATCTTTGGTCAAGCATTCACTCCACCTTGGGTACTGGAGTCAAAATGGCAGGATGCGAACATAGCTCCGCTCATGCAGAGAGCCGCGGCTGCAGCTCAGGAGGCCTGCAGCTGAGGGGTAGGACCACTCTCTGTTGAAGAAGTAGCCTATTTGATAATTGCGATACAGCACCTCAGCCGGCGAATCCTTTGTGTTGTCGTCGTACGGACTCGGCTGAAAGTACGGGGTATTTTCCGAGTACAGGTAGCATTAATATTCGCCACGAAATACCTCTATGAGTGCGTCATAGGAGAACAAGAGCCGCAAGACTTCCACAGAATAACTGACAGGTTGAACAAGATATCACAAAGTGAGGTTTGCCAAATCAATAACGATTAGCAGCTGAAGCTATTCAAGAACACCAGTCCCTAGCTCAAGTTATGCTATAACGCAGAGAGATGGTAAGATACAGAGCAAAAGCCAGGATCTCGGGCAAGGACCAAATAGGACTGCTTATTCGGAGACCAGGTATTTCGTGCTTTGCATACTAATAGCTAGCAACACGGTAATGGTCATTCCATCTTCGTGCACGGAGTTCAGTCCCAGACACCCATCACAAACATAGATAATTTTACATGATATGAACCGCATCGGAATTCGATCGTAAATGTCGTTTGGTTTATTCTTATTTTACAGGGCAGTCATTCGGGCCACCAGGATACGCACTGCGGCCAGCAATTGGTCACTCGGCGTCGTTCGTCCATTCGTCGTTGTGCATCTTTATTCGTCCTTTCTCCAAGCCGAATTCGCTCGTAGCACTATCGGTCGTCGCTGCGCTCGCATATACAGCTCTTGTAGCTTGGGATCCGCATCAGATCGGATGACGCTGCCAACTCCCATGAAGAACCTGTGACGCATCTGTCAGTATCCCATCTAGGTAAAGATGACATAGGCGTAGACAAACCCAAAGGTTGCGCCAGATGCACCCATGTACTGGCCCAGAGTCCTCATAATGCCCTGCGATCCAGCGCCATAACGGAAGATGTTAACAGTGCCTATCAAGGTGTCAGCTCCATATGGCACAGCAGAAGCTCCGTCCAATGTCCTACCAAAGATGAATCCCATAATCACTCCGACAGCTAGAAAGTCGTCAGTTTAAAGCCAATCCGAAACACAGCTACTCTCAAGGTCCTTACATCCGCCCATCATTGCGCCCATCTTCACTATGGTTTAATGTTAGCGAAATTGCAGCCCCTCATAATGATACGATGCCGTACGTTTGTCAAACGTGGACGGGGCCTGCTGGCCACCATGCTGAATCGGCGCGACAGGAGGCATCGTGAATAGCCGGGATCACCGCAATGTGCAGAAGCTTTGGAGTTGGATTTGCCGTTTCTCTTCCCAAGGTCTAAGTGCCTGGACTCTGCCGGGTATTCAAGAAGATGCTTCAACCAAAGAAGCTGCTCGCGATGTGATTGGCCACGCTGCGGCCTCCGCGGGAACGGCAAAAGATTGATGCGGCGCATCCTAATCACTGCTAGCGCCCCCCACAGTGTGGATATGCAATCGCCAGCAAACGGGTCACTGTGATGATGCATCACGTGAATCGAGGTCATGAGCCGATTCAAGGCCCCATATGGCCATCTGTGATGGAGAGCAATCGCCTGGGACTGCCCGATCCGAGTCTAAAAAAACCTCGTGAAGAATGACAAAGCCTGCCTCGAGGCCGAGTTGTGGGAGCTGGGTGAGCAGACACTGAGACAAAACCGTGCACTGTATCGTTTGGCCCCCCAGCTTTCGACACGCCTAGCCCAGCGCTTAGCGGGCTAGGAAGAGCGACAAGATCCCCCAAGCAACATCAGGCCGAGCTTCACCAGGCTCGTCAGCGACGTGTGGAATCGCCCAGGATTGCGAGCTTCTATCATTTCACAGTATGTTTCACATTTGACGCAGCGCACAGGGTCGGCCAAGGGCCAGGGGCGACCCCCCCAGCCTCGCTTGGTCGTGCCATGCCAACCCCCAATTGGTGCTTGGACAAAGGAGCCACCTCAACAAACATGCTGACGATTTTTCAATGGTAGCAAGCTGACAACGACTTCGACTGTTTCTGCGTCTCTTTCCCGCCGATCGCAAGCGATAGAGCCGTTGTACTTCGGAGCCGCATCGACGAAATATCCGTTTTCCTTCAATCTGTGGCACGCGTGTCTTTGTTTTCTTTTTTTTTTCTGTGCCCTTGCCCCAGCGACGGCAGTGGTTGGCGATTCCCAATAGCCCAACGGTGGACTCACGCGTATCGACATAAACGATCTACGTTAGCGACGGGATATCTGCCTTCTTCACATATCCATACACAACGTGCCTTCCTGAGCCTTACTCATGACTGCCGTCGCAAATCCTCCAACGTTTCCGCAGATCTCCCGGCCGCCATGGGGCACTATTAATGGCAACAACCAGATGAATTCAGAGGATGTCAGAGGCATGTTCATGACCCGCAAGAGTCTTTCGCGAACCAACTCATCCTCGTCCATCTCCTCAAACGCCTCCAATACGACTGTTGCGACGAATGGCTCTCACTCCAATGCCACATCGCTGTCATCAGCTTCAGATTTGAGCCAGTGGTCGAATGGCAGTGCAAGCAGAAAGAGGCCCCAACAAAAGAACCCTTGGCCGACTGGTAAAGAAAACGTGCAGCCAGATTTCTCGAGGCTTCCTCAGGGAAGACCCAACGGCATGGTGCCGCCCCACGGCGCCATGCAACAAGGCGGACCGGGACAGCCTCAAATGGGGCCCCAGGGAATGATGCGACCCATGGGGCCCAACGAGCAGCAGTTTCCTCCCGGTCAGCCTATGCTCTACCTATTGTCCTTGAACGGCACCTTTGAGCGCAAGACGATCGCAGTGCCATTTGCCCCCGATTCCATACGAATCGGTCGGCAGACGAACCAAAAGACGGTGCCGACTGCCACGAATGGCTTCTTCGATAGTAAAGTGCTATCGCGGCAGCATGCGGAGATATTTGCCGAACGAAACGGTAAAATCTACATTCGAGATGTAAAATCATCCAACGGCACCTTTGTCAACGGCACACGACTGTCCCAGGAGAATCGTGAATCCGAGCCCCACGAACTCCAGACTGCCGACCATCTGGAGCTCGGCATTGACATCGTCAGCGAAGATCAGAAAACTGTCGTTCACCACAAGGTGGCCGCGAAAATCGAACACGCCGGGTTTTTGAATACGTCAAACAACGTTTTGGATATGAACTTTGGGGACCTGGACCCTGCTAACAACGCCATGATGATTCCAGCCGGAGCCATGCAGATGCGAGGCCGTGCTGGAAGCAATATGTCCATGGGCAACAACGGTCGTATGCTGGTTAACGGCGGTACTATGAATGGTCATATGAACGGAATGGCGCAGCAACGTCCCTTCTTCTTAACACCTATCGCTACGGATCAGATCCTAAAGCGTCTTTCTGTAAGCACCACACGAAACTTTATCAGGGGTTCTTCCCATTCTTTTCTTCTATTTACTAACATTGTCGCTAGAATGAAATGAGAAGCGCCAAACTCCAGGCTCAGGATTTGAATCGCACGAACCAGTTCATCAACACATTATTATCGAAAGATGATCTGAAGGACGTCGAAAAATCCGAAGCCCCCGAACAACAAAAGCCCCAGACTATGGTCAACGGCAATAGTCTGTCCTTTAGATCAGATCCTAAAGCGCGCTTCTCAGATCCTCCTGCGCCTCCACCCCAGCAGCCTCTTCCCGAAAAGCCAGACGTGCCCTCTCTTAAACGAGGCTCCTTGGAGAGACCAAAGTCAGACTCGGCAAACTCATCGCCAATTCGCCAAGAAAACCTGAGCCAAATCATTCAGCTCACTGAAGCGCTCAATAATGCGAAGCGAGATATTGATACCCAGACAGCGCGTATGCGGGAGCTAGAAATGATGCTTCAGAAGGAGCGGGAAGCGCGTGAGTTGGCAGAGGAGCTGGCTAGGCGACTGGAGGAGTCGGCCAACAACACCCAGGTCAACGGCGTTGAATCTCACGAAGAGCCTGGTGAAGCCCAAAAATCAACACAGGTTGTGGATGATGCAGATGAGACGAGAACGGTGTTGCCAGAGGCGGAGGAGGTATCACAGGCCGACAAGGTTGCCCAGGAGACTGCGGCAGCACTACAATCTCGCATCGACACCATGGATGAACAGATGCGGGAGCTGCGAATGCAGATGGAAGAGTGGAGGAGCCGATGCGAGGCTGCCGAAACGGAGCGCGATTCCGGCAGAAAAACTCTTGAAGAAATGGTCATCCAGCTCCGGGAGGAGGAGACCAAGCGGGTCGCGGCCGAAGAACGACGACGATCTCGTTCAAGAACACTCCGTAACGAACGAGACGGAGAAGCGCAAGATGTTGTTGCATCTGCCACTCCTGAAGTTGCCAAACTGGCACTTAAGCAGGAGAGATCTCTGACGAACTCCAGCCAGGATTCGGCAGACGCCCCAACTTTATCGAGGGCCAATACGATTACGCCTCAAACCTCGCCGAGAGGAGGCCCTCTAAATAGCCAGCACCTGCGAGCTGGCATCCCCTACGCCTCAATGATTGGCGTGGTGCTGCTTGGTATGGGGTTGATGGCGTACATGAATGGATGGCAGTCATCCCCGTCCCAAGCTGTTGAACGATAAATGTCAAGTGTCTTCAGGCGTTTTCCACATTGCATTTTTACTATTTACGATGCAAGCTTTCTTACTGTATTCCACGATGCTCGCCTTTGAGCAGCACGGCATAGCACACGGTATCAACACTTCATCAATATCGAATGATGACGAGAAAATGGAGGCAATCATGAGCAGCACAGCACACTCGAAAAGAACTGGCCTTTTTTTTTTTTCTTCATTTTATTTTTTTGTTTCCTTTTGTAGGTATACTAGGGCTAAGCTTTTGCTTCTGTACCAACGACACACTTTGATTTCCTTTTTTGTCCTCCACCTTACCTTCCTTCCAACGTGAAGATTTCTTTTTTTGTCAAGAGGAGAATAGGCTGTGTGAAAGACATGGCGCTTTGGAGAATTGCGCTTTCCCGAAGGGATAGGAAATACGTTTCAGAACCAGGATCGATGAGGAATGAGAGAGAGCGAATCAGTCAAATTCTCGGCCAAAGAGGCATACGACGCTTTCTTATTTACTTCTTTTTTCTTCTTTTCTTTAGCAGATATGGGTTGCATAGTATGCGGTTAAATTGGGGGCATAATAACAGATTTTATCGTTGACCTTCCGCCATGTATGAACAAAGCATACAGACATGCCTTACGATGGGACGATTCAGATGATACGACTCTTTTTGGTGTAAGTTTTAGGGTTTCAAATAATACTTCTATTGTTATTACTGAAGGTGAATTCGCTCTCTTTGACTGTGAAGTTTGTCTTGAGATGTCAGAAGCTGCAAGCAAGTGGCTCTGTCTGTGGTTATTACCTAGTTGCATATACGTGTATCCACGAGCGGGAAGCGGCCCCACCAAAATCCGGGCCTCTGGGAAAAGCATTGGTCCGATCAGCCACCATCATGCGATGATCGAAGTCTGTGATATCATCTTTCCTCTCCTTGTTGACGACACCTGCGGCAATGCAACGCGCCAATTCACGGGCATAGACAGACACCCTGTGCTGCTCCATCGTCGCAAACAAGTCAGGGAATCGCATCGAGACAGAGGCACCCGTATGACCAACTGAGAGAGAGCTGTTGAGACCGGTGCCATCACAATCACAATCAATCACAATCACAGTCACGATGCCGACGTTCCAGAACAAGACATTCCGCTCGTCGGCCGACACTGGCAAGATCGGCATGCGATACCGAGCCCTCATAGGCAAACATCCGTTCCTCACCTTTGGGCTGCCCTTTATCGCCGTCATTGTGGCTGGATCGTTTGTCCTCACTCCGGCCACGGCGATTCGATATGAGAAGCACGATCGCAAGGTGCGGCAGCTGACCAAGGACGAGGAGCTGAATGTAAGGAGGGCGGCACGGAAAGTGGACATGAAGGAGGAATACTATGTGAGTTCTCTCTACTACATCTATGCAAGGAGACGTGGCATATGCAGGGGCAGCAGAAAGAGGAATGATTCGAGGCTAATACAGGAGGCTGCAGAGACTTGCCGGGAGGGATCTGGACAATTGGGAGCAGAAGCGGGTTGAGAGGCTGCCTGGAGAGAGTGACGGAATCCTGTAAGAGCCGAGACAGGCCAATTGCGTGATATTCCAGAGCAAGACATGGGATGCGAGGGACATGCCGTGCAACACCATTGCCGGCCGCAACACGAAAATCGAAATTACTTGTACTGCCACGTCGGGAGAAAAAAGAAAAAAAGAAAAAAAGAAAAACAACTCGAAAACAAGCAAATAAACAATAGTGGGAGGCTTGTCGATTGATTGGATACCGAGGGCCTGGAGCCGGCTCAGCTGAAGCCTTCTCTCTTGGCGTTATTTTTATCTCTTCCTTTTTGTCAGGTCGCCTCAGCACTCAGCCCTACTCTACTCCTTTGCAACACCATCTCTTGACACTATTACCACTAGTATTAGTGAACAAAAGAAAAAAAATCTCTCTCATCAACACGGAATGCCTTAAACGGGGGTTCACAAGAGTCAGCTTAGCCCAACGGTCGCCGACTACTGGCACTAGCACTAGCATCTCGTTTTCGAATCAAGCAGACTACGGCTCTGGACTCATATTGACTCAGATCAACGGCAGGGCAGAGTGCAAATCAAAATCTCCACACACAGACACCATCACATGAACCGTGGTGTCGGTATCATCTTCCATGGGGGACCCTGCAGCGTGCGATTGACAAATATGCTGTACGCCCTGCATGCCAGTGGCTGGATAGCATCGGATCCTGTCAAATGAGAAGAAGTTGGGACAATCCCGCCATGGGATGTAAGCCTAATAGGGCGCTCTTCCCATTGCCGCAAGGGAATCCCGAGACCCTGGACTCCGAGATACCAGTATCGTGTTTCCATCATCCACGGGACTGGGTTGAGGATTTCTACAAGGGAGGGGGGGCGTGTATGAATAATGGAATTTGGAAATCCGATTAACTAGCCACGGTGTCAATTTTTCAACTCTTGTGTCACGGCTTCTTTTTTTATACAAGATTGTCTTATAGCGTGACACGTCCGTCAGGATTGAAGGACACTCGCTACCTTAGCCTGCGGGCGCCATTTTGACAAGTTTGCTCCGTACTAACCCCATGAGAGGTAAAACACGCAAATAAAAGAGGGCTGACGGGGGGGAAGAGAATACGGTCCAAAGCCTCGGGAGCTTTGCTGACAAGCAAAAAAGGGCAGGGAAGCGTGCCGTGCCGCCAGGGATGCGGGAATGGTGGATGCCTCTTTTTTTGGGACAACGATCAAGGGGGTTTTGTTGTAAGGGGATTCCTTGGGTCATCTTGGTTTTTTTTTATTTATTTCTTTATTTCGACATGGGGGGTGGGTGAGAGATTGGGAGGCTGGGGAGGTGGTGTCTGACAGAGGTGCTCGAATTTGGGACGCCTCCAGAGATTGAAGCATCACCTGTCTGTGCAAAGTACCAGTCCAGACATAAAAAAGGAAGGCAATGACGAGGCACAGAGATACGAAGTGCTGGGCCCCTGGTCCGACGTAAGCGAATAAGGCGAGATGACAGCCCCTGTCGGAAAGATGGCCACGCGAGTCTCCAAGCTGTCGGGATGATGTTTGTGCTTGTGCCTGTGCCTGGACGACGCAGCATTTCTCGTAGGTTGCGGATTTCGGAGGCAGATTTTTTGGTGTGTCAATAGAATCCTTCTCGGAGCAATTTAATTAGGCGTTACACAAGGCTGAATATGCGGTTTATGGCTTTTGTGTCTTATTATTGAGGTGGGATTATTGGGTTGATGATGAGCGGTTGCTATTGTTCTTTTCTCCCCTCTCACGGTCTCGGGGGAGGTTAAAAGTGTTATGGAAAATCGAATGGCATTGTTATTATGCCACTGCGAAGCTTGTTTAAGGCCTCGAGGGAGGTTAAAAATGCTGTGAAAAGAAGTATGAGCGGGGTTTCCGAAGGTGCAGGATGTTTATGCAGTTCGGGCGGCATCTTTGATGATGAGTGGTTGTTCTTCTTCTCCATTTCTCCACTTTCAGAATGGTCTCGGGGGAGGTTAAAATTGCTGTGAAAATGAATTAAGGCAACCAAAGCAGAGGCAACCAAGGCAACATCAATTCGTAGATCGCTTCATGCCGTTCCTCCGCAGGTGAGGTTCAAAATCTGTACAGTTACGCGCACTCAGTGTTACTGTGCAGCATCCTTCATTGCGCCGGCATTTGCGCAACGCGGTATAAAGTGTCGGTGAATACAATAGATTTACAATGTTCATCTGTTATAGTATGGCAGTATTCATACATAGGTGTGCCTGTTTGTGGTGTATTATTTCAACAAGAATACGACGGCAGGAATAATACACTGCAGTGTCTACGGATACCTTAGTAGCAGCAGTAGAAGTATGATGGCTACTATGTGAATTATCTTTTCGTAGGTGGATTCGCATTATTCTTCGGGTGAGGTTAAAAATGCTGTGAAAGATTTAGCTTCTAAGATTGCATGGTATGTGGCGGAATCTTTGGTGGTAAGTGACTGCTCTTCTTTTCCTTTTCTCCATTCTCAAGCTGGTCTCGGGTGAGGTTAAAAACGCTGTGAAATCGAACGCACGGTTGGACGGGTAAAATAGCACTGTACAACACTGTGCTGATTCATCCTGGCATCTACGCCGGCATTTGCGAAACACAGCAAGAGCTCAGTAAATACAATAGATTTACAATGGTCAACTCTTATTCCACAATCAGTCAGTATGCACAGACATGGGTACCTAGCTAAAGAATATATGGTTACAGTAAGAAAATGATATCGGGAAAGACTGTGCTAGTATCTACGGATACTGATAGCTAGAGCAGTAGAAGCAGTACTGTTACCATGCAGTGATCTTTTCGTAGCTTCATGTTGTTCACCTGCTCAACCGCTCTTAAACTAAATTAACATCCGCTTCGTAATCTATTTCAAATCCAACCATCCACTTCTACACCATGTTTCCCCCAGCGCCTCACAATCCATCAACACCATCCATCTAGAACCCCAACATAGTAATAGCATATTACACTTCGACGTAATACAACCACACTTTCTCTCGGCTGCCCTATGAGCCCTGAACGTATCTCTCCCCAGTCAATCAGTGGCCCCCAACATTTGGAATTGAATTTACTAGTCTCCAGGGGGGCATACATGCCGAACAAACTGCCATCTCCAGGGTAAGCCCGTCCCTACATCCCACCACACGCTCTCGAGACGACAAGCCGTAGATCCTCAAAACCCCTCCCTATGACTCAAGATAAACCGAAACCTATTGCCATTGCTCTTGAAGTCCATGCCTCATATTAGCCCTGTCAGACGAATCTAACCACAAGGCGCAGTCCGCAATACCGGCAATCATGGCGCACACCCCAAAAGGTGCGGAGAAGCCTGTACTCGTAATCGCTCGCTTGCTCATGTCATCTTAGGCAAATTAATACAAAAGACCTCGGATGTTTGACTGCCGGAGAGCCATTACGTGGCGGACTGTGTAAGCCCGTTGGATGTATATTTGCCCCAAAGATAGTAGTAGTGTCTAGGTTAGTGCCTCTCATTGCTATCTGCTTCGTCTACGTATCATGTATCAACACACTTGAGGAAGCCAATTGTGAGTTTGGCGGAGACAGCAAGTTTATCAGGGGTAATTGACACCCAATGAAATCGTTTGTGGCTTGTGATATCATCAAGAGGTGGTTTCATGATTCCACGAGCAGAGACATCATGACGAATGTATAAAAGGTGGCTAAAGAGGGTATTGGGTTGGATAAGATATACGCAGGCCATCAGCGTCGACCAACACTTTCTCCTCAGGCCCATCAACGTGAACCTTCTTCTAATTTCAACTTGATTTTGCTGATATCACGAAATGCCTTTTTTTGCCCCTTCATTTGCGGCACCTTATCAGTAATCTGTGGCATCAGGCTAGGTGTCCAGGCTTATGTGCGGTTCTTAGTGTACAAACATAGCACAAACAACACTAGCTTCCAGCGGGACGATTGCGGCACGCCTTGCGGGCGCCCATTCGGCATCGGGAGAACAAGGGCAGACAGTCTCACGGCCAGTGGAGCGCCGCGACAACCGGGTGGGACGAAAGTTGCGCGCCGCGGGAGCAGCGGCTCAACGAGGCGCTCTTTTCTTATACCAGCGTCTGTGTCTGATCATCACCACGAAGCGGAGCGGTTTGAGCCTTGTGGTCCTTGACAGATTACTCCGCACACAGGGGGATCGCTCCTCTGCTCCGTAAGCAGTAGGAAGCTGAGGAAAAGAGCCAGGACTAGACTGCGGGTTACGGAATTAGCAACTGACAAATTGAAGATTTGCTTACCATGGCCATGGAAGCGACGGGAAGGATATGATGGTGTAACGCAGGGAGAAGAATACTAGTGTATCCAGAGCCGTGGTATTTGTCCCGATTAGTCTGATTTACTCCCAAAAGCAATATGGGTGTGTGTGATAACAGGACAGTGGAGTTGTGACTGCCCAACAGCACGCACGGCTCGAGCAAGGGACACCTCAATGAGCCAAAGCCTGGACCGTGATATTTTTTTATGAGAGATGCAAGGGTCGCAAAGACCCAGGGGCTGGGCACGCAGCAGGGAGCAAACGACGAGCAAATGACCAAATGATCAAGTGATGAGGATGTAAGGGTCCGACAGCGTGGTAGCGACCTGGGTAGGATTTCACGGTCCCGTGGACTTGGGATTCTGCGCGTCGCAGACCTGCCGACCAGGCTGTCGGTTTTTGCAATGCCGCTCCCATGCGAGGAGTACCGACTGACACCCAAAGATGGCCGACCCGAGTTGGTGAAGTCGCCGAAGGCTTAGAACCGGCAGCAAGAGCGCGAGTTCCTTGTGATTGCGATGGTCACGACAAGTAATCCGCAGGTGGGTGCTGCATCACTCGGGCATGGCCGCATTCTGTTAGACGACGTGTTCCTTACGGTGGGCACAAGCTATTGTGCATCGCGATGCCGAGAGAGGTCGGCGATATTGGCAATGTAGGGCGCACAGGTTGCTCCGTCCTCAAAATGGTGGCCGCATGCGTACTCGTATGTTTGACAACTGCATATTACGGAGTACTCGTCGTCGGGTTAGAGCCTGGACCCTGAATCCTGTCAAGCACCCAAAAATGACAAGACTTTGTCATACGGCGCAACCACTGCGGCTTGTAGTGCTACGGCACTCGGCTATGCATGCGTGTTTCTTGCGTGCAGCTCTAGTTTGCGCCGTACCTGCAGCCAGCGTCCTTGTGATCACACACATGCATATTGGACGCACCACCACAATGGGGTTTGCTCGAGCTACTCTGGGCAAGTCGGCGGGGGCTGAAAGAAGAGGTACGAGTATTGAATCGCAATATCAGTGCACTGGCGTTGGGGGCCGCATCGTGCGTGTTGCATTATGCAAATTTTAAAAAGAAGAAGAAGAAGAAAACAAAAACAAAGACGGTCATATTGTTGGTTGATTTGGAGCCGACCACCTGGTGCGCGGCGTCGTTGCTTTTTGAGCTGTTGTATGAGCTTGTCTGCTGCGGCTGAGCTTTTAGATGAACCAGGGCGTGTATGCATGGTCGCCGAACATCATGGTGCTCCCCCCCATTCGCAGCCCAAACCATATCACAGTCGAGGACGTCAGGATGATTCAGATCCTGTAAAGAATTGAGTAAAGATGCGCTGGCAAAGCAGTGCTCCTTCGTAAAAGCGGTGAGTTTACTGGGAGTTGTCGCACCTGGAAAGGCCCGGCGCGGACGGCTTGCGATAAGTCATGTCTCGGACTGGCGATCTCTGGTTATCGTCCTCGGGCTTCAATCGGTCGGCGAAGGCTCAGACACACAAGCCAGTTTGATTCGAAGTTGATCCAATACCAAGATTGATCTACCGTGCGGTGTGCGGTGCAGCGCTGCCAACACCATTTCCACCGCCAGACACCCTGTCACAACTCTAATTTAATGAGATTGCGGCTGCGAGATGCTGGTACGGCTGACCTGTCAATGCTGCAGGTCTCGCTGCAAGAAGCAACAAACAGGAAGGTGTGCGTGCACACACAGTGGCATTCGGCAGAGATTGCAACTTGCTACCAAGCCGGGCCCCTTGCAATTCCATGTTTCTTTTTCCTCCTCGCCGATTGCCCATCCAGACACGCTGATTGGCCAATTGTCCGAGGTCTTGGACAGAGGCGAAAACGTGGGGTTTGTGAGAGGCTTGAAGCTCCGCAAGGGGAATATCGTGCAACGCCGCTGTGAGACTGATTCTCGGGATTCGTGGATATCTCGGCCGACATTCAACCCCTCAGTGCTGGACTCTGAATCGCAAAATCGCAAAGTGATTCCATCTTGGAATTTGAGTTTTGACAGCGCAGCCATGGTTCCTGAGAGGCGTTGAGAGGCGTTGAGGGGGAAGGCCAGCATGGCGAATGAGCGATCGTCGTCGACCAAGCCACACAAGCCGATACCCATGCAACCATGTCCTGCTGGACACCATTATCTAAGCGATCTGGCTAAGGCGATGCGGGACCGCCGTTCCCTTGCTCGCTTGTGAAGAAAGACAAGAAGGCGTTGAGGGGGAGAAGAGGAGTACATAGTAGTAGCAAGATACTTCGCAATTAAGATACCAGCTAGGCCGTTGATTGGGCCATGTACGCTTGGTAGCTGCAGGAAGCAGATCTCATGCCGCCTCCATTGCCAAGACGTTGCGCCGGCTCATGATCGATCGGTCTGGATTCTCAGCCTCGGAGGACCCCGAGCGTGGCCGTGATGCGACGGAGACGGAGAAGGCTGAGTTGGCCCTGACCCCACTAGTCTGAAGCTGCGAATGGACCATTGATTTCGAGAGCGATGAATGCGGTATGTATTCGCGCTATCGACAGGCATTTGTATAAGCTGGAATGCAGCTTGAATGCAGCTTGAATGAAGCTGTGAGAAGCTGTGAGTAGCTGGTCTGAAGCTGGTCTGAAGCTGTATGCATGGTGGTCGGCGGTAGGTTTGAAAGAAGTTACTTTTCGAGTCCGTATTTGCAGCAGCCAAAGTCACTTGAAGCAGGGAGGAAGACTTGCTCCGCAGCTCCGTACTTCCACGTATCGTGCTATCACCAAGTCCCCTCAAAGCGTATGCATTAGCGTATCCATGTGTTAAATGGGTACAGAGCGCTACTACTACATACTTGCCGCTAGTGGGGAGGCAACTGCGACAAAGAGTCAGTTTAGTACCTGTAGGAGGAGGACGAGAGAGGTATACTCCAGGCTGCAGCTTGCTACGGGTACCTTACTAAGACATGGGCGGTGATGGGATGTGATTCAAAGCACTAGGACAGGTAGACGGCAAAATACGGAGTATTGCCCCCCCAAAAACCACAAAAACACCACCGCCTTTGCGATCGTCGCCACGATAGAATCATGGCTAGTGACAGTAGCGTGGCCCGTCACATCAACCACGCAGCTGACCGCAAAACTATCGCTGCCAAAAGCAATTCTCATCACATATAGCGCCTCTCGATCCACGCCGGTTCCTGAGCGATCGCGCCAGGGCACGGCAAACGAGACACACTAACAGGATTTGACTTTGGCGATGCAGTTGGTGGCTTCACCCAGAGCCCTGCCAAGACATTGATAGGTCCAGAGCCCAGAGCTCCAGGTACCTGCATCTCCTCCCTTGCATCGATCGAGCGATGAGTATGAGCATGACCATGACTCCCAACGCCGGCGTCGCATCGAGGCATTCTGCGGGCATTCTTGCAAACAGCGCGCGCGGATGAGGCGTCGCCCTGCTGGACTGTAATCACTGCCTGCCTGCCAGGTAGCTGTCATTAAGCTGACTGGCGAGGATGCTGTGTTGTGCTGTGCTCTAATATTGTACTCGTACAGGTATCAACCCCCAGCAAGAAGAGTCAACCGGCAAAACGCGGGCGTCGGACAGGACAGCAGAGGACATGGGCTCCTGTCGGCATGACGTCGCCCACACGGCATGCACGTACTTTACAGTCGCCCAGCGCAAGGTTTTGGCAGCGTGAAGCCACCAGGGACACCCCTGGTCTGGACTGAATTCCTAGCAGCTGGAGGACTGGGGTTCATCAGCCCATGATTACGAGGTGTGGCCGTGGTTGGCTTGGCCTGGACTAAAGCTGGGTCAGTTGGCTCAGACAGAGGCCAGGATTCTGCCGCAGGGCGACTTGTTTCGTTTAGTTTGGATCGCCCCAATCAAAGATGCGCCGCTATGCTGAAGCAGACTTGACGCACGCACCCACACACGTAATTCGGGATGCTCACCATCAAAGCGTCACCGTTCCGCACCGGGCTCTTGGGAAGTCGAGAAGCTGTTGGAAAAGAATCCAACCCATGGTACAACACAACAGGACACAAGACAAGCCACCAGAACGCAGCGTAGGCCAAGCCCAGTTCGGCGAAGCCCAAGCTCCTTGGCAGTACGAGCACTGATTCATGAAGCACAAAGTTACTACAGCCATAGGCACCAGAGTTCACGGAGGGGACGGGTCTTGGTTGGAGTCATCGACAATCGGAGGCGTCAATGTGGAGAAGTCCCAAGCTGCCGTAAGGCCTAGCAGGACGCCTCCAAGCCCTGGGCAAGCTGCTCAGCAGGACAAGAGCAAGACACTGCGAGCTTTCGCAGGTACGAGACGAGAGCCGGCCAAAGCCACCGCCCGGTCCAGGCTCCATCCGATACCCATGCTCCCAGGACTTATACTAGCCCTGCAATTCGCACGCCCCCAAGGACTAAGATTGGTCCTTGTACACGCCCTCACCTCCCACACCTCCGCATCATGGACGATTTACACATATATGGACCAAGCCATCTCCTCTCGGCACTCCGGAAGTTCCTGCATCACGACCTCATCCCCTCATTACCCCTCAAATCCAGGCCTCTGAGCTCTCAAAGGGACCAGATCGACCGAGTTTTGGATTTGCATATATCTTGGACGAATCAACCATCACTCATCTGATCGTCTGTTTCGCCACCTCCTGCATTTGTGTGCCAGATACGCCATCGCACGCACGAATACATCATACATCACCTCCTCACCCTCCCTCTACACTTAATTGGGCCGATCGATCCGCCTTAGCTTTGCATGATCGATTGAGTTTGCCATTCTAATTAATATATATTATCAACACCATCGCCCATCACAACCTCAACTATTTTCTCATCCATACCCCAAACGACTTACACCCACTCACACTCACACTTACAACAAACTTATCCACACCTACACACTAAACAATCACCATCGCCATCATGCCTATCTTCAGTGGCCTTGGCCAGCGACGAGGGTCTAAGCCTCGGGAGTTGCACATCCGCAAGGTCTCATTCTCCGGCTGCTCACTTGCTTCTACTTCGGACCGATCATTCTCTTCAGATTCAACAACATCCACAATCCGAGCCATCACTCCTCGCCTGGCTACCAGCGTCGGCACTGCTTCCAGCTTCGACTCCTTCTCTATTCACTCAGCCTCTCAACCTCCCAAGCGACTACATGACCGGCCATTTATCATGACTAACCAGCAACACTACGAGTCAGCGCCAACATTCTATGACAGCGAGGATGCCGAGAGCAGTGATATGGAGGCATCAGAGAGAGACTTTGACGGAGAGGATGAGGATCTGCCTCAGTTCACTATGGAACTACCTCATGCCAGCCCTGTGAGCCATCACGATTATGAGACTGTGGATGAGCCGCTGGACTACTTCTTCACGTACCTCAACAAGCGACCCTCACTACCAAGATCTCGCTGGTCGGAATCTACCATTTCAAGCATCGACTCACTGGAAGACATGACTCCCGTGACGAGCATGTCTGAACCTACCTCATCAAACATCATGGCCGACGCTGAACAAGCTGAAGCCGCTGGCGAGTCTACGCCCAGCACCATTACCTCTACCACTACCGTCCCCAAGAGGCCGACCTTCAAGACTGTTGACAGCTTTGAAGACTACGTCAAGCGTGGGGGCTGGAAGCGAAGAGGCATCGTCTTCAATAGCGACGAAGTGGATGCATTCTAAACTTGATCACACATCAACACACCATCTCCTATCAACCAGTATATTCTTTTCATGGCATATATTTATCATTATCAGCGATTTAACTTTTTTTTGGCGATATTAATCATCAACATATGCACGCTACACGCAAGACATTGAAGTCTACTTGTCTGTTTTTTCTTTTTGTTTTAAGGGCTATACGGGAAGGATTCACTGGGCACTTGGCGACAGCCTCGGATTATGGCTGGTCACAAAAAGAAGCGACGCTTGCAACACTGCACTTTCATATCAATGTCTGATATTTGGGAATTAGGGACGAAGCGAGGGCTGGGAAGGACATCGATTCGCATTGGATACCCGAGGGGGGTGGACCCAAGATTACCACACGCTACTATTTTCCTTTTTGTTTATTTTCTTGCATCTACTCTACTATAGCATATAGCTAGCTACTCATATGGGCACAAGGCCCTAAACACAATGCTCCAAGATTATCAATACAGAGCACAAACAACCATGACGTCCATCTCCATTGCTGAAAGTGACTAGAAAATTTTTTGCTCCCTTCTCTCATTCTAAGCTCGGCAATCACTTTTCGCAGCCGAAGCACCAAAACACCTATCCAGTCTGGGCCGTCGTCATTTCTCTCCACTCACGGGTTCTGGCGTGCCGTTCGCAAAGGCATGGGTTGCCGAGCCACGCGACTCTGGACACCAAACCCCTGGCTAGTCTTCTTTTTTTCAGCAGCCTTCTCTCTCTCTCTCCCTCGTCCATTTTTTTTCTTGCCGGCATCGTGACCTGGAAAAGGGCTCGGCAGCGCCGTCGCATGGTTGAGCCGGACCAGTGAGTGGATGCGGATATCAGGGCGGTGCTGCTATTAATAACGAGGGGAGCAGGGGTCTGTATGGTGTGCAAATTCTCGGAGGAGTCTCTCTCTTACTTGCATTCGTATGTACTCGCACATGCACAATTCCCATCGGGAATATAGACTAATATGTGGAAGACGATGGAAAGCTTACGAGTGGTTGGATGCGAAAATACACTCCGATGCAAGTCAACCTGTACGGCATAATCGATGCATATTCAGAGTTAGAGGGTGGCAAAATTTCTTGTTTCCGTGTCGCTTCAATTACTTGTACTGCGCCTGGTCGGTTTTACACACGCCCCTCGTTTATCGTTGGCTAGCCGCTGGAAGCGTATTTTTCTCACGATGCCGAATACGCTTTTTAGCCCTTGACGCGGCTCATCAAAGCTTTGCCGTGTGCCCGTGCCCGTGACAGCAGCATCTCCGGAGCGCACGATACTTCGTACGTAAAAACCTCTAGGATTTTATTATGGAGCTAAAAGAAAAGCTCGATTACGAGAAACGGCACCCCTACCCCCCCTGGCAAAAGTCTCTGATAAGGCTGAGGCCGCCAAGTAAGTTGTATGTAATTGGGTTTTTATTTTTCCTGATTGAAGCTTATCACACCGACATCATGTATGTAAGACGTGAAATGAAGGGACTGGAATCTTTCTTCCAGGGGCATCGGACAGCTGCACATGCAGAATCCTTTTGTAAAATGATACGCTGGGGGTTACATCACAGGTGAGGCGTCTTGTTGGGACGCAGCTGAATCTAGATCTTTTCTTCTTTTTTGCTTCTTCTCCTTTTTTACCCAATTGGGAATCTTGACAGCTATGTTAGATGGGCATCGCATAGAAGCTAGTCGTCCCAGTAATTAGACATCCATCACCACCGGGAAAAAAAAGGTGTAAAAAAAAAAAAAAAAAAAAGCAATGCCAAAAAGCAAAAAGGCGGTAGAGAAAATTTTCTAGTGCCGTGATGTTGCCAGCTGAGAATCCCCAGTAGTCTGGTTGTTAGTCCAACTAGACTTAGACGCCATCACGGGGCCTTTGAACCAATTTTCCTTAGATCCCTTTTTTCCCTTTTTTTTTTCTTCTTCTAAGGGCCAACAGCCTGGAGCTACTGTACGAGATTTGATGGGGGGCGGCAATTGTCCAAGCTAAGCTATAGGGCACCGCCTTTTTCTTTTCTTTTTTTCACTCGAAGAATCTGCCCTAAAAAGGACGGTGAGCATGATGTAAGACCCAGGAACCCTGAAGGAGCTCCCGTGCGCTCGGGGATCAACAGGGGCTGGTCCCTGTCAGATCCACGTGTTGGGGACTGTCTGAGCGTTCTCACAGGATTCCAGTGGGATGGTAATGGGCTCCGTAATACTGCTGTGCTGTGAGCCGAAAACGGATCAGGATTGGGTGAGACGCGCTGGAATGAGGCGGAGGGGTGCTTTACACGGAGGATCATAGCTTCGTGGTGTTAGGGATTGAGACAAGAGGCGGTGAATGGTGCCAGCGTGATGCTAACCTTGGTGATATTAGCCCAGAAATAGACTACAGGCACGCCGGAGGAGGAGATGGGAGAATAATAGGGCTGAACGAAACCATTGTGGATCGTGTATGGACTGCCCTTGTTAGAGAGGAGAGTGATAGTAGTCTTCTTCTCCAATCTCGGCATATCCGTACCTGTATAGGAAGAATTGCTAGTAGAGCAAGTGGTGGCACTCGGCAGATGGATTATCTAATAGCAGAGCAAGCAGTAGCAGGCAGGAATATACCAAGGCAATACTCTGCATAGTTTCATCATCTGTTGTACATCTTTGGCCGAACAGTTACTTGCGGAAGAAAAGATTTGAGTTTAGGTGCTCTGACTTCATATTCCAATTCCTATTGCATGGAATGTAACGATAAAGAACAAGGTAGCGATAGTAGATCAAAGTAGCGATAGTAGATCAAGGTAGCGATAATAGATCAAGGTAGCGATAGTAGATCAAGATAGCGATAGTAGATCAAGGTAGCGATAACAAAGGAGAACATAAAAACTATAGATAGAGAAAATATTTGACCTTGAGCCGCAACAGACTCCGCTAGTTGTCAGCATAGTCGTTCTGCAGTGTGCGTGCGTGCCCATGTGTAATGCGGGAGCGGGAAAGTTGTGTTGGTCGAGAACTTATAGGCAGAGGTGTTTATGAACTTACAATTATAGCCGCTGTTGAAAACAACGCGATTAGTACAGAATTCTTCAGAGCAATAACCGCGTGACTTACCTCTTCATCAACAGCCATCTGAATGATTGGTCATGCTATGTTAGCACCGCTTTCGTGATTGCCGTACATTAGGCAGAGATTGGTGCGTACCTCTTCGTCGAGTTCGGCCTATAAGTTCATTCTGTTAGTCTTTCATCCCTCGTCAATGCACATGCAACGGGTGGGGGGATGGTTTGCATACCATTCTGGCCGTCACGAGGTCCTACAATCATGTTAGCGTTGATAAACTCAAGTACATATGTCTGGGGGGACAACTCACGTCAATCTCTGCGAGATTGTCCTCCTCGGAGGGCAGTTTCTACGGCCGCCTTTTTTTGCCATTCCTGTTCCCGTAATTTTTAGTTAGTTTAAATACCAAAATGTGCCAAAATGTGGCAAAGATGGACGCACCACAATTGCATCGACGTCCTTCTATTTGATCAGTCAGCGATGAGCACACAAGTTGAAATATGAAACTGGGGAGATTCTTACAGCTAATCGAGTTTTATGAAACTAAATAGCATTTCGATTATAGTTAGTAAAACGTTATCATTACCTCTCTTACCAAAAGCTGCACGGTGGAATCTTACAGCGATTTTGCCGCGTGTTTCCTAGAAGCACTGAGTAAGCATTCATTCTCATGTAAAAAGGATGGGATAGATTCATACGGCGGCTCGTTTAGTAAGAAACTAAAAAAGAAGCATTAGTCAATTGAATGTACCTTGTTGTTGTTGGAATCTGCTTACCGTCACTTGCTCCAGGGAGTACTGGGGTAGCGCATGTATGTCAGTGTCGTGTAAAAACCGAAAGCCGAAACAGAGATCCTCTCACTTCTTTGGGGAGGCCACGGGGGGAGGCGGCTGCGATGTTGTCAATGCAATTGTTTCGCACATGACTTGGGCATTTTCGCCCTTTCGGGCATTGTTGTCAGATTTCTATTTCTAAGGATCAGCAAAACGTTTGCCCATTCATCAAATGGGGGCTGCTTAGCAAAACGTATAGCTACTAAACTTACGTTGTTGCGTCGGGACTGAGTCAACGTTAGTCACACAAGTCTGAGGAAGGCCCAAAGGATTTCGTGGTGATACTTACGGTTCTGGTTCGCATCATTCTGAGCCCGCCATTAGCAAAAAAAGAACGTTAGCCGCGTTGGCAAGACGACTGCATCTTATTGACATGATTTGAGCTGCCGAAAGCACCAGTTAGTCGGAGAGCAGAAGCGACAGAAATGTATTGTGAGAGAGTAACAAAAGTGCAGTCTTTGCCGTTGGGCTGCTGTCAGAAGACAGTCGGCTGGAATATGGATGATGATGGTATGGGAAGAAGAGAAGAGGAGAAGGAAGAGAGAGAAAGGAGGAAACATCAAACTCCGAGAGGTAGGTATGGTAGGCAGGCAGCAGGTTGGGCAAAGTGAATGACCTGGCAACTGGCGCCGGCTGTTCTATTATTCCACCTCACCACCTTGGGCGCCTGAGAGAATCGCACCTTCCTGCTAGGTAGTTACGAGACATCAATCTGCCTACCAGGTACCTACGTATCTATCTAGCGATTTTATTTTTTATAAGCCGGTAAAACTGCAAGGTTAAATTTCCTGTACGCTTTTCTGGGAGCCTAGAAATCTCACCAGAGAGCTCATCAAAGAATAAAAAAGGGAGTGACTATCCAGCAACCCACTCTTAAATTTAAAGTGGCTTGGGTAGTAATGATAGAAGATATTGGAGGAATATACAGATCGTAGCAGAAGGTAGCGATAGTAGCAGAAGGTAGCGATAGTAGCAGAAACTCCAGGTACCGTGTAATGACTATTCAAGTAATGGTGATAGAAGATCTTCATTATACGTCGTAACATCATTCAGAACTCCTCTTAGTCGCTAGGGTGATAGATAGCCAGCTTGGGGTGCTTAATAATAACCCCGTCTTGAAGCAATCACCAGAAAGCGGCCCGAAAGCATGTTCAAAGCTAACCTGGAACAGGAGGATCATTCTGACACAACCAACATACACTACTACAACCGATTGGCAGTTGCACCCAACGACGCAACCAGGATACTGGGAGAAGAAGACAAAACATGGGCACCACTCATTACGTGAGGAGCAAGCGGAGATGGCATCGCGCCAGACACCAGCAAAACGCAAGAACACGAGCTCAAGCCGACAACTGGGCAAGAAGACAAAGGCTGCGCCAAAAACGACCATACCAAACCATGGCCACGACGACAATTTCTGGGCTGCCACCCCATTGTAGGTATCTGGACGAGCAAGTCGGGAGAAGAGCTCCCATACATGGTATTTGTGGAGCCGCCTGGGTAAATGTGGCTGGTGAATCTGCATTGAAGCAAAGCAGACTGGATTGATCAACTATCGATAGTATCATCAAGTAGCAATAGATTGCCGCAAAAGCGACAAGTTTATCGAGCAGAAAGTGATTGATCATTTACCTGAAGCCCGAAATGGTTTCACATGTTTGTGGCTTGCTGCAAGTGTGGCGTTGGCAAGCCAAGGTACCCCCAAAACATGGAGCTCTCGAATCGGGTAATTGTGGCGCCACGGATGTGTGGCTAGTGAATCTTGTTGTGTTGCTATGCCAGGGTTTTTCTGTTCGCTCCAGAATTTTGTATCAAACTCCGGGACTCTGCATCTCGTCCATCCGACCAATCTCTGCCATTCACGTCGCGGCTTCATTGGGCCCCCGTCTCCAGCTCTGCTCCCTTCAGCCCGCGTCGCGCCTCAGGCAGCTATCCTTTTCTCCCAATCTCGTCCGCCATGGCGCCGCTCATCCTGCACAATGTCCCCGATGACGAATGTTATGTCGGCGAGGACGGCATCAAGCGACCCTACGCCATGATCTATCCGTAAGCATCGTCGCATCCACCTCTCGCGATCCATCACCAGCAAGCTGACATTGCCATCGCCCCTCAGACACGAAGGCACAACCAGAACACGGCGCAGCGTCGCCGAAACAGGCTCTTTCGGCAAGTCAACAAGACGGTCTCGCTCTAAAACAGGGACGCCGGCTCGCGGTCGAGAGAATCCCACGCTCGCCGCCGCAGACAAGCTCTTCTACGACTGGGTATCGAACCAAGCCAACTCCAACCCTCCCTCCAACTCCAACCAGCGCAAGACAAACGCCGGCGCCGCCTCAGGCGCGCAGGAAGATGCCGTGCCCCAACGCGCCGCCGTCCAGTCCTCCCCCGTCGAGCTCATCCTGAGAGGCTACCGCTCATCGACACAACAATACGCTGCCATCGCCCACTACGAGTCTCTCGCCGGCCTCATCCTCGAAGATTATCCCAGAGAACCCCCGTCTTCTCTGAGACGATACAAGTCGGAGCTACGCGATCCCGCATTCACGCGCCGCCGAAACCTCTCCGCCGAAGAGCGCGCCCTCGTCAACCGCGCCGATGGCGGTGAGCACTGGGTCAAGGTGACGTTTGCCAGTGCAGAAGCCGGCAACGCTGCCGTCTACTCCAGCCCCCAGAGAATACTAGGACACCTTGTTTACGCTGAGCCCTACCGGGGCGTGGCTCCAGCTAAAGACGAAGCCTGCCCAGACATTGAGCAGCTGGAAGAGGGGCGATCAAAAAGCGTACCAAACTTTGCGCCTCCCAACCTCGCGCATGCCCAACGGAAATCAGTGTCGGGTCTCCCCACGACGTTTAATAGCCGTCTCCTCGACCTTTCTCCAGCTGAATCTAGAGAGTCTAGCCAGACCTTCAACACCGGTACTCTGACCAACTTCTCCAGCGCCACCATTACCGAGCCCATACCCTTTGCATTGACATCCAGCATCGAGCCCCTGGAGATCGATCAGGAAGATAGCATCTTCTGCAGACGCATCCCTACCGCGCGCAAGGCCCGTCTTCTCCCCGCCGAACAAGCCCTCCTGCCGCAGCAGTCAGTCATGCAGCGCATTCTCAACGCACTCCCCATCATCAAGTGGTTCTCCGGCAGCATGATTGGCAACGAGGTGCCTCGGACGGAAACGGGCGAATTCGACTGGAATCGCGCCAGTCTTTACTGGAAGGTTATCTGGTGGCTCGATGCTACGTTTAGTCTGTTCAAGGGCGATGTGTATAGCATCGATAAAGACGATTAGATGAGTGGATGGTTGGTGGTTAATACTGGTTGGATGAGCCAACGTCTTTTTTCTGGTTTTCCTATTTCTTTTTTTCACTCTTTTCAGGCTTGAAGCTGGAACGAATATTCACGATGCGAACGAAAGGGGGGTGGATGAATAGACGGAGCAGGACATCCAAAAACAGCGTTCGTTGAAAGGGATGCAGCGCACATAAGTCGACGAGCTGCTAAGCAGCCAAAGACGGGAGGGTTCACAGCATCAGCATCACAGGGTACCTAATCATGACTCTTGTAGGCGTTTACTGGTGGATAAAAGGGAATGTCCGTATGTAAGATGAAGCTTTTTTTGTTTTTATTGTAAATGGAAATCTTCGGCGTCCACAGATATATCTTGTGCTTTTTTGGTGACACCACTTTTGGATATGTGCTTTAGACATCTAGGTAGGTATGCAAGAAACGAGAGAAGTAAAAAAAAAATAAACTCTTTGCCGCCTTCCCAAAATCCATATTCTTCAAAACAAAGGAAAAAGTAAGCAATCTGTCAAAATCATTTCATGAAGCCATTCAATCATATAGACGGGCAGAGAAAACCAACACCAAACCATGCTAGAGACCAAGAAAAGGAGAAAGAAGGGAAAATAGAGAGAAACAGAGAGATGAGAAAAACCCTTCCCCAAAAAAAGGGGGGGGAGGGTAGGGGACTCTACATCCCAAGTAGATGCCCCTATGTCGCCTCAGGAGAAAGCTCCAAGTCGTTCATTGGATTGAGCGAGTCTCTGTCATCGAAGTGGGAGTCGAATCTCAACAGTCTTCCTCTTTCTTCTTCTTCTTCATCCTCCTGTTCATGCCTCGGTTCTGCTTCATAACCGTTTTCCCGCTCCGTTTGCTCCCCGCTGTCATCATCTGAGAGTGGCTGGCTCTCCGCTTGCACTGACGGTTCTCCGGCCCATGGTTGGACTTCATCCTCATCCTTGTCGTCTTCTTCTTCCTTGATGCCCTCCTGCATAATCGGTGGAAACAAGTCATCTTGGAGAGTAAGAGATGACGGGCCAACAAGATTATCCAACAAGTCATATGTCACGTCCGTGGGTGCCCGCCGAATCGGCTGTGGAGAAAAGGGACGGGCATTCCGTGGCTTGTTAAAGTCAGCCGAGAAGACGCTCTCAGAGTCGCCGTTTGGTTTGGGGTCTGAGGCCAGGGCAGCAAGCGCCTGGTAACGATCCGCGTCCATTAAACTCTCGCTTCGTGGTTCAGACGTCGTGTCGGCGAGGATGCTCTTTGGCGGCAGGATAGAGAAGAGCTTAACCCCCTCCCCACCGCTTCCACCAGCACCATGGATGCCATCCTCCTCAATTGCAAACAAGTCCTGGCCTTTTTCCAGGACGTCATCCAGGCCACCGCCACTCCAGCCCTTTCTAGCCAAGCTTTCGAATATGTCCACTTCGGCTCGCACAAGGCTGCAACTAGCATCGACAATGCGCGCACTCGTCTCCTGACTTTCTCTTAATAGTGTTCTCGCATGGTCGCCATGCAGACTCGTCAGGCCGTCGAGTTTATAAGTCAACTCGACGAGATGGGCTCTGAATCGAGCAACGTCCCTGCGCCTCTGCTTATGCAACTTTAGGCCTTCCTTTTCCAGGCGCTTAACCTCTCTGCTCTGTGCCTTGATGCTTTGCTGATATGTCTCCTCTTCGTCACCAATGACGGTTTGCCACTTATCGAGCTCGTGGAGCAGGGGTACTTCGAAAGAGCGGTAGACAGTCTCGGACAGAATCTGCTGGTGGTTGGCAATCAGATGATGCACTCCCGATGCAGACATGAGCGTATCTGCAGTGCATTGACCCTTGGTCGTGAAGCTGGCCGTCATATTGGTAGCCCCAGCCGGGCCAATGGGCTCTGACCGCGCCTCCTTGAGTCTCGCACATGCTTCCAACGCCGAGCCAAAGGTAGAGGCAGCCGTGGAAAGCGCAGCGAGGGCAACCCTATAGGCCTTGGCCGAAGTCAACAGTTCCGCATACGCCTCCTGGGACCGCTCGAGGTCTGCGTTTGTTATGACGGCATGCAACGGGCGTGGGGGAGGCGGTAAGGGCAGGTTGTACTGAGAGAGCGGCATAGCAGTCGACGCGAGAGAATAGACGGGAGACTCAGGCATCGGAGGCAGCTGAGAGGGCGTCGGGCTGGATGATCGAGAAGCAATCGGCGTCGCCATGCCTTGAGGATGTAAGTGATATCAAGTTTTATATGCGAGAAAGCAGGCAATTCCGCTGATGCAGATGCAGCGACAAGACTCGTTCGCGGTCGCAGCACGGATATTATGGAAGATGGACGCTTCGCTGCCTTATTGATAAGAGCAGAGCAGAGCAGGGCTGGAGGCAGATACCGTATGTAGTTGGATGGAAACGAAAAGCAGCGCGGGCCAGCAGCAACAACGGCAACTGTAAAAAAAAAAAAAAATATCGTCAGACGGTCTGGGCTGCAGACTCGACAGGAGAGAAAATGGCCAGGCCGCAGCACATGGCAGAACGCAGCGGCGTACGAGATGAACGCAGGAGCCGAGTCTGTATTGTACAAGTTATGGACGAAATGTTATGTTAGGTATCGGTATCAGGCCGGGTCGAGGTTCCCTGCAGGCCCCCACAGGGCGGTAAGACGTGGAGGGGTCTGGCAGAAACAGCACCTCATCGTTAGCGACCGCAAAGCCTGCAGCGTCCCATTCTATAGCGTGATCAGTTGGCGCAATGCCCGCTGTGGCCATCCATAAGCCGCCACGCATGACACCTGACGTCAATGCAGAAAAAAAAAAGAGTTGCTGTCGTGCCCTTATCGCGGCCTGTTATCCCTTGTGATGCGGGAAGCCTGGAGGCAATTTGATCAGTGCAAGTGCATTGCATCGCTATCATTTAGGGGGGGTGACGTGGTTTCTGGGCGTCAAGTGCCGATTTCAAGCCACAAAACACAAAACCACCAACAACATGAACAACTACAGGCAGCATTACGAATCCCCTGTCTGTGGTGTTGCCTGCCTACAACAAGGTATTATATCCTGACTCTATCCCCCCAGCAATTGAGTGAGACATTGATGATCTGATCTGCTCCATATAAGCAAGCACATGTACTAATACTCCGTCCGTGCTACTACTAGCATACTGCATCAATCTGTTAGCAGCAGATGGGGATGGAGCTGTTGTCAGAATATTAGTACATGCATGGAATACAGCAGCGGATGATCCCCCCTCTTGGTTGCAAGTCTCCGTCGCTCAAGTGGGACAGATGCCCTTGTTTCTTGCATTGGCTCAAGCGCCTACGAGTTCACGTTCCCACTCTTTGCTCCGTTGGCTCATCTCATACCCAAACTAAAGGATTCTGCGGAGGCAATACGAAGCACGTACAGACATGCAGCGATTCGACTCGCCGTGCCTCATCCCAACGATCCCAAGACCCTCAGTCAATCTATCCATCCAGCACTAGCAAGTCATGTCCCAAGGCCAGCTAAGACAAGTTCTCGTCGATAAAGGCCTCTACATCGTCCAGCTCGTCCTCACAAGTCGCATGACCCAGTCCGCTGCCCACCACCAAATTGTTAGCATGACCCGATATTTTCAGCGCTCAAATACAGCCAGAAAGCACTCACGGATACACATCCCACGAGATTGAGAATCCCATCGCCGTCAGCGCGTCTCGGCTCTTCTTGGCCAACCCCAGCGTCACCATGCGGTCTTCTATGCCGTGACCCAGAAAGATGGGCGTCTCTTTGTTTGCATTATCGTCCGGGACGTATTCCATGAAGTTTTCGATGAGTGGTAGCCATGCCGAGAGAAGCACGACGCCAGCAAGACTCTGCGGAAACGTCAGGCCGGCGAGAACTGCCACCACTCCACCCTGTGAGAAGCCAGCGAGCAAGATGCGTTCTGCCGGAGTTCCAGCTTTGATTTCATCCTTGATGAGGCTTTGGATGTAGTCTCTGCTGGCGAAAATGCCGTCTACGTCCTCATCAGTCTGGAGCGCATCTGGCGAACCGTCGTAGACTTGCTGTAGCACCATTAACATCACGTAACTCAGATCCGAAAGGCTAGGGAAAGCATCCATACAATGTCAAACCACGCAGGGATAAACTCCCCCGCTTTCTATATTTGCATCAGCCTTGGAATCACAACCTGCCACTGAAACAGAGCACTTACCGCCGTGAATGCAATTACAGGCGCATAGGGAAGTACAAACTTGATGTGGTCGACTTGCCCTCTCCCCCTCCAATGCTCAATCGGCCCAAGTAGTACATCTGGGGTGTCGCCTAGGCCGTGCATGAAGATTATCGTTGCCGTATGTTCAGCCAAGGCGTCGATAACGACGGGGTCTGTCCGAAGAGCAACTGATTTACCCTTGTCCACCATTCTCGGATATTACAAATAAAGCACAGTCTGAATGTTATCAACACTTCACAAAAAAGTGGTGGTGTTACAGCGCCAGGAACGTTGAGGCAGGCGATGGGTGACACAGATCCAGGCGTTGAAACCAAAGCAAGAGGGGACGAGTCAATAATGAGCACAATGTCGAAATTAGCATTTCGCCCTGATTTATACCGTATTTCCAGCGACAGCGCATCATCTATATGTCTGAGACAGCCTCGTGTATGCTGCATAACAACCCCCAGTCATACGCTACAAAATCAATGCAGGGTAACCTCCCTGCGACCAACCAAAACGCCTTGAATGCATGTTCCATATCATTTTGATTGAATGGCGCGTCATCCTTGCAGCTTAATGGCCTGTTGAGCTTAATTAATTTGATACTGGCGTTGATTGGAAGGAATGGTTGCTTTTTCTGAATCTCACTGCCATGATCTGTGCAGGTGGTTGGTGATTATAGTTCGTAGGATGTACACATGACATTATGGGAGGCCCACAACATCAAGGGAAGCAGGGCATTTTAAGAAGAATGAACGAAAATGCATCGGTCCTCCAATCAGTTACCCAATCGCTTATCCTCAACAGAATGTGGTCCCTGCATCACTCGTGCGGATAGTCACACTCTCTCCAAGCTGGTGAAGAAAATGAAAACACATATCACACCCAGCATAGGAGACTAATAGCTCGCAGGATCATGCTTTTCGTATCCCAAACCAATCAATTAAACATGCTATTGCATCCCACTCATTCCCGGATTAAAAAAAAAGAAATATACACAGCGATCATCCCATCGCTAGCCCTCTCGGTCCGTCAATCGCACCAGCCCGATGCTTTCCCAAAACGCCGAATATCAGACATTTATGCAGAGCCGACGAGGAGGCCGTTGAGAGGAATGTGTACTACATCGAGACCCAAGTTAGCCACCGATACTTCCCACGCAATCACATCTTGGAGCGGATAGAATGTTGGGAACGCACTCAGCTTGACGATGAATCCGACAGCGCCCATGACGCCAAAGCCGATGCCAACAGCCTGGCACAGCTTGAGAAACTCCTTCTGGTCGGCTAAACAAATAAAACAAGACGTGTTAGCTTGGGCGACGGCAATCCAGAGGTAGAGCAAGGACACGTGGTGGGAGATGCGTACGCTTCTGGCAGCGGTTGATGAACTGCACGCCGTCCTTGAAGAACTCGCGGGGAACCTCGAGGATCTCCTCAACTTGATCGGCCATTGTGGAAGTGGTGGAAGGGTTGGCGCGAAGATGCGGTTGTTTGGATGCAATTGGTGCGTCGCGTGGGTTGGGAGGAGGGAGAGAGAGTGTGGTGTCGCCGACGATTACAAGAGGATGCTATGTTTTAAGCACCATTTCTGGAGTATTAAAATGCCACCTCGCCTCAATGGGCGTGGGGACCGGGGAAGTGTTTGGCCGGGGTTCTGCCGGGGTGGGAAGAGCTACCTATCTATCTAGTCTCGTCTAGAATGTGCCCTTTTGGGATGCTGGGAATGGCGTCCTAGTTTGGCCAAATATCCACTATCTATCCCATTGTGAAGGGAGTGGCTTGCCAGACGCCAATTTGGCCATTTACCATTTAAAATGTGTGTGGAAAATTGGTAAAGATATATCTACTCTGGCTACTTTTCTACAATATAGCTACATCTATCTACTAGATCTAGGTAGCGATAGTAGCGCAGCTTTATGCGGATAGCTGTACTATCAGATACTAGCTGGAGTCTGTGGGAATAGCTCTACTACCACATAATAGCTGTGATTTCCGTGAATATCTCTACTATCAGATAGTAGCAGAATGTAGACAAATCTCTTGATACCTTCATATCTTGCAACCTAGCTCCCGCATTTGTCATACATAGAGCCAACACATTCACACTGGGATCTGACTTCTCTCCTCTTCCACTTCTCAAGCTGTGCCAGGCCGTCGGCATAGGATTTGGCGTCATGGGCGATGCCGGCTTCATCGTCAAGCTGAATACTATTTACCATACGCAGATGAAATACACTCACACTAGGCTGGCTAGATACACACTCTCTTCTTCCATTTCTCAAGCTGTGCCAGGCTGTCAGCATAGGATTTGGCGTCATGGGCGCAGTTGGGTTCATCGTCAAGCTGAGTGGATGAGAGGGTGAATGAGTGAGTGCGTTTTCGACTCCCTTTAAATAGTCATCTCAACGGCCTGGTATTAGGAAAGATAGAGATTATAAGGCAGGGGAAAAAAGGACCGTGATTGCCATTAATCCCTAGGCACCATTGACTACGCTGTTCATGCATTTGCCTAAAAAAACCCTCCAGATCCAGGTTGCCGCCCATGCAATGCCATAAAAACCAAAACCTCCACCAGAAACGCCTCTGCAATGTTATATAAAAGATCGGTACATCTCCCAATTTCTCACACTTGAACTGCTCCTGGACCTGCTTCTTCCACGGATTCAGGATTCGGCAAAGACCACCCCTTATTCTTCTCCGAGTCCTTGGGTCCGCAGCGCCACGAACATGCCCGATAAAGAAAGGGCACTGCCATCTCCTTCTCATCCTTGGTAAATGGCCTCGTAACCATCTCTGTAGTGTTATATTCTACCGATGTAAAGATGGTGCCCCTGCATATCTCCCGCCACTCAATCCATTCGAGTCGAGGCACAATGAGTGTCTTTCGACATGTTGAGCAAATCAGCTCGCCATTATCTTTCTGCCAAGAGGCGCGCTGCAACAGTGTTTTGAGGTGTGAGAGCCCTTCTGGAATATACGAGTCGAGTTCACGAAGCTGGCTGGTGCGATAGCAGCTCTGCAGCGCTAGCTCGACTAAGCTGGGCACAACACTTGGCCTCGCCTCCTCTTTAGATGACCGTGGGGAATAGGAAACTGAGAGACCAAACTGATCACTAGACACCGCGACTGGCACATGTATTTCCGCGAATTCCTCTCCTGATGGAAGACGGAACTCTGACAGAATCTGGCCATTAGAGTCAGAGATCTGTAACGGAGATCGGCCAAGCCATCGGGTCAAATATCGTGGGACTGTGTCATGATCGAATATCCATTTGTATGTGCGTGTCTCGTACGGTGTTGGTTGGAAGAGCCTCTGACCGTCATCTTCGACAGACGGAGCGGGTTGCTCTGGTTGTAGGAACGGATTGACAAAGAGGGACAGTTCACGAAAGTTCCCCCCGACCTTGAATAAATCGAGAAACTCGGCAGGCAGATGCCTAAATCGGTTCTGCGATATGTTGAGTTGCTTTAAATTCCTTAGCTTTGAGATTGCTGAGGGAAGCTCTGTGAGCTGGTTCCCACGGAGGCTTAGCACCGTGAGATGATTGATATCGAAAAGTGAGCTAGGTAGTCGTGTCAATCTGTTCAATGACAGGAACAGCTTCAGCTCCGGCTCCTTCTGCACAAAGGCCACGTCCCTAGCCACGACCGGGATACAAGCAATTTGACTCATGCGATGGACGATATCATCCGATAATTCCTCCAAGCCCATGGACCAAAGATCTATCGCTTCATTGCCCGACTCTAGGCAGTCTTGAATCTTGCGCAGAGCATCTATTTCTGCCTGAGACAATCGAGGCACGGCCCGGGTTCCCAACTGCGGTAGCTTTGGCAGAGCCGGGAGTTCCAAGCCGTCCATAAGGTCTTCGCCATCGGTGGCATCACTCCCAAGAAAGACACCACTGTCGAAATCCCTCTTCAAAAAGCGTTTTGTCTGAATGGGAGCAGGGGTAGCATCATCTGCCGTTTCAAGCTGTTGCTGAAACCATGATCCAACGTAGCGCCTCTTGTTTCTCCCTTCCACATAGTTGTCAAGGCCCGGGTCATCGTCACTAGAGAAGACAGCAGGGTCGCTGGAATTGAAATTCAAGGGCGACGAAGGATTCCCTGCCCGCGAACTACGGTGACGCTTGCGGGGCTGGTTGGAGAAGCTTTGGGATTGCTCATCCCACGAGACCGCAGGCAGTCGAGGCAACGACGGCTCTTCAGACATTTGACAGACAAGCACAGACGTGCCAAACAAATCTACCTGAAACGTGTAAATTGCAAATCCAACTTTTCAAAGGCCGGAATACAGGTATAACGACGTGACGACGGCAGAAACGCGCCCAACGCGTTGAGAGGGGGCTAGGCGTAAATAACTTGCAGCGCCACCAGGAGAGGCCCCACGCTTGGCCTCCACCCTTGTCGCGTGCGTTCTGTATTTTGTGACGGCTCGAGATATTCTGCCTGGCAGGCAGATATTGCGTGGCAGAAGCTGCTCTACTCTCTGTATTCGTACGCGTGGGGAGATGCTACCATGTCCTACTGTACCAGGCTTCGTGATGCCTTCATCATCAGAATCAGCATCCCAATATTGCATGTTCATAGCATTAGAATTTTTTTTTAGCTTTTGTCCGTCAGCCCAGATTGGCCCGTGGTTGCATTGGCCTCCCTAGAATCCTAGCCCCCGCATTTTCATCGGCCGGCGCAAAGACCCCTTATTGTGGCTGCCATAAGCTACCAGGGTATAAACCAATCCATGGATACCTGCCTGCGAGTCTCCGGCATTCTCTTGCTGACCTAAACCTCACGTTTGGGACAAGTCTTGGGCGCTGGGGATGATGGAGGGTTGCAGGTGATATTAAGTCGAGACTCGTGCTTGGGCTGCAATTCGAAGCGGATGTCGACTTGGGCTGAGACTGTTTTCTATATAGCCCTTGCTCAATCCCAATCGTCGTCGTCATCGTCAACTTGCGCTCTCCCAGCATTGCTCGTTTTGATGCTCTTGCCGGCCAACCGCTCCTCTTCAGCATCCTCCGCTGCTCTCCTCCTCTTGACCACTCGCAAATCAGAATCAGGCACGGCGCCAACCTCAACAAGAAGGTCATCAATCTGCCTCATGTTGGTCCGAACGCCAGCTAGGGTCATGAGTGTCACAATCTGCTTTACAATATCTCCCTTATTGTAGACCAAGATTGTAGGGCAGTTTCGATCCGGGTAGTTTTCAATGGCCTGGCTTGCTCGAATCTCGCAGAATTTGATGTCGCCGTACTCCTTTGCAGCTTGCCTCCAGAGCTCTGACAGAACCCTTGATTCCACATTGCCCGAGGTGGATGTGAGGTTGACGAAGACAGGGCCGTTATTAGAAGCCTCCGTAATTTCGCGCTGATAGTCGGGCTTGGATATAGGGTATACGGAGCCGTGGATAGACTTCTTCTGTAGATTGCTCAATTCGGCCATGCGCTTCTGGCGATACTGTTCCAAAAAGGCATCGTCTTCCTCGTCTTCCAGCTCGTCGAGCTCGTCCAAGTCTTTGCCCTCGAGTCGATTCTCATGTGCTAGTCTTCTGGCCTCGAGAATGGCCTCTTCAATCATAGGCGTAGGACTAGGTGGTTTCTCGGGGATAACGCCATGTTTGCGCAGAATGTCATTCCTATGGAGGGGTCAGATTGTTGCGCATCGACCATCGCGGGGCAGCCTACCATTCAGTGTCTGCGTTGGGGTCGTCGATTGGAACGGCGATTCTTTGTTCTGAAGGAGCAGCCATAGTGATGGCCTTGGTTGAATGTAGAGATCTGAGTAGCTGTGACGAGAGGCCAATATGCGGAAACAGACGTCAGATAACAAAACGGGACAGTTGCATGAAGCAGAGTAGCTTCACTACCATTGACAGCTGGCGTCGTGGGGGGCCGCGCAAATCTCCAGGCAGACAATAAAAAGGAGCCATCTTTTTTGGCTGCCTTGGACACAAAACGCCCCCATAGCTCCGATTCTGCACAAAGGCAGTGCATAAATCCCCATATTTCCTTAGTCGCGGATTCACAATTTTTAGCGCAATGGAGCTTCTCCAGCTCGACCCAATCGCTAGGGGCCAAAACTCCGTCACGTGCTGATGAGCGGCCAAACCCTATCACGCTATTCCGTTCTGGACAAAAAATTCCAGTTGCCAGCGAACGAGAATCGCCCCCTCAATGTGCACCGAACTTTTCCTCGCTTAACTCCTCTCACTCCAGCTTGCGAGCCTCAAATCCATTGCCAGATTTCGTCAAGTACCGACCCTCGCAAGACACTCGCCGGCAAATTTTTTTTCGAGACAATCAGACAAGATGGTGAGCGACACCCCAACCTTTTTCTGCCTTTGGGAGGATGAATCGATGCGATGTTTGGGAATATCGGGATGGCGGAAGGATACTCGTCGCCTGATGACGAAGGGCATCAAACTTTTTTTTTGGGCCACCACGCGGAGGGACGACCCGGATTGAATTGCATCGATGGGATATTTGGAAATTGGGATACACGACATCCAAGGGGAAACATAATTGCTGACTGGATATTGTCATAGGTGCTCGCTGTTGACCTTCTCAACCCTTCAGCGGCCTCTGAGGCCAAGAAGCACAAGCTCAAGGTACGAACCGAATCGAAGCCATCACGAACCACACCACCGTATATGCACCTGGGTTTCTAACGTTAGATTCCTCTGTCTAGACCCTTGTTCCTCAGCCCCGATCCTTCTTCATGGACGTCAAGTGCCCCGGCTGCTTCACCATCACCACCGTTTTCTCTCACGCCCAGACCGTTGTCATCTGCCAGGGATGCACCACCGTCCTGTGCCAGCCTACCGGTGGTAAGGCCAGATTAACCGAGGGCTGCTCTTTCCGAAGAAAGTAAACTGCCCGCGGGGCGGCTTTCTTTCCTTGGGTATTGATGACTCTTATGGTTATATGGTGGTGATCATCTCGGATCTGCAAACAAAACATCATCGACGTGGGGGATAGACAATATACCTTGCGAAAATAATCAATCTCTTTGCAGATAGAAGATGGAACACCCAACACAGGGGCGTTTGGGGGTCTCCGGATATCTTGCATGGCACATCATTCTTCTCGTTTTTCCGTTTACGCGCCTTGTACCACAGAGTCGTTTCTTGAGGCAGGAACAAAAATAAAAAGCACTGCATGGGTGTTCAGCTGGAGAAAGCATTCACTTGAGTGTCTAGATGGATCTTGATGGATTGACTAGGCGCGATGACGTGGAGCCGCTGATTTGAGGATCGCTTCATACCCGGAGTGCAGTGGGTAGTGGAGGATGGCACTGTGCTTTTGCGAAATTCAAAGGTTTCCACGAATATTGCCGTCTTGTCGCCATCTGTGATTCCCGTGATGTATTGCGTGAGGCCGAACTGTGCTGAAATGCCCATCTGCTGTCCAAATCTCGAGCTAGTGCCCCATGAAGACGAACGGATCTAGCTCCGTAGCCGTAAATACGGGCTGTCTATATTAGTTCGACAAGGGTTATTGATGGGTGTGATTCTTACAAGACCGTTGAGCATCACTGTTGTAAAGCATGTCGATGTCTATGGTGAAGGGAGTGTACCTAATAGTTCAGTGACTACCTGCTGGATAGTTTAAATGTTGTAAAGAAACGGAATATCTTTCATCTACTCCCTACCTCTTAGTTCTTTATTACCTATATGCTGCTATCACTGCCTCTTCTTGCACTGACTTTGTCTAGTATCTGCCATCATCACTCGTAAAAACATGGGAAATTGTTTGGGTACCCAACCAGTGCCCAGACCAAGCAGAGCGGGGGTGCTGCCCGATATCTTGTATCTGATCTGTTGGTTCTGAATGAGTGTCGAGGAATTATATTCCTCATTGGTCTCGAGGAGCATTGACACATTCCTTAAGCCACATTTGCCCTTCGAATTCTGGACAACAACGGTTCAACTCAACCAAAACCACATCTGCTCAAGATGGGGCACCACAATATCCGTTTTGATGGAGATTCTTACTCTCTAGTTGGCATTTGGAGTCCTCCATCAAGCAGGGCCAAGTATATAGCACCTCATATCACATTCTGGAAGTGAGTGGAATGCTGACCTGGGGACAGCTTCTGTGAAGAGGACTATTCTATAACACTGTACTTGGCTGAATTCATCAACTCACTTACGAACCTCGCATATGGTATGTCCAAACTTGTCAAACGTCTGTACTGCGATCACTTAAGCAGAACTCAACATGGTGAGAAAATTACCGCCATTGTATATAACTAATATTACTTGTGGCCAGTGTACTTCGCTCTCCAATACATGTATGGCCCTGGAAGCCGTGGAATCTTGGCAACCAAGTTGGATTTCATGTCCATTTCGCTTCTCACCCTTGGCGTTGGATCTTTTTTGTTCCACGCAAGTCTTCGCCAGACGCTCGAGTTTGCTGACGAATTCTCGATGCTGGGACTTACCTGGTCGATGCTCCAGGCTACCCTGACAACAAGGCAATCTTCCTCATATGCTCGGTTTATCTCAATTAGTCTAGCCATTTGCTTCGGGACGTTTTCTGTATTTTACTTACAGTCACCAAGCATCATCTACCAGGTCATCGCCTTCGCATCAAGTCTACTCGTTGTCATCTTACGATCTCAATATCTGTTTCATTGGATTCAGCCGGCGTTTCCCAGGGACAAAAGCCGCGATTGGAATTGGAGAACTTGGAAAGCCATCTCAATTTGCCTTGCAGGATATGTGCTCTGGAACATCGACCTCGAGTACTGCGCGGAGCTAAGGGCGATCAGAAAACAAGTTGGGTTACCGTGGGCGTGGGTGTTTGAGTTCCATGGGTGGTGGCATGTTCTGACGGCTGTCGGTGCTGCTCAATTCATGAACGTCGCGAGAGAAGTGCGTGAAGAGGTGGAACATGGGCAGAAGAGGCAATAGTAAGCAAACTCCCTGTTGCAATGAAACACGACGGCCCGAACTATGATTGATAACTAAGATGATTATTTGATTATATACAAGAAGGTGGTTGCATGATATTTGCTGTTTGCCACAAAGTTGCTATTGCCCATCGCTGCAATACGCGACTGAGCTACTTCGTACTAGCTGTAGCTGTAGATGAACGGTGATTTTTACACCATGGCGTGATCAGAGGGGATATGTGTAATAGCCATGAGTAATGTAGAAGCTATCAATCCATTTCTTGCATCCTGAGCTAATATCCGGATCCCAAACTGTTCGATGCTCCGCTGTTCTAGATTTATACCTGCTTGCGCAAGATCCCGTATAAAGCGATGAAGAGCAACCTATGTTCGGCAAGTAGGCGCAATAACCTCTTGGAACTCGTCATCTTTCTCTTTAAAATCATTTCCAATGTCGGAAAGCTCTGTGTCGCTCAACGCACGCCTCTTATCCGCTATATCAGCAATCTCATCTCTATCGCGTCCACCAGCTCCAGTTATGAGACCCAAGATATCCATAGGCGCCGAGGCAGGATTAGATACAATGGACTGAATGGTAAGAGCAACATTGCCCACATCAGCCACGGTGGCGTACAGGCCATCTATCAGTTCGAGCTCCGGAGCGATGTCGTCGAGAAACGGCAAAAAGGCAAAGACAGCACCGAGGATCTCGAGAATGAGCTCAATCTTTTTTTCCCTTTCATACTGTTTGCCGAGTGCCTTTGCATTTTGCATAGCGGTGACGGCTTGACTAAGCATAAAGACTGGCATTGAATAGACTTGAAGTAGATCGTCGGAGGAACCGTTCCACAAGCCTACATTGAGGTCCATTTTCCGAGCTAAGATCCCGTTTTGCAAGGTGCCGATGGTAGGGAGTGCTTTCGTAATGACGTCCTTGGGGTTTGGTATCTCAATATCGGACGCTGCCGTGGGAATGTTGATCCATTGATAGTCGGTCCTGACACAAGTCTCATATCTTTCACAGCCTGCGGAAAAGGTATCGGTTATATCGTGTTTGTCTGTAAAAGTGACCCATGAAGCATTAATGCCGTATTGTGATTGAAGGGTATCATAGAAGCCCGTAGAGTTGATTAGCGTATAAGTCATTTTGAAGCTGTCGGCCCCCGCGAGCTGTGTCCATGTAAATGGGCATCGTTGTGTGGAGGTTGGACCATATCCTTCACAAGTGCAATCAAAGAATTGGTTACCGGCTCCGCCTGCCTCGTTATCCTGTGAAGACCCGGCCATGAAATTTTGGATCATCTCTGGTATGAGCTCGTGCATATAGCTTTGATAATCTCCAAAGACGTCGTCGTAGCCATCATTCGCCTGAGTATAATTGTTCATTGTATCATTGAGAACGCTCCCGAGGGTATCTAGCGCATAATTATCCATACATTGATCCGGAAATGAACCTTGTGCTGCCGAAAGGTCGGCAACGGTTTGGTAGTGGACGGTTAAGTCGCAGAGAGAAGTAGATTGACAGTCTGGACTTGTATCATTCCAGTCACAGTTCCAAATCTCAGGACTGGAGCTATCCAAGTATCCCGCAAGTGCACTCCAGAACGGGTGACCAGAGGCCTGGGTGTTAGGCTTTGCTAAAATGGCATCACCGGAATAGTCGCTTATCATTTCCACAGAACCAATTGTAACCAGATTCCAGAGATGAAGACCGCCATTGTTGCCGTCATCGTACACAAGCCGTTGTTGACAATTCTGCGTGTCCACGCAAGTTTCAATGTAGTTGTCGTACCAAGAATACAACCCAGCTCCCGCAATAGTAAGGTTCGTGGTGCCTTGCATGAGTACAGCCCATGCAAAATTGCACAGAAGAGCAGTGCCGTTGCACGTACTGTCGGGGAATATGGGGTCACCCGAATACATGCCTACCGAGGAGTTGAATGGACCAGGGGACTCAGTCGCCTCAGTAAATTGGTAATATGGCGATTCCGTCTGGATCATACCTGCGAATGTGTTGGAGGTATTGGCAAAATTATACTGGTATAGGATAGAGTGCTCGGATGCAGTACCGTATAGCCAATTTGGTCCAGAGGATTCAATCAGGATACCTCTGGCCACGGCCACGGTGATTTGAGTGTTTTGAGCATCGTCAATATCATGATCTGCAACCCAGGCCCAAACGTTCTCGAAGTATCCGTTGGCCTCTGGGGTAATATGTAGCATCATGGCTGCGGCAATGCAGCCAGCTTGGATGGGACTTGAAGCCGGGCATTGAGCGACCTGCAATTTGGTTCCATAAGCGCCGCCGATGCGGAAGTGCGCATCCCAAATACCGACAGATCCTTGAGAGGCAGCTTGTACGTTCCATTCCACCAGGATCAGGCCAGGCAAAGGACCAATGGAAGTGAAGAGCATGTCAGAGATTTCAACTGTTCCAACGTCGCCAGAATTTCCAACTTGTAGCATGACTTTTGGGGATGCTGCATCAGCGAAGTAAGATCCTGATGCAACAAGCTGGGACCAGACAGAGCCTGTCATGCGAGTATGAGCTGGAACAATAATAGTCGATGTTACAATGTAAGAGCCTGCAGGAAAATATATGAGATTTTCTGTGGTAGCGAGGGCCAAGGCAGAATTTATGGCGGCTGTGTCATCTGTCACTCCATCTCCAACAGCACCATGGTCCTTAACGCTGATGATAGAGCTACTTGAGAGCGTCTCGTATTGAGGTCTGCTTTTTGTGTAATAGAGGGGTCGATCATAGATTACTGAATTGACGAGACCAGATGGACGATCTGGAACAGACGCTTCGAACTGGCCGAAATTCGAGCCGTCGTTTTCCACATTTCCTATGACAACGAAGTCGATACCAGTTGTTGGTATTCCCTCAAGGACATCGCCGTTCGCATATGTCACTACAGTCTGCACAGCGTTGAGGTCGATATTATCGAGCGTAATGATGGAACTTTCGAGGATCGTCTTATTGAATGCGGCATCGAGACCAACAGTGAGATCGAAGAATTGTGAATCCATAACATAGGTTGATCCAGTAATGGCGCCGCCCCCGGCAGATCCTTGAGGGTTAATCAGGCTGATACCGATTGGTGCAGTGGAAAGATAGAGTCCAGACCAGGTCCAACCCCAGTCCCAGATCAGACAAATACAAGCTGTGGTCTGTTCAATGATTTGAAAGTTGCGTACCGTATACTGCTGATTGCCACCATCTGAGAGACCAAATCAGCCTTATGCTTAAAAAATAGCTGGTAGTGACCCAAGGAAACGCCTCTTCCTCCCCATAAAGGGAAAAAAAGAAGGAGAGAATACATGAAGACTTACAGATTCCGTAAGCACCACCGACTATGGTGACATCCGACATGAAGCCACCGCTTCCATTCTCTGTGTACATGCCCATCTGGGTATTGCCATCCCCGGAGGCCTGACTGGCGGAGATGGCAACGTTAGTGACAGAGGTAGCCTGGCCCACCTGCCAGTGCAATCCGGCAGCATTGGCTGTTGTAGTATCACTGATGTCGATAACGAAGTTGCGAACTTGACGGTAAAAATTGGATTGCTGTCATGTCATCTTAGTCAATGAGAGAGCTCTAAACAATAGGTGGAAATATGAGGAAAAAGAGGGACAAGTGGCAAACTTTACCTCCACATACCACTCATTCCCGTTATCGTTGGGAATGTAAACATCACTCTGAATTGCTCCTATGCCATGTTAGATTTGAGATCATCAGTATAGTAAGTTGTAGCAGTTTTCATACCAAGGCCAATAAACGAAGCGGAGGTTTTAATGATTGGAATGTCATTGGCCTAGCATAGAATGGAAGAAATAAAATAATTAGTATTACCAATCAAAAGAGATGTTAGGATTCTGGAAGAAACTCACATCCCCAACAAGCTGAGAGTAGTAGTAGGCATTGATAGGCGTGGAAATTAGGTACGTGCCGGGAGGAAAGTAGATGAGAGTGCCCTTGACCGAGGATGACAAGCAATTTTCGCCACAATTTCCGCCATAGGCAATCGCTGCGTTAATAGCGGCCGTGTCATCTGTCACTCCATCGCCTTTTGCTCCACCCCCAAACATAGGGTTGGTAACATCGCGGTACACCTAAGTTGGAACGACATTGTTAGTCATAAGAGATCGTATATGACTATTTATGTTTTTGGAAAGTTGAGCAATACATACAGGATAAGAGGTATCATATCCCATGGAAGGTCGTCCGTTTTCAGAAAGCTGGGCCACCCAATAGCTACTATTCGAGGTTGCTCTGTCCTCAAGCAAAGAACGCGATTTTTTATTCTCATCATCGTTATAGATGTTTAGGAACGGGCGTGGCAATTTTGCGAATTGGGCATAGCTTTTGTGTAGAGTCCCATTTGCTAGTTGCTCTGCCGCATCGCGTTCAGCGAGAAGAGCAGCAGCGGCACGCAACTCGTCTGTTAGATTTGGTGCAGCTGGACCTTGTGCATCTAATTCAATGAGGTGTGCTGCGGATGACGAAGTTTTTGATTTATATGCATTTCGCCTTGGGTTAGCCACACGATGCTTGTTGTATGCACCTTGTTTCACAATGGCAGCGGTAACTAGGTTCTCAGCGGCATTGACGCTGGACGCATTTTGAAGCCTTTGGCTACTCGCCGGAATTGGCGGGTTCGCAAGAGCACGCCGTTGATGTTGAAAATATACTGGTTGTTCTGTATCAACAAGTGATGCTTTGCCAAGCACTGCCATCACATAGATGAAGACTGTGCATAATATAAGAGCCTTGTGGCGGGAAAGGGCCATGGTGGGCGCGTGTTGAGGTACCACGAAGGCCCTTCAGAGTTGACGAGATGAGTCAAAACCTAAGAAAAGAGCAAGAATGTTATGGAAACCAATGTTTATTAGATTTGAGAGGAGAGAAGGATGTGCTCCTAAAACGGAGAGCACAGCAGAAAGAGGTAGTCGGCATGCAAATAAGACCTAATTCAATCATGAGTATTTATTTCACGTTACAATGGATATCATGATGCCTATTTTCGGTCCGTCTTTCCATTCTGGCGATTCCCTCTCCCGTTTTCAGAAATTACCCCAGGCACATGGAATGGATTAGTTGGTCTCATTTCATTGCTCTCATGTAGACTCGGGCTAGAACTCAGTCCATTTGGTCCGAAGATATTGCACAACGTGTGCGGCTCTGTTTCTGAACCGATGTGATGTGTGTGGGGATGCCAGCCCACGATCTCCGACGCTAATAAAGATCCCTGTGAGTTTTCGCAGTCAGACCCTTGAAAATTGAGCGCGACAAAAGATCCCGAGGTTTTTCTGTTCATCTAATTGAAATTGGAGGTTTAAATCCTTAGAAGATAACAATCGAATAGTCTCTTCTTATCTGTGTCAATAAATCGTCTTACTACTAGGCATCAGGTGCAATTATCTCAGCATTCATCAGCTATAGAATCAGCAAAATTAACAGTCCACACGCCTCTTGATCCATTTCTTTATTAGCTTATTCCTCTTTACCACTGTTTAGCAACAACGTGTAATTTAAATTTCATGTGAAGGATTAGTATCATAAACAATATCTTTAATGCGGTAACTGGTACTACTATTCTTCTTATGTACATACAAGGTGTAAGTGAAAAATCGAAGATCTTATTGATCGGTTTTTAAGTTGTCTTTATCCCCTTCTGCTCTATTCGAAAAACGAAACAATAAACGCTCCTGCTTTCTTTGTGAGATCTTTGCCCTTGACTCAAGGGCTGTAACGGCTCGTTATGGGTTAGATCAGCTTATTCAATCTTAGTTTCGGTAGCCTCTCGCTCTCTATTTCTGCGCAAGTAACGTTAAAAGGCTTTTTCTATCTCCATTACATGATACTGGATACGGCATGAGTCTAAGTAATTGGCAAATTAACGAGATAGCATTCAACTCTACAAATGCCCTAGTCTAGTCACACTGGAGAATACTAATTAAACCTTCCCGAAATACATGCGAAGATAACCACTTTAAGGTTGAAAGGGATACCTTAGCAGTCGGTGTTTACAAGCACAATGACCGACCTGACATCTTCATATGGCGGCTATACGGCGTTGTTTTGTAACCTGCTTGCGGCGTGGTTGAATCTGAGCAGGGTATATTAAAACAGGAGCTTCTAAAAAAGGCTAGCCCAGGAACCAGCGCGGGAGATTCGCACTTTACCGGGAACCCGGCGGCTCTCATGCCGGATCTGACGGCACAAAACTTGCACCTAACACTCTCTCAACCAACGCATGGTTACAGCGATTAGCATTCCAACCAACACCTTGTTACAGTACTCCGTAAGCTACTGAATTTGGTTAATTATCACTCCAACCAAATCGTTTTCTTCACACATGCTGCTTCGTACCGAGTACCTTTTTGTAGTTAGCTAGTCATAGTTAATAAGGTCTTCAGCTTATCTGAGCCGACCCGAATGTGTGGGACTCGCAATACTGCCGAATCACACATGGAATGGTCCAGAGTGTGGGGTCCCTAATTTGTCCTTGATGTGCCACAGTAGTTTCAACAAATCACATGTCTATTTACCCAAACAACCGCTGAACAGCATGTACGAAACCTTGTCCTATCACTCCGAAAAGATGATTAACAATCCATACACATCTTTCAAGACGTCTGGACCAAGAACCATCCTGGCAAGTGGAGGTAATGACTTATTCGTTCGATGTATAGAGACGAGTCGGGCCCTTAGTGGATCAATGTCCGGCCTGGTTGAAGGATCGTTTGTCTTATTATTAGCATGGAGATATTTAGCAAGTGTTAGATGAGCTGTCCGATATGGAAAACTCTCGGTGATAGTTACAAAAACAGGCACAACAGTGGGTCAGGTCCAACAGCTGACAAAAATGCTACAAAAACTGGCATATTCGGTATGAGGATTGAAAGGTCGAAGTCTGTTCACTCTATCGTACGGACAGACGATTCCCCTTACTGATTCTCTGTCCCAATACGTTGCCGGAACTTACTCGCTTCAATTGTCTCAATTGGCTTTCTGTTTACCTCATTTTTTTGTTGTTGTTCTCCAGGCTCATGCTACCATTGCATTTTCTATCCACTGCAGCTAGTCCTCTCTACATCATACGATGAAGGCTTTCCTAGTCTTGCTATTTTCCCTTTTCTCATTCTTCCTCCAAATCGAGGCCAACAATGACGCAATTGGTTATGAGGTTATGTACTACTACTATGTATACAAAATGCAATATAGTAGCGGCGTGCCTCTTACGATTGCGGTGAGTTGTGAGCCGGCTGGAGGAGGAGGAGGGTCATGCTACTGGGATGACTTTGTTAAACACATCATGTCGCAAAAGTTTAGGCAAGGTTATAAACCAACAGCAGCAGACCATACCAGAACACCCGATCTCAGTAACCTTGCTGCTTTCAACGTCGCCGTAAGTAAAGGAGGACTAGCACAGAGATATGACTTGACCAAATTAAGTTCTACTTACACAAACACAAACGTCGGTGGCGAAGAAGGAGGCGGAGAGGACATCGCGGAGCGAGACAGGGGGATGACGTCCTTGATAAAAGGCATGCTGCAAGCAGCAAATAACGCACTCGATAGGGGGGGATGTGCGTTGTCCGACGCGAAAATGGCTACGCATCTAGCTCAGCAAACTCTCTGGGCTCGGGGTGAGCAAGCATCAGAGCCTATCGGTAACTGGCTTGACCAAGAAATTCCCACAGCGGATCAGGCTTACCTGCACACCGAAAGTTACATTCCCGACTGGGATGAATCGCTTGTGCTGGTCGACAATGCAGTAGCTGAGGGAGAAATAACGGCTGACGATGCTGATCGTATCAAACAAAGTTATGATCATGCTTGCGAAACTTTTGGAAGCACAGTAGAAGGTGCCCCACAGTCCGACAGGACTCATATGGCGGTCTTGAGAGAATTCCAGAATAGTGTTCGGGAGATTAATAATGGGGTAATAAAAGCTGGTGGCAAAAAGGTGATGCCATCAAGAGATCGCGTTGCCAGGTGCGAACCAGATTCTGAATCGGACTTGAGCTCTGATTCTGGCTCTGATTCTGGCTCCAGCTCTGGCTCCAGCTCCAGCTCTGGCTCCGATTCTGGCTCCGATTCTGGCTCCAGCTCAGATGATTCAAATCTGGATTCAACTCTTTCTGAAAAGAAGAGAAGGAAGCGAATGCTATCACACGTGCATGACCTGGGCATGCTATTGAAACGAGCATTGGACCAGTGGAAACCTGCCATTCTACAAGTTTTGCCTAGACAGTTGACACCTATCAGCGTGTCAACTCCCGGTGCTACACAATCTACTGGCTCAAAAACATCTACGTCTGCAACATCTACATCTGCAACATCTACATCTGCAACATCTACATCTGCAACATCTACATCTGCAACATCTATCTCATCTGCGCCACCTTCTTCTACTCGAGCAACTTCATCATCGTCACTATCAACCTCTAAGCAGGCAACAAGCACCAGCTCAACGAAAACAAGCACAGGCTATGACTTAGCTGTTACCACCATATTCACTCCACCTCCAGAATGCTCTAGTGGGCTTACTGAGATAGAAGCAGCAACAGGTATAATCTGGCGGAACGTCATCAACCCGGTTCCAAGTCTTACTTTGACGTCCTGCTTCCCCAGCCAATTTTATGCCAGTGCTCTAGCTACGACTTCACTGCCTCAATTCAATCAATTGGTTTGTCCCTATGGCTGGGAATCGTATAATATTACCACAACTTATCTGATTTGCTGCCCAAGGTGAGTTGCATCCCTCTTCACTCTCGATATTTTATGAACGGAAACTAATCTGAGCCTTGTTCATCCGAATTAGGGGTTTTGGATTCTATGCCCCCAATTTCAACAACACACAGCGTCCTGGTTTGGGTGCTATATGTACTTCGACTGTATGGGCGGATGTGTTGATGGATATTACCAGCTATGATACCACCGCCCTGGCAACGATCATTCCAACATCAGCTGGTATTAATGGAACACTGGTGTTTGCTACCGCATTCGACGGTATTTCAGCAACCGCTGTAGTCACATCGCCGACTTCTTCCTCAGCCTCATCCTCATCCACAAGCAAATCCACAACCGCATCTACAACTACTTCCATAATCACTTCCACTACCACTTCCAGGCCTACTAGTTCAACTATGTCAACTTCAACTAAGCCCTTGTCTTCAACCACATCAACGTCGACTAAGCCTGTATCTTCAACCACGTCCTCATCCACAACTAAATCTGCGTCGTCTTCGACGAAGTCCTCGCTGACAACAAAATCTACCACCACCGCTTCAGCTACATCCAAGCCTACCAGCTCACTCAAGCCAACTACAAGTACCTCCTCACCAACAACTAAATCTGCTACAACTACGAGCGCCTCTGGACCATCTATCTCTCAACTCCCTGCCTGTGGTGTAAGTAACTATCGACCCGCTCATATCAGAGTCCAATAATACTGACTGATTCTTTCTCGCTTCTCATAGCAAACATGCTTCAACAACTTGCTGGGCCAGTACTCCACTCTTGGATGCGGTACGCCTGACCCAGCCTGTCTCTGCCGCAACGTCAACTTCGGCTATGGTATTCGCGACTGCGCGAATGGCGCTTGTGGCACTGACGTTGCGAGCACTGTCATTGCCTTTGAATCCACATACTGTGCCTCTGCAACCTCAGCTCGCACGACACTCCCTACAACCGCGAGTGCTACAACCACAGGGATAGGCGCTCTACCCTCCTGTGGCCAAACTTGCTTCAACAATTTGTTAGCTCAGTATTCCACTCTCGGATGCGGCACGCCTGACCCAGCCTGTCTCTGCCGCAACGTCAACTTCGGTTATGGTATTCGTGACTGCGCGAATGGTGCCTGTGGTACTGCTGTCGCAAGCACTGTTATTGCTTTCGAGTCAACATACTGTGCATCTGCAACTTCAGCTCGTACCACATATCCGGCGACTGCAAGTGCTACCACTACTGGTATTGCCTCTCTTCCATCTTGTGGTCAGACTTGTTTCAACAATATGCTTGCTCAATACTCTTCCCTCGGATGTACGTCTCCAGATCCGGCCTGTCTCTGCAAAAATGTCAATTTCGGATATGGCATTAGGGATTGCTCCAATGGAGCTTGTGGCACCGCAATTGCCAGCACTGTGATCGCTTTTGAATCATCATATTGTGCGTCGGCAACCGCAGCTCCGAAGATCTAATATTGTCCTAGAGGACTGCTTATATGTAATTATTTATCTAACCATTTACTCTAACTAAATATAATTCTCACACATGTGCTCTTTATCGATTTGAAAGCACCTATTCTAAGATATGATTGAATCACGCGAACGCTAGCTATGGCATAAATGTTTCGCTCATTCTCTGTTTCTCCAATGCACGCAGTCTTACTGTCAGCTAATGAAGGCCGATACCTGTTTCTCATTGTCTAATTATTTTCAATATTCCCCAGTACTTCTTCAGACCTCGTTGTATAGTGTGAATTATTTCTAATTTTGAAATGGCCTTTAGCAAAAGGTATAAGGAGTCATTAGATGATACCTGGCTACTTGCATCCATTTGTGCTCTTTCATCATATCCCGTTGAATGGCTTCTGCCTCCGAAGGGCTCATTGGCCCATGATGGCCCCTTGTTTCTCCTAACGATCCTTGGCCTACCAATGTGTCGCTTGTACGGTTCTTCCACCAGTCCTGTTGTTGCGGAGGAACATTACGAGTTGAGCATATCCGGTAATTAGGGTCGACTAGCAAAAGAGTCACCCATCGATGATGCCCAGGGACAGCAGGATCCAATAGCTCGAATGGCTCTCTTCGATATTCCATCGTGTTAGGAAAAGCGATCAACCGACCTTGTGGCATTGTTACGCGGCCAATCTCCTGGAAAGGTAGGATATAATCAGGGATATCTCTTGATAGCTCCTCCCATGTGAATCCAAAAATCTCCCCAATGGCGCCAACTTCCACTGATGACGTGCTCCACCGTTTTGCTGGCCGATTCCACATATTGTTGTCTTTTTGTTCCTGTAAGTCCGGCCCATATTGATAGAAGTTTGAATTTAAAGACGTTTCCTGGCGGAATGCAATCCGACTTTCAGTTACATTATGAACATCGTAAGCATACACAGCCGCAGCTACAATATGCTCGTTCATTTGCCCTTCAATGTCCCAAGTACTACCGTGATATTTTGGGTTCTCAGGTGTAAGCTCGATACCACTGATCTTAATGACAACCTGGAGGCCTTGGTTGCGAAAAGTTTCCTCCAGTCGAATAACATATGGGTTGTGATAGGAGCTTGTAGGTGAATGGTGAGGGTTGCCAAATCTCTCCGTAACCATATCTACAACCGCTCTATCATTGTTCGTACCAGACTTCCATTCGTCATAAGAGAAAGCTGTCCCTGGCTCAGGATGCCTGAATCGCAAAAGTTTTTTGTTTTTATCCAGTAATAGCCTCCATGTGTTTTCTTTCCAATTTTCAGGAAGAATGGCAGGTACGCTAGATCCAATATTCGGACGTTGGAGATACACTTGAGCCATTTCCCACAATTCGGGAGTTGGTTCTGGTATTGGGTGCGCACCCTCCATATTCCGATACATCTCGACTTTCCGTTTAGCTGTCTGAAGGCGCTTTTGCATATCTGGATCGTCCGTACTTTCTTGATGACTACGCAGTAGCTCGACTGAAGCAAGATAATTGTCTAGCCGATGTCTTCGTACTCTGTCGAAAGCTTTACTCCACTCTGGGAGTTCGTCTTCCCACTCGACACCGTAGGTAACAATCCGCAGTGGTACTGGTCCACGCTGGCTTCTGTTGTTATCATAAGCCTTTCTCCAACCTCGCTGACCTTTGATAAGGCAATCATTCCAAGGCCTGATCGCGAGTGAGATCAGCTTCTCCAAGTTGCGATATAGGGACTTTTGAGCAGGATGCAGATTGTTGATGTAAGATGTGATCTGCACATCAGCTCCAGTGTTGCCAATGAACTCAACTTCGCATGGAAGCCATTGGAAATTACAAGACCAAAAATAGGTCAGGATGTCGCGAAGGTGTTTTTCTTGATGGAAAGCACCCTTCCAGGGATCAGTTCGGCATCGTTCTATGTGGGCCTGGAGAGCTGGAGAATTGAATCGTCTCTCAAAATGCTTAGGTGCCGTTTTTGCCTTGTCGTACGAACCAAAAACATCTTCCAACACAACCTCTCCCCCATCTAGTAGCACCAGGCTTCTTCCGTAGACTAACGGGTATAGAGACGGATCAACTATACTGGAGATCTGGTCGCGGGCGATTTGCGTTGGGAGTAACGGTTCAATTTCAGACTTGAACTCGACGCTGAGCGCCGTCGGAACTAGTATGTCGGATTTGCAAACGCATGATCCGGTATCCAAGACGCGGATATATTGTTTTTGGGTATACTCATTTGCTTTATCGCGCAGCTCAGCTATACACCAAGCCCAGGCTTTTTCACTCATCAATGGTGTTGCAGCGAAAGCCTCTTTACGCCACTCAGTGGCGATGTCTTCGTTGAAGATGTCGATATGCCAACCCGGCTTATCCGTCAAAGTATTCATGACAGCCACCATGGCAAGCTCGCGCACGGTTACCGCAGGCATTTGCTGCCATTCCTCAAAGCCATGAGCGAATCGTTGCTCACATCTGAGCTTCTCTTCAAGGGGCATATCCCCAAATCCGGGAACCCTCAGAGGGCCATGGCCAGTGTTATCCATGATCAAGTCTTGTCTTTTATTATTCTGTCGACCATAGCCCACGGATGGTGGGGGATATCTGAGATATAGGCTCTTAGACGTGACTGGACCTCGCCGGGCGGGGGCACACAACACCTCAAGCTATCGCCTCCATGTGATTGTGACTAACAACAGCCGGACGCGGGATTCTAACCTTCTGCAGCTAGAATGCAACCAAAACAGCATATTCACGATAACCCGGAACCAACAACTTTAGCAGGGATGCATCGGATGATTAACCAGATACAAAATCCCTCAGGCCAAATTGCGTAGAATTAAATTGCAGTGTATTAGGGCACAGGGGACAAGCAAGAGGTCGCATGGCTGTAACATTCGCTCCCTCAATGTAATGAGGCTCGCAGACGCATACCCTGTCAAAAAAAAAAAAAGGAGTGGCTAATATTCAGCACCCCAACTTAGCCATTCAGCATTCCGTGTCTCAAATTTAAAGCTGCTTAGGGAGTAACGATAGCAAATATTAGGTGAATATATGGATTGAAGCGGAAAATACGATAGTAGCAGAAAGTAACGAGAATGGTAGATGCTCAAGGAACTGTGTGTCTATTTAACGAATGGCAATAAAAGCAATCTTTCCTCAGCGTTGTGTTGCGACCTTTGGAGTGTTTTTAGTCGCTGTGGTTCTGAATAATTTTATTTATTTATTTATTTTTTTTTTATTTTTAAATAAGAGAATATAATGTCCAAGATAGCAAACGCGACACACAATGCTATAATCGACGCAATGGCATTCTAATACTACCAATGGCATGGTGGTGCAATCTGCGCTTGGTTACTGGATATGCGATGACTCTTAAGTAATGCGTATTTTATTTAGTGACTATGTGTCAAATCGCTACTTTAGAAACCTATCGCTACTCTAGAAAGTCATCGCTACTTAAGAAAGCTGCCCTTACGGCGCAAGGGCCGGGCCTCCACTCTCCTCAGCAAATTTCGCCTGCAAGCACATGTGATTCATTAGTGGTCCATACTAGAAGGATAAAGGGTTCATTTTGCATACTTGGGCCTTCTTGTAGAGTTTCTATCGACACGATTAGCTAAATGAATAATGTATTGCGATAAAAGTATGAAACACACATCAAGCTCAGCCTCGAAATCTAGCAAATCCTATTACTAGTCAGTAATGGCGCAAGCATCTATCATCTTTCACTCTTACTTCGGCCATCATGCTGTATTTCTACAAATTCTCAGTTAGCTGAGTGAGTAAAGAATGAGGTAAAAAAAATACATGTAGCTATCTTACGGCGGCGGCAGCGAGATCGGCCTGTCAACATATCAGCAAAATGTACATGTATATACATATTAATGTAGTTGGCACTCACATCCCGATATTGAGCGAATTTCTAAGCCCATAGTTAGCCTGGTAATCCCACTATCATTTTATTATAGGTATATACCACAGCTTTTGCGTGGTTTCTCTAATTGTTGAGTATCTAGTCAGCATTCGTTCCTACTAATAATAGCAAGTATCTTAGTTCGTACCGCGGCCCGCTCCTTGTAGAGCTAAGATGGAAATGTTAGTATAAGAGAAATCTATAGACATAGACGTTGTAGTACCTTCCCAAGATTGAGCGCTTCCTAGAGTATTGATTAGTGACAAAAGGGCGAATGCAACATGAGGGAAGAGCAACGGGAATCAAAATTGATTTACAGCCTTGGTCTTGGGCTCGGGCTAGTAGTCAACACGTTAGTAAATATAACAACTCAAGGAAGCACTCTCGACTGACCATCGTGGCTAGGTTGGGGGGCCTGGGGACCACAGCAGAAGCAGGAGTCTGCTAATATATAGTTAAAATTGAGAGCATAGGTACTGAGTTTTGTGTGCTTATAGATAACGTACAGGGGCTAGGCTGGTGCGCGCTGGCCCAAGTTGGTTGCCTTCCTGCGACCAGTTTAGTTGATAGCAGAGAGATAGAGAAACGATCTGTGAGAAATCGTAACTTACGTTGTTCCTCTTCTTTTTTGTGGGAGTCAGCGATCAATTTCTGGATCTCAGATGCTGTAGAGGTGTGGTATAATAACTTACTGTCATGACCGTGTGAGGTAAGCAAATTGTTAGCAAAAGCTATAGTATCAGCCGCCGTGTGAAATGAACGAAATTTTGATGTTGTTGGGAGAGAAAAAAAGGAAAAGAAAAGAAAAAGAAGAGGACAGAATAGAAAGGGGCACTGCAAGTAAGTGGCTGCAGCTGTGGATGTGTGGGGGCCGTTGTTTTGCCTGGCACCTGGCTTTCCAGAGTAGCGATAGTTTCCTAGAGTAGCGATAGATCTCTAGAGTATACCATAGCAGTGTATTGCTGCTTATAAAACCAAGATGAGAGGTCCAATAAAGCTGCAACAGTTGGTTCAATAAAAGCCTATGCCCCTATCTCATGTTCAAAATCCAGAATCAATCTATAGTTGAACTTGCTCGGCAACACTCGATTAAGCTAAACCTTGGAGATCCAAGTCATACTAAGTACTGGCAGGAGCGCATAGAGCGTAATCGCTCATCAATGTTCAAGACCAAACTCAAAATGCGCCAAAAGCCCCGAATGAGAAAGTTCAAACACAACGCAACAAACTTCGATAATTAGTCTATTCCAAGATTGCGATCAAGTTTGACGAATGAGAAGAGGACATACTAAACTCTCTGTTCAATTGTTGTGAATATTAGATTTACACATACACGGCCAGGGGCTATTCACAGGATTTGCTATGATAGACCCTTCTCACCCGAAGGCCCAAATCCATCGATGGTCAACTTGGGAGCTGGCAAAGAGAAAGTCAACTTTTTTCTTTTTGCTTGTGTGCGTACTAATGTGCTCGCCCCCCCCGGACCAACTCTCTCCTAAAGATGGCACTACTGTTGCATAATCGCCATAGCATCCGTAATATGAGCATTTATAACCTGGACGATGGAAGCAAAGCAAAGAAGATACTCTAAACAATGGTGGGACAAGCGATATATTGTAAGAAGTTAGGCTCGATGCTTCTAGTATATCGAAAAAAGGTGAATATCACATATGGAGCTCCTAGGGGATGGCCTTTCTGCCTCAAAGGTTGCCCCAGAGTTGGATCAACATCAACGGATCTTGCAAATAAAAAATCAAGATTCCGTCAACATTGGGAAAATAATGAAGCCCCTCTTCCGAAAACCGACAATCACAGCCTTTGGTTCTGTAAACAATGTTAAGTACTCCGATTTTGTTTTGGAAAGAGAAAGGACATACCGTTCAATCCAAATATTTATCAAAGGCACGGAGCACAAGGCAGAGTGATGGAGTCAGAGAGGTGATCGATTTGTGAACTGGCCACTGCCCTGTCGCTTGACCCAACCGCAATCGATGTTATGGGCGCTGATATTGTGAAGATCGTAACATCTTATCTCTCACAAAGGGTTCATCAACCAGGTTGCCAATCAATTTCCACCCGGCCAAGCTACTGCATTTAGCAGTGAATTCCTGCTTCAAATCATCGGTACACGACGAGGGAGTGGCTTAAGAGGTGGAAAATGATCATTCTCCACAACATAAGCAGCACAGGGGTAAATATTGGTGACATTGGTTGCCGTACCGGGCCAGGTCCAATCTGATATTTATGCCAAATGCACTTGATATCGTCACACAACCGGTTTTGTAAAGGTTGTTCGTCATTTTGCAGGCACTGTCAAGTTTGACTTCAAGCTGAACCGCCTTTATAGAAGGATCTTATGTCATGTGGATATGTGCTTGAAGTACAATCTTCTCTGGTAAATGAAGACGTCGACCTGTAGATTCTTAGGACATCCTGGCATTGTCTATAAAGCCCTGTGTTGGCGTCGCCGAAGTCGATTAATTCTTCGTCCTTTTGGAACTGCCTTGGGATCTGAGTGCTTTCCTATCATTGCGCGCCTGCTTTTTGACCTTAGTCCCTGAGGCGGCCCTGCGGCGGTGGCTTGGGTAATTCCTCTAAGATTCAGCAAATGTAAGGGGCAAGATTAATATTATTATTCTTAAATACTTTGACCCCAGTTATGAATCGGCGACTGAATATTTGAGGGTAGGTTGAAAGCATTCTGGCAGGGCCTTTACTATGGTCGGTGGTTAGAAGAGCATAGAATTCGTTGTCTTTGTTTTCGAATTCCGCTTTCACACCACTGTAGATAGTGTTGATGAGGTTTTTGGTGACTTTGGACGTATATGTTAGCAATAGCGTGTTATTTGTGAGGAGAACTGTGAGCTTACCCGATTCTGAATGTTGATTCTCCAGATGGCTGTAAGGCCTTTGTGGTCCCTATCGTACTCCGTTATCGTCTTACTGAAGCAGGTGGCCATTAGGTCCGACTAGAAGAGACAACTCGACCTTCCAAAGAGCTGCTTATCTTTTGCGTAGTTACTCATAAAAAGAATGGCGGTTCCTTTGAATGACCTTTGACTGTCCTCCCTGCCTTGATTCTCATAGTTTCCTCCGCATGTTGCGTCTCTGCATTGGCTTCGGCCTTCGTCGAGACTAGATTTCCAGGCGGCACCACGAGGAGGTTGCAGAGTCCGACTTCGCCACCCGCACACTCTGCTGCTTCCCTAGGATAGCGCGAGTGGCCTCCTTTGTGTATCGGGAGTTTGTATTGTTGTGATGTTGCGGGACAAGCCCGATCCGGTCCGGCTGCCGTCGCTCTACCCGTAACAGCTTACGCTGAAAGGGCCCGAGCGAGGTCCCTTCCCACATTAATAAATGCGTGCCAGATTGATAACCAGCATAAAATGCCCGGTTTCACAACACCAAAGTGCATCGTATGCCGCGTGAACATATTGTTCAGCTACCCATTTTGAAGGGTTCGGCACCTTTGCTGTGGGCACTGCCATGTCTGACTTCTGGCGTAATCGTCTTCAGAAGTGGTTTCCATGCCATAAGGCCATGTGCTCAGAAGTCCAGGTCTCTCCCTTATTCTCTGGGGTAACGACCGTTTGTAACTTCGATTGTAGAGCTTTCCGGCAGTGTCTCGGGGCCCACTAGACGCTCCTGAAGATGCAGTCTTCGTCCTTCTGTTTTTGCGTGCCTGCTTTTTCGACATTGGCCCGGTGGGTTCTGTCGGTTGAAGCTTAGGCGGCGACAGTTTCCTCAGTTTCCAGCAGATGCATGGATTGAGGCCGCTTTGCGGATATCGAAAGACCGTTACTTCGGCCATGAATCGGCTACCAAACATGTTGGGGGTAGGTTGCCAGCATTCTGGCAGGGCCTATACCATGGTCGGTGGCCAACAGAGCGTACAAGTCGTCGTTTTCTATCCCAAGTACCACTGCTTGGTCTTTGCAGTAGGTATTGATGACGTCTATTGTGTCCTTTGACGATTCGTTAACTTGACATTTAGATTTCTTAGGAAGCAAAAAGACACATACCTGATTCACGATGTTTATACGCCAGATAGCCTCAAGGCCATTCGTGTCACAATCAGAAGCCGTCATCGTTTGGGAGAAACAGGCGGCCATCAGGTCTGACCAAAAGAGGCGACCCAACTTTCCGAACATTTGATCTTTTGCTGCGAAATCGTTGATACATAGGATAGCCTTGCCTTTGTCGTGATAAGGCGGCTCTACCGTATGTGAGGTGAATTTCACATTGTCTGGATTCGCTACTACTGCCAAAACAGAGTCAGTGAGCGGGTGCCCGAGTCCACTTACAGAGCGTTGATATTCAATGGGTATTGAAGCTTCTGAAGGGGGTTCGAGTTCCGTTGTGTAGTTCGGAGAAAAGGCCGGTAGTTGTTTGGATGTGTTGCCATTGGGAACAAGCATGTTAAGAGAAAGGGAAGAAAAAGGTCAAGGTTCGGATGGGACTTTCGAAATATATATAGGGCTGGAGTTGTTTTGGTGAAGGATCAATTGCTAGGGCAACAAGATTAGACCAGAGCCAGACATAGCAATGAGGCGTCTTTTAAGTTTAGACGCGTTACGGCGCAATGGTTCTGCGATAAGTGATTTCTTGAATAAAATAGAAAGTTTAAGTAGTCTCCATCAATGATGAAAACCTTGTCGTTAATGTTACTTACTACCACCTAGCACCTTTATATCATTTATTTTAGGGATCGACTCTTCCGTATCCCACATTCGCTATTTAGCATCCCATTCTCAAAGTAAGAGTGGCCTTGGTAATAATGATAGTAGCTGTTAGAGGAATATATGGACAGTAGCAGATAGCAGCGATAGTAGTAGAAACTAGCGATAGTAGCAGATACTCCAGGAATTGTTTGTCTAGGTATTCAAGTACCTATGGTGATAAAAGATCTTCATTCTGGGTTGCTACGACATTCAGAACTCTAAGTTACTGGGGTACTGAACGAGTAGTAGCTCTTCCTTTTGTTTAGTCATTTAAACATCTTGGAAATTTTAATTCAGCCAGCATGGAGAGATTCACATCATTTCAACAGCATCAACGACATTGATGAATGACTAAGCCTCCCAGTCACTCTACAAAAAAACCACTTAACGCGAAACCGTCGCGCCGTGACGCGCCGAAACCTAAAGCAACGCCCCACTGCAAATATCTGGGTCCCAATCTCGTTACCCCAGCATCCAGCCGGCCTCTGCCAAAAAACCTTCCGCTTACCTCTTGCAAAACCTCGCATCCCAGCCTTGTTCCCTTTTTTCCTTTGTACCAAGCATAAGACCCCTCTCCACTCCTCTTGTACACTGATTTTATTTTTGTGCAACCGCATTGACCAATTCCGACGCAATCGGACGCTTTGGGCATTTATTGGGCCGGAATCCGGATTTTGAGCGGCGAAGCGAAACACTGCAGAGAGACCCTTGTCTTGCATTTCGGGAAAAACATCGCAAACGTCATCTGACCATTGCGACTTGATTGCCGCCAAGCTCACGACATTGCCTCTCCTGCAGCTTGCTGCTTCATCCCCATTACAACTTACTCCAGCTTCATCATCGCCCATCATGTCGAATCCCCGAACCAAGCGCCAATTCGCCGGCGCTGCAGCTGATCCCGCCCAACGTCAAATCACCTCCTTCTTCACGGGCTCGCCCAACACCAACCACCCCGCAACTCCCCAGCCTACGCTGCGACCCGAACTGCCGGATAACGTCCAGGCGAACCTCCTCAGCGTTGGCATGCGGGTGCGCAAGTCCGTGCCCGAGGGATACAAGACCATCGACCTCAGCAAAACCACTTCTTCCTCGAACGGCATTGCGCCCAAGGACCTGAGGCGATCTGTGGTGGCGGCAAAGCAAGTGTCGAACGAGCTGCTGCCGTTCTGCGGAATCAACAAAGTTGGTGGATTGGATACTCAGCCTGAAGGTCATTTCCTGGATGAAGATGTCCCTGCGCTGGACAACATTCCCGAGCTCAGCATGTCACAAGAGAGCATGGACAGCGTCGTTGACGGCGAATATTCCCGAAAGCGAACCTTTGATGACAATGACCTGTGGAATTTCGAGACGAACGAAACAGGCTATGCACAGCCTGGCTTTAACAACAGGCCGATTGCTGTGCCGCACTCTCAGATCAAGAAGGCCTTTGCGCCCAAGCCCTTCGAGCAGGAAACCATGGTTGTGGATGCCGATGAGGATGAAGATTTTGAAGATGCCGATTTCTTGGTCTATGGTTCAAATCCATGATTCAGAGAAGTACATGGACATGACTACCTAAGATAGTCTGTTCGCGAAGAGATCTGTGGGTAACGGCACCCAAGATTGTGTAACTGCATAAGATGGAACTTTGGCGTACTGGCGTTTATTTGGATGCAGCTCAACTAGCTGCTTGTGACATTAACATATGGAGGTTGTCTCATTATTGCTTTATTTTTCACATGGGTCGGCCAAGAAAGAACGGCCTTGACATCTTGTCATACTATTGGGGTATGTCATTATTATTACGGAGGTTTATACAAGTTCGTAGGTAGCTATTACCACAGGGCGGCAGATGTATCATCAAATGTGCCGATTAAATAGAAGGAATTTACAAACGTGCTACATTTACATACCCACAAATGGCTCTCGAAATTCGAGTAGATCTCGCTGGCCATAGAACTCACCCGCGACTGTGAGGATCATGGTGAGCGTCGCTCTCATGTTCATCCTCGCATCTCTTCGTTTCTCTTCTTCGCGACGTTCATGTTCGCTCTCGGCGAGCCTGGCCAGAAGCTTGCGTTTGGCTTCTTCTAGGGCTGCGACGTCGTCTGCTTGTTCGATTATCTCACCCTCATCGCCGCTGGAGTCGGAGGCGATATCCATTTCTACGTCCTCGTCTTCGCTGCTCTCATTGGCCTGCGCAATCTCTCCGTCGTCGGCACTCTCGTCATCCTTTTGCATGGGTATCTTGTTTTCGCCTTCCGGTATATCGACAGGCTCTACAATACCATCTTCGGTACCTGGAGGGCCATTTGACGTGGCTTCGCCTGCGGGAGCAGCATCGTAATCTTCGTCTCCTTCTTCGATAGCTTCAGCCACCACTTCTTCGTCGCTACTGCTGGCGTCGACATTATCATTGACTCCAAATCCATCATCTGCAAGTTCATCCCGTAGAGCGGCCATTTCTGCCAGGCTTCTCCCTAGAAGCACTGCTCGTCGCCCTAGGTCACGAATCCAGCCTATTTCCGTGTGATTAAGCTCGCCCACGTCAGGCAACCTAGCCAGCAATGCCCAGAGCCAGTGACTCGTCCTTTGGGGGATGCTGTGTCCACTTTGGAGAAACTTGCCGCCAATCATTACGCGGATAATCCTCAACACGGTGTCTTTCGACATGAGTGCGACTTGAATAGGATGGGGGTCGGTGGTTTGCAGGAGACGAGTCCATAACTTTGTGGTAGAAGGCGACAGGGATATGGCCTCTGTGGCTTGGGAGCGTGACAGTCGGCTTGCAGCATTGCCGGGTGGTTCTGCGTGAAGTATCTCGCGAGTGCGGTAGTACTGACTCAGTATAGAGGCGAAGTACGCCTCATTAACAGCCTTTTGAATAGCTTCATGGTTCTCTTCATCAGGTTCGTCATCTTGATCAATGTCAACTCCCCAACCTTCTGAGATGCCTATGTAGGCACCGTCTTCATAAAATCCTCTCGGCTCAGGTTCAGCAAAGGCGTCGATAGTATCGGTGTTCTGATCCAGTTCACCCTCTTCCTCTGACTCGTCTTCTCGATCAAAACCGGGAGGAAGCTGTGGGCCAATTTGGACGGGCGGTGCGACTAGGAGATGCGGGATAGCAGAAGCTTGTTTTCTATAGTACTCACCATATCAGTAAATGCGGTCTGAGATACCAGGAATTGTTCAGCAGATGCAATCTCGGGTGCGGAAAGGAGATGGTCTCTTACCTCACAGACATCAGATATGCCATGGCATCAGAGTCATCTTCAAACTCGGACTCCTCTCCTTCTGGAATCGTCGTCGCATTCTCGCTGCTGGAAAAGACATATTTCTGCCCCCACGTCGGATCGATGCCCGAGTGCTGATGCTGGCGCGTCTTGGAGCTGTTTGTCTTTGCGCGTTTCGTCTGCGGCTCTGGCGTCTCGCCATCTGTATCCTCGATGTCTCGTTTGCCCGACATTTTCACACCGATGAGATATAATGGAGAGTATCATAGGCAGCGTTCCTAGGTACCACACACTGACAAATATGCCGCTGGAGTCGAGTGTATCCAACCGTGATATGGCGAAGATGAAGATGGACGGATCGTGAAAAAGCAACAGCTGGAGAATTAAAGTGGAATGCCCAGAGCAGAGGCTAGTGCCTGGCACTAGCGGTGGGGAGCTTCCCTGGCTCTGGACCCCACCAACCCACTAAAGAGATGCCACTACTAACAGTCATATCATCGCATTCTTTTCCGTCTTGCTCCAAATTCTTGCAGCCTTTTGACGACGTCTTTGATGGTTTGAACTCAACAATGACGGCGGCTGTTGTTCGCCGTAGCGCTCTGGCAAAGACAAAATGGCATCTGAATTCTTATAGGTCCATTGGCCAACTGCCTTTGCGGCGGTCGCAGAGCACCTTTAATCACTTTGTGGCAAGCAGTCAGTCTTTGCTTGGATATCCAAAGCCTCAACTTTAACTGATTTGTCGCGAATATAGCCAAGCTACAGCCAAGCTCTCTACCTCCAACACCAAGATCCGATGCGAAACCTTTCCGATTGGCCGTCAAGGATAACATTGCCACGGAAGAGTTCCCGACGCAATGCGCCTCAGGCGTCCTAGGTCAGCATGCCTCTCCCTTTGAAGCCACCATTGTTCGCCAACTTCGGGCACGTGGAGCTTCTGTCGTTGGGAAAACAAACATGGACGAATTCGGAATGGGATCACACTCTGTACATTCTATCCATGGGCCGGTCCGAAATCCCCTTGCACCAGCTGGCGAGGAGGTGACGGCGGGAGGAAGCTCTGGAGGCAGTGCGGTTGCAGTTGCTATCAATGATGCGGATATTGCGCTCGGCACAGATACGGGTGGCTCAGTTAGACTGCCGGCGGCATACACTGGTATTGTTGGCTACAAGCCAAGCTACGGCATGCTCTCGAGATTTGGCGTTGTTCCATACGCAAATTCATTAGACACCGTGGGCTTGCTTGCACGAGATGTCGAGTCTATCCGACAGCTGGTATTCGACACTGCGCTATATGAAGAACATGATTCCAGCGATCCCACATCATTGAGTGTCGAGACTCGTCAGCGCTGTTCAAAAGCTGTGCCGCCAACCCTGCCGAAGCTATCTCAGCTCACCATTGGCATACCTGTCGAATACAACATCGACGAGCTGGACCCTGCTATACGTGAAGCTTGGTCTGCTACTGCTTCAGCATTAGAAGCACAGGGCGCTCGTATAGTTCCTGTTTCCCTTCCTTCAACAAAGGAAGCCCTTTGCGCATACTACATTCTCGCCCCGGCCGAGGCTTCGTCCAACCTAGCAAAATATGATGGAGTACGATACGGCATCCGTGGCCCTGAAGCAGATGCCGCTGGTGAAACTCTCTACTCTGAAGCTCGCGGTGCTGGCTTCGGCGCGGAAGTCAAACGCCGAATTCTTCTGGGAACCTATAGTCTCAGCTCTGAAGCCATGGATAACTACTTTATCCAAGCTCAAAAGATACGTCGGCTCATCCAACAGGACTTTGACAGAGTGTTCAGATTGGATAATCCGCTTTACGAACCTAGACAGTTTGACCTGAGCGAAATGTCTGCCGATACCGCCCTGGAGGATAAGCAAGGCCCTGTTCAAGTAGATTTCCTGCTGTCACCAACTGCGCCAACTTATCCACCAAAGTTGAGCGACATTATGAAACGGAGCAGCATTGACGCGTATATGAATGACGTACTTACTGTTCCGGCCAGCCTTGCCGGTCTACCTGCCGTCAGTGTTCCGGTAAAGATCGAGCAGAGTCACCAATTCCCCGCTGGACTTCAGTTGATTGCTCAGTATTGGGATGATAGGAGACTACTGGCGTTGGCAGACAAGGTGATGAAGTTGATGGCGGTGTGAAAGATATGAGAACATAAAGTTTTGTATACCGCGTCAAACGGGAAAGCAATGTTGCTAGATTTGGCTTGTATTATATCCATGATGACTTTACGAATCATCCAATTATTGTTATTTGTTTCAGTGAGACCACCCACTATATGCCATCCAGCTAACCTTAAATGCAATCGACCTCATTGTTTCCCCTGGACCAAACGAGGATTACTCATAGCCTCCTTTGTGTGAATTCGAGCCCCTTATTAGCTCGTGGGTATCTAGGTAGAGGCCTCTCTGGTTTGAACCTGATGTCCATGGCAAATAGTCACCAGTAGCGTTGGTTAGAAGCACATGGTTGGTCGTTTCCACATAAGGAGCCTCCTTCATGCCTAACGGTGAAAATTTTGCACAGCTTAGGTGAGCTGGTTTGGACGGGATCGGAGTGGTGTTTGAGTCGTAGTTGCTTCGCTCAGTTGTCGACACCAGTCACATAACTCAGGGTGATCTGCTGCGACTTCTCCGGTCTTCGCCCTGGTCTTCATCCCGGTCCACTTCCATATCTCCATCCGACACCTCACCAGATTCTTCTCTCTCCCCATTCGCCTTGTCATTATCCTCATCGTCGTCCTCTTCCAGTAAATCTTCTAGGTCGCCCAATGGACTAACCCTAGGTTCCAGTATTTCCAAATCTTCCAAAGTTTCTCTCTTCGGCATCTTCCATAGACTCGTCGCACATACTCGATCCTTTGTGAGCAGGTCATCCACAAACTCATCCACGTATGTAAGCGACGTGCCCGTTCTCGCCTTGCGCCTCAATTTCCGTCGATCCTCCAGAAATGGCTCCAGCGTTTGGTATACATCCTTCGGCTGTCTCGTCAACCGCACATAGAAGCATGCTAGCGCACGCAAGTACTTGAAGTGCTCGCCCCCGTAAGACAGATACTCGTCCAGAATCGCATCGCTAGGAGCAAGCTCGAGCAGCTTGAATGCCAGACACAGGAAAGGGCTCGGTTTCTGTGAGGCGCCGTGTGTACCTCCGATGAAATTGACGTGCTCGACAACGCGGTCAATGATGTCGGCTTCGTTGAGGGCAAAGCACTGCTCCTTGTAAAAGTACGAATCGACGATGCGGTCCTTGACGGCCTTTTCCATGATCGTCGCGGGATTGAGCCCGTTCGGCGCGAGGGCAGCGGAAGAGCCGCGCTCGTCGAGGAAGCGCCGCGCATCGGCCTGGACGGTATCGTTTTTGGACTTTGACATTGTTGAGGATTTGTCGGGAAAGGAAGAATTAGGAATTCGGGAGCGATGACGTCGGGATGGATTTCGCAATTGCAGCTCGAGTCGCGTTGAAAGCGCCTAGAATTCGGCGTTCTGGGGTACGATAAGATTGTTGCCGGGTCAACAGATGGCGGGTGCAACCGTGCAGATCATTGACCTTGTACGTGCGAGATCCCGTCTTTGTGTACCCAAGCCATCCATGACGTGAATTGCATCAAACAAAACGAGGCGTTATCTCGTGTTTGGGCTGGCTCTTTGTTTCTGGGTAACACGAATTACACGGGATTTTTTGTTTGTCGTAGTTATCGCTTCAATATGCGGCGTGTTCTCCTCACATCCGGTCAAGTGTCCGTGCTGGCAACGGCCGCTATGAGTAAGGGCTCCTCTCCCTCCCCACAGGCATCCCTCGATAAGAAACTGGGCGGATTTTTCTAATTCTCAACACGCGCAGTCCTTCTTTGCACAAGCGCTCTCTTTCTCAGTGGTTACGCCATTCAGCAGCGGACTCTGCGGGAGCTACGCGCTGCTATCCGGCCGCGCCAGTCTCCCAAGGCGCATCTACCCGAAGAATTTAGGGGAGCACTCGCAGATCTAGAGGAAAGCAACTTGCTTGTGCTGGAAACCGAGGCTCAGCGATGGTCTAGGGAAGCGCGCGGTTCGGTTCCCCAGATCAAGGTATCGGATGCAGAGATTCAGGTGGAGGAGACTCCGGTAGAGTCTAAGCCGGAGCCGGAGCCGGAGCCGGAGCACAAGGAGCAGAAAGAGGAGGAACACAAGGAAGAAACCATTGCCGTGGCTGATGGAGAGCCGACAAAGAAGCAGTTGGCGATGCTTGAAGCGATCAAGAAGAGCGTGGCGGACAAGTCCTGGGCTGTTGAGAATCCCGATCCTCTATCTAAGAACAAGGCTCCCATTTCGAGAGCAGAGCGCCGCAAGATGATCAAAGACGAGATCCAAAGGCTAGCTCAGTCAGAAAAGCCTGTCTACTACCAGAGGAGACTGTGGTGAAGGGTTTTACAGCTTTGGCGAGGTCATAATGTTTTGTTTGCTTTTGGGCGGGTGTTTGCATGGGTTGTCTTGGGATATACGAGGAACACGATATGAGGTGACATGAATATTTATGGAGGAACGGCTTATATATACGAATTGGGTACATGATGGATTTTGGATATTTATTTCAATACATATGTTTTCTGTGATGCTGATTGCTCTACCGTTTCTACCTCTTGTGAGAAGTTATAATATCCAGCAATCGTTCTGAACTCGGCTCATCGTTATTACACAACTTAAATCCTCTCAACATCACATCACAAAGCCCGCGTCTGAGTAGCTTTGCACCATGTCATTCAATCATGTCGCTTCCTCATGAGGCCCTTACCATCAATGGTGGCTGCAATTGCGGTGCGGTGAGATATCGCATACCTACCTAATGGAGCCAAGTTTAGTACCCATATGCTCTTGTGGAAATTTGAGTCACAGCTGTTGGTCGAGCATCTTGCAATTTCTCGGCCTGCGCCACACCCCCCCAGGCAATTTGCAAAAAATCGCGGAACAAGTGCCTATAGTAAATGCGGTTATGGAGCACTGGAAGTCCTGGCGCTACTTAAAGAGATTCATGGATTGATGCATTGATGGTTGGTTTGCATGTGATATCGGGCTTGACTCATCTATACTCGGACCTTCGAGCCCCTTCTGTCCTTCGCACGAATATAGCATCGATACTCCATTTAAGCAATCGCCGACTTAATTTTGTCCTGAATATAATTTTCCTCCCTAGTAGGAATATTGAGCAGAACACAGCAAGCCTCACCGGACAGACTGCCTCCCTTGATCAGACCGAAGTCCGCGGTAATTCTTACTATTACACACAAGCTATTGGTTGCGACATCGAGTTTGATAGCCAGCTCACTCGTGGGACCACACATACGACAGAGCAGTCAACTGAGTCATTCGCAATGGCCACTACCTTTCATCCTTTCCCGCGCCTCCCCTTTGAGCTTCGCAGCCAAATTTGGGCCATGGCAGTGTACCCACGTCTCGTCCATATCCGCGCAACGTCTAAGCCATCAGGCCCGGGCTGTTACTTTGCCTCTATGATTCCACAGGCGGAACTCATGCACGTCTGCCGAGAGTCCCGTCAACTCGCCCCATACCGGAAGGCCTTCTTCACCACCTTACCCGATGACTCCGAAGCTCGGTACATCTGGGTCAACTTTGACGAGGACATGATCTGCATCCCAGACCAATTTATGGGATACCTTAGAGCACATGCGGCTGATATTCAGCGGCTCAGGTTTACGGCGCCAGCGGGCAGTTTTGGTGAAGGCTGGGTGACGGGTTTCGGATATGCTGAATATTTAAAAGACCGTTTTAAGCATTTTACGGCTCTGCGGGAGGTGCATGTGGCCATATCGGAAGACATATCTTCTTGGGTGTTAACGGCTGGATGCTATGGAACGTGTCCCTATGAAAATGTTAGATTTCTTGACGTTCACTCGGGGCTCATGTTAACTATTCCTCAGGCTAATTTAGTTGAGGAGTGGATTTCGCGGAAGGGGTGGCTAGTAGAGAATATGGATGGCATTGATGAGGAGTTGCAATTTTACATCGACAATTGTTATACTTTTATTGAGGATTGTGCAGAGGTAGACTAAGATACATGTAAATACAATAACTATGTAATGGAATAATGGGGGGAGTTTTGCAAGTAGCTTAATATTCTCTGTAGATATTTATACATAATAAGTTTATATCTAATAGGATTGCATAACTTCATCAATTCATTTCCTAACACGCAAGTGCATCCGCACTGCCTAGTCGTACAATAATGTAAATAGCTGTCTTCAAAATTGTGTTTCGGGATTATCACTATATAAATTAAGTGTGCTCTGCTGTTACGTGACATGACACATTGCAACGACTGTAAATCTGCTACGGGCTTAATTCTCCCGACAAGGTGTCTCACTCCGAAGGAAACGCTCGCTATCTCGTGTTTGCTAAAGAATGAGGACAATGATGCAACAATACAAAGTCTCCACCTTGCGCTACATGATGCCGGATGATTCCAAGAGACCGCCATATGTACCGGCTTATGGCATCTTATTTGGCGTGGAATCTACCTCGTGGGACATAGCTCCAAGTATTTTGCTCGACAAACGAGAAGGTCAAAGGCTGGGAAGTGGACAAGCGAATATATCGGTCATTCTGCGGGCAGTGTGGCACTAACATTGCCTATCTTCTGTACCCCATGCCGTTCAAGTTGAGAGACATGATTGATGTCGTGGCGGGTACGGTGGATCGTGCGGTGCAGCCAGAGAGACAGCTGTGGCACGATTATGTACGGGGTTTGTTGGATCAAGGATGCGGTCAAGGACTTGGACGGGCCGATTCACCCATCTTTTTAAACAGCTCAGTTTGTTAGCAGGTGGATTCTTGAGCTGCTTTATTGATGTAATGCTTCTCACCAATCACATTATGCTTTAGAAAGGCATCGCTACTTTAGAGACATATCGATGCTATAGCTAGGTACATAGCTTTCAAGTTATTTTTTCTTTTCAATGGCGTCGATATTGTTTAAATGCATTTTATTATTCGTTCGAGTAATAACCCAAAAATACAAGTAAATTCTTCTTGAGACTGTTCAACGGACCCTTAATTCCGCTTTCGTCAACTGGACAAAGCTTGTCTCGCCTTGTTCCGGATCGGTGAATGTGCCTAAGTAGGGGGTGATTTTTGTCCGGAGACTCTGAGTGGATCTTTCGTTCCATCTGTTATTTCTACGTTGGCCCAAGGACAGAAAAAAACATATCTTATAAAATCGTCTGATGGCTGGACTCAACCCAACATTATCACCTCTCGTTTGAGTTTCTTGGACGTCAGTAGAAGAACAATGACGTGGGATTCAAACAGTGGCTGTCAGCCATTTAAAGTAGAAATAACCTTTTTAAACCCTAAATGCAAATATTGAACTTTATTCCTGGCGCGAAGGGGGGCTCCCAACAAACTGGAATCACTATACTAACCACCAAGAAGTTCGTTTGGAGGGCAATATTCTTGTGACTATTACATGAATTCAGAAGTGCATCTTATGTTTGATTCATCACTGATTAATTCGTATGAAAAGAGATTAATGACTATATACACCGCCATCACGCTCTGCCGGTGCCACGTACTTTTATCCACATTCCAGGGCAGCTGTTGGCGTATGTTTTCATAAACAGAGGCAGCTCTTATTCACTCACCTTCTCATCTCGAATCGCTTGAATTAAAGCATTTTGCCTACTCTCGCAATGCCGACCGTGGCCCAAGATGTAGGCCAGGCACGCTACAACGAAAAGAAACGTGGAGCGGACATTGAAGTCGCTGCTGCCGATGGCAGTGACGGACAACCGCAAGGAATTCTTACTGATCATCAATCTGATCCTCGGTTAAGGAGACTAGAGCTCCTTAGCCAAGAGTATGGAGTGAGTCAATGCCGCTCTCTTTCTTATCTCGAGAAACAGCAATTACTCACTTCAAGTACCCGCACTTAGAGCACATGGGATAGTCCAGACGATCCCAACGATCCATACAACTGGCCTTCTAGCCGCAAGATCCTGACAGGCATTATTTTCTCCATGGCGCAGCTAGTAACACTCATGACTGCCAGCATTATTTCGGCAGCGCTAAACGATATCGCATCAGACTTACATATTGGCATGTCGTCGGCTCAGATGATCTTCTCGACCTATTTCCTCGGCCTCGCGTTTGGTCCCTTTGTCGTTGCCGCGCTATCGGAAATGCATGGCCGGAAATGGGTTTGGGTCGCTGGAAATATCTGGTATATCATTTGGAATGCGATAAGTCCTGTTGGCAAGTCTGCCAACATGATGATTGTCAGCAGGCTCATGGCGGGCTGCGGCGCTTGTGCGGGTGTAACCGTAGGTCTACTTCAGTATTTCGTATTTCGCCTAACAATATTCATTGACTAACAATTACAGCTTACCGTTCCAACAATGGCTGATATGTATGGCAAAAGAGATCGTGGGAAAGCAGCTTCAATTGCAGCTTTGTTGCCCTCTTTGGGGCCTGCCCTCGGCCCTATAGTTGGTGGTGTTGTCACCCAATTGATCGAGTGGCCCTGGATTTTCCGTATCATGAGTATCGTTACGTCTGTCATTACTCTTGTAGGTATCTTCTACATAAAAGAGTCGTACACCCCAGCACTTCTTCGTCGCAAAGCCAGAGGAGGGCCATGGAAACCTCAAGAAGCTCTCACCAAGGACTTTTGGTCAGAGTTTTCTAAGCGGTTGGGTTTAGGTATTTGGAGACCTGTTCGTCTCTTATTAACACGGCCAATAATCCAGCTTATTGCATTTGTCTTGGCTCTCAGCTTTGCCATCTATACGCTGCTTCTTGGCACGTATGCAATGATGTTCATTGATCGATATGGGCAAACTCCATCCATCAGCGCCCTCCATTACCTTGCAATAGCTGTTGCAATGACTTTCGCGGCCCAAGTCGGTGGTCGATTGATGGATTTGTTGTATAAACATCTAAGTGACCGACGAAATAAGGGACAAGGGAAACCTGAGTTTCGAGTGCCTTACTTAGTATCCGGCGTCGTGTTCCTTCCTATTGGCTTGGTCATGTATGGCTGGGCTGCAGAACGCAGGGTTGCTTGGCCTGTGGTTGATGTTGGAGCCGTCATTTTTGCATTGGGTAGTGTCATTGTCCCGCAGACACTCACTGCCTATCAGCTAGATGAGTTTGTCGAGCATGGAGCGTCTGCCAGTGCTGCAACACGTGTCTTGGCCTACGTTCTTGGATTTGCTTTTCCAACATTTGCTCCAATGCTGTATAATCGATTTGGCTATGGTTGGGGTAATAGCATGATGGCACTAATTTGGGTCGTCTTCTGTTTCCCAGTGCCTGTCATTCTGTGGTTGTGGGGAGAGAAAATCCGACGATGGGGTAGACGAGACGAAGAGTGTCGTGTGGAAGGGGTGTGAGTTGTGTAAAGTAGGAGAGTAGAGTGATGATATTTTCGTAATCTATTGCTAATCATTAATATAGTATCCGATCGTAAAAGTCATGAATCATGATATCGTAGCTACTCCCTCGTGCCCTGCCATCTCTCGCTTCTCATCCTCAACTTTTGCCTGTGCCTCGTCGTCTCCAATTATGGTAATATCATCTATCACTTCAGCCGTTGCAAACCTCCATGCAGGGATCTTCTTTTCGAACAAGATGTCCATCTCTCCGTACGTCCTGCCTCGCGTTTCCGGGATGCGGAAAATAGCCCAAATCGTCACCAGGAAGCTGATTCCAAACCAGACAAAAGCCGTCTTTCCCTTCAAATTCGCTTCGGTGGGGTTGATTAAGTATGGCTCGATAGTGTTGTCGACGATGTTGACAATGTTGTAAATGACGCCAGCAATGGAGAGTGTCTTGGCTCGCAGCCTCGTTGCTGAAACCTCCGAAGCGACAGCCCATGTTTGTGGCCCGATTGTGGCAGAGTAGACGGCCAACCAGACAAGTGCCAAAGCAGACTGGCCCCATTTCGCAGCAGAGTTGTTCGAGGCATATGATAAGACACCGATAAGTAGGAGATCCAGCGTCAGGAAGGTGTAGCCGCTGAGAAGCACCGTTCGCCGGCCGAAATGCGTCATGAGGACCCATGAGATGCACGTTGCCACAAAAGCGATACCCATGTTACCAAAGTTCATTTTGTAGGCGTCCGAGGCGGATAGACCAGCTTGTACGAAGAAATATGTAGCGTTGTACGCCAGAGGTTGTCCAATCAAACTTTGAGACGAAAGCGACAGACAGGCAATCTCGGTGCGTCTTAAGTTGGCGCCTGTGAGACAGTCCCAGTAGCTCGCGTCCGCCTTGATTTTCTGCTCAAGTCTGTTTGTGTCGTACATCATGAGGATCTTTTGGTTGATCTGCTCGTCGGTAAGGCCTCTGGAGAGCCGTTTCAAGGAATGCGTGGCATCTTCGATACGCCCCTGTCGGATGAGCCACCAAGGAGAATCAGGAGCAAGCCATGCCAGGACGAATAGTGGAACTGGCCAGACCCATTCAACAGCAAAGGGGATTTTGTAGGCCCATTTGGTGGTGTTGTTGACAAGTCCCTGCAAAATGCCGGCAATGATGAGTTGGCCAATGACCCAGCAAATATTGATGAAGGATGTCATGTAGCCTCTCAGCGCGAGAGGACATATCTCGGACGAGTATACTGCTCCCATGATGGAAAAGATGCCCCAAATGGCGCCAAGGAGGCACTGTCCAGCAAGCAAGACGTGAACGTTGGGCGCAAAGAAGGGAATAAAGATGAGGCCCGTCATAATAGTCAAGGCCACCATTGTGACTCTGCGATGACCGAATCTCTCCGTGACGAAACCGTTGATGACCATGCCGAAGACGCCTCCACAGGATCCCGCTGTGCTGAGACCTACCTGCCAAGGTCCGGAGATGACTTTTGTCCCAAGTTCCGGGTGGTATGTGCCGTATTTATCGACAAATGAGGGATATGCCATGAGACTGCCCATTAAAATTGTGTCGTAGCCCACCATGACTATCCAGAGGATCATCAGTTAGACGAGGTGAATTGGGACATATGATTTGCCAAGTAAAGGGTCTAGGAAATGCCAGCCTTACCAATCGTAAACGACATTGCAATTGCCCAGAATATGGCGCTGGGATACCGCTTCAATGCCTCGCCTACCGTGGTCGCATGCTCGTCTCTGTTGGCACTGGCGACAGCCGCTGAGATGGCCGTGGCCTCGGAGGTTGGAGGAGGAATTGTCGTCTCCATGCTGGCGAGAATCCGAATATGCGTCTCTTGTCGCCGCGAGAAGAAGCTGCTGGTTGAAGCTATATCGCAAAAATGCGACAGAGGAAGCGATTCAAATCCCGTGAGAGACGTTCGATCGCTTCAGAAGCGCCTCTTTCCTCTTTCTGTGAACAGCGTCTCACTTACTCTCACAGGGAGGGACTCATGAGGACGCCAACAACTTTTTCACGGTGTTTACGGGCATTATGTCCTACTTGTATGTATCCTTGAGTCTCGGCCGAGGTCGCAGTTTAATATGCCTTCCGCTGCGGGTCCTCCCGGCTCCATCTTGAGCACGACAGTAATATCATCTTGGTAACCTCATGTAACTCCGGAGTTTGCTGAATAATCCCGAGGCTATTCTTACGCATTTGCATGTGGTCGATGTCGAATAATTCACCCTAGCTGCTCAAAATGAACAGCTAATACCGATGCCAATGCCAATACTACATGTAAATGCACAATGGCCGAGACTGAGTGATAACGAAAGCAACACCGAAATGGAATCCTCCAGAAGAGACTCAATCTGACAGAGATACGACCCATGCATGCAGCTAGATCTGGAGATCCTAGCGAGGAGGATCTGGCTGAACAAGTGGATTCCCAACGGTATCCTCGTCAAGTGGTTTGCAAAAAAAGAGGGACCGCAAAATGAATATGTGCATACATCGAGACAATAAGAGCACTACTTTGGGGAATTTAGCGCGGTTGATGTATGCGTACTGCGTAATTCTGTGTGCCGATCGTTGTCCCAGTCTCTCTTTTTTTGCAAACCCCTTGCTCGTCTCCCTTTTTCCTCTTCTTTTTTGTGGCACGTGTGGGGATGGTCTTATCAGCTATTTGCTGTCATGGAACCCAATGTCTCAGTTGGTCCTCTCACCTCCATCTACGATTCGCCGTTCCTCTACCGAAAGGGATGCATGTCTCATTTACACGTATCCCTCACTTCCACCAAACAAAAGCACCCATGGAGAACAAACCAATTTTTGATGTCGTGATGCATTATTTCTTAGTATAGCGCTAAACATGCATCATCAGTCCTGAATGACTCACTCCATGCAAAAGCCGACGCCCTTCATCAAATCGCCCTTATTGTAAAACTCGGCTCTAGGCAAAAGTTCGCCAACCACCCAGCGCGCCGTCTTTGCGTGCTTTGAGCCATGGCCAAACGGCTCAGCTGTCTTTTCTCTCCTCATCCTGCGCTCTCCAACACTCAGCTCCCCCATGGCGTCAATCAGCGGACCGATCGGGCCGGCTAGGGAGCCATCTGCGGGTTCTTCGCCCCGAGGGAAAGATGATGGACCGTCGCAAAGCGCCTGGAAGCAGATGAGCTGGTCCTGGAGATGTTCGTCCACCTGTCCGCCCAGAGCCACCTCGTCGTATAAGTCTTTGCATAATTTCTTGCAGAGAAGCGAGATGAAGCGATCGTATCCCTTGACATTCTTTGGTGCAGATGTGAGAATGTCTTTTGCCCAGCGGATGCCGTCCACAGAATGAGCCACGAGAAGCACCGACCAGCGGCCGTCGCTGCATGAATCTTCGACTACTTTGAAGCTGATTTCGGCACTTGGCCAAAGCATTCCAATATCTTCTACTACCATCTCTTGAAGCTTCTTATGTGAGTGCATTGGCGTGATGATGCTGACATCAACACTCTTGACCTCAAACGAGGCTGGGAAGCTGTATACCGGCGGAGGGACAAACTTGAGCTTCTCGCCCTTGGATATCGGATATAATTTGAGCCAAATGGATCCCCTTGATAATGGCCCTAAACTCCATCCACGACTTTTCAGCTGTCGCTCGATATGCACGCCGAACCGCTCTTCCAGCGTCGGCGCCAATACTTGATCGAAGTATTCGTAGCTTGGCGAAAAGGCAACATTCGTGCCTCCCGACAGTTCCACCACAATAGGCTCATTTGTATCGCTACTTGCGAATAGTAAAAAAGGCAACATGGCCTGAAGGACTAGCATTGTGCTGGCGGCTCCTGATTCGGTCCTGATGGAGATGTTTCGCTGAAATAGCTCTGTTGGGGGCCGTCTGGGCGTGAATGTCACGGCTTTGGAGCCAACGCTGAGACCTTCGACGTCAGCTTCGGTGACTCTGGCGAGCCATTCAATGGCCGCCACATGCTGGTTCTTGAGGCCTGACCATGGCGAGTGTTTAGCAAATTATCCTCGAATCTCGTAATGATTCGCGCGTAGAGGTGAGGCTGAATATCCCCGGCATGTATGTGTGTGGACTCACCTCCACCGCGTGGCCGATTGCCTCGCACATTGGTTATTTCGACGGGTTGTGAAGTGATCGCTGCCAGCGCAATTCCTAATCTGACGAGCTGACCACCGCCCTCTCCAGTGCGGCCATCAAGCACGATGGGCTTTGTCTTGGCCATTTGTAGCCGTTTGGGAGTGAATTGCAGGGCTCGATGTTGTAGTGCCAATGTGGGGGTTTTCAAAGAGGCGAGGGAGCCTGAAGTTATCACTTCGGTCAATTTGGGATTGCAAAATTGTCTCTTGACGTAAAACATGTAAAATATTGTGAGAGAGGTCTTCCACTAAATATTTATTTTGGACTTATGTCAAATATTTTGACTGCATCTCGAGCTGGATTTGCACAGCCTCCTAAGCCCCAAACCCAGGGTCTGTGAGTCACTCGGCGCGTCGCATCATATAAGATTTGACCCAGCTATTAGCGATCGCGATTGAAGTATTGAATATTAATCATTTGAGCGCCAACAAGCGCATGGTGACATATACATATTAATATATCGTTACTGCTACTACCGAATGTTGTCTTCGTCTAGTACCTCGAATATCATCTTTGGATGTTGGATGGCAATCGCGAATCAATCTGTTCCAAGCTTGTAAATACATGTACATAATCTTACACACAGCCAAACCCCCGAGAAACCCGTAATCCTCCTCATGCACAGAGCTGCATCAGGCACATGTCCCGATTACCAGAGATCTTGGCTTCTCGCATCTTCATGCTCATCCATCCTCGCGGCGGCCTCACCTCTCGATGATTGCTCCCGTAAAATACACCGGGCTGCGAAGCAACCGCAAACTGATTATACCATTGCTCTAAGACAACATTTCCGGAGTATTGTTCAATCACACACCAAGGCTTCATACCCATGGGAGTTTGGACTTGCCCGAAGATAAGTAGAAATTGAAGTCGTCCTATCCGGAACTGCAAGGCACCGGTTTTGTGTGAGGTAGACGGTGCCGTTGGAGGCTGCATGATTAAGCCGTCGCCATCCCAGAAAATATGAGGGTGTGCTGCCATAATTTGTATGTCCGCTGGAGGTGTACCAGCTGGAGGTAGCAGCCAGAATCCAGGAGAGATAGAAGACGGAGTGGCTTGTGATGGTGAAAGTCGAACAGATTTTGGCCTCCATCCCTTGTGTTTGGTGCCTGTGTATAGTTAGCCATGACTCCTAAACAAATCCTACCAGATTAGACAATGAGACATAAGGATTAGAAACCTACGTGTTCTCAACTCTGCCAACTCTGTCTGTTCCTTCAGAGGATCGAAGCCCTCAATGTCAACAGTCCCGTTGCGAGCCAATCGTGCAAACTCGAAAATCTGTTCAGCATCCACTCTTAGATATTCTTCTTCTGACAGCTTTTTCAGTCGGATACCCGCCATGACGCCTGGCATGCGACCAATGAGACAGTCTAGCACAGCAAAGTAGACATCTCCTGACCGATAGCTCACATCTTGGCACATAAGAACGTCAACTTTGATGCCTTGCATCGCCTCTGCGGTATGGATCTTCCCCATTCGAGGTCGACTTAGGCCTGTGACTGAGCCAGCGCCCTTGAAGAAAGTCGGAGATAGCGCCAGCAACCCGCCTCCCTCTTGAGCAGTCCGATATTGTCCCTTTAAGCCCTCTTCAGTCCACACAAAAAGCGACTGGTCATCCGTCCCCTTCATGATCTCCTTCTGCAAGCGTATGAATGCCTTCGATCCTTCTCCATAAAGCATCGGCATGGTGAGATTAAAGATACCCAGAAGACTGTAGGCCATGTCCTCTGCCACAGTTGTCTGACGATTGGCAACCCAGCTCATACGTCGCGCAACGCTGATGCGTGACAAATCACCGCCACCAAGAGCATATGTGTCAATGCCCGTTACGCGTGAAAGCTCAGCTAAATGATCATCTTTGGTGCCGAGAAACTGCCATGACAGAGAGTAGAAATGAACGACTTTTGGCGCAATAAGCTCCTGCAGTGTCCATCCTCTAGTATACCATCGAGGTAAAGCAGAGGACGATGAACCCGTTCTATAAGGCAAAGGACCCTGGCAATCTTCCAAGAAAGCATAACAGAGAGCTGATTCTCTGTACCACTGAAACATGGAATTAATAGCTTCAGACAACTCTGTCGAGCTAGTCTTGTCAATACAGCAAGTATCAATCCAGATATACTCGAAGCCATCTCTCGCCGCCCGCCTGCAACTATCTTCGAGCTTCCTCCACCCGCGCTTCTTCATCGCTGCGGAGCGATCATTGGTCTGCATGTCCTGGAAGATGACTTCACCTTCGCCCCATGTGTGAGAAAGGATTGCGTAGCGAGGAGTTGCGCGCTTGGCAGTGAGATCGCTGCCTTTTTTCAGCAGAGTGTTGTAGCCGCCATGGTTGGTGAATTGTTCGATCTGGAGAGTTTTGGTATTGAGGAGCCGCATATTGGAGGAATTAAAAAAGAAGTTTGAACTAATACAATAGAGCTAAGATTAGACGAAATAAAAATAAAAGAAAAATGATGGTGTTTCGTCGGTCTGGTTGAGTGGTTGATGTGTGTATGCCTAATATCACCATCGCTACCTGACGAGAAGCCCATCTAAATATATTACCTTCCATCAAACAACACATGTCAAATCTTCACCAAACTCACATCAAATCCCCAAATATAACCTCCTGCATCTAGCCGCCGTCAACTCCAGCGAATATCCAACAAAATCTCTCCTCCCGCATCCCCGCCTGCCTTACCCGCAGAAGCATCGCCAACCAAACACCAAGCGCCTCTTCTAACAACTGCCAAACGTTGAAACGGGAAGGACTACAATCCCAAGCTCGAAATAGCTAGGACTTGATATTAGTTCAACACTATAGACAATTTACGCATTTCTATTCGAGAGGCCATAGTTTAGTTGCTTGGATATGCAGACTAGGCTCCGCCACTAGGATGAAGCTAACGACCAACACCAAAACCCTGGCTCACGACCAAATAAGCGAGGCCGCCAAAAGTACGTGTAGGCAGAGGCAACAAATAGAAATAATCATAGTATATAGAAGTAGATAGAGTATATGCGGCAGATACAGGTTGTTACGAAAGAGTCCATGTAGTGCACATATAAAGGGGTAAGAAGAGAGACCTTTCTCTTCCTATAGAACGAAGCCATCTCCCAAGAATAATGCCCAATACGGCTGCCTCGCCTTGACCCATGTAGAAAATGGAACCAACAGCATAACAACCGCATATAACAGCAGTTTCGAAACCCTGTGAATCGTCACCAAAGCATGGCCTGCTTCCTATTTTATACCCAACAACACATCCTCGGCGGCAAGAGAGAACTTTTGTCAGCACACAAGTGAATATTATTTCCATTTCGGTAATTGTACAACTAACTGTGACACTCATCGGTGCACTCGGTATCATAAAAACACAAACAGATCATTACCCAAAAATAGTCCCCAAACGGTCAATCCACGTAGCATCATTTGCCGCCGTTGCTACTCATCTCATCAAATCACTCGAGCGAGTGTAATGTTTGTGCAACCAACACTTGGTCCAGTGTAACTCTGATATCAAACCTCGTCTCTACTTATGGTTGAGCTTTTCGACACGGCGGTAGAAGGGAGGCAGAGGCTCCAATTTCTGACGCAGTACCCAAACTCTAAAGTGCCACAAGGCATTCTTCATCTGGTAGCTCATGTGTCTGCGAGTGCTTACTCCAAACACCTGGTCCAGCTCCTCAAGAGTGAGCGCCTTGGTCTCAGGCACAAACAGTAAGATGAGGACCCAGAGGACAGCACACCAACCTGCGTACCACCCGAATGCGCCCTGGACGGTGAACGCCCTTGAGATGGATGGCCAAGTGAATGATAAAATGAAGTTGAAGCACCAAGTGGTCGCAGTAGCCCATGACATGCCCACATCACGGACATGGACTGGAAATGCCTCTGCCGAGTATGTGAATGGCACCGGACCTTCACCTGGGGAATAAAAGACTTCGAAGAGATACATGCCCGTTGTAACCATACCGACTCTCTTCTTGTTATTATTGCCATCATCTGGGATGAAAAACGACATGCCAGTCCACAGCAAGAAGAGGCATAGGAAAGGAAACGTAAAGAGCAAAAGGTTTCGACGACCCCATCTGTCAATGGTAAAAACTGCGGGAATAGCAAATACGAAGTTGAGAATGCCAGTGCCCATAGATGCAAGTAAAGCCGAGTTGGTGGAGTAGCCGGACTCGATGAAGATGGTCGTACTGTAGTAAGCAATGATATTTACTGGATACAAAATCAGTTTCGAGATGTCTTTTAAGATTGGATTAATAAAGTGCGAAACTTCTTACCTCCACAGAATTGTTGTCTAACAAGGTAGCATTCATTAGCTTGTGAATCCGTAACAATGTGATCACCTTTGCCACTTACCCAAACATGAGAATCCATGTGGCCCATGTAGCGCGACGGTTCCTTGGGACGGTAAAAAGTTCGACAAACTGAGTGAAGAGGTTTTTACCCCTATTTGCTTCGCGTTCGAGCTCAACTCCAACATAGGTATAATATGTATCACGAGCAGCTTGAATATCGGAATATCGGAGGCGCTGAAATGATCTGAAAGCCTTTTTAACCTTGCGATGCTGAATATACCAACTGGGGAGGATGTCAGCTTGGTTCTAGGCTAAATATGATGTGAGTGCGGAATTGAAGAACATACCGAGGAGATTCGGGACAAAAGTAGACCTGAGCACAGACGATTAGAGGTAAGACTACGGTGCTGCCGAGCATGAGACGCCAGCCGAGAGAGGGCTTGATGCCAGTTGATGGACCAAACGCAACACCCATTACGTTGCCGAGCATGATACCAAAGGCAGTCCACATCTGCCATTCTGTACAAGTTGTCTAATTAGCCTCGCGAAAGATATCTGAGAATGTAACGGTGTGGCAAGGACTTACGCATAACCAAGGCACCTCGGATTGGCGCAGGGCTACATTCAGCGGCGTAAACGGGAACAGTCGACGACTTAGGGCCAATACCGAGGCCAAGTACAAATCGAGCGAGGAACAGGTTCACCCAAGAATTGGCAACGCCCTCCCAAATAGAGGCAACTGCAGCAATGAAGCAAGAAAGGAAGATGGTTCCTCTCCGCCCAAGGACTTTGTTCAGAGGCTCAGTCAGCCAGCAGCCAAGTATGGCGCAGCAAAGATACGGAGCACCGACCACTAGGCCAGTGATATTATCTTGCATAGATTTGGAGAATCGAGTGACGTTGGGGCCTGCAATGTCTAGGTCGGCTAGATACAACGCTTGGGCACCATTGTTGACCGTTTCGTCCATTCCCTGCACCGCGGCAGCCATGGAGCACATGCAGCAAAGCCAGTAGAGCATGAACGGATGAGACCAACGGTGTGTCTGCTCTCGTTCAATAATGTTTTTATCCTCGGGAGTGAGTTCCTCCAAAAGATGGATGGATTCCGGATTCTGGGCAGCCAAGGCACCCTTACGGAAATCGTCGAGATGATCGTTGAGATCATGCATTCGACAGAATTCGGCAACATCCTTTAGAAGCTCCTCTTTTGATCGTTGTTTGAGCGGATTCTCGAAGATGGCAGCGAGATTATCCATGTTGCCGAAAGAGCCCCGCCGAGGTGCGTGCTCGACATTCTCAGTGTCATCCTGAGAGCTCTGGCTGTTGGTTTTCTCCATGATGTGGATGGATGCTTGGCTCCGATAGCCAATGATAAAAGTTGAAGTGTCAAGTTGAGATTGGAGATGTTGGGATAGGCGGCACTTTGAAGCTACAAAGCACAGGCACGTGTATCTGAGATGTAATGGGCAAGAGAGGTAGCTGTACCTGCATCCCTTCTCCTGGCAGATTCTCAATGTCGGTTTGCTTCAGATACTTGAGCAGATTCAAGTAGACCCTGAACCACTATAAGCTCGCCCTATAAATAATGAGAGATATTTTCTAGGTCAATGCCAGGACGAGGATACCCCTCGCTGTTATAACATTCTCTCTCCATGTCATCCCCCGATATCATCCTGCATAACAGTCCCCTCCATCCTCCCCTAACTTGGAGGCGTCAGCCACCAGCCTAGCCATCAAGATTGCTTGGCTGCCCGAATGATTCTTCCAATTCTAAAGGCCGGCACCGACAGCCTTGCCCGCCATCAACGCCGATCACCTCGCAAGAAGGCTTTCTAGGATCACAAACCTTGGTTTCCCTCGGATCCCCTTGGACACACGGCACGGTGTTGTGGTAAGATTGCGTACTGTAGGGGGATATCTTTACCTTATACAGATTGTCCTCTGTTGGATATGTCGTTGCCTGGCGAAAAAAGCGGATCTTGTTTTATTTTCTCCTTTGTTCCCTGCCTCTATCCACGAGGCATTTTGACCCACTGAGAAGCTGGGGAAACTGGGGAAGACTGGAGAACACATGGTCGTGGATACCTGGTGTTGAGTCAAACAAGACAGACATAGGTATGACTTCATCCTCGGCCTCTGCTAAACGGCTGTTTCTCTCCTCCATACTCCACACTCCACAATCCACTAGGAGACGATGCTGAAGCAGTGCCATCTGGAGAATTTGGTGCCGAGCAACTCGAAGCTTTTCTTGCAACGCTTGTTGGCTCTCCCCTCTTCGGAATTACTCAAGACGGCAGGCATGGCGTCCAACCGGTGATGTAATTGCGAAGAAACCCTGTGTGCAACCACGGCGATTCCTATAAAATGATTTGCGCAGGAAGCCATCCTTCTCGGCCTAGCGCTGCTCTGGCTGGATTCTCCCGATGTTTCTCAACCGCCACTCCAATCATCGGCCAGGCCATTAGCTATTTCCGGCGATCGGCGCGACGTCATTAAACTGCATGCAGACAGGGATCGCGATGCTGATCGGCGTTGCATTTCTGAAGACACGAGCAATATGACGAGTTATTTCCATGTTGTCATTTAAAAGTCCGTTTTCTAACAACAGCCAAAACCTGTGCCTAAGGCGGCAAGGCAATCACAGCCCTGCCGCCCATTGACTGAAGTGATTCACGTCTCCTTCATTATTGCCGATGAACAAGATACTTTTGTTTATTAACTTGACTGTAAAAATACATAATTAAATCTTACACATTCCTCCACGGACAGTATTAATCTTGTCCAAATCATCCTTGATAGAGCCCAGTTTCGCGACATCTTCATCTTTCATGCTCCTCCTTTCATTTGCCGCCTTTGACCATGATTCACGGCTCAGGCCCGCACCCGCCAACGTACTGAACACAGCCATGAAGGCGTTATCGGGATCCAGCACAATGCTGTAGGCCAGCAGTCCAGCCTCTCCAGCAACTTCAATCATCTCCAGGGCGGACCGAATAGCAACCATGCTGGCGTCCACTGCCTCTCCTACAAATGGAATGAAAAAGAGAACACCGCCAATGAAGTTGGCAATCATCTCCTCTCGTTCCTCTTTTTTGATCTTATCGGCTGCCTTAACAACCTTCTCCATACTATCCACGGCAACCGCTACCGTCAAGGCCGGGAGGGCTGCTGCATCTCCCACGTCTGCCATGTCGAGTTGAGCGTCTAGGCTGCCAATGGCCCTGAGCAGTCTGAGGCGTTCAAGCAGATCTTGGGTTTTGTCGTATGACTTACCGATCACATCTTTGGGGTTGAAGACTTTGATGTCATCGGCAGGTTGAGGATAGTTCCAGAACCACTTATCATTTTTCCTCTGGCATTCCCTGATATCCGCTTCAAACTGACAGCCGTTTGTCAGTTGCACGTCAGTATTACCAAACTTAATCCAGTCCTTTTCAACGCCATAAGATTGATCGATAGCCTTGTAAAAGCCATCCGAGTCAGTTAAAGTGTATGTCACATTGGGGACCTTCGTACTGAGCCAATCAACACCATCCGGTCCATCCTTGTAGATGGTAGGACAGGTAGTCGTAACTGTACTGACACCATCCTTGCAGTTGGCTGAATTGTCGCAGTCCTCATTACAAGTAGCGAAATGGCAACTGGAGCAGCAAGTGCGGTTACCTGTCTCTGCGCAACTGAAGAAATCTCCGGCATGTCCATTACCCATAAAGGAATTGATCTGAGCAGGGATCTGCTCAGCAGTGTACTCCTCATAAATTTTGAATTTGTCGTCGTAGCTGTGGTCGACAAGGTCCTTATACTTATCGAGTGCATCGCTTAGAATTTTGATTTCAACATCGACGATATACTGGTCCATGCAGTGGGGTGGGATGTTGGTCTGGTTATTTTTGAGCTCGTCCAGGCTGCTGTACGTAGAGTCGCAGCTTGCATAGTAATTGGGGTTTATTTTAGCAACATAGTTGGGATCATAGCCCTCATCATAACCAGTGCCACTAGGTTATAAGTTAGCATGTTGGTCATAATGTTGAAACAGAGGGCATACTCACTCCGTGTACTCTTGCAAGTCAACAGCCCAGTCACTTGTCCCGGCGAAGTTGTATGACGCATACAAAGCTTCCCGATCTGCTTTGGTATCGTCATCCATATATGCAACCCACTCCGTATCGTTGTAAACCAGAATGTTTGATCCGGCGTCAGTGTACTGCTTGTTCACGTTGCCAAACATGATTATATCATTAATTTCCGCATCAGAGATATAACCACTCGTATCAGTGCAGCGGCCCTTGGCTGCATTGGATACTCTTGGGCTACCAGTAAACTGGCACATGGGTCCCGTGCAGCCAGCCTGGGCCATTTTAAACGAACGTCCATAACTAGAGACTCCCACCACAACCTTGTTAGATGGCACACCAGCCTTTGTAATCATAGATAAGGCGTCTTTAGTCTCAGTAATATTAACATGGGAGCGGAGACAGTTGCCAGTAGGACAGCCAGGAGAGGTCCACTTATTATCGTAGTCCCATTGACCGTGAAGATCATATGTCATATAGACAATATAGTCAATCTTAGCCCCCAAGTCCTTGACGGGAAAGGCTTTGAGATACCAATAAGACGCTGGAGCTGCGAGTGAGACGGATTTACTGCTGCCAAGGGCTGTCTTGAGGCTGCTTAGAGTTTCATAGTAGTCTTTGCCGGCATCAGCATCTCCAGCAGGGATGCCAGGGATGTCGGGGGCCTTTGCGAACAAATTAGCATCGATCATGTGCCGAGAGTGAAAGAGAGAGCGACTTACACCTGGATATTCCCAGTCAATATCAACACCATCTAGATTGTGCTGTTTGATGAAAGCAACAACATTGCTCTGAAAAGTAGCTCGGTTCGCAGCTTTTGTAGCTTCACGAAGAATGTTGAAAGTGCCCGGCTTAGTACTGAAATCCCACCCGCCAAAGGAGATGATCTTCTTGACGTCGCCACTCATGGCCTTGAAGCTGTTAAACTGGTCTTGGGCACCGCTAATATCAATTCCGAAAGTAGAGGTGACGTTGGCAAATGCAAAATGAATGTGCGTATACTTGGATGTGTCGATTTCATCGACATCCATGTGTAAACACTTGCGATTTGAGTTCCAGGATTCATAATACGCAACCCGCATTGTTTTAGCGGGAGGTGAGCCTTTTATGATGTCTCTACCGCAGTTTGAGATACCTAAGCTTGTTAGAAAGGGGTGCTGTCTCTGTGAATGCATATACTGAAAATAACTTACATCCATTCTTTTTGGGGGCTGCTGTGCCCGGTGCACCAGTCGTTGAGTTGGAGATGACACAGAAATCATCTGTAGTGCCGCATTGTCCCCAAATGTTACAACAGACATTCAAAGGACAAGGGTTTAGCTTGACCCAGTCATCGCTATTCCCGAAAGGTGGTTGTTTTGTACCAGGAACCTGAGGCCCGCAGACAGCATTGGAGATAGATGGTGGAAATGGAGGCGTCCCCGTGCTAAGACATATCTGTGCCTTTTCAAAAAGCACCCCGCATCCATTCCAACCCCATGTCTTCTTGTTATACTCTTCAATCTTAGCCTCAGTAAGTCCGTGAGAGGCAGCAATGGTAGTGCAGCCGTCATCCGGTTTGATAGTATAGACAGAGCAAGATCCATCCTTATTAGGTTTGGGAGTAATATCAGGCAACTTTCCATGAGTACAGCAAACCGGTTGGCCAACTTTCAACGCGCAGAAGTTCTTGTCATCGCTATGTAGCTTGGTGAAATCAGCCAGCTTAAGCCCACATTTCTGCGCCATGGATTCACATGTATCACCTCCGGCAACAGACTTGGTCTTGCAAGTACCGTCAGAATTGGCAGCAGGAATAGGATCCGGCAATGTGCCAGCAGAGCAGCAGACTACTTGATCAACAGCCAGTGTACTGCAGAAATTTTTAGCAGGATTAAATTTCTGCAGGTCTGATTGACTGATGCCGCATCGCTGAGCGACGGCAGAGCAGCCATCATTAGGGTGGACGGTAGTGGTCTTGCAGTTGGCCCTAACAGCGAGTCTCGATTTTTTCCAAGAGTGTGCCTCTTCTGATAATGAAGAAGTGGAAAGGGTCTTGTTGTTAGAGCCTTGAATCTGTTCAGGAACTCTAAGAGAGACTGTCATGTAGTTCTCAAAGTTTCCAGACACGCAGCTCCCATCCGCCCAGGTTCGTACAGTGTCCTGGACTAGAGTTAAGTCGTTTATAGAAGCTGCAATAATTCCGACTGCATAATCAGCTCCGCGGCCATTTTCAGGGCAGAGTTGGACAATCTGCGGCCCGTGGAAAGGCTGTTTCTCTGCCAAATCTTGCAAAAAGTTACTCAAGATGTCGGCATGGACGCCATGTTGGTAAACTTCAGCACCGGCATAAAGGCCGATGACCGCAGACTGAGAGTGACCAAAAGTGACAACATTCTCCGTGCAAGAGGGTGCCTTTGTGCTCAAGTAGTTTTGGACTTGGTGTCCTGCAGAGAGAAGATCATCCAGCAGAGGAACGTTGTTGCCGCCAGTGGTGTCACTAGCAGGCATGCCAATAGTAACAGAAGTTTTGACTATGTTATGGTTGGGTGTTGAGCAGACTGCAGCAACATCATCGTTTACCATTGGCGAGTTGCTCAATGCAGAATTGAAGCTATAGTCTGCTTTACACCCTCTGATGGCTGTGACAGGTACTTGCTTCCCGTCAACGATTGTCTCTTGAATGTTGAAGCTCAGCAGCATCGTTTCATTGCAAGTTATCAGACTTGTTGCATCTGGAAACAGGAACCATGATGACGAGCCACTAGGGTCAGAGTCACTCTCTTGGCAAGATGAGGGGCATGCTTGGGGTGCCGTAGTGCGATCGTTTGCTGCACGCCAAGCGTCTAAGCCTGTGTCTGAGCCATCATCAGGTTTGGAGGCTGCAGCGGGTGCTATTGTTCCTGCCACCAAGAGGAGTGTGGCGAGACAACGTGATATAGAAACCGCCATGTCGAGTGGAGGGAGATCTAACGGGTCTCAACCGGTAGTGAATGAATGGAGAGTCAAAGTGAGCGGAATGGAAATATTCAAATATACTCATGAAAAGAACGGGGAGGGAGAAGGGGAAATAAAGTCATGATGATAACAACGCAGTGGGACATGACGGACAGGAACGGGTGGAAATGGCTATGAATGAAGACAGAAAGCCCTTGACTCAGTGTGACCGACAAATTCTTCATCGGTCGACCAACATCGTCGGTCGACCAACATCACAATCTCTGCCGTCACGTAAAATCAATCAATCTACAATACATGCAGGTACATTCTTGTAAGTGCCTCTAGTGCGGCCTAGAACGGCGTCCCAGGTGGCTTGCAGGGGAAAAGTTCCGTCGTCGTATTTTCATTTCACGATGAGATCCACGAGCCCCATAGCGCCGATGTGACATGGCTCCGCCCAGCAGGCGCAGTCGATTCGGAAATATTTGAGATTTTGTTTAAGCATGATCATCACATGTGAAAATACATCCACTAGACGACCCCTGTACACTAACCCTTGTCTCCGTGCCCTCCGAGGAGCATGCTTGTATTATTGAGATGTACCAGATGTTACGAGAAGTAGACAATGAAAATTTGACTCCATCCGGTGATATCCTTGAATGAGTAGCTCCACGGTGTGCCGTGAGAGAATTACATATTTGTACATGTAGTATTCCTTAACGCGTCTGCTCCCAGGTGCTCGGGCTACTTCTCCTCCTCCAACCCGTCCATCTTCTCCGGTCTCCGACTCGGACATCATTCTATACATTTTCAACTTTTGTGAACATTGGAGAGCTGTTGGTCTCTCATTCAAGGACATCCATCATGAAAGCTACATTCTTAGCAGGCTGCCTCCTCCTCGTCACCAAGGTCATAGCCGGCGGTTATGCCGGTGCACTGGACCGTGTGTGGTTGTATTACGCCTACCTAATCGACGGACTGAACGACAAAGATAAGCAAACGATTGGATGGAAGTGTCGAAAATGGGACGACATCGCAGAAAAATGCAAGCTTCACTCCAAAACTGGCCAGGAATGGTGGGAACAGTGCGTAGGCAAGCTGCCGGAACGACGCTGCACATTTAGTCAATTCCACAACTTTGTTGGTGGCACAGTAGCCACAGATCAACTTCTTGCAGACAAGGATGGCAACCTTCTGCCTCTCACAGCCACAGATTTTGATCCCGAAATGACTGCCAAGAATGTGTACAACCATTTCATGGCGAAACAAGGCTCTCTGAAGGATTGGCCAGGATACAAGGCAGTGTATCATGGTATAGACGAATACGTGGACACTATCGACAGGATTACAAAGGTGGTAGAGAAAGCTGCTGCAGAAGGAAAAGCCACGACCGACGAAACCAAGAAATACTTCCAGCGCTTCGCTGAGACTACCGCCCAGATCAAAACTGCCAGAATTGGTGACCATGGCCCATTTCTTATTACAAAGGCAAACGATGTGCTGCCTAAGAAAGGAGTTACTGTAGAGACGGAGAAAGTCGGTACTGGTTCTAACCCGATGGATCCTAACGACCCTTGGGAGACGGTTGATTGGGAAAAGACTGCAAAAGGGGGGGTGGACAGCGGAAAGTATACCCCATCACAGATGGAGGATATGATTGACGAGGTGAAAACGGAATTCTATACTGACCCTAAGGATACAAGACCCAAAATGCATTTGGAAGTTATAGAGGCCTTTGAGAAGACCGAGAACATAGCTAGAGGATGTATCTAAAGGGATTGGAGAGGAAGTTGATGAGGGCGAGATTTAGGATATAAACTGTTTGAGAGCCCAGAGTTCATAATATAAGGGTCGAAGTTAGTTTGTGCATCAGCTTCTGTAAAGACATTTACTATGTAGAGAAACCCAAAACTTTCATTTCTTGTCTAATCTTGGCTTCTGCTATTCTTCCATCTCTGCGAAATTTGACAAGTTGAAATCCAAGCCTTCGATATTATCTACTACAAATTGTAGCTCATCATCAAAGCCATCCATATCTTGCACCAACCCCCCGTGCGAATAAGACCAGAACCATGCCATCTCCAGCTGAGGTCCAGTCAACAAAAGGCCTGAGTGAAGATCAAGAAATCTAACATTTTCCGAAGGACACTTTCCATATGAGGGGCCACCAAAATCTGCCCCCCAACTTAATACATGCTCTTGCATAGCTACGTGTACCTCCCGTAGCAGCGGAAACTTCCCCAGCGACTCTCGGCGAAAGTGAGGAAATGCATCACTCCAATTTCGACCATCGCGTCCCTTTGGTATAGTAATTCTGAGCCGTTGAATCTCATCCTTGTGCTTTAGGCGTTCGTATTGATAGTCTGTAAGGCAGATCATGTCTTCTTTGAAGTTGACCCAGACATATCGGGCCATAGATTCACCGGGCAAAGTAGAGAAGAAAGCCTTCTGGTAGGGAGCGCACTGACGGGATTCTCGGCAGGCGTGCATGATAGCAGGAGGCGGCATCGGCGAAGCAAATGTGTTGGCCTCTGAGTCGTTCGTTATACGGATGCGAACATGACGTGGATGCGCCGCTAAGTCCCAAATCCGGGCGCGAAGCTCATACGGAAGACGCGGGAAGGGATGAAAAGTGGTGGCCATGATGATTGAAAGATTCAGGTTGCTGTGGTCTGGCAAACCAACAGCTGTAGCGGATATAGAGAGCACTGCTGTACTCCGTAGGCTCGGTCCGACTCAAGCGGTCTGGCGGGTCTGAGAGTCCGAAGGAGCACGGCTGAAGAGATTATGTGGTTATGTCTTGTGCCAGGTCCCTACGAGTGCGAGTCAGGTCAGATGCAATCAAACTCGCAAGGCCCATACAAAGGACTGATTTGACTACATGTAGTTGGAAATGGCACAAGACCAAGTTCGACATTAGGTACCTACATGTACTTCTAGGCCAGGGGTGCGGCAGCTCTACCGTTCAATGCTAGTGCTAGTACGCCGGAGCCTACTGCCAGGCGCCAGATCTTCCAGGGGCCGAGCCTTTCCATGTGCCGCTCTACTCCACTGACATCATGCCAGTAACTACAAGTACCTGAATTAAGATACTGCTCCGTGGTCCTTTGCAATTTGCTCAACCAACAGCAACAATTCAAGATGCTCGGTCCAACAGCAATGACTCTGCAAAAACCTAAGCGTACTTCTAACGGAGCCAAACTTGACTATATTAGGTAAGTAATAATACTCGCACAGCCTTCGTGGGACCTGAGTTGCGCTACAGTCTTACCAACAACGAGATAGATGCTATTATGTACATGGGGTGCATGATTTCCGACAGGTGAGTGTTCGGCAGTTGCCAGGGGTTTTACGGATATAGCGAAAAGTTACGGAGTACTAGGTAGTGAAATGAGAAAAGAGGGTTAAAAAAAAAGTTTTGTTTTTAGCTTATTTCTCATTAATGTAACCTTACGGAACCTCGGCCGTCACTTTTTTTCAGCCTCTAGTCTAGTATCCGAAGCCCGTCGGATAACCACATACAATTTTCTTCTTGGTAAAGGAACCCCTATCTATGAGACACCGTTACCCTATCTCGGTTATTGTCGCCTTTACCACTTGTTTTACTTTAAAATTCTGAAGGTCTTTTGACTTGGTTCCTTGGTCGGTGGCATTGAGCTGCGTTGTGTAGTAGTCCTTCTTGGATGAATCAGAATCAACTTTAGCAATGGGAGTTTTACAGGCTGCAGGCACAACCAAAAGGCAGAAATCCGGATATGAAAGGTCCCCTTGAAGGTCGTACTGCTTGAGAGAAGGTAGGAGAATAACGATGTGTTGGAATGTAGTGAGAATAAGGATATCTTATGCCACTCAACTCCTTCTCTGTATATGCACTAGAACAGAAGCCTCAGCCTCTCTGTCATTCATTATCGTGATATCTAAAAACAAAGAAGCAAAAAAATACATGATATAATAAGATGAACAAAATAGAGTGGATGGAGTAAGCATAGTAATGACAAAGTTAGTATGTTCAGTGTAATGAATGTTAAGTATATATATAGTCTTCTCTCCAAATCTTTCCATAGATCCATTGGATAAATTATTTTTGTTATCATTCGTTATACTGTTGGATTATGCGGCATCTGCATTTGTTTGAAACCAGGGTAAAGAGGTTGCGCAGCGTTAGTGCTAGAATGCTGGAAGTACGGCCATCACATAGTCATTTTCTGATCTATTTGCTGTTGCTACAGGTTTGCTAGGACTGGAAGGTTAGAAAATATTAAAGCCCCTACAATTACGGATAGTATCTTATTATTCGACTTTAGGTATAGCAAGCTACCACTGATAATTTTCTTCATAGCCTGGGAAATGGCAGCTAGTGAAGGGTAGGATGAAAGAGGAGGCAATAACAGGAGACGATTGAGGATGCATGGGAGTTGCGAGGGAGTTGAAATATATTTCTCAGCGAGTCTTGCCTTCTTGCAATCCGATGTCGGTTCGTATTCCCAAGGATGGGTACTTTTTCAAGTGGTATTCAGCAAATGAAATATCCAATAGGTAGATCGGAAGTACAATTTTTTAGTTCAACTTACTCCAAGTTAAGTCCTTAGGATTATATGCGTTGATCGTGGGTGGACAGATTACTAAGATACGGGGCTTTACGTTGTGATGAGGCTTGGCCTCGAAGTAAGCCTCGAAATCGCAACCCGCATCTCCTCTGGGACCAATTCTTAATGAATAACAAAGCGAATAGGCTCCTAGAATATTAAAAAAGAAAAGAAAAGTCGTCAGGCTAGCAATTGCTCGAAAGGGCGACTAAAGGAGAGAAAGAGACGAAAAGAAAGAAAGGGGTAAGTGATCTGGAAGATGGGAGCTGGCTGCATTACCCCTTTCTTAATAGTATGCTTATCATGAAAGTTGTAGGCTAGAGTACAACACTGCTTTCGCCCCTGAGTGGCAAACCCCCCGCGCCGCTTGGCTGCATCTTGGAAATAGCCGCCGGGATATACTTCAGACTCGCCACCGCTCTCTCTTTGAAACTGAGATATGGACAATTCGTGATAATGTTTGGTGAGGCGCTTATCATCGTGATCTATTGACCAGACACGTCGACGGAACGGCGCATAAGTGTCTCAGGATTGATGCTCTATCCCATATACGCCGGGGATTACAAAGACCTGAGGCTGGCCGTCGTGGAGGGTGTATATGATATAGATTAGCGGGTAGATTAGGGGCAGCTGCGAGCACATGAGCCTGCGGCATCCCCTTTCTTGGATCTCTACCAGCTTTTTCGGTATCAGCAACATCTCGTCTTGCATGATATCCAAAGAAAGCCGGCACATCGGCACATCGGCACTCTAGAAGGTGGATTGGATGTCGCCATAAGGTCCGTTTGCTCCTCCATCGAATCAGGAGACTCAAAGCTTAGGCTCGCGGTTCGAAGGACCTTGGTCAGCATTTTAGTGTCCTGTACGAGGGCGTGCATATTTACCAGCACCATATCCTTCTCGCTTGAGCCGTCACTGGCCCGGTAATCTTGGAGGTAGTCGATGCTGTCCATGATGATGAAGATACATTTCACCTTGCTTCTTGGAGACCCTCGATAAACTGCTTCCACAGTTCAGAAACGTCGCTGGCACATTCTCTGGTAAGGCTGGCAAGTTTGCGGCCAAACAACTGAGGGCGCTGCTTGAACATCTGTACGAAGAGTGCCTGAACAAGCGTCCGGAAATTATTGCTCTTACCAGAAAGGCTGTCCCCGCAGAAATGGCCCAATACAAGAACCGGCTCGAAAGAGTTGCCACTGAAGATGAGCGGGGGCCGGCAAACAGCGAATTGAAGTCGTATCTGCCGAGCACCAAGTAGCTATTAACCAAGAGCTGCTATAAGCCACTGGATCCCAACCACTCTACGATTTTCTCAGCACGCAGCAGATTCTGGTTTCGTGGTCGATGTGTAGGCATCTCTGGTAGTTGATCAATTAGCCTCCGATGCCTTTTGGCAGCTTCATTGACTTCGTGAAACTCGACAGACTCTCTCCGAAGCAATGCGTCGATCTCATCTTCGCCGAGAGAAGACGGGACCTCAGCTGTCATTGAACCTGCCAGAGATATTGTGCTGGCATAGGTAAACGGATCAACAGTCTGAAAATACAGAAGCACAATTATAAATTTATGATATCTGGCCGCTAATCCCTTTGATTAATGCCCCCTGAGGGTTATGTGGTAGCTGGCATGTTCCTCTCAAGTATCTATCTTTCAGAGCGTACGAATCTACAAATTTTCGCTCGTGAGTCTTTTCACGGGCCAATCGCTAGCCACCAAGTCAAAGCTTCTAGAATAATGATCTACTCGCATACATATTATTGAGCTATTACCGAAGCTACTTGGCTAGAAGTGTTCTCGGCGGAAATCCGAACGCTCTACCAACGGCTAATTATGCCAAAAAAAAAAAATTCACGACGAAAAAGTAAGCAGTTGGGTCAGTGTGTCGAGCAATTGAATTGCCTCAGTACGAGAGTACGACGCATTGAATGGACTAAGACGATCTAAAACGATGATTCCGCATCAAAGGTGGAGCAGCATCAGGCTAAGGCAAGAACAATGGAGTCCCCCGTATAATCCGGTCAAATTATTTCTGGTATTTTACTCATCTTGTATTTTCTGAATACGGATTGACGGAGAAATAACGAGGAGCTGAAATGTGTCGATAGGTGGACAGCCAGCAATAGTGTGAGCTCTAGGGTAGTTGAAGAAGCAAGATGACTGTCTTGAGGAAGGTATGAGGCAGACACCCATTAATTTTGCGCCATACCTCAGGCAACCACCACATTCACCGATGCAACCACATTGTGTTCGAACATATCCCTCGACATAATCAAAAAATGACAGGTCTGCAATTGCTCGCCGGAATTCGCATGGACTGCTCGAGCTCGGTCAGAAACACGAGCAGAGGCAGCCAATGACAGGCGGCAAAGATGCACAACTCGCTGCCGGCTTGGCCTGAATCGTACGCTTGCAGCAAATGCGCCTCACCAGCAAGGGCCGGGTTCAGGGTTCGGAATTGCCCACACCGGTTGTTATCTGCCTGCATCCACATGCAGTTCGGTGGATTATGGCCTGTTGCGAGAGAAACCCCGTGCTGCGTGCAAAATGTCGCCAGCAGAGGGATCGAAGGAGCAGCGGTCGCGGGATGGCGTCTTGGAGTTATGAGGGAGGGATTCGATTGCCGAAGCAGATGGTCTCGTTGCGCAAAACGCGAAAAACGGTGTCTCACTACCAGATGCACATCACCATTGCACGTGGAGGCTTCATGCGGGGAGATCGTGAGATCGACTCGCCTCCCTATTCTCCTTCGGTGGGTTCATGAAAAGGCGGCAAAGGACGAGCTGTTTGAATGGGCCTAGCTTGGCGGAGAAGTGGCGGGGACGTTTGGGTGAGATTGGAGATGCAGCCCGCAGCCTCCTGGCCCTGATCTTGCTTGCTCTGGGTTGGCGCTCCAGCCTTTATGTTCATCGGATCTCTCTAACGCTACCTCCCTCCCGCCAACAAGGACATGCTGCTGGTCAACTCTAATTAGACTCCCGATGGCTGGCTGTTTTATCATGGTGCTCCCTGCCGCTCCCTGCCGCTCCCACCTGCGCCGACTTGCTCTCGTCCTTCTCGTCCTTCTCATCCTTTTCTCACGCCGGTTGCGAGGCACAATAACGGAGCAAATACCGCGGACGGCCAACTTGTATTATGGGGCCAGGCCCAGCCTTGCAGGGATGCTCACCCACGGTGACGTAGGTGGGCAAGGATTGGTGTGGCTAACATCCACGCTCCTCCTATTGAAAAGCAGTTTGTACGACAGAAACGCCCTCGTCCGCTATCGTTATCCGCCTTAACCGGCGCCGTGTCGAGCTACGCATATAATCAGGGAAGGAGGGCCTAAGCCATATGGGCCCAGACATCCACAATGTAACCAAAGTTTCACAAACTCCCAGAGTGGCAGTTGGCCCAAGAGGATGTGAGCGCGCCGGCTGATTGAACGAGCTTAAACCCCTCAGGGCCCCTTGTTGGCTCGTTCGCAAGAGGCAAAAACGAATGGTGAAAAAAAAAATAGATAAAAAGCTATCCTCCTGTCCATCCTGTATGTCATTTATACTTTATTAATCACTCATCCATTGTCTCCCGTTCGCTCTGGGAGCAGTGTCACATCTACAATGTCCTCCGTCGATTCAACTGCAGCGGCCTTGGAGCCACGCTCCAACGAGACATCGAGTCCTGTCCAGAATGTTGACGACGATAATAAAAGGGGGCTCTCTGATCCGGCGAGAGCTGTAGAAGTTGAGCTTCCTGGAACTGTTTTGCCAGCTTTGGGCGAAGATGATATATCAACGACGACAAAGTGGGAAATCTGGACTTGGTATGGCTACTACATTGGCGCCAACGGACTGTCGCTTTTCAATTTTGGCCCTACGGCCTTTCAAAACCTGCTTGACCAGGCTGCTCCAGAATCCGGTCTTCTTCTATTCGCCGGCCGGTACCGCGATGTGAACAGTATCGTGTTGCTTGCCAACGGCATCTCCTTTGCCCTGCAGGCTGCTCTGTTTCTCATCATTGGTGCATACGCCGATTTTGGAACAGGGCGGCGCTGGATTCTGATTGTCTGGTCCATCATTGCTTACGGCATTGGATTTGGCTGGCTAGGCGTCCATGATCCTGAGAAGTGGAAGATTGCCACAGCCCTCTACATTGTCGGTTTGATTGCTTACCAGCTGACTCTGACATATTGGACCGCCGCCTTCCCGTCCCTTGCTCGTAACACTACGCACCTCAAGGACTCTCGATTGTCCTACGAATCGGGCGATATTACACTAGAGGAACTAGACCGCCGCGATGAAATGGAGCGAAGCCGGCTCAGCAATGTTTCTTTCTACATCCAATCGGTGGGCGAGGTCGTGATCCTGGCCATCATTGTGGGCATTATGTTTGGTCTCAAGGTGGACGACAGCGCCGCGAACAACAATTGGGGCTTGTCTGTGCTGATTGCTTTCGCTACTGCTGTCTGGCTAGTGGTCTCCATCCCGTGGTTCTTCGTGGAAAAGAAGCGTCCGGGCATGATGATTCCAGCCGGCTACAACATAGTCACGGTTGGATTTTGGCAGCTCTATGAGGCAATTACCCAGATCCGCCAACTGAAGCAGAGCTTAATCTTCCTTGCCGGATATTTCTTGCTGGGTGACTCGCTCAACACGACGGTGACGGTCATCTCTACGCTGCAGAACCAAGTCGTCAGCTACAACACACTGACGTTGACGTACCTCCTTATCGTCGGCATCGTCGCACAGGGCGTCGGCATTGGTGTCTTTTGGCTCATTCAGAAGAAGTTCAACCTTAGTGCCAAGACCATGTTCAACGCAGTCATGGTGTCCATCATCCTTCTAGACGGCTGGGGCATGATTGGCAACTGGACCGATAAGTTTGGCTTCCACAACGAGTGGGAAGTCTGGGTCTACCAAGCGTTCTATGGACTATTCGTGTGCCCGTGGTATAGCTATTCGCAGATTATGATTAGCTCCGTGACCCCCCGAGGCCACGAATTTCTCTTCTTCTCCATCTTCAACATCATCGGCAAGTCTTCGAGCTTCATCGGGCCTCTTATCAGCAGCGCCATCATCGACGCCACGCCCAACGGCAGCAACAACAGCGCTCCGTTCTATTTCTTGTTTGCACTGACGATTGTCAGCGCGGTGGGCATTTGGACTTTCCTCGACTTGGATAAGAGTGCTAGGGAGCAGGAGGCGTTCCTGGCGCAGGAAAAGGCGCGGATTATGGGTGACGACGTGACGACTAGCAAAACGACAGAAGAGGACCAGGCAGGCGCATGATTTGGGCTTTTGTTTGTTTTCTTTTTTCGTGTTTCTTTTTTTTTTTTTTTCCGTTGGCTATGGACCTTTTTCGATTGTCGAGACACCGGTTGCTTATGATGGTGCAACACTCTATCTAGACAATGATCTCGCTCTGCTGTCGAGCAGCAGATGCGCATGCCCCCGTCCATGCCGTTACCATGTTATGACGTAGCATCGAGGCCTGTGGTTCGAGCCGCAGGTTTCTTTGATTATAGATGTCCGCGTAGTTTTCGGTGATGTTGCCAGTCTGCCTTGATATGCATACCCAAACATTGGTTCCACCTACGTGATTTGCTTTGCTGTAGAAGATGTGTATATTCATAACTGGCTAAGCTGATCAATATATTACATTTATATCATTCTCGTATGTTCATATCTTGGCCGTCATCAATCTACAAAAGCACGACGATGTAATGGGCACGTCCGCCACAGCCATGGCCTTCTTCAGCGGGCCCTCCACCTTCTTCGCCTCCTCTGTCCTGCCCAGCTTAACCAAACACTCGTGATAGCCGTGCAGCGCCCAGACATTGTTCGGATGGCGATGAACTCGGGGTAAAGATTCGTCGATACCCAGGTCTGCACTGTATATGCTCAATGCTTCACTAACATGGCCTTGCTCAAGCAGGAGTGCACCGTAAGCATGTCGCGCGGGCTGCATCCATCCCCACGGTTCGTCAAAGGGGAGACCGTCGTAGCGGGAGATTGATTCGCGGAGGTGGGCAAAGGCGGCGGGGTAGTTGGCCGAGCGGTACTCGATTTCGCCGTCGAGCATGGCTTCGGCGACGCAGAGAATGTCGATGCATTTGTTGTTGAAGAGGGTGCGGGTGGGCTTGACGCGGGGGACGGATTCGGTGAAGAGCTGGCGCTGTTGGCGGGCTTCGTCGACTTGTCCCAAGGCTGCCAGTGCCATGCCCCTTGCGTAGTACGTCAGTGCCGTGGTGACGCAGTAGAGGTCTTGGTCTTCGGGCAGTTTCAGCGCGAGAATGTCTTTCCAGCGGCCAAAGCGGATGAGGACGTGAACACGCATGGCGAGGAAAGCTTCAAGCCAGTCTGCCATGGGAGGAGTCTCGACGCGGAGGAGTTCATCGGAGAAGCTTGCCTCGAGCTGCTCGACAGTCTCGAGAGCAATCTTGGACTGAGCGGCGAACATGGCCGAGTACAGGCGGAAATGATAGTCGTGGCTTCGGTACAGAGTGTAAAAGTTCATGGGACCTTCGCGCTTGAGAAACTTTTCGTCGGCGTGGACAGCATCGGAGTTGGCGACGACGGCTCTGGCGTAGTCTCCCACGAGGATGTCGAGGTGGCTCGGCATGTGGTTCAGGTGGCCTGAATCAGGAACCAGGCCGCGAAGCTGGTCGGCTGCGGGCATGGCGGCCTCTGGGGTATTTGACATTTCCATGAGGTGAATGTAGAGATGCAGAAGACCTGGGTGTCGGTTACCGCCCTCGAGAGACATGCCGTGCTCGAGTGTCTGTTTTACCTCGAGCGTGCGAGCTTCTGGAGCTGGATTGCCTGTCTTGATATCCCAGAGGGCCCAGGGGGTGAGATTCATCATGGAATCGGCGTATAGAGTGGCAACGTCCAGGTCATCTGGGAACTGGGCCGAGACGGCGCTCATTGCATCGGCGTATTCTCGATTCCATATGGGGCGGTCCGTCTTGGTTGGGGCATTCGACCTTGGGTATCTATAGCGAAGAGCGTCTATAAGCGCCCTCTCAACGGGAGTGGCAGATTCGGAGCACGCCTTGGCCTTTTCAATCGCTCGATGCGTCCGATCCGCCGTGTTCTGAATCTCTCTCCTGCCAAACAGATCCCAGGGCTTGTTGTAGTTGGGCCCCAAGGCATAGGCGAGGCCCCAGTAGGCCATGGCACAGGCGGGATCGTGGGCAATGGCCCGCTCGAAGCATTTTGCCGCCTCTTCGTGGTTGAAGCCGTAGCACCAGACGAGACCTCGGTTGAACCAGGTTTGGGCGATTGGGTTGGTGGTGGAAACGGTGCGATGCAGGTCGCCGAGGTCGTAGTAGTCGGCGTCCAGATGCGGTCTGTCGCTGGCCGTTCGACAGGCCTCCTTCTCTGACGCTTCTTCCATTTTGCCTCTGTTCTTTGCGAGCTGCTAGTTCAGATGATGGAGGAGGCGAATCGTGAGCTGGCAATCAGCTGGCCCCGTGGATCGGACGAGCATGTCATCGTCTAGAGCAGGTTGGAACCGGCTCAAGGCCGCTAGATGCAGGTAATCTGCTAGTTTGGTGGAGATTGGGAGCTCCAACCGCGGCGCGACCAGCCGAAACCTTATCGGCAAGGGAGAAGGTGGGAGAAGGTGGGAGTCGGTAAGACGATGAGAGAGGCGGTGATTTTGGTTTGAAGGTGACGATCAGGGCCAATGATTTTATGTTGATTCAGATTCGGATTTTGAAATGGGAAGCTCAGCGAGATCGGCACGGATCTGGAATGACCCCGCTATATGAGATAGCATGAGATAGGGGAGGGGAAATAAATCTCCGATGGTTACATGTTGGTACCGCTTCATCTTGAAGAACACGGGCCCATGAGATTATCTTCATAAAAGTACATGTACTTTAAAAAGTATTGTTTGGTCCTCAGAAGTTGATTGACTTGGGAGGCAGTAATGGCGATTGTCTTATAAGTAACTTGCAGCTCAGGATATGGAACAGATGCAGTAGGGCAGCCCTCAATGTCTCGAATGGCACATACCACACTCACCTATAGACGACTGAGTTCCATTCTTGGGATATTGAACGTATATTATCAACAGACATAAGAGTTAATAAACTCGACTCCATTGCAACCCATTTTTAATATAAATCCGTTTAATTATTTAATATATTATATTCTTAGTATAATTAAATCATGATGGTGAAGAGAGCAGAGAGAGTTTAATACCTTAAGACGACTTGTGAAACCAGTGTTTGAGCTCTGCCGTGTTTCTATTAAAAAGACATACCAAAAAGTCGACTAAAATATATTTACAGCATTCCACGTTTGTCTCAACATTTGTTTGTATAAGTACTCGCCATGTCTGAATCAATTTGACAAGTGAGCTCCAGGTCGGTGGATTGGAGGACGTATCTTTCATGACACCACTTTTGACAGAAGTCGTTTGATATAATCATGACTGTCCGCCGCGAAAACCCGGCAGCGCACTGCACTAATGTTCTCGCCTCCCGCCGGTGTCGCGTCATTCTTGCTCTCACCGCTGTGATATTGACGATTTACCTAATTCTCAGCAGAGCAGATGATTATTACTCCCAAAAGACGTCTACTGTCCTCTACAAGACTTCCAAGGATACGAATGAGCTGGATTGGTCGAAATATGCGTATACTCAATATGTCACCAGCAGCGAATATCTTTGCGTCTCAGTGATGCTGTTGGAAAGGCTACATCACCTCGGAAGCCGTGCAGACAGGGTATTGATATATCCTAAAAAGATGCTTCCAGATCCCGAAACAAATGATGGCGGAGGCTCCCACGATGCTGAAATGTTAATCAAGGCACGAGACGAATACGGTGTAAAACTTATGCCAATTCAAAATCAGCATAAAGATACTGTTGACGGTATGTGCTCTCCGTTCTCTGATGATAAGCAACCCAAAGGCTTCTTCGTTTGCTAACCAGTCAAGATACACGGGCCAACTCTTACACCAAACTCCTCGCCTTTAACCTGACTCAGTACGAGCGTGTCATTGCCATCGACGCAGATGTCACAGTCTTGAAGCACATGGACGAACTCTTCCACCTGCCGCCATGCCCCATCGCCATGCCTCGCGCATACTGGCTCCTCGACGACATGAAATCCCGAATGACGCTTTCTTCCCACGTCATGGTCATCCAACCCAGCGAGCAGGAATTCGACCGCATCCAGAAGAGGGTTCAGCTCGCTGACAACGACGAATACGACATGGAGCTGCTAAACAAGCTGTACGCTGACACGGCCATGGTGCTTCCTCACAGGCCTTTTGCAATGATTTCTTCAGAGTTTCGCGAGACGGATCATCACTTGTATCTCGGCTCTGAGACGGAGGAATGGGACCCTGTAGCGGTGCTCAATGAAGCCAAGACGGTTCATTTCTCAGATCACCCCGTGCCGAAACCCTGGAAAGTACATCTGACTACGGACGATCAGGATAGTATTACCAATTTGGAACCTAAATGTGAAATGAAGACAAAGGACAGCGAAAGCGATGGCGAAGAGGAGGATTGCTCGGGAAGGGACGCATGGAGACAGCTGTACGCTGATTTCAGAGAGCGCAAGGCGGTAAGTTGTACATTCATGAGATGAGAGAAGAAGGGTGGATTAACTGATACGGATGTTACAGAGAGTTTGTGCAAGGATGCAGTGGTCAAATTATGAAGACGTGAGAGTTGGAGTGTCGAAGGAGGAGATGGGCGGCTTTATGGATCCGATTCCATATAAAGAGTCAGAAGACGATGCCAGATATCTATCGGCGTGATGACTGATGCGAGAGTAGGAACTGAAAGAGATAAATTAAGCATAGAGATACTACAATATATTTCAGCAGTAAGCATAATGAGCTTTATTTAAATAAATGTTCAACTCTCTCCCCCTATTAATTACACGCCGGCTATGTTCCCACGGGATAATGCGGAACTCGCCGTTCACATGCAGAGTTGCGGCCCGCCCCCACCACTTCCGACTATCCGCTTCAAGCCGCTTCCGAAGGTCGCAGAGCAATTGATTGCTAATTGCTCATGAGCTTTGTAAAACGCCCGGCGAGCTTGTCACTGTCATCGTCACCTTCTCGCTCAAGCTATTTCTAACTCTCAACAACTCCCTTCCCTCTCCCCTCAACTCTCCTTCATCTCTCCATCAACCCCTCCCCCTCCTCAACCTCACATCAAACAAATCACAGCAACAATGTCGTCCTACGCCCATCTCCTCCCCCCAAGCTGGAAACCCCAAGTCACCGCCTGGCTCGCCGAAGACACGCCCTCCTTCGACTACGCCGGCTTCGTCGTCGGCGAGGCCCCGCGCACCGCCACCCTCTGGGGGAAATCCGAGGGCATCATCGCCGGCCGGCCCTTTTTCGACGAGGTATTCACCCAGTGCGGCTGCGCCGTCGAGTGGCATGCCGAAGAGGGCTCGCGCATCGACCTCTCCGCCTCGCCCGATGGCAAAATCAAGATTGCGACGGTCACGGGCCCCGCGAGAGGATTGCTGCTCGGCGAGAGGGTTGCGCTGAATACCCTCGCCAGGTGCTCCGGCGTTGCGACGCAGAGCGAGAGGGTCGTGGCGAAGCTGCGCAAGGCTGGGTATCGGGGCGTCTTGGCCGGCACGCGCAAGACGACGCCCGGGTTCCGACTGGTGGAAAAGTACGGCATGCTTGTGGGCGGCGCGGACGGCCACCGCATGGACCTGAGCGCAATGGTGATGCTCAAGGACAACCACGTGTGGAGCCGCGGCAGCATCACCGAGGCCGTGGCGGCGGCCAAGGCGGTTGCCGGGTTCAGCGTCAAGATCGAGGTCGAAGTGCAGAGCGAGGCCGAGGCGGACGAGGCCATTGCGGCGGGCGCGGACGTGGTGATGCTGGACAACTTCACTGGCGACGGCGTCAAGATTGCGGCGCGGAGCTTGAAGCAGAGGTGGGCTGGCAAGAAGCACTTTTTGCTGGAGGTGTCTGGAGGACTGCGGGAGGACAATGTCGAGCCATATGTGTGCAACGGTGAGCATCTATCTTTTATATTATTACAGCTTTTTCCTCGTTTACTGATTGGCGACTTGGCAGATGTGGACATCATTTCAACGAGCTCGATCCACCAGGGAGTCCCGCATGTCGACTTTTCCCTCAAGATCAACCACTAAATCGCATGAATGATGGGTAATTAGACGCGAGTGTATTTTACATGTATGTATATGGATGGATCAGTTATATTAAACTCTGCAAAGGCAAACTGGGAGGCTACAATGAAAGATTTCAACTCTGGTTATAATTCCAACGCAACTAATAAGACAAAAATAAGGCTATACATAAAATACAAAAAAGTACAGGTATCTACAATGTCTCTTGCAAAAAAGACAGCTTTATTTCCTTTCTTTTTTCCTTCATTTTTTTTTCTCTTTAGTTTACCTCCTCCTTCTTGCCAAACAGTCCGTTAAACGTCTTGCTCAGCCTCTTGCTCAGCTTCTCGTCAACATTTGCCCCGGCCTCCTTGGCGTCGATGCTCGGACCGCCTCCCTGGAGATGCGTCGCGGGATCGTTCTGCACTGTGCAGTTGTTCTTGTCACCAGATGTGGTGCAGCAGGATCCTCCAAGGAGGACACTGGCGTTGTTCCTGGTAGAGGGAACATCAATCGCAGGGTTGGCGTTGAAGAAGTCGGTAGGCTTGATGTGGATCTGGAAGGTCTCAACGGGCCTAGATGGAAATTGTTAGCATCATATCCTTAGTTATCAAGAGTGTACAATGTTCGACTTACATGACGGGCCAGTCCTCTATCCGGGGGTTGTGTGTCAAGCCAAAGACGCTCCACACAACAGGGCTGCTCCTCTTACCCTTGTCTGCCGCATCGCCATTCGTCGCCCCGTTGGTCTCGCGATCCGTGAACCAATCTCCTCGCTTGACCATGTCAGCCACGCCGCCGACCTCCTTGGTGCTCTGGTTCGTAAACTCTCCTGCAGCCCACAGCTCGCCGTCTCGGTGACCCGTCACCCAGGCATTGTGCAGGGCAAACTGCGCGCGCTGTGCAGCCAAGCCTTCAGGGTCAGCGAGCAGCATCTGAGTCACTGGCGCCATGACCTTGTAGCCAAGGTTCTTGCCCGAGATGGGGTTCTTCTTGTTGGCGTTTTCCAGCTTGATCAGTCGGTTGAGGCGTGGCTCAGCGTCGACCCATTTAGCCTGCTCGACAACTTGACGCTGAATCTTGTAAAAGTTGCCGTATGGGTTCGTCTTGGGGTCAATCTTCTGTGGGTGAGACTCTTCAACAACCACCTGTGAGTCGGCGTCGTTGTACGAGTCAATGGCCGGGTCGATGCGCACAGCGAAAACGTGCTGGTGGTTCTGTGCCAGGACACCAGGTGTCATGATGTTGCCGTAGGCACTGACCTTGCCCTCATCGATACCAGTGACACTGACAATGCCGGTGGCGCGGGTTTCGAGAGTAATGGAGCCGGCGAGATCCAGCTTATAGCACAAGATATACTCGTAGTTGGCCAGAGTGCAAATGAATTGGACCACAAACTCGCGGTTGCGCGTCACAACAGCCCGGTTGGTACGGAAGTTGGTGTGCTTCCACAGGATACCATTATCCTGTTCGTGGAGACACACGACGGCCTTTCCAGGAGATGGTGAGCCATCGGGTTCAGTGTTGACAACGTCAACATAGTGAATCGCACCCAGACAGTCGCATCCCAGCTCCAGGTTGTTGGAGGCTCGGCCCATGCCACCGTCACCAAAGTCAAAGGCCTGCTTACGGTGGAAAGGAGGTCGCGGGTCTGCGTATGGGACTGTCATCTCACTGAAGCTGAGGCGGTACATGACTGAGCGGTTATCATAGTGAACATCGTGCAGGACTGCACCTTCGCGGGGGGTGAATCCCAAGCGGAATCGCCACTTTTGCCATTCAATGAGGCCATCATCCTGGATGGTGAAAGAGGCGCCCTCGGGTTGTGTAATGTTGATGGGCTTCAGGTCGGTTCTCAGGGGAATGTCCAGCAGCTCAGGGACGTACTCGCAGCCCTTGTGGTTCTCGAACAGCTTGATCGGCTCATCGCTTTGCACCTTGGCCTCCAGTTCATCGCCAATGCCACCAGTTGCGATTCTCTCGACTCTGATGAGCTTCTTGGTGTGCCAGTCCATTACGGGGACAATGGGGATTGGGTATCCGTAGTGGTTGGAGTCCTCGTTCTTGTTGCGGGCGTCCTTTGCATAGACCAATCCCTGCATGTAGCGCGGAATGTCCGTCTCATCGGCATTGGGGGGTCCATAAGGCCATGGGTCAATGCAGACTTCAAAGCCCTCGGGGAGGGTGAATTCGGCCATGGCCTTTTGGAACAGCTCCGACTTGATGCAAGGCTCGATGAATTGGTCAAACTCGCCCCTGGATGGCGTTAGAGCTTTGTCCCTTTGTGACCATGTTAAAGGAAAGACTTACGGAGTGACGTATGGCTGGTGAGGCACCGGGGCAGATACGGTAGTGACCTTGCCAGTATCCAAGTTGACCACGGCGTTGATGTACTCGGAGCGATCAGGCCGGAGAACATCGTGCTCAACAAGGGCCTCTCTGGCAGGCCGCTTGGTCTCCTCAGTCAGAGTGCCCGTGTGCTCAGCCTCGAGGAACGGCTGCAGCTCAGCCTTTTTCGGTTCTTGGAGGTGAATAGCTCTGAAGAAGATGGATTCGGAGGCGCCGTGAAGCTTAGCAACGGCATCCCGGGCCTTGATGTGTTCGGCCTCGGAGAGTGGAGCCAGCGGATGCGGCCGAGGTGCTGCGGTGACGGCCATTGTGATGTATGTTTTGGCTGTTAAAGAAGAAGGTTGAAACAATGAAACAAGACAGATCTAGCTGTTGAAGAAGTATTGGGAGGGATGATCGGTTATCAGCGGGGACGGCCCAATGATCAAGCCAGCTTACTTTGTGTTGCCGTATGATATCATAGGACACAAGAAGGATTGGCGTGGAGTTGGGTGCTCAGCTGACGGCTTAGAATATCGAATGATACTCCAAAGTGGCTGAGACACAGAGTTGTCAAGTCTTGCTATTGGATTGTCTGAGAGGTTGTTGGATGTTGAGAAGAGAGGATGAGGATGGCCGGATGTTTAAGTATCTCGTCGTAGTCAAGCAGCAACAAGCCCCAAGGGTCCCGCGGGCTTCCGGAGCGTAAATTCGGAGTGGAGCTCGTCAATGAAGCGTAAAAACTACCGTTGAAGCTGACTAGATGCAACGATCGCCCTGGAATGGCAGCAAATCGAAGGTTTGATACACGGACAATGGCTCAAACCACGAAGCCAAAGACAGCAGCAAAGGCGGAGGTGGGGCAGCGGCTCCTCCACGGTTGGGGGTCTCCAGCGCTTGCCCCGCGTTTTTGCCACAATCCGGCCAATCAGGCGGCTGCTGTGGCGGAATTACAGCGCCTCAGGTTGCCGCTGATAACGCCCAAAGAGCCCACAAGGACAGATAATTGCTCGCCTTTCCATCTCAGGGCATTTGGCCTCAATCTAGAGGCTTTCTCGACCTTTCCCTTCGCCGTGCTGCAGATTGGCCGCGAGATCCCACGCCGGCACATGACCCGGACTAAGCCCGATTGGGGCGATATCCTGCTGGGCGTGCATGAGGCTCAGGGCAATGGCCGTAATGGTTTGCCGCTGGTGGCTCGTGGGTTCCGCCTTGTGAGACGGGGCTCTGGGTAGCTGATGGCTATCAAGCTATCTATGCCCGGCATCCTGGTTCGAGGTGAGCGTTATTGCCTGTTTTTGGACGCGATGCTTCTGGAACCGGAATCGGAGACGCGCGTGGAATGAGTTGAGGGGTTACGATGGTCCAGAGCCGTGGAGATGGGATTCTGGTAGTGGCCGGAGAGAAGATGAGTGCCTAATTTGGCAATTCTCGTGTGGTCTGATCTTGACAGCTGCTTGTTTAACACGGGTAAAACAGGCGAAGAAGCTATTCTATTATTGCTTGTTGCTGTAGAATGATGCTGCTACTCGGGTATTTTGACCGGAATCATCTGGCATGGGATTTTGCCAAGAAGTCTGCAATTCCGACGACAAAACCAAATGACAAACGACGCTGTTTGTATAATGATTGATACGATTCAGTGCATGATTGCCATTCTTAAGATGAGATGAGACGAGATGAATTGATATGGTATGTAATGCCATTCATCCAAGATCTCGATGTGGGCTTGTAATCTTTGCCACATCCCCATCTTCCACGATACATGCTCCAGCCATTGGAAGCCATGACCAATCCGACGAGCAATCAACTAATCAACTGCTACTATCATTTAAGAATGAAGCTAAAAACCCACTTCTCTATCTTGGTACCATCTGTAGTTCCAAATTCTTATCTCCAAGTCCCGTTATGATATTGAATTGTATGGCCTGATAATTGCTGTCCAGATACGCCTATCTGGCCTCCGCACCCCCGCCGCTACGGCGAAGCTCAGACTCGCTCCCCGCGCCGTTGCCGCCCGGAGCCGAGCGCGGGGGAAGGCCAAAACTGGAAGCAAAAAGACATGCGGTGCCGCAGAACGGCCGCGTTGGAGCAACGGCCAAGAATAGGTGTAACCGCATCATGCTGAGACGTTTATGTTTCGAGTTTTGGAGTCGCTTGCTGTCTCGGAAGTCGGCGTCTTTGACCTTGATGCTCGTAATTCTGCTGGCGGTCAAGATCTACATCATCTTGAACTATCTGACGAGCAACCGGTTGGTCTGAACTTGCGTACACTCTCCCAGGTAATCATCACGCCTTTTCAGAGGAATACAGCTTCATTTCATCACAAATATACAAGGTATAAAAGTTACCAGGTAACTTAAAATAGCCCACTGGCGAGGGTTACTGTACCGGATCGACAGGTCCATGTCCCATATTTGCGAAACAGCACATGTAGCAAAAAGGCACGCTTCCAAGTTGGAACAAACCTGCTGCAGCCGAGTTTGAACAGTGTAGCATCTAACGAAAAGTCCTTGCTCGATCTGCATCTGCCGTGATGCAAAAATCATGCCATTCTGGCTGCAGTCGGAATTCTTGTGTCGTAGCCTCGCACTTTCGGTGTTTCATGCGTGCTGCCATGAATCCTTTCGGAGGCGAGTTGCTCGTAGCACTTGCAGCCTGTCACATCCAGTCCGGTCCACATCTGCGGAATCAAACGGGACAAATTCAGTTTGACATTGATGCCAGAGGATAAAAAAAGGAAAAGATGGGCTGGAGAGAATGGATCGGCCAGTGCTAGATGTATCAAGTGCACGGTACGTCTTGTGATCAGCACGTGTCTCGCACGATGTACATCAAACATGCATCCTCCACGATGCTCATCATCACTCCACCAAGATCTTTAGCTTCTTTGCAGCATTCCCGACGGAATATCTACTTTTTCCTTTTTCCACTCCAAGCGTTAGCATTTGCCACATGCACACCATTGACGACGCACCCTGTGGCTCAGCCATCAACATCTCCAGACAAGCATACGAAAGAGTCAGCCTCAGCCATAACTCGGATACCGGCTGGTGGAGGCTGAGGCTGCTTTTTTTTTATCCCTCTCGGACTGCCTACCTCATGGTGTTCTGTCATCAATTAGCCCTATTACAGCTCCGCCTCCCTCGGCCCGTGCGGCAAAACACGACAGGAGATCCAGATCGCAAGAAATACGAAGATTTTAGTGGATTCTCGTACTGGGAACGAGGACAAACATTGGTTTTTGTTGATGAAAATAGAAACATAAAGGCGAAACCTTGGAAAGGCCAGTGCTGGTACGAGATGTACGAGTAAAAGACCAAACCAGTGCGAGTCGCGGTGCAGCGCTAGACTTGCTGGATTAGGCTTTTTTCCCCCTTCTTCGTTCCCGCCATGAGCGTGGATAGACGCATCTGCACGGTGATAGGCGAGCCGAAATCGAATCATTTCTCACGACTCCAACCAAGCCCAGCCCTACGTTACAGCCGGCCATCGCCAAGCAGATCGCCTACGCTGTGCTAAATTCTGACTTTCGGGCGGTACAGCAGCTGTTTGTCACGTCACAAGGGGTTTTCCGTGATGCCCGTACGAGAGAGTGTCAGGCTGATATTACCCGCATGCAAGACTACGAACGAGTCAATCTCGCCAAGAAAAAGCTTGGTTGTATGCTACCGCCTCATTGGAATGAATCGCTATCGAAAAGAACCAGGTTTTACCACTAGCTTCTCATGCTTTGTTGTGCGAGGTAGTGCAGCTAGCACGTAATAGCTTTTACGAAGCGCTGCTATTGATTCCCACGACGTCGCTTATCATGGCCGTTGAAATTAGAGCCCGGAAATGATGGAGACCATGACAGGGGCAGAGATCCATCCACCGGAAAAGATACGAGCTGATAACGCGAAGAAAAGATAGATAGCTGGTCCTCGGCCAAGACAACGGTTTCGGATGCTGATTAAGGTTTGCTTGGCAGTGACGAGATAATCTGCAACTCTAAAGAGGATATTTAGAGTTGAGCAGGTGGCCGCATTCTGCATCGCTTTGGCATCTTCAGGGGATGAAAGGATGAGAACTAGAATTGCGAAACAAGCCAAGACTCACATGTTGATGAGTAGAGTCGCAGCGAGTGTGCCTAAACCCCCGTAGCGCGAATTTTGCTGCCCGCTGTTGTAGGGGTCCATTGCCCGAAATGACGACATCTCCACTGTAGTTCAGCTGGTCAGCAATCAGAGCTGAGGCAAAGACGAAATGGACATTTCATGCAGCAGCAAGACAAGAGGGAAGGCAGCAGAAGAAAAAAAATTGATAACAATAGCAAGGCAAGATTTTCTGGATTACATTGTAGCCATGTGCGAAACGAAGCAGCCAACAATGAAGAGGATAAAAAAAGATGAAACAGCACTTCCAAAGCGTGTCAGAGAAGAAGCGCCAAGGCGTCGACGATCTGGGCAGCAAACGAACCAACAGATCGTTGCGCTAGACACTTTTGGCGTTTCATGTGCGCCTTGTAGGAATTGATAATCCCCTTTTTTCGCTGCTAGAGAACCAAAAGATCACGTCACCCGCCAGCTGTGCCTCTACATTCGGTACTGTGCGCGCCATCATGGTGCAGCTCATTGCCTTGCAAGGGAGGTGGTAGATATGCAATACTACTACTGTATTATCGAGGTTGTATCGGCATGTATGAGCATGGAGGCTTATCATCTACAGGGCCTTCATCTCATCTCATCTTGATTACACTTCTGCTGCTCATCATGTTCAAGGCCGTGATTTGTTAGTGGGAGTCGAGTCCAAGCTATTAGATTGCCAGCCTCTGCCAATAAAATCACACAAGTACCTCGTACGGCCTGTCCGGTGCAGAGAGTGGGTTCGTTGCAGGTACCGGCTACCTGCTAGTCGCCATTAGTGGCCAAAAGCAACCAGTGCAAAAACGGTGCTAAGTTGAGAACACCCCTATTTTCCTGGCGATTTTTAGCTCAAATCTCCCACGCCAAAGAAAAAAAAATACCTTAGCAAAGAGGTGACATCAAATACTTGGCAGATGGAAGCACCGCATGCATCCACCCTCTTCGTCAAACCCAAACTTTTCATTCTCCTGTTCCCCAGAGCCCCCTTCTTCGGCTTCTTGATACAGACCCTTTCCTTTTGATTTGGTTCGAGGGCCTATTTTACTTTTCTCGTCAATCGTTTTAAAGCCTCGCCTGAACTTGGCATCTTTGCCCCCCTTTCGTCATCCCCTCTTTAGTTCCCTACGTCCTGCATTGGTCTCCGTATTTCCCATCTCGTATCCCGTCAACGCCTAACAAGCGAGAACGAAACGAAGAGAAGAGAAGAGAGAAAAAAAGACGAAAACCCACAGCTAGCCCCCCTGCCAAGCGGAAGCAAGCGAGCTTTTTTTTTTTTTTTTTTTTATCCTCTTCTTTCGACTGGTGCTATTTTCTCTTGTACTTGCCCTCGTCGAATATCTCAGCTGTCACATTGTGATTTGCAGCTATTCCATGGTCTAGCTTCAAGCTTAATCTCGATTTTAATTTTCTCGATCCGTACCAGGTGTCTACGACATCGACGAGTTTCGACATCGACCTCACCTCTTTCGTCTACGAGAAGGGTAAAGGAAATAATACAATAAGATAGAAGAAGAGAGAGAAGGAGAGAAGAGAGAAGCCCAACATGTTGAACCCACGCCGCGCCTTCATTGCGGCGGCGTTCCTTTTGACCGTCTTCTTCCTCATCACCCGATCGCACAGCTCCGAGCCGAGTCCTGCCACCAAGACCGAAAGCCAAGATGCCCAAGCAGAAGCACAGGCCGCGGCCAATACGCAGCAGCGAATCCTCCCCCCGCCTCCTCCGCAAAAGCCCATGATTGACATGTCGGGCATGTCAACGTACGAAAAGCTGGCCTACCAGTACGAGTACGACATCGAGTCCAAGTTCCCCGCCTACATCTGGCAGACGTGGAAGCACACGCCGGGCGAGGGCGAGTTCCAGTTCCGCGAGCAGGAGGCGTCGTGGTCAATTGAGCACCCGGGCTTCATCCACGAGGTCATCACCGATTCCGTGGCCGACACGCTGCTGCAGCTGCTGTACGGGAGCATCCCCGAGGTGCTGGAGGCGTACCACGCCCTCCCGCTGCCCGTGCTCAAGGCCGACCTGTTCCGCTACCTGATCCTGTACGCGCGCGGCGGCATCTACTCGGACATTGACACGTACGCCATCAGGAGCGCGATTGAATGGATCCCGGCGCAGATTCCCAAGGAGACGGTGGGCTTGGTGATTGGCATTGAGGCTGACCCCGACCGGCCCGACTGGGCTGACTGGTACAGCCGGCGCATCCAGTTCTGCCAGTGGACGATCCAGAGCAAGCCCGGCCACCCGGTGCTGCGCGACATCATCAGCCGCATCACGAACTCGACGCTGACCATGAAGAAGGAGGGCAAGCTGTCTCAGTTCCAAGGCAACCGCGTGGTGGACCTGACGGGCCCGGCCGTGTGGACCGACACCATCATGGACTACTTCAACGATGAGCGCTACTTCGACATGGCCAACAGCAAGGGCAAGATTGACTACCGCAACTTTACGGGCATGGAGACGAGTAAGCGCGTCGGCGACGTGGTTGTGCTGCCCATTACGAGCTTCTCGCCGGGCGTTGGCCAGATGGGCGCCAAGGACTATGACGACCCCATGGCATTTGTAAAGCACGACTTTGAGGGTAAGTTGTGAACAAAACGATAGAAAGCAAGACTTGCGCAAAGCTAACTGTGTGATCTTCTCAGGAACGTGGAAACCCGAAAGCGAACGACATATCGGCGAGGTCCAGCAGGAGCTCGGAGAGGGAGAGGAAGCTCCGAAACAGCAGTAAAGAAGAAAAGAAGAAAGAAGAAGAACCTCGACACCCTATAATTGCATGAGCCACGTCGGAGGGATGTTTTTTTTTTTTTTTGTTATTTGTCATTATTCCTGCGCCTGTATATTCTTTCTTCTTCGCTGCGGTGGGCTGGGTTCCGCATCGTCACACCTTTATTTCGGGTAATATTTTTATTTCCGCGTTGCTGCGCGCCGCGTATGGGCGTCACGGCTATATATTGGTAGCGTGGGGGGAAGGAGGGAGGAGGGATTGAAACGTTTTTTTACAACATTGAGGCATCATCAGCATTGGGGTTTTTAGACTCATGTATTTTTCGGCTTTTTGTTTTTTTTTTTCTGTCATTTTCTATTGGAGGGAGGATGGGGAATTAGATGCCGGATGGAGTTTTTTGTTTGGTTTTCTACATATTGTCGGCGTCTCCATATTTTTTATCGCCATGTTTTGTGAGATTTCTACGATATAGCCGTTGGCGCTACCAGCGGGAGGCTGTGTGTAGCGTAGAGCCGAGGTCAGTAAAATGAAATCCATCAGACAGACAAGCATTGCGGAGGCCCGCTGAGGAGACTTTGAGATGAGATGAGATGGGGCTTGATAGGAAATGCATGGTATGATTCGGTGACGCGTCGTGTTTGTTGCCGACGGGCGCATACAAAGAGTGCAGCGAATGTTTGCGTGTGTTGCGGCGTAACGCAGGGAGTTGCTGAGATGATGGTTGGTGATAGCCGGACAAGGCAGGGTTGCGTGTGAATCAGTGTGGTGGCACAACGGGTAGAGCAGCAGCAGCAGCAGCAGACACTGTGCTGCAATTGAGGGCATCAGTCAATCAAACAAAGATGCGAAGAAACGGAGAAAGAGAAGACATGATGTCGAATCGCAGCACAGTACATCTTTCCTTAACCTCATGAAGTCTTACATCAGATTGATATCTCATCCCTACAAAAAAAAAACATGTGAGCCGCCTCTCTTCCCAGCAGCTCTCAAGGTCAATCATCCGCCCCTGCAGCCCGACCCGGACCGCCTGTCCCGCACCAAAGGTCCATCTTGGTCGGCAGCCCCAGCGAATAAGAAGCCACAGCAACAAGCAGCGGCCCCAAGCCAAAGCGGGAAACAAGGGCAGCCTAGCATTCTCTCGTTTTTTCCTTTTGGGGGAGCAGACGGCAATAGCCCAAGCTCTAAACCTGCGAGTGGCGAGTGGGGAAATGCCGGACAAAGCAACGGTAAAAGCGTTCGTGATGCCGCAAGTGGCTTGGGCGAGAAGTAGCACGAGAAATGATAGAGGTTCACGGTCCGAAGAGGTCCTTTTTTAGTGTGGGGAAGCAAAAAAGAGGAGGGGGATATTGGGCTTGGTGGGCAAAGGAAAGCCGTTCCGTAGGTCGGGACGGCGGACTGGGAATTTTTTCTGGGGAAATGGGGGCCGGGAACCTTTTTTTTTAGGGACACTTATCTTTTTGGGTATATTTATAAAGTGAGGAGGGTGGTGTGTGTGTGTTGGTTTGTGCTTTGGCTCGTGTCTTGTCTTGTCTTGTGGTTTTTGGGTTTCCGTGGAATGAGAGGTGTCTCTTGTGAAACACTATTTTCTTCCGTCTTCCTCTTCTTCTTTTTAATTTATTTTACAAAAACAACTCATCATCCCTTGGAAAAGAAGTGAAGCATAAAACCCTGAATGGCGGCTTGAATCAATACCGTGGACGATTTTTTTCCCCCCTTATTTCCTCTTTTTGATACCTCGGTGTTTCCTTTTCTGCATATAGCGAAGTTTACGTGTCGTCACAAATCTCCCCCTCCTCCTCCTCACTCGCAGCACTTCACCACCCAACTACGTTGAAAGGAAACAATGTCCATGTACACGCGGGCCTGCGCAGGGCCGCTGGGCCGGGCGAGAGCTTCGGCGCGAATGGCGGCGGTCGTAAGGAGAGCGATGAGTACGGCGGCGGCGGCGGCGAGGACGGTTGACGAGGGCTATGTGCAGCAGGAGTGGCAGCAGAGGATATTGGGGACCGAGGGGCTGAGCATACGGACGGGGCCGATGGAGGTGAGTTTTTTTTGACTGGAACTTGATGGGTGACGGCGGCGCGTTGGTGAGTTGGGATATAAGAGGATGAGTTGGTGTTGATGACGACGTTCTCTTACACGCCCGCTTACGCTCTCACTCATCCCATCTCATCTCACTCACTCGCTCACCCACTCGCCCATCATCACCACTTACACCAAAACCACAAAAGACTAACATCATGTCCAGCCCGCCCTCTTCACCGGCACCATCCCCGACCACTTCGCCTCCGTCGTCTCCCGCCACGGCGACCGTCCCGCCGTCATCGCCCGCTCGCCATCCCCCCTCGCCCGGGAATCCACCCTCACCTACCACGCGCTCGACCTCGTCTCCAACCGCCTCGCCTCCTCCCTCTCCTCCCTCGGCGTCCGCAAGGGCGACCGCGTCGCCGTCTCGCTCGGCAACAGCGCAGAGTTCGCCGCCCTCACTTACGCCCTGTTCAAGCTCGGCGCCGTCCTCGTCCCGCTCAACCCTACCTTCAATGCCCAGCAGGTGACCGCCGCGCTGGGCCATCTCGGCGCTGAAGTATTGATTATTGGCGCTGTCACGGATCTCGCGTATCGCCCTGGAAAGGGACGCAGCAACAAGCAGCTGCTGGAGACGGTTGTCGGCGACCTGCACCGTAGCCGGATCCAGAGCGAGGCCGTCCCTAGTCTGAAGCGTGTCGTCGTGCTGGATAACCGCACCAGCCATCCCGACGTCGACTTCCCGCTGGATCAATTCGCTGCCTTGAGTTCGTATGAGACTCTGCTCGAGGGCTCTGACCGCACCGTCAAGCCTGATGCCCCGTTGGATCCCGCGGACACCATCAACATCCAGTTCACGTCCGGCACAACATCCGCCCCTAAAGCCGCACAGCTCTCGCACACGGCCATCCTCAACAACGGCGCCTTCATCGCAGACCGCATGGGGCTTGCTCCTACAGATCGCATCGTCGTGCCACCGCCGCTGTTCCACTGCTTCGGCTCCGTGCTGGGCTACATGGCCACGGCCACCACCGGCGCCGCCATCCTCTTCCCGTCTCCGGCCTTCGACCCCGTGGCTACGGTGCGGATGGCCGCCGAGACCAACGCCACCGGCTTATACGGCGTCAGCACCATGCTGGTCTCCATATTCGAGGCCCTGGACGCCGGCAACCTCCCCGTGCCGCAGCACCTGCTCAAGGGCATCGTCGCTGGCAGCAGCGTGCCAGAGTCACTCATGCGCACCATCTACAAGCGTCTCGGGCTGCAAGATCTGGTCATCTGCTACGGCATGACAGAAACCGCACCCGTCAGCTGCATGACACGGCCGTCAGACCCCTTTGAGCAGCGCACATCGTCAGTCGGCACGCCCATGCCACACACCGCAGTCAAGATTGTCGATCCCCTAGACCCAGAACGTATCGTCCCCCTCGGTGAGCGCGGCGAGCTGGCCGCCTCCGGATACCTCGTCATGAAGGGCTACTTCGGCGACCCGGAGCGCACCGCCCAGGTCCGGCGCACCGACGCCGACGGCCGCACGTGGATGTACTCGGGCGACGAGGCCGAGATGGACGCCAACGGCTTCGTCCAAATCACCGGCCGCATCAAGGACCTCATCATCCGCGGCGGCGAAAACATCCACCCCCTCGAGGTCGAAAACTGCCTCTTCCAGCTCCCCGGCGTCCAGGAGGTGTCCGTCGCCGGCGTCCCGGACGAGCGTCTAGGTGAAGCCGTCGCCGCCTTCGTCATCCCTCGCCACGGCTGGCAAACGACCGACGCGCAGCAAGACGGCGACGAGGCTGCGCAGAGACTATCCAAGGACCGCGTGCGCGAATGGGTGCGGACGAATCTGTCGAGCCACCTGGTGCCCAAGTACGTCTTCTGGGTCGACGACTATCCCAAGACGGCCAGCGGCAAGATTCAGAAGTTTAAGCTGCAGGAGATGGCCAAGAAGATGCTGGCCGCCGAGGCATAAAGCAAGAAACAAATAAACAAAAAAAATTACAAAAAAAAAATTACAATTAACGAAGCATACTAATCATGTGAATATAGCATTTATCCATGTACTTATTGATTTATTGATTTTCTTTGGCTCAATAGCTTCTGGTTTTGGTTTCTGCATTATCAAGGTCGCTCAGGGGGCGAGTGACGGGCAGTCCAGGTACATGTAATCTATTTACTTGTATTTCAATTCTGCCCCTGAATAACTTAGGTATGAATAAATATACAACCATATTCTCGCAATCCTCAACTTCACAGTGACAACCTAAACATCATTCATCACAATGCACCAGGAATCGACATGTATCCCGCAAAATCAATCGTCATAAGAACTAACCCACGCGAAATCAACTCTCTATCGAGTCTATAGAATCCACTTCGTCAAGTCAGTTGTCGTAGCACATGGTATCAAAGGCTTCTAGCATCGTCCTTCTGTCCGCCTGTCCGTCTCGCTCTGCCTGAGCTCCCAGAGGTCGCACAGCCCTACCAGTTGAAAATATCCCATATCCCAAACAAGTTTCATGTTAAGAGCTTGAAAAAAGGAGAGAAAAAAAGGAAGAGGCTCCCACCTCCCCAGAAGAGAAGGGTAAAGGGGGTAGCCTCAAAACTCCTCAACGCCGTCATCCCAAGAAAAGACACCTCTCTCCGCCCTGCCCATCCTCCTCCTTTTCCCTGTCCGGATATTCATCTTTTATTCCACCTGTTTCTCGCAGCCAATGCGGCCAAGAAGCTCCTTACGATCGCTGTGTCCCGGCAGGCTGACTCCGCTGGCGGAAGCCTGCTTCTTAAGGCCGTTGCGTCGCTCCCAGCTTTTGAGGTCCAGCTCCTCCACTCCGACCTCCTGCTCCAGCGGTTGAACTTCCTCGTAGATGAGCTCCTCCGTATCCTCATCTTCTTCAGCCTCGTCGTCGCTCCGGGAATCTTCAGCGCCAGTTCCGCTAATCACCTTGATGGCAACGCGAATGATCATGGTGAACCAGTAAATCGTAATGGCCTGCAGCAGAAGGAGGGGTGCGAGGAAAGCCCACTTGACTGTCTCGTTGTAGCACACACGGCCCGTCGAGTTGAAGAATGGCTCAAGCAGATACGTGAAGCCGGCGGGGGCTTCCACTGGTCCAACCAGGGCGTCGTTTGATCCAATGAAGCATCCGTTGGGCATAATCTCAGGGGTGTGTGCGTAAATCGACCAGCAGACCATGACGTAGAAGACGTGGCGCGCCACAAACCAGGACACCATGAAGAGGGCAAAGGCATAGTCGCACAGCGTGTTGTGGCCGGTGTACTTGAGACACTTGGCAACCTAGACAAATTGTTGGGGTCAGCCATCACATCAACGACCCCCAAAGCCTACAATGGAGGCAATCGGAAACCGAGAGAAAACTTACAGGGAAGAATAGATCCACCACGTCCATAATAACCAAGATGAACATTCCAACACGGGTATGGTGATAGCAGTAGCACGACGAAATCAGTGCGGTGGTAATGATGTGGTGGCTAAACATTTGCCAGTGGTCCTTTCGCCGATCCTCGATGTTGATGACGATAATCTGCTGCAGCCAAAACGCCCATTGGGCAAGCATGTACCACTTCATGAGGCCGCCCATCTCCCGGTTCGGCCAGTCGGTCCACAGCTCCCTCATGTTCAGCCAGGCGGGGGAATTGTAGTACAGATACTATTATACGGCCAGTCAGTGATTTTGCGTCGCCTACTTGGGGCATGTGATTCGGAACCACGTACCATGCCCGTAGGCCAAAAGACGCAATAGTAAACCAGTAACCAGGCCTGCTCGGTGAACCGCGTCAAGGTCTTCTTCTTGCTGATTCCGTTGAGTCGGCCAAGCGGTGCCAGAATGTAGTCCATGGTGCCGGCTCGAAGGCCGGTGAAGAGGACAATGAAAAAGGCAATCAAATAGGCATCGTCAAATCCGGTAGCATACTTGCCCGTCCTCTGGTTGAAGTACGAGAGGTGGAAGAACTTGGTCGTGTGTATTCTGGCTTTGGGGATGCAGGCGTGGGCCAGGAACAGAAGAGCGAGCAGGTTGAGTGACAAGCCTAGTGACAGCAAAAGTCAGTAAGGTTCCATGAGGTGGCTGCTTTAGAGAGAAGCATGTCGCATTACGCAAACGTTGCGACAGGTGCCAATGCTTGTGCGGGCGGGGGAACGTAACAAGCCAAAACAAGGGAAAACAACGTACCGACCTGGTTCTCGACGAACCAGCGAGCGAGGGGCTTCCAGACGCTCTCGTCCTTGCGCTTCAGGCGACGGACCAGCACGACATTGCGGCCAGGAGTCTGCATGTACAGCGGTCGATCGCTCTTGGAGGAGCTGGCGACAGTCTTTTCGTCCGCCACCAGGCCGTGTGAGTCGCCCATGGTGTCGAGCGTTGTCGAGGAAGGCAGCGGTCGTGAGCGAGGCACCTCGACTCGGGCTGTGAAAAGGGGATGAGACTTTGCGGAGGTGAGTCGAGTCGAGAAATGCTAACGGCCGGTTAGCACAACACAAAGACAAGACAGAGCAAGACAGGACAGGACAAGCAATAATTAGTAGGTACTAGACGGTACAGTAGCAGCAGCCAAAGGGTGTGGTGGGGGTGGTGGGATGTCTCACCTTGGCCAGCGATTGGACGGCTCTTTTTTTTTCTACCTCTTTTTTGCAGGTTCTTTTTTTTCCCTCTTTTTCACGGCGGGCGGAGTGGCGTCCCAAGCTGCAGCTTAGCTCCTCTAAACAGAGAACAAAGAACAAGGGCAAGGAGAGCTCCCGAGGAAAGGACGAGATGGAAGAGCGCTCTGCCAAGCTTCCTGGTCAAGGGCTCCAGTCAATTGCTTGCAGATGGAGAGATGTTCCACTCTGGAGGGATGGAGGGGAGAGGAATTGGGAGCGTTTAAAGAGCGCATTGAGTGAGGCTCGGTACATGCACGAGTACCTCGCAAGCCGGGGGACGGACGGGAAAAAAGAGCAAGCGGGAAAGGACAGATAGGCGGTGGAGGGCCCAGATTAGAGGGATCAGCAGCCAGATGGATGCACTGGTCTGCTTCAACATGCGACTCAGTTGGGTGCTAAGCCTCGTACAGTGTACGGGCCGGCGGCTGGGAGAAGCTGTGCGACTCAGTCACTCAGGGCACCGGCGTAGGTACCAGGTACGGCCGGCCAGATCAGGTACTGTCTTTCATCAGTCCAGTTACTACCCGACCTTGGTAACATCCATTCTCTCCTCTCCAGCTGCTCGTATTACTGCTGTACTGTACAGGCTGTACTTGGATTCTCACACAAGGACAGAGCTGGCACAAGTACTACCTATGTACATTTACCAGCAGCCAAGCGGCGGCAGCGGCAGCGGCGTGTCAAGTGTCGTGTCTGGTCTGGCCTGTTCTGGTCTGATACATGAACAACAACCTGTGCTGCGTCCTGCAGAATGTGAGCAGTCAACTAGGAGCCTCCCCCGCGCATATCGAACAGAGATTGCTTTGAGCCCTGGCCCGAGCTTTTCGACTTTTGTCTCAAACCCCGGCACGAATGACGTTTCTGCCCGTCCCACAATTGCCGTAATACTAACATGACACAGCACCGTGCTTGTACGGAGCACTCTGTAATAATGCCTTCAATGTCCATATCAAAGTATATCTAGGTAGTCAATTAAACAGGTATCACATTTGCTCTCAATCTCTTCCATCAAGACTTGTTGCAAGCGGTGAGAGCTGCGGCACATGTACGAGCAACTGCTACAGTGTGCGTCGCCCTCAACTAACACCAACCCACTACGGCGCACTTGCGCTACCCGCTAGCGGTCTAGCAGCCTGCTAAGATGTGCTGAGGCGCTCGCTTGGGCCCCTGGCCTCAACAAATGCGATGCAAGCTCAGCGGGTGAAGCCATGGCCTGATTCGCTCCCCGAATTAACCTCACCAGGCGCGGCTGCTTTGGTGGCCACCAATGGCAGCAGCCCGAATTCTCCCCTCTGAAACTCCCCTCTTTTCCTGCAGTATGGACCCGACTCCATTGCTTTTAACCTCACAGCAGGGTAGTATTTGTAGCAGAGCGTTTGACTCCCAATACCTTGGCTAACCGCAGGGAGTAATGCTCTGCACCTCCGCCTCTGTGCGACTATGCTTGTCAAGCTGTATTGCTACGCGGCCCTCGGACCCCGTGCAAGGTTATTACTGCAGATTTGCCTCGGAACTGAAGAGATGTGCGCCACCATGAACAGAAACACACGTGGGCTGAGCATAGGCTGTAGGATCTGGGCTAAGATGAACCCTTGCTTGTCAGTTAGCCCATCCAACCTACAGTAGAGCATGCCAAAAGAGCAGTGCATGTGTGCGAGGATGGATGGATTTAGCAGCACCTACCTGTCCAGGCAAGTTGAAGAGTAATGGAGGTGTCGTACTATCCAAAGTGAGGATAACGTCAGCTGTCATGGCGCTGCTGAATCTGAAGCTGAGAAATATGCAGCTCTTTGTCTTTTGTAGGCCAGTATGCATGTATTCATTCAATAGAGAGTTACAACGGGTGGCTGTCCTCTGGCCCTTTAGAAATTACGTCTTATAGTCTCATCCTCGAGATCCTTCTGTATTCTCCCTAGCAAGAGGACCTGATCCGACTCCCCGCCGCCTAGTAGAGGTTCAGCTGAGGTCTCGTGATGTTATTCACATCAATAGCCTAATATGACCCTCCATGGTATAGTAGTGCATCAAGGATGAAAGCAAGAGAATAGAATTGGCTTCTCAGACGATAGTCTCGAACGAAGAATCTAATCTGAGATCGAGTGGGGGCGGGGATTCAAAGCGTGGCGTCATGAGCAGTGGTGGGCCCTCGACAGAGGCATCAGTCTTGGTAAACATAACTCTCATCAAGACATGACAACAGAATGAGTTGATCTTAGGTAATAGCAGCATATGCAAAAGTTGGCGATATCACATAACAGCAGATGTAAAAAGGCACAGGCAGCAAACCCCCGATCTGCACGTCGACAGCAACTGCAGTTCGCCATCAAAGAGACATTTTACGCTCACCAGCTGATCGATTTTCTCATAGAACCCCAGCTGCAGGTCGACAGGGATCACAACCAAGGCCAATCACGAAAGCGCTCGTCGCAACACCCTCTACAGCCGTCCTGTCGCTCGTCACAGTTCTAGGCCCCAGCTGACTGAACCAAGCCGAACCCGGCCAAGACAGGAAATGGCTTTTTGTGCTTGTTGAAAAGAACAAGACTTTTTTGCAGTCCCTTGAGAAGAATCTTGAGTCATCATCCCGGCCAATAGCCCCAGCCATTGCAACAAGACCACTTGAGAGCCTACTCTATAGAATTTTTATTATTTGTATTACAAGTTGTTTGTCAAGACAACCTTTTGCTCTATGCCTCCCCTATACAAGTAACAGCCAGCCAAAGGCGGGGAACAAGCAATTCAATACTTGCACAACTAAAACACAAACCCATCTAAATTTAGGGCTCCTGGACTGGTGCTGCTTCGGAAGTGCTTCGTGCTGTCCCCAACCAAGACCCATCAGCCCTGTACAGTATGGTGAACGACACCCACGCCACTTTGATTGGGCATGGTGGTCAAATTGAATCAAATCAACATGCAATTAGGTTGGAAACAAGGCCTCGGAGAGGGTTAAAATTGCTGTGAAAAATAGTACTATCCACATTATGAGGCTCTTTTTGGGGTCAAACTACATCAAATCAGAATCATGTAAACAGGTTGGAGACAAGGCCTCGGCGGAGCTTAAAATTACTGTGAATTTGCATTTTTTGGTCAAACTGCATTAAATCAGAATCATGCAAACTGTTGGAGACAAGGCCTGGGGGGAGGTTAAAATTGCTGTGAAGTATTATGGAGGCTCTTTTGAGGCTCTTTTGAGGCCCTTTTTTCCCTCCTCGCTCTCCCACCAAGACTCGTAGATTTCAAGCATTCATATATACGTTCAAATAAATAATTAGATATTAATATATCAGTTCATATAGAAAGCTAGTTATTATCTAACAGCTATGGAAATTTGAACTTCTTTGTTACTATCTCTATCCATGCTATAAGGGGAGATCAATCCCATACAAAGTTTGATGTGTTTTCGATTTCTCTACCTATGCTCGCAACTTCAAGCTGTCTGGAAGCTCTCCAGCTTTAATTCCAGCACAGCCACATTCCCCATCCGAAATAGGCACCAACCGAGCTCGCCCCGCTCACCAGCCACGCCGTCTCCCCTCCTGACCCAGTAATTTATCGTCTACATCATCCTTCCGCCACAGCGATCGCCTGTCCCTTTGATCCTTCACACTTCCGTCCACCTCAGCACCAACCACAAACCGTCTTTTCTTTCGTGAGAAGCCCCGAACTTCCCATCAGCGCGATAGAGGAGAAAGAAGACTTGCGCGCAAAACCATGGCGTCCACCGCAAAGTACCAGCCGGCTCCCCAGCAGGAGCCCGACGACGACTACACGCAAGCTCCGCCCGCGTACGGCACTGCGGCGGCATCGTCGTCGCGCAACGATCCCGGCTTGTTTGCTGAGCCGCGCAGCAGCGATGACAACATCCCCGATGACTTCAAGGTAAGTGCAGGATGAACATTCTTTGATATCAAAATCTAGCATCTATATCTCACGGAACGTCCCTTGCTGACGTCATGTTAAACAGTTTGGAGCTTCCGTCGCCGAAGCCACGGTCGATATTCGCAACCAGTTTGTCCGCAAGGTCTACAGCATCCTCACCGTCCAACTCATCGCTACTGCGGCCCTGAGCTCCATCAGCTTCTTCAGCGAGGGCTACAAGGCATGGATCCAAAGCCACCCTGGTCTTGTCTGGGCATCTGTATGTCAACCACTCCACGTTCTCATCAATGATACCCTTAGCTAACCAACATCTCCAGCTCTTCGGCGCCATGATCTTCATGGGTCTCACCTACTGGAAGCGCAAGTCATATCCGACCAACCTGCTCTTCCTCTCGCTCTTCACCCTCACCGAAGCCTACTCCATCTCCGTCATCGTCTCCTTCTACCAGACCTCCATCGTCCTCAACGCCACCATCCTCACCGCAGGCATCTTCGTCTTCCTCACTGTCTTTGCCTGCCAGTCCAAGTACGACTTTACATCATGGATGCCCTACCTCTTTGGCGCTCTATGGGGTCTCGTTCTCTTCGGATTCATGGCCATGTTCCTCCCCTACAGCTCCACCGGCGAGCTCGTCTACGGCGGTCTTGCGGCTCTCATCTTCAGCGGCTACATCCTCGTCGACACCCAGATGATCATGCGCCACCACCACGTTGAGGAGGAGATTGCCGCCGCCATCAGCCTGTACCTCGACATCATCAACCTTTTCCTGGCCATTCTGCGCATCCTCAACAGTCAATCTAACAACTAATATGGCCAAAGAGTGAATCGCACAAGTGGTAACAGTCAACTACTGTGCAATGCTCGTTATTCGTGGAAAGAGCTTCGAGATTGTTATCATGGGCACTACCCTTGCTTTTATTTTCCTTGTTTCTTTTTGTTTTTCTTTTTCTTTTGCAACAATGTAGGATAATGGGATACAGCGGATGGGACGCGGATAGGGCAGTTGACTTTGGCTTTTTATCTTTATTGGTTTTCTTTTTGCATGGTTTGCCATTTATTTCTCACTGCCTGTCTCCTTGGTGTTTGAAGCGCCAACGTACAACACAAGGGACGGAATAAACTAGCTTCTTGTTTCCTAATTGCATGGCCGACTAGGCTCTCTTCTCTCAAGTGTCGAAATCGTGATGAAGGTTGTGAATGTATTTGATATCTGCATTAGAAGTCCACTACAGTAGCTAGAAAAAATAAAAGGACAGTTTAAAAAAAACAGGGAGACCATTTGACAACAGATGGCTACTGATGCGGCTAAAAAACAGGATACCTTGCGAGAGCGTACAGAGAGGCTGGACAGCTCGAGAACCCAAAGAGGTTGTCAAGGCATGCCGTTCATCTCCGTCTCGCACATTATTATGCTGAGTAGCCGCATGCTTTCCCACCTTTGCCGATCCGAGGCACCTCTCTTCGTCGGGGTATACGTCGTTTTGGTCCAACGGCATTCCACCCTCTCCATATATTCCACCATGAAACTCCCTCCCCTTCGTCAGCCTCTAACGTTCCATCTCAGCACCAGCCCATGCGTCACTTCGCGAGTTGCCGTAGGTCGCAATAAAATAAGTAAAGAAAAAACAGGGAGAAAATCAAACTCGATTCTGTAACGGCCGGGGGAATGTTCTGATGTCTTTGCTCTTCAGTGTGTAGGAGAGGTAAAACCCAACGCCGGCAGCGATAAATAGACCAACGTCGCAATTTACTTTTATAATGCCGAAGAAAGCCCTAATACGTGATTTGAGATGATTTAGTTCTCCTCGCCATTGAGGCTGGTGTCCAGTGCGGGGGATGCCTGGGCTGTCGTCTCGCGCTGCATGCGAGCCTCTATCTCGCGAAGCTGAGACTCGCGCGCCAGCAGCTCCTGTCGCTTCTCGTTGATCTCGCGCTGAACCTTGAGCTCGATCTCGCGGAGCTTCTCCTCTTCTCTTCGGAGCTGTTCCTCCTTGAGGCGAACGGACTGGGAAGCCAGGTCCTCGGGGTTCATGGAGCTATCAAGACTTCACACGTTAGTTCACTGTCGCAGCAGGCAAGGTTGTAGTATACTTACCCAGAGGCACCGCCATCCACACTCTTAGACAGCTTCTCGGTACGGTAGTTCTCATACAAGAAATCGTGGGTGATTTCCTTCAAGTCGGCCAAGTGGCTGTGGAGGAGGGCTGATCGGATAGCCAAGAAGTCTGAGTGACGAGGGTTCTCGACCTCGACAACACCCCATGGGTACTGACGAGCGCGGACCTTGCGGCCGCCAATCTCAACCACATCCTCGGAGCCAACAATGGCAAACGGCATGAGTCCTCTGAGCTCTGCGTTTTCCTCAACGGTATCCTCGTCGTCTTCCTCAATGTCGTAGGGGAAGTTGTACACGGGGATTCTGTAGTGCTCAATGTCCTCCATGACCAGCTTCTTTGACTCGGCAAGCTCCTGAGGGGTCAGGGTATCGGCTCGGCCAATAACGGGGATGACGTTGACACGCGGCGCAAGGCGCTTCATCAGTTCGATATCGAGTTCTCGGAGGCTTGTGGAGACGCGTCAGTACGAAAGAAGTAGCTCGCTGGGCAGGAGAAGGAGGCTTACCCGTGGCCGGTAGGGGTGATGAAGTAAAGCATGGCGTGAACACGGTTGTCCCTGAAGCGAGGGTTACGCTTAATACGGGACTCCTCGGCCAAGATGTCGTCATATTGTCTCTCGAGGTAGCCGACGATTTCTGAGAAGCTATATGCGGCAGGTTAGCATGCGACAGAGCGCAGGCGAAAGGGTAGTCAATGCGGGGCTAACCTGGCCTCGTTGTCAATCTGGTCGCCGAATCCGGGGGTGTCGACGATGGTCAGTGAAATTCGGGTGCCTTCCTCGTCGAGTTCAAGCTCTAATCAGGTGGTGAGCGCTTGTCAAAAGACAGATTGGGGCGTTTGCGACTCATCATCACGTACCAACAGTAAGGGGCTTGATCTTGACGCCCTCCTCGATGTGCGCGTTGGTAGCATCGTCGGCTTCCTTGTGCTCGAGGACAGACTTGCCGCAGAGGGTGTTGACGAAGGTGGTCCGGCCTGCAGCGACAATTGTGAGTCTCAAGTTCGTGTTTGGAATTGCAGCGCAGGTGGAGAGAGCAGCGGCATACCAGTTCCAGAAGCACCGCACACCATCAGGCAGAACTGAATGCCTTTCTTGACATTCTTCTTGCGGCGAATAACCTTCTGCACAGTCCAGAACAGTTAGTTTTTTTTTTTCTTCGCGTTTCAAACATGACAGGGCCAGAAAATCGTCGAGGAAACAGCATGTTTTGGGAGTCGTGCATCGTCGTCGTCGAATTGACACGTCCCTAAGAATTGCGGGAAACGGGGGGTGCACATACGGAGGACATCATGGATGGCGATGGGTATGAGGATTAGCCCTAAAACGGCGGGAGAGGGTGCAGAAGCAGCTGGAGCGAGGAAATAGAAACAGAGTTCGGCCAAGACGAAGCTCTTGATGGAGGAGAGAAGAATTGGTGGTGATAAGAGGCCAGGAGAAGTCGGGTGCTAAAGGAGAAGAAGGCGTCGTACTGGCAATTTGCTTCTTTCAGGGGCCGCCAGCGCCAGCCTAGGCCTAGACGAGCCAGACCGCCCCTGCCCCGGCTGTAGCTCCCCCTAAGTCCCCAAGTGAACCTGGTGCTACCCTACGGAGCTAAGCTAAATCATGCAATCCCAAAACGCCTGGTACCTGTAATGGATCAATTGTTTGCTGCATTGTCCGTGCGCGCATCTCAATTAGAGAGGTACTGGACCTGGAGATGTATTTTCGCCGGGAATTCATCGGAAAACACAAACACAGTGCCGGATGTACCTTGTTGAGGGCGATCCATCCAGGTCTCTTTTTTTTTTTTTCGTTTGATCAGCAGAGGAGCAATACGAGCGTTGGTGGTACCGCAGATGGTCAAGTTAATGGACACTTCATGCTACTACTTCCTAGAATATATGGCGAGGCCGATTTCTGGAGAACATTGTTTTGCAAAATGAAGAGCTACCCCTCATTTTGTGTGCCAATGTAGACATATAAAACCCAAGTATTCTGCCTTGCTACAAGTCCTACGTGATGATTGTCCAAGTCCCCTGTCCATTGGTGCCAGAATGGGTGCTGCCATTGTCCAATCTGACATGCTGCCTTTGTAGCGACGACGTGTACTTTTCTTGAGCCTCGTATCCCCAATGCTTAGTCCCAGGTAGGCAGAAGGGTGATGTCCGTCACGCATGAACAATACCTGATGAATCACCAATGTTATAGAGTAATGCAGAAGAAGTATACCTGGCACTTCAAGTATCTGCTATTATTGCTATTAAATATGCCACGTGGGATTGATGCCAGATGGCCAACTTGGGATGCAACCCAGCAAATGCTCGAAGTACGTACCTATCATGATGTTCCCTCTCCTATGCAAATTCACCGAGCCCGCGCATGCTGGTAGCAGATGCTAGAGATCCATACCAACGTAAGGTCCAAGCACGGTAGATAAGGTAGGTACATGTAGAGATGTCAATGAATGCAAGGCGCAAAGCTGCATCTCGGCTTCAATTGCCCTCGACTTTGATTCTCCCAGAAACGCCATGTTGATAGGGGCAACCGATTTATAGCGCTGTCCCGCTACAAGGCAGCGGCCCCACGGAACGTATGAGGCACCAGCTGCTGGGTCGCCTCCGCATTAAAGCGCCAGTGCAGTTTAAAGCAACCACACCCTGTATCTTCCTAATCCACATCCACTGGGCTATTTTCAGCAGCGCTCAACTGCGGTATTGACACATTGGATATCAAATCCAGTACCTGCATCCATTTGGATCGGCAATCATCCTTCAAATCATCCAGTATCGTCGTGCTGTTAAAACATATTCAACGGTCAACGGCCCTGTGTTCACAGCACTGCGTCATTTGTCACATATTAATTCCCCCCTTGCTCTCTCTTTGCTTTGCTGGTGTCTGGAAACCCCATGATCACTGCGCCAAAACGGGATAGCTGGCGGGACCCAGTCGCAGTCCACAGATTACCGAGCATCAGCATCAACAACATCTAAACATCGATAGTCCCTACTCCCATCCCAAACGCCTTTTATACAGGGCCAGAGGCAGGAAGCCGCTTCTTCACCCGCAGCTTCGGCGATCCTGGAACCCGTCTCGGCGCCTCATTTGGTCTTCTGGGTTCCATTCTTGTTTCCTTGCTCGGTTCGGTGAAGCCGCCTCGCCGCCATGAATGTACGGCCGCCTATAGAGTCGTCGTCTCCCACGGCGGTCTTGTCCGTGGCATTCAACAAAGACTCGAGCTGTTTTTCTGTGGGCTTGGAATCAGGGATATGTGGTAAGCCGTGAGATGGGCTCGACGAAGAAGCTCTCGACAGCTGGCTGATAACAAGGGTACTCGTGATGTGTAGTCTTTCATACTAAGTCATGTCTGCTCAAGGCATCAAGAGGTTAGTACTTCATTTTATAGCTCGATATTCGGCGGTAATGTACAGGATAGCTAACATCTAATGAGACTTCAATGGTGGCATCGGCCTTGTCCGAATGATGGGCACAACAAATTACCTCGCCCTAGCTGGCGGCGGTAAATCACCCAAGTTCGCCATCAACAAGGTACTCGTTTACCCTGCAGCCATGGTGGACAAAACATTGACTCGGTATACATCTAGGCTATTATATGGGACGACATGAAGGGAAAAGTTGCCTTGGAAATCTCAGCCCTCACTCCCATTCGCGGCATGCAGCTAAGTAGAGAACGCATTGTCGTGGTCCTCCAGAACAGCGTCCGCGTCTACTCGTTCGCCAAACCTCCCGAGCTGCTGCATGTATACGAGACGGCCGACAACTTGCTCGGCCTGTGCTGTCTCTCGGACAAGAAGCTTGCGTTCCCGGGCCGCACAACGGGGCAGATCCAGATCGTCGAGCTCGCCACTGGTAATGTCAGTATCATCCCGGCTCACTCCTCTGCCCTCAAGGCCATCCAATTAAGTACCGATGGTGAGCTGCTGGCAAGCGCAAGCGAAACAGGGACACTCATTCGTGTCTATGCGACTAGCAGCTGTGCCAGATTAGCAGAACTCCGCAGAGGCATTGACCCGGCGACCATCTATTCACTCGCCTTTTCGCCATCCGGATCATTGCTGGCTTGTACCTCTGACAAGTCCACGCTTCACATCTTCGATGTGCCTAATCCTAAGCGGCCGAGTGCTCATCGTAGTCCACAGCCTGGCGGTGCGGCGCAAGAGGCAGATGTTGGCAAATGGGGCATTCTCAGCAAAATCCCACTTATGCCGCGGGTCTTTTCAGACGTCTATTCTTTTACTTCGGCGCCATTTGAGGCTGGCAACGAGTCCATGATTGGCGGCATCTCGTTTTCTGAGGGCACCGTTCTGGGAACCACGAGGCCGCCCAAAGGCGTCATTGGATGGATCAGCGAGGACAGCCTTGCAGTCATTGGCGCTGGCCAGGACGCAAGGTGGGAGAAATTTACACTGGTCGATGGTGAGGATGGAAAGCGTCACTGCGTTCGCGAGGGTTGGAAGCGATATCTGGGAAACTCTTCGTGAGGGATAACAAAGGGACTATACAGGGAAGGTGATTCAATTCAGATGCAGCGGGGACTTTTTGGGCGTTTCTGGGGGGAATAATGCTGTTCAAACGAAGATGGGGGAATATTTTTCCTTTGGGTATTCATAGCTTTTGGACCTGGTACTAATTTTGACGACGCCGAGGAGATCGGCTTCTACTCTTGCGCTGCGATCTTCTCCTACCATCGTCGTCATCGTCTTCTTCTCTCCGCCCCCTGTGTCTCTCGCGGTCATCGTCTCTTCTATGGGACCTCCTGTCATCGTTTTCTGATTTCTTCTCCCGTCGTCTTTCCCGTTCCTGTGAGTCTCCTCGGGGTGAATCTCTGCGCCTCCTGTGGCGCTCTCTGGAATCATCTCGGTGTCTATATCGTCTCGATTCACCATCTGAGGTTCGCTTTTCCTTCTCCCCTGATATATCATCCTTCCGTGACTTGTCGCGCCGGCTATCATCTCCCCTGTCCCGTCTTGACTTGTGATGCCTGTGACTCCTATGACTGTCCGACTTCTCTTTCCTGTCAGCTCTCCGCCGAGCTTCTTCCACCTCTTTCTTCTTTTCGTCGATCAAGAATCCTTTCATGGGGTCATCGTCATCGTGGTCTCGCATCAGGAGAGCCAGCTCTCTTTCCTCAGGCAGCATTGGTCTCTGAATCTCTTCCGGAATGCTCTCGTCATCTGACAGAGCCTTGCCTTCCCTGCGTTGGATATCTTCCCAGCCGACTTTGAATTCATCTTGGTCTTCATCGTCTCGTGCTTGATATCGGGCGTGGTCAACTCGTAATAGCCTTCCGCCGATCTCTGCGCCGCCTAGGTTGTCTACTGCGAGGTCGGTGCTCCTTTGGTCTTCGTACTTCAGCCAGCCGAAGCCCTTGGATTTGCCCGTCTCCTTGTCGCGCACGAGTTTTAGGAACACCGGTTCGCCGAATTGAGAGAATATTGTGATGATGTCTCCTTCAGAGAGTTCGTATGGCAGGCCGCCAAAGTAGACGAACGCCGTGTCACGATAGTCGACATGCCAGGACGCGTCTGGTGAACTGCGCCGTGTCAGCCCTGCGTTTGCCACGGTCAAAGATTGATTGCGGCCATGCGCAGACTTACATTCCGTTTTCAATCTCCTTTTTGTTAAGCGCCTGGATGGCGCGTATCTGGTTCATGTTGCTCTGCCCAAAAGGCGGATCTTGCTGGGAAATCGAGTCCGTGCCGTCTCGTCAAGATGCGAACCTTGAAAGATGATGCAAGGCTGAGTAACTGCTGCAATTATTCAAACAAGGCTGTACGTGCACTGAGCTCCAGTGACCAATTACCCACTAAACGAGCTCCCATAGCGCCTGACGATAGCGCTGCGTGCTGTCTGGTCCCGGCTCGTCTCCCGACAATTACCCAGATGCCCCAAGCAGTGACCCTTGTTCCAATCGGGTTGATGAAGGAAATGCTTCTGCTGTAGCTATCGGGAAATATCTCGCCTACAAGGCCTATGGCTTCCCAATCCTAATCCTCAGATCGCAGCTCGACGACAATAGCGACGATTTTCCCTTCCGGCGCAGCGCCTCTTCCCGCCACGTCGCTTCATTGTTGGCATCTGGACCAAGATGCTCCGCTATCCCTAGGACCTTCTATCATCCCACCTTAATACTGTTACGACTGGAAGCGCGAGCGTTTCCCCCTATAATAACCCGGCCACCAAACCAACGCGTGCGATCCGGGCGATCACGACGTATTTTCGCAAGCATTTCTGGTTGAGCGACGCTGCCACCTCGGAGGTGCGGAGACTGTGACCATGGCAAACAGGATATCACAATATACCATGACCTCGGGGGATGGCGACAGTCGAAATGGCGAGCCAAAGAGGAATCTGTGGACTTCAATGCTAGAGTCAGTGGCCAGCGGCAAGAGATTACCGGAAAAGAACCTTTTGGTCTTGGGTATGGAGGCATCGTGACTGGACATTCTCAGCTGTCGGCGGCATTCACTGACCGTTCCCTCAGGAGGCACTCCGGAATCGCAACGGGAGTTTCTGGACTCCCTGTCAGGATCCGAACCGAGGCGCAACTTTGATCGGCAAAAGATCCCTCCCATTGCGAACAACTATGCCCTGGGTTATACCTATTATGACGTTCTCGACGCGGATCAAGATGGTTAGCCGCCCCCTCGAACTGCTAGAGCAGCGGCATGGCATTGGTGACTGACTGTACAATTAGACACACTTGCTCGAGTTTCCCTCTACCTTCTTTCCCAGCCCTCGGGCGAGTTCTCTTCGCTCATCGCCCCGCTGCTTACGCCCGAGACGATACCAAACACTGCGCTGGTAATACTGTTAGACTGGTCGCACCCGCATTTGTGGCTGCGTCAAATCTGGACATGGTTGCAGGTCTTCCAGGAAGTTCTAGAGCACCTGAGCAGAGATGTGCAAACCGAGATGGAAGAGGTCATGAATAATTGGAAGGAGAGGGGTAGGGGAGGCTCGTCGGTCAATCTGGATGGCACTCCATCCGCCACCGCCGCGAATGGCGATAGCAATGGCTCACTACCCCTTGGCCCGGGTGAATGGACTGAGCCTCTTGGGCTGCCATTGTGTGTCGTGTGCCAGAACGTGAGTTTGGCTTTATAGCCCCCTTTGCGCTCTCCGAGTTTACTAACAGGCTCTAGTCGCAAAAAATCGACTTTCTAGAGAAGAACAAAGGTTGGAAAGAGCCGGACTTTGACGGGGTGCTACAGAATTTACGAACAGTCCTGCTGAGACGTGAGTTTGTTTTCCATTGTTTCGACATACACTTGCGGTATCTAATTATGACTTAGACGGCGCCTCTCTCATATACACATCACAAAGTACCACCTCTCAACTCCCTATTCTTATCCACTCCACCCTCGGCATCACTTCTCTTTTGAAACGCCAACCCCTGAAACACAATGTCATCGACCGAGACAAGATTGTCGTTCCTCCGAACTGGGATTCTTGGGGCAAGATTAGAGTTCTAGGTGGCTCATTCGACACTGAAAAGGTGTCACAGTACTGGTCTGAGGATATCAAGATTCCCCTCGGCGCCCCTCCTCCAAGCCTAGCCCTGCCCGACCCCGAAGACGACGACGAGGACGGCTCGAATCAGCCTCCTCAAGTTGAGAGCGCGATTGCCCTCTACGAAGACTGGTGCAGAGATCCGAATAGTGGAGGACTCGCCCTCGTAGAGAACGCCATGAACGACGGCACGGAAGTGGCTGTTGAAAGCGAAGACACGCAGGACTTCCTTGAACGACAGCTCAAGATCCTGGAGGCGTACAAGTCAAAGGCGCCGGAGAAGACGACGGATGGTGCTCTCTCCAGCTCGACGAGGAGATCGGACTACGATGAAAAGACTGTCAATGAGCATATTGGCCCCGTGCAGTTCAATATGGGCGGCATTCAAGTCGACGCTGACGATATGCTGCAGCGCCTTAAGGTATGAATCACCCCTGATGAAATAGAGAAAGAGAAAAAAAAAATCGTAGCTAACATCTCGCATAGGACCGCAATGCACACATCGCAGCTGATGTTCCATCCTCCGAACCAGAAGGCGCAGTCAGCAACATGGCCAAGGATTTTGACAATGAGCAACTACACGATTTCTTCTCAGGCCTGATGAACAGAACGGCCGGGGCCGCCGATGGAGGACGCTGATGAAGTGTCTGGTCATGATTTTTTTGGGGGGGAGTGTATGTGTGGTTTTTGGTTTAGCCGATGTGTTTCGACTGACTGGCTGAGAATTATCGTCTTTCTGATTAAGCAGGCGGCAGTTAGTTTTCCATGAGCGAGCATTTGGAGACGGGAGGAAACGAAGTATGGCTTATGTAGTTTTTTTTTTCATCTGGGGAGGGCTTGGAAAATAATTGGTCAAGGGAGGAATTGGGGGAGGACTCAGGGGTGTTGGTTGGCGTGAGGAGGCATTCCATCCACTTGTAGAATAGATACCCTTGATGAAGATGAAAAAAAAAAAGGACATGAAAACATTTTTGTCAGAGCGACGTGTTTGTATGCAGACAGAGGTACATACAAATGAGTGTTAAGTGACAAAAAAATGACAATGTCTATGTATGACGGCGGTTCCCTAACCCTCTCCTTTCCCTCAAGCCAGAAAGCAAGACCATTCAAGCCAGCCCTTTCAAACCACTGAAACAATCCAGGGAAAAAACAAAATGGAAAAAGGCCATGACAAAAACTCCCCAACCCAGTCCGAAATCCATTTCCCGAACCACATTTTTAAAAAGAAAAAAGGGATTTACGCCTTTTGCCTCGTCGTCTTGTACCTCACATCGACAGTCCTCACCTCCAATCCCAGACCCAGCCTAGCCACTACAACGCCTCCCAGAAGGCCCGGGAACAGCCACGGGTGCTGCAACATCTCCGCCTCAAAGGCATTGATAGTCTCGCGCGCGAAGCCAGTGAACTTCTCGTCTCCCAGAAGCTCGCCGAGCCGGAAAAGGTTTGAGACTGAAACCCCGTTGGTAGAGGGTAGGGATGTATCCATGCCGTCCTTGAGACGGAGAATGGTGTGAGGAGAAGACAAGGTGGTTGAGAAGAAGGCTCCGGCGGTATCGTAAAAGAGAGTGATTTGGGATTCTATATGACATGAGTCAGTAAACGCCGCTGTAAAGGGGAGGCGAGTGTGTTAAAGGGGAGACGATTCGAAGCACTTACTCTGCAGGCTGTCGGCGAATTCGACATAACTCTCGTCCCCAGTAGCATCAAAGAGATCCAAAACGCCATGAATTAGATACGCATAATCATCCGCAAAGCCTTCGGTGTGCCGCTCATCGCTCCATATCCGGTACAGGGTCTTGTTCTTCTCATCCCACAGCTTCTCCTTGATAAAGGTCACGCATGCTTTGGCTGCGTTGAGGTACTTTTGGCTCTTCTCCGGCTTCAGCTCCTTGAGAGATGTTGCCGTTCGCACCAAAGCCGAAACAACCAATCCATTCCATCCAGTGACAATTTTGTCATCCACATCTGGGTGCGGCCGCTCCTTCTCCCGCCTCTTCTTGAGCGCCTCCCTAGCCGTCTGGATATTTTTCTTCACCGTGGCGACAGGGACATTGAACTGTTTGCTCAGTTCATCGGGCGTTTTCCTGATCCTCAAGATGTTTTGGTTAATAAAGTCATCGTTTGGGTCGTGATCCTCGTCCACGTTTCCATCTTCCTGCACGTCCCAGTATGCTTCAACCATGGGGCTGATATGGGGGTCATCAGCACCGACGACAGAAGCAAACTCACGTCGTGTCCATAGATAATAGGCTCCCTCTCTCTTGTCACCGTCTCCCCGCTTAGCATAGGAGTCGGCGGCCTCGGAGGAGGCAAAGCCACCGTTCGGGAGAGCAATGGGCGCGGAGGTTAGGTACTCGGCAAGTTCGACGACGACATCATAAAATTCATCGTTCTCCCTCCCGCCACTCCTTTTCCACGCCTCCAAGTACAGCTGTAAGAGTGATGCATTGTCAACCACCATCTTCTCAAAGTTGGGGATGCTCCAATCAGGCGTGACGGAGCATCTGGCAAATCCAGTGGCCCCAATGTGGTCATGCAGCGCTCCATCACGGATCTTGCGCAGAGTATCCAGAGCCATGTCCAGCGCATGTTTACACTCGGCCTCGCCCACAACATCCTGCACTGGAGAGGGGAAGTTGACCAGCTCCAACAAAAAGGCCAGCTTGGGTGGCGTCAGGAATTTCGGAGCAAGGCCAAAACCCCCGTATACTGGATCAAAGGTTCCGGCGATGTGCGTATAGGCCTCTTCGAGCTGGTCGAGATCCAACTCGCTGGACACGGCCGTGCTGTCGCTCACCTTGGCAACGGGTTGGTTGGACACTGGAGCAGCCCATCCAGCAGGAGCTATCTGCTGTGGAGCGGTAATGCTTCGTTTCCCAAGAGTGCCCTCGGCCGCAAATTCACGCAGTTGGCCAATGACCTCGGTTGCCTCTTTACGACATCTGGCTTGCTGATCCTTCCAGATGTTGCGGACCTTTTTCAAGATAACTAGAAAGTCCAAAGGCTCATCGCCATGGTCCTCTGTCGCTCTTCTTGCCACACTAGGGCCAGGCCAGTACGTGCCTCCAAAGACGGGCTCTAGCTCAGGAGTGAGGAAGAGGTTGAGCGGCCAGCCTCCAGAATTGCTCACGGCCTGGACATAGTTCATGTAGATGGTGTCGATATCGGGGCGCACTTCGCGGTCGACAATGATGGGGATGAAGGAGTGGTTCAGGACGGCAGCGCAATCGGAGTTGGAGAAGGACTCTAGGGCCATGAGGCGAGAGACTGGGACCAAGTCAGCGAAATCCAACGGGCCGCAGGGACAAACTCACAGTGGCAGGCCCTATATCCAATGTGTAGGAAGATGAGCTTGTTCTCCCTCCTCGCCCTCTCGACAGACTCGTTGTCCAACAGCTGCCAGGCCACGAGACTATCCTCATAGGCCTTGATAAAAGGCGACTTGCCCTGCTTTGCGCAGTTCTGGAGTGGCAGCAGCTGGGCTTCTATGCTGCTGCTGCTGTCGCCTCTGTCCGATGGTGGCGAGGACTTCATGGCAACGGCAGACGCCGTCAACTCGGAGACAACCATGGTGAAGTTGAGATGCTTGTCGTTTGATGGATCCGTCAGCTCCCCCGCCAAGCTCTAGAAGATGCTTATTTCGTCACCAGCCGAGTATTTCAAGAGCAGCAGCGATGATATTCTTATGGCAGAGCATTAGACGTCTAATCCAACGCGTCACATGCAGGGGGGAGTCAGGTCGCCGTACCTTGGCAGATAAGGCGTTGCGTCTTATCGCGTGTTAATCGGAGAAGAGGACTTGCAAATGTTCGGGAATCGGGAGACGACGGTGTAACCAAAAAGCTCAGTGCTGTGGGCAATGACGGAACAATGGCTTGCTGCAGTATAATAGGTCCAGTACTGTAATATAGCTTAGGCCGGTCGCTAAAAATGGGACGCCTGAATAGAGAATAGAGACGAAGAACCCCGCCGAGGGGCTGACAAGTTTGGACGGTTTGGATACCCTAGACCGAATCCGGGAGAAGTGATACAGCGGGCGAATTGAACGGCGAGATGAGAGGAAATAAATGTGTTGTTATGCTGCGGACGATTCGAGATGTAGTTGGATTGCTGTTGTCTCCGATGTAGATGTGGAATTGAGCAAGAGATGACTCGTCGTTGCCTATTGTTGAGAAGAAGGCGTCGGCCTTAGGCAATGATCCGGGTAATATCTCTATGATGATCTAGTTTAGAACTTGGCCATTTCGTTATCTTTACCCTCCGTGCTAAATCTTGCCTACATACCTTTTATCTTCAGCCGTGCTAGAGCTGCTAAAGCTAAAGTCTATATATACTTTTACCAGCTGGATGGACCTTGGTCTTGGGATTCTCCGCGCATTGACGTTTCATTGGAGATGCCGTTTTCGGATATGACTGCAGTGGGCTTGTCACTGGTGAACCTTGCACCAGCTTGGCTTACACCAGCTGTATCTGGCCGTGATGCTTCCCATGTATTCTTTTGTCGCGGCTGCCTTGTTGTTGTTCGCGAAATGTATTGGGGGCAGATTCGTGAATGTGATGATGCGTAGGTATTTGGGTTTCACAGCGCTGTTGTTCGACCATACATGGCATCTCGGCGTGACTCAAGAAAAAGATTGATGGGTGTCTATGATTGTGATTGTGAGTAACACCTCCAGCTCGTCGCGCCATTACATCATCGGTGATGGCACAGGATAAGATTTAGAGGACGACAGAAGGGGTACCTTCAAATGTCAATACACCTGCCTGTGCTGGTTTATCGATATTAACGAACATAGCATCGGTATTCTGAACAGGGAGATGGAGCACTATATGCCCTACCCGCTAGCTATGGTGTATCTAGACATATACCTATTCACAAAGCATGGACCAGATATTAGTCGATGAACTTATAGAAATTGAGCGCACGAGACTCAGTCCCCAGCCCAGTTTTCCAATGTCGCAGTGGCTGCAGCGCCTCCACGCGACTGACCACAGCGACTGGCCCAGTAAAACGCCCCTGACGGCCACGTCCAGCAGGCACAGTCAGGCGTTCCTCCAGCGCATTTGGAAATGGTGGAGGGGCTTCCTGGCGCTAATGTGGCCTTGAGCCGGCACGCTGAGCCGCGTAACTTTACGGCGTCTCGGAGCTGGTCTGATTCTGAGCTCCGCGGACGATACAGCCACACCAAGCTTCATCTTGGACTTTTTTTCTTTTTCTTTCTCTCTTCTTCATCCTCTAATCTACCTTTGCCCATTTGCGTCCGTCTCTACTCGGGCGACATGGCAGAGCCGCAATACACCGTCTTCGTCAGGGTCCCCATCCCTCGTCGGGGCTTCGTTGATCCGCCTGCCGTACGTTTGATGCCCATGTCTCCCTCGGATAGCGCCATCTGCAGCAGTGACAACATCGATATGCTAACACTGAACACCTGGCTAGGTCAGTTGGGACATCGCCAAAGACGAGGCTCTGTGGAAGATTCTCTCCCAGCACAATGAAATAGACTGTATGATGCGACCCTCTGCAGAAACTGATGGGTGAAGGGCATGAGTTGCTAACTGATGCGCAGGGAATCTAGTGTATGCCACGCCGAATGCCGTGTCGATCCATTCCCCTGAACTGCCGACTGACCATTTACGTCTCCAGGGCCGACCGATTCGAAGTCCCCGTCGATTTTCTGGTCCAGCAGGTGGCCTATTTGAACGAACGACACCAGTCACACACCCTCGCCCAAGTTCGAAAGGTCGCGGCAGCCAAGGGCTCAGCGACCCAGTCACCTATACCTGGAGCCGACCTGGCTGGCGCAGGACATACGAGGACACCGTCGGCCTTGTCTATCCGTCGCGATGTGCCCATGCTACGGAATGAGAGCGGCACTTCTGGGCCTGCTATGAATGCGCCCGTTCGCCCGACTATGTCTCGCAACACCTCGGCGACTACGACAGTCATGAGAGATGGCGGCGGCGCCTCTCCTAGGATAGGCAATAGACTCAATCTCCGGGGGGCTGGGCAAGCTGGGGGGATACGGCTATCGTCATTGCCGATGCAACTGCCATCGCCATTGCCGGCGCCGACGCCAAGGTCCCCTAAGCTGCCTGGGGCTGAAATCAACAGGATGGATTCACCTGGCCCAGCCGAGACGAGCTCAACTACCTCATCCGACGACGAATCGATGCCGGCTCAGTCTCGTATCATCCGTCGACCACCACGACCTCAACAGCAAGACTCATCTCTCGGCTATGTGGGGGATGAGGATGACGAGTCGGAGCCTGCGTTTCAGCCGTACAATGCGCTATCTGCTGGTACATCCTCGCACGACCTGTCGTCTACATTGAAGCTGAGGAACCAAGAGGGCCGAAACCAACCGAGACGGACCCCAAAGCCATTTACCAAAGAACTCCACCACTCGCAGACCTCTGACTCGTCAGCAAGCTCCCCCGCTATGGTGTCGCGGCCAGGCAAGTTGCGAGAGCGCAACAGTGCCGGCCCCTCGTCTCCTCACCGTAACACACAGTCGCAGGAAAACAGTGAGGGCACGCCAAGCATCAGCAGCAGCTTTAGTGACTTGGACGGTATAGTTGCCCGAGATGTTTTGATATTGTCGCACATTCTCTTTGCTAACTTGCCCGCCTATATAGATGCATCAGTTACGCGGTCCGCCATGGAGGAAGCTCTGGCCAGTCGAATGGGAGGATTGGGGAGCACAAGTCGATTCAGCTTCCCATTCCGAAGCCGCTGAGTCCCTCGTTGAAGTCGGCATTTTTCTATTTCGCTTCTTCTAATTGTTTATTTTGCAATGGTTTTTAATCTGGGTGGTCTGGCGTTGGATGGTTGAGAGATGGATGACGACATTCTAATGACATATATTAACAGATACAGTGTGTTCACTCGCCACAATGCAGCGAACTCCTCTGAGAAGCTGAGAGATTTTTCTACATTATTATCTACCGAGCTCTACATAATTACCTAAATAGAGTAACCAATATACCTCTACTCAACTTGTGCTACAGTTTGATAGCTCGTATCTGTAGTTTCGTCCTAATAGATCTTTGCTTTGCAGCCCCTCGAGGTATGCTCGTTAACTTGTCTGCCTTGTAACTTTGTGAGAATATTCATGACAAAAGTAGCCACTGCTATTCGCATCTCTCCATTTCTCCCCGGATTCAGCGCTAATATTGCAGTTGGAGATGCATCAGCGACGCAACACGCATCCTCGCTCTTACCGACGGGTGCTCGCAGCTGGCACGGCTCGTCGCGTTAACATGCTGTAAGAGCTTATATAGGCGTCTCAACGTTTCTGGTCTTCTCACAAATTACATCAATAGTGTTGGGGGGAAAATAGAGCGCTTTATCAGAACTCTTCTTATCTCCTCCGTTATTTAACATTGTGCTTGCTCCTAACCTCCACGTCTAATTCTCTCCGCTACATCTTCACCAGCAACCGAAGACCAAAGCAACTCCCTCTTCTCCACTACCCCAAACAGATAGAAGAATAAAAAAAAGCCTTTCCTCATCGTCATAATGTTCCGTCGTCTATGGTCGGGCCTCCCAAAGGATGCCTCTTTCCCATCTGATTTCAAGGGACTCGGGTTTGTCTCCTTACTTTTTCCTCGATATTCGGATTTTGCTTTCCTCTAACTCGTTGGCTTGAAACAGATACTTTATCAACGACCAAGATGAAATCAGGTCCATCGAGGATCCCGATAATTACTTCAAATTCTTTATTGATCGCAACCCCCGGATTTGCGCTCGTCAGCGATTCGAATTCAACCGTAAGCAGCCATCGTGCAAAACAGCAAGACACTGGGTTGGATATGGCTGACAGATAATCAACAGATGCCCTGGAATCCGTTATTCATGAGCGTCTAGAGAAAGAAGGCCAGCAGAAACTCCTCCTCCCTCTGGGAATACCGACCACCGAGCCTCACATGCCAATCTTCGTCGCCCCAAATCTGGAGACTAAATCTCGTATTGTGGTCATATTCGGCGAACCTACACAGGAGCTTGGGCTCGTGGCCGGCCGTGTGGCTAATGGAGCTGGAGGCATTAACGAAGGAAGCATGGTCTCCGTGGTTCGCGCTCTCGCATCGCAGCGTTCGTCTCCAGACGATGCCTCTGCACCAGGTGTCGTGCTGGCAAATATGGGTCAGACGTACTTCTGGCCTCAGGGAAACCGTGCAATTACGGTTCTTGCGAGCTCGTATTTGCCGTTGCCCAGCCTGTTGCATAAAGGCATACGACACGTGCCAGCGCTGAACGACATCCCGGGCAACGAGGGTCCGGAGCAGCACGTCAAGTACATCTTTGGCGAGGTGCTTCGCTCCATGGCAAGTGAGAAGGCCATGGTGGATGTTATAGCTATTGGAGACAGCTGTGAAATTGTGGAAAAGTTCCTGGATGGCAAAGAAGCCTGGGAAGTCTGGGGCAAGAGGCTTAGTTCTCTGATACTGTTGAGCCCGGTGTGCGAAGCGGACGGTTTGACGAACGAACAGTTCAAAGACTTCATGACAAAGGTAAAATCTCGACTCCCATTTCAGAAGAAGATCCTGTTATTTGGGCTAACGTAATGCATCTAGCGAGCGCGTGGTTATCTCGTCTGTCCCGAGCCCCTCGGCACTCCCCTGGCTCCCCCTGAAGGCAATTCGGAGCTCAGCATTGCGCCCCTGGGCTTTCCATGCTTCTCTTCATCCGAGCCAATGTACGCCGAGACTATTCTTATTCGGGCCCGATCTCATATCCTCTCGCACATCCAGGATGTAGCTATGGATCCAGGCTATGAGAATCCAGCCATCACGCCGATCGATTGCCCGCCACCTGCCATGACTGAGCAGCACTGGGATGATTTGCCCGAGGAGGATAAACCTGTGGTAGAGAAGGTTGACCCGGCAGAGTTCAAGGAGCAGGTGAAGCAGGCTAAACGCTGGAGGAAGTTTCAAGAGACTGGAAAGGCACCGGATACAGATTCGGAACCGGAGACGGATGTCTAAATAGGCGGGTGATGTCTTCTTACCGAGCACATCAGCTTGAGGACTTGGGGGTCTAAATTTGACTTTATCTGTTGGCGGGTAGATTCTAGAGCAGAAATCCTGGTGCAAAGTCAAGGAAAAGCAATTCATTGCCGTCTCCACTAGCTTATACTAATACATGGGATTCTGCATCGTCCTTTTGTCGGACAACGCATTTTAATACATCGTGGTAAATAACCAACCAATAACCGTAGCCTATTTGACACAATTATACCTTGAAAAATGACACAATACCGGGCTTTGGTGCCTGAATATCCTCCAACAACTCCCGTGTCCGCTTAACGCGGTCTTGAATCACCACCTCCTCAGCTTCCCAGCGGCCTTCCGTCTCTTGTGACGGTCCGCTCCAGAAGGAGAACATGGACGTCTGAGATCCCGTCGCCTTCTTCTCCTTCTCTTCCTTTGCCAATCTTGATACCATGATGGACCAGTTGTCTAATCCAGTAGACAGACAATTCCTGCACGTTGATTTCGTCTCGCGGGCGTCCTGGCTTAGTTTAGGACTTCGGAGCTGCTCCTCTGCCAAATCCACTCCGTCTCTAGTCCAGGCCAAACCCTCGTCTCTCGATCCTGTGGCGTAGAGGATCTCTCCGATGTAAAGATTCAGGGCGGCTTCCTGGCAGCGTTCTAGGGTGCTTCGCCAGGGGGGTTGTGTGCCGTCGGGAGGGGGTGGGGGGTATTCCGGCGGGGCGAAGAATTTGAGTATCTGCTGAGAGAAGGATTCAACCTTGGGTTTGGAAGATGTTGTGCGAGGAGGGTCGTCGGATAGGGAGCGGCGGGCTTTGAGGATGGAGAGGTAGATTGGTAGGGCGGAGGAGATGTCTCCCTTGCGAGCTATGTGGTTGGCCGTGGCTGTGAGAGCGTCGAGGACGTTCATCGAGGGTGGTCCAGCGCGTTCCTTGAGAATCAGGGTCCTCGGGTCATAGGGCAGCTTCTTTGGGTCTATGCCAGAAGTTGCTTCTGCGAGCGCAAGTTTGTAGAGAGATTCAGCGCCCTCGGGATTGTTCTTAAACTCCATGAAGCTGGCGTATTCCAGGGAAGCTTCCATTTTCTGTCGTGGGCTTAAGCCCTTGGTCGCAAGGATCTTAGTGTACCAGTTGTCGGCAGACGGATATGCGGTTTCGCAGTCTTCTTCACGAGGAGCTGACGGGTTGCCAGGCGGGATTGGGGTTGGATGAGGATTTGACGGTCCAATAACGAACTCGGGAGGCGTTACAATGTTGCGTGTTATATCTCTCTGCCAGCCGTCGACGTGCTCTGCGGCTTTGGCGGCCAGCATGATGGCCTCGAAGTAGCCCCTTCGCCATTCCTCAGATTTCGCTGAAATGTCGCAGGCGATAAACTCGCCGGGCACTTCCAGCGTCAGGTCGACTATATCCGAGAGCTTCACTACATCCTGTCCACCCGTCTTGACATCCTCCAATCGAATAACGACTCCCCGCGACAGCTCCAGCGCCCTTGCCCAGTTGATCTCGCCATTCTTGGGGTCCTTGAAGTTATTTGCATCCCGTAGAAACTTCCTCGTCAAGTAGTGCCACTCGTGCGGCGTCGGAAACTCTCGCTCCACAATCTCCTCGTTGATTGCGAAGAAAATAGTCAAGACGCATATGACGGCTCCCCACAGCGTGAGGGTGTAGCGCACCACAAGCTTCGCCTCATGTTTCCACCATCGCTGTCGCTCCGACGTGAAGCGCCGTACTGAATTCGGACTTGATCTGGGGATGAAGAGAAATGGTAGGATCGGTCGTGATCGGTTAGTTGTGGTGGTGAGGCGAGACTGGTTCGCAAAGCTTCGGAGGCATCGCGGGCGGGAGACTGTGGGATGCAATAGAATCCTCCGGGTTATTAATCTTGGGGCCATGGCGGCGCTGGCCTGGGAGAGCCGGAGTCCCGGGCTGGGCGAACAGTTCAATGGCGGAGGGATAATCTTGTGATGTCGAGGTTATTATATGCAGTTTGGAGGGTTGCATCATATCTTTTGCACGCCCACTTCGATAGATGACTAAGCCCCCACTAAAATATTTCAATCCCATGGCACCATTCGCAGCACTCATTTGAGCCAATCGTCTTCTCAGTTGGATAAAATTTATGGGAGGATGTGATCAACATGTCTTCCTTTATATCAGATACAATTTCCAATTCCCGGTTTCAGTTGATCGCAACTGCGGCCGTGTCCGGTGCAGCTGTGGCGGGTTTGATACTGGGTTTTCAGGCATTGGAAAGAGAAGAGCGGCTTTCGGAGCTGAAGAACTCGATCCCGTCGTTGTCAACCGATAAAGGAAGGGTAATTCAAGCCCCCAACTTTATATAATTCACTCAAAGATTAACAAACGTCTTAATAGTTGAACAGCTTTGGTGTCTCGTCAGAATCGGGCCTGGATCTTGAAGATGCGCGCAACATTGCTCTTGCTAAGCGGGCGCAGTCTGGAGACTTCGACGAAGACCTCATTCTAGAGCAACTGGCTCGCAATCAAGTCTTTCTTACACCAGAGGGCTTACAAAAGTTACGGGATTCGTTTGTTATAGTAGTGGGCTGCGGAGGCGTCGGTTCACATTGCGCTGCTACTCTGGCTCGGTCAGGTGTTTCTAAGCTTCGTCTCATTGACTTTGATCAAGTGACATTGAGTTCATTGAACAGACATGCCGTGGCCACTCTGGCAGACGTTGGCACTCCCAAAGTGCAATGCCTATACCGACGACTGATCGCCATCGCCCCCTGGATCAAATTCGACCTCCGTCAAGAAAAGTTTGACGAATCTGTTGCCGAAGCGATGCTGGCTCCCTGGAAAGAAGATGGCCGCAAACCAGACTTTATTATTGATGCCATCGACAACATCGACACAAAAGTTGCCCTGTTAAAGTATTGCTACGATAATAACTTGCCTGTCATCAGCTCTATGGGCGCCGGATGCAAAGGAGACCCAACTAAAATTGTCATCGGCGATATTGGAACAAGTAAAGACGACGGACTATCACGAGCTACGAGACGACGACTTAAGCTTCTTGGAATCACGAGCGGCATACCAGTTGTTTACTCTACCGAGCAATCTGGAGAAGGAAAGGCAGAGCTGTTGCCACTCCCCGAAGAGGAATTCCAGAAAGGATCTGTTGGTGACCTTGGTGTGATGGCCAACTTTCGAGTGCGAATCCTTCCGGTTCTGGGAACGATGCCAGCAATCTTTGGCTTGACTGCCGCAAACCACGTTATTCTGAGAATAACGGGATATCCCATTTCATATGTCCCTGGCAAAGCACGTGAACGAATGTATGAAGGTATTCTCACGTATGTTCAAGGATCGGAAGAGAAGCTCGCTCGAATGTTCGTGCCTGGTACTACAGGTCTTAAAACACCTCTGACACTGGGCGACGTGGCATTCATGACGGAGGAGTTGTATCGTGGTCGCAGTATCATCAGCGGTATCCCTACGAAGCTGGTTCTCATCAGGTTTAAGAAGCCAGAGACATGCAGCATGACGGTGATTGGGGAGGGCAAGGACGAACAGAAATGCTCTACGATACGGTTGAGAGACCTCGTGTGCATGACGAAGGAGGAAGCAACAAGGCACGAAAAGGAGATCTTCAAGGCGGACAAGTCACTCGCGGAGTTGTATGATGAAGAGACCATCAAGCGTGTTGAGGAGCGGATGCTGGAAGCAGAAAAGTATGAATGGTTCCGCAGGTAGAATGTGAATAGCATCATTCATTCTCACCATCAATCCCCCGTACAAACACCGAATTCCCGATGTGGAGATTAGGAAACACTTGTATTCGGTAAAGGCAACCACATCACCTGAACATGGCTTCACCGCCTCAAAATATTTACGGGAAAGGACGGAGTAATGCGTTCTAGCCCCCATCTTAAGTGAACCTTGCGGCAACAGCGGCAGCGCCGTCTCAGATATCTCATTCCATTCGTTGCTTGTTGTGCTTGTAAGACCAACACAAAGGGTCTCAATTATGTTCAGTTGCACACCGGTTGGCCATACTTTTGTCTTGTAATACGTGGGCCCCTCTATGTGGACATCTAGGTCTCCGAGATAATGCAGGGGGGATCATGGGCCCATGCCACATGAATGTGACGATATGGAGTACACCTGATCAAGACCTCATAGGCTACTCACATGTGAACGATAAATCTTCTCTGTAGCGCATTATTTGCTGAACTCTAACCAAGTAGTATTCTGTACTCTAGGGAAGAGAAGGCAGCAGACTTATAAAGTAAGGGGGTTTCAGTCTAGGACCAGGGCACTACAAAAGTGCTATGTAATCAATTTGCATAAATTCGGTATGCAGGTAGGTCACATTTAAAATTTGGCAACATATGATTTGTCAACCTATGATTGGTACTCTCTATTTGAGGGTTGGTGATTGGGATCTCCAGCAGCGAAGAGAAAGGAGTCTTGTAGGATTAATTCCTCCATGTAGGTAATAGATTAATGAGCAGTCTTCCTGATCCAATAATGTGTTCGAGGCCGTATCCTTTCTAAAGCCGTAGACGTAACGAGAGGGGGCGGGCTTTAAGTTGCGCCAGTTGCAGCTTCAGCTTCGAATTCCTTTTTTTTGCACTTTCCTTTTTTTTAATACTTTGCGCAACTACTGCCATGTTAGCCCACTGCCTTGCAAGGATAACAGCCTGTTTATGAGTACACCAGAACTGAAAGAGAAGGCTTTCTTTTCTTTTTCTTTTCTCATTTACCCTGAGTTTGCTTGGGATATCGCCGGGCTTGCCTCCCTTCGCCTCATCACATGGGCATACTGCTTTACCGAGACATGTTGGGGTTTGCCTTATTACCACGGGTTTGCGCAGAAATAGTATACATCGTTTGCTACATTGTTTCGATGCTCAATAAAATGGGTGGGCGGAGCGCTATGAGACACCGCTTTGCCTGCTGCATCATTTCAGGTGATAGTATCACAAACATTGCCTAATATTGGTTGCCTTGTCAAAGTTTTATTTACGCGAGTTTCAATAGCCATTCATGTTGAAGGCGGGAGGCAATCAATATGCGGCTGCAGTTCTAGACGTTCGGTGTGCATGTAGGCTGTTGCGCCACATGGAGCAAAGTAGTTTGCCCCCCATGCTCTCAGCAGAGAAGGAATGCACACCATGTTTCAATAAAACATGAGATATGGAAGGGATCGGTGTTTTTATCACGGTATTAATGTCAATCCCAGCGGATGCCTTAAAAGTCAGCAGGCATAATCATTATGGTTGAAAGATGAGGGCGAAAATTAAAGCTACTACCACGTTATCATGACGCGAAATAGCCACCACCCTTTTCACTTGAGTCCAGTAGTACTAGCCTTGCTCTGCCACGTTTGCTTGTATAGTTCAATGTCGCCTCATCCAAGGAACATTGGTTAGTGGTCTTTGATTGGGTTGAATAGGACGTCAATCGTGGTCTAGGGATGGTTAAAAGAAAGAACCCGACGGGTATATAGTGATAAAGAATGGACTATTCATACGCTGATTGGTAAATAGAAGCCGGGGTGCTCCTGAGAGATGTAGATCAGTCATTGAGTTAACAATTTCTAGCAAATGAAAGTGAGGCGAACTGGAAGGCAATTTGTTGCTTAAGACTTGAATAGGTGATTGGCATTTGTCGATCTCCTCTATGGATGGATCCGCACGCCGCAATGGACTAAAACACGGCTCATCTACCGATTTAGTTAACCGCAATATCGTACCTACCTACCTGATGTAGGAAGACAATAGTTACTGCCTACATGAATGTACCTAGGTCCCTGCAGGCAGTCAAACCAGAGGCGCTCTTACCGCTCTCACGGTCATTCCCTCGAACAATAAAGTAAAAGAACTGACGTAAAATCTTGAACTCCAACAATACACAAAATCGTTCGCATACATTGTTACGTATACGAGCGCAAGTTGCCTCATTGTTCTTTGGATACGTGCGGGCTATAACTTCAGCATTTGATGTGTAGATACGATTTTCGATTCAGGTGAACCTCCAATGGTGGTGACATCGAACCCCACAAATACAGGCACCCTCTACGCTTGTACAACCTACATGTATAGGTATACATATAATCTTGAATATAGGTACCTACAGGTACCTTGGCACACACCAAAATGCAATAAGCAAGACCCACCTAGAGAAGTGACAATAGATATATTGAGTTGCAAAAGGGGTGATAATATAAGAAAATAAAGCAAACGCAAAGTTGATGTCAGAAAAATACGTGTATATGTGCTTAGCGGATAACCCTGCTGTAATTCTATTCTTGGCTCTCTTAGCGCTGCAAGGGAGCTGACTTGATCATAATCATATCCGATTGCCACGACGTCCTGCTTTTAATAAAATCTTGAAACTTGAATAATATGATTGATTCATGGCCTATAAATGACACACCACTTTGCATTATGTCAAATGATGGATAGGAGAGAGCTGTGGCTGAGCGAGAAGGGAGTGACGTGAGGTTGGTCATCATCAGCCCCGTCTCCAAGGGCAGTAATGCATAAATGAGATAAAGCCCAAAGCACTATATAGAATGTTCCATCTGATGATAATTACCGAATTCATGCATCTTCAATGCCTAATCAAACGATTTGAACCGTAAAGGTAGGTATTAGGCCGGTGAAGCCTAAATCTGATCTATGTGGTTTAGCTCGTCAATAAGGCTCAAAAGTATGTACCACCAACGTAAGTGCAGCAGCCCCATTAGGCCGCTGGTTCATTGTTCAAGGAAACTGGATGGTGTAGGTATTTAAGAACACCTGTGCTCCGTAGCTGCCCGAGGAATGAATCATGACCAACACGAGGGAGAGAAAAGGGCAATGCCTTGTTTTTCTCTACTGTTTTATCCCTACGTCGGTCCTGTGTTGTCTTTTGGGCCTTGGCACAAGGCACCATTCTACCCCTTCAAGCAAGGCGAACAAGATCTAGACGCAAGATCACCCAACTGATTTGGCATCATTGATCCCTTTCGTTTGAGGCGTCCGAGACTGCAGTCACCGGTTTGTGAGACAAAAGGAGTGTGTCTATTGACGGTTAACCTCAGTCCCAGTGTCTCAAAGTGACCTGGAGCACTGACCTCATCATAGCGCGATTTCTTGAATCCTCCCTACCGCGTCGAGTGCCAAGGTAACGCAAGGCATCATCGACGCAGTTTGCTTTGTTACTCTTCACATCGCCATCCGGACATCAAGTACACGTAGCGTCGACGAAAAGGCAAATCCTCGCCTATACCGTCCATTAAGATAACAACACATACAAAAGGCGTCAGGTTACATAAGACTTTGAGTGAATACTGTAACACTGTGCGACGGAACTTCAATAATGTAACACGGGTGAGGCTGAATTGCCATCGATTACCTGCTTCGTGGATAGCATTTTCAAGGTTAATACTGGTGGCATTTTCTCACCTGGCCGTTCAGATTGAACACACAATACGAATGTGATGGAGACAATAACCCTATCACGATTGGCACAGATAGATGTTCTGACGGTTGCCTGCTGAGATGAATGGTTGAGAACGGTCTACCACGAGTCTAGGCAGCTAACAGAGTTCCATTTGAAGAAATGGAAAATAGGCGTGTGTTTAAGGACTAATAAAAAGGGGACTGAGTCAGGTGCGATTTGAACGTGTATACTTGATCTAGGCAGTCAAATGCATAGAGTGGCGAGTTATCGAATGTTATTTCGAGGAAGCGAACCAGGCTTTATTTGGGGACATATCATAGTAGGCATGGACAGACAGACCTCAACAAGAAAAGAAGTCTGGGAAGGTCCAGGTGGGATCATTGGACGGAGGGGTCCATGCGGCTCTACGGGACGCGGCCACACTCCGAGACAAATATTGTGGCTGCATCATCATCGACGGTGTAGGAATATCATGGCAAGCTGAGTGGGCTCAAGCCAGCCTTGCCGGCGAGATGGGTTGCTTCCACGTAGTGGTGTTGTTGATGCCTACGAGGTAAATATGGGAACAACAGCCAATGCATATGGTGCATTGAAGGGCTGCGCTCTTCATCTGCATGGATAAGTATAAGGGATGGCTGGGAATTGTATTTGAAGCTGTGGGCTTTTCCATGTATGGAGTGCTATCACATACGAGGAAGTCGATCCATGGCCAATTCAGTTCCTCCAATGCTATCACTGCATCGAGCAGGGCGTGACAATTATAAATTATACATAGAGCCTGAAGCCTAAGACGCTGCAAGAAGATATTGCAGCCTCGTCGGGCAGACTCCCCGTATATCCATGACGAAAGCATCAAAGGCTCAGATTAGAATGGCACTTCTAAACAGTTACGTACCTGAACTGCTGTAAACAGGCCGCGGACCTCTTCGGCGCACCTCTTCGGGTATTGTCACGCCCCGCCACTACAGGACGGGACCGAAATTGGGGCTGGCAGAAATTGTAGCGCTTAAATCATCCATGCCTTATAGATAAGTAAATACATGTAGGTAGTCCAAACTTATTTATATAAACCCTCATTTCCTGGACCTCAGCAATCCCAACAATCTCATTTTCCACCCTCAGCCTCAAGACATGGATTCGAGATTCCAGACACATTAAGTTGATGAAACTTGAGAAACTTTATTGGCCTATTTCGCTGTTTGTTATTTTACCGTTCAATTATTATTATTATGTTTATCATTTTCTTCATCATTGCCAACTCTCCAGTACAAACTCTTGGAGAATATATGAGAGTTCACCGCGAAGTAGTAGCGATATTCCCCAAATCGGCCATCAAGGTTAGTGGGTTCGGGGTGTTTGGCCAATTTCCTAGAGCCGCATTAAGGCAACCTCTGCAAAGACTGCGATGGTTCGCGCACCCTAAGCAACAGGCATTTAGTGGGCAGCCTGCAGCGAAGTCCCGCCCGCCCGCAGATGCATTAGGTTGCAGCCACCCCAAAAGAGGGTGTGCATGACTAAGATCAATGTGGAGCACCATTTGCCATCACAAATGGAGATATCGCTTCACTCTTTTTTATCTTCTCCTCTGCGGGCATAGACATATCAAGGCCACTCCCGGCATGACCGCCAGGCCGAACGAATTATTGCAGCTGCTGTATCTTCGGAATGCCATCGACTAACGATTTTTGGATGATAGACCCGTTTCTCTGTCCCTGAGTGGCTGTTGAAATCTCCCTCACCTGCCCGCGTCTCACCAGCAATCAGCCTCATTGCGACGAGCCCCCAACTCTACTTACACGAGGGTATCCATCTGTTTTAGCTGCGCTGAGGCTCATCTCCGCCAATAAAAACATCATGTCTTCTGTCCAACCCGATATCTCAAAGATATTTGTCAACTATCTGCGGAACTCTCGGCAGTTGAGTTGTCCCATCTGCCAGGTAGATGTGAAGCCACCCACGTTTGATGGATTCAAACAGCATGTCCAAAATAGTGCCGAGAAGCACCCCACGGAAGAAAAGGCCATTCTGGAAGCTTTCCAGAAGATGAAGCTCAGCTCATCCAAGCCTCAGTGAGTGGCTCCCGCCACGACATGTGACTTCCTAATCTAACATACCCAAAGACCCCAGCCTGCATCTGCCATTGATAATGATCCTCAAAATAGAAGATCAAGAAAAAGATCCGGAGGTGCAGCCGCCCTGGATCGACCAGACGACCAGCAGACTCCGGATCATAGTCACTTAAATGTCAATGAAAACTCCGATAATGAAGGTCCCAATAAGAAGGTTTGCTCTCCCCGTAACTCGCCCCCGCCTACTACATCTACGCCAAATAGGCGGGGTCGTGGGAGGCAACAAGCCGACAACAAAGAGTTTGATCGCGGGACCAAAGGCTCAAGCACACGTCAACTCTGGAATCCAAGCAGCGCTGGCCTACCTAGACCTTCTCAGCTCAAGGCACAACCACTAGGCCATCGATCAAGACCGTTGCCTCGAGCCAAGATAACTCAGCATGAGGCGGAGGAGCCTGATCCAGAGCCTGGCCCAGCAGTTGAGACTGAGGCTGACAATTCCTATACTGAGGATCCCTCTGTATCCCAGCTAATTCGTCAACCGGAAACCAGGCCAATATCTCAAGAACAGCTTGTTGCTGAAGTTAAAGGCATTTATGCTGGCCTTGTCATGGTAGAAAGCAAGTGTATTGAGGTTGACAATGCTCAATCAGCAAACAAAGATTCACCCCAGCAGCTTAACAACGAGCAGTGGCAGGCACTAATTGCTCTTCATCGTACGCTTCTTCACGAGCATCATGACTTTTTCCTGGCCAGTCAGCATCCGTCTGCCAGCCCAGCACTTCGACGGCTTGCCTCTAAGTATGCCATGCCGGCAAGAATGTGGCGACATGGAATCCATTCGTTCCTGGAACTCTTAAGACACAGATTGCCGCTATCACTAGAGCACATGCTCACTTTCATTTATATTGCGTACAGCATGATGGCTCTTCTTTACGAGACTGTCCCTGCATTCGAAGATACTTGGATTGAGTGTCTCGGAGATCTAGGCAGATATCGCATGGCCATTGAAGACGATGATATTAGAGACCGAGAAACATGGACAGCCGTGTCTCGGTACTGGTATTCAAAGGCATCGGATAAGCTACCGACCACTGGTCGACTCTATCACCACCTAGCTATACTCGCGCGTCCCAACGCGCTTCAGCAGACATATTACTATACAAAGTCGCTGTGTGTCCCTATCCCGTTCCTTAGTGCCAGGGAGAGCGTCATGACTCTGTTTGACCCAGTCTTGAGCTCGTGCCCGCCTCGGCTAGAATTAATCGATCTTGCTTTTGTGCGAATCCTAGCAATTTTTTTCTCTGGGAAAGAAAAGAATCAGCTAGGAAACGCCGCTAAACAATTCTTGAGTCTCTTGGATGGACACATCGCTAGAATAACAAAAAGCTGGCTAGAAGCAGGGTAAGAAAGAATATCTGACTCTCGTACCTATCTGATTATTAACTTTATCACTTTCCTTAGATACTATATGGGCATATCAATAACCTGCTCTCTCCTTGGCTTCGGTAACGATTCAAATGTCCTAAAACACGCTATTGTCCCCAAACAGTCTGATGACATGGACACTGCTGGAGAATCTATTACTCCGGAGGCCATTCCCACAGACACTTTTCACCAATCGCTTTCTTTGGCTGTGCAAACACTCGAGATAGTAATTCAGCGGTGGGGGGATATGAATATACTACCCTTCCTCCACACGCAAATGGTGTTCATCCACCATTTGTCTAAATTTCCTGCTGCGATGAAATTCATTCAACATAAATATCCCTGGAAGCTAATTGCAACGATGCTGAACTACTTGAAGCAGTCTTGCAAGTTTGAGCCTCGGATGGATAGCACAGTATTCCCTGGAGCTGAGAACCAGGACCATTACCGACCACTCCCAGAAGACTACGCCATGCGCGGACTAATTTACACTGAAGAGTACTTCCCACTGAAGTGGTTTTCCGGCGAAGCCGTTGAAGAAGATGAAAAATACTTTGAGCAAGCGTCCATGGTGGACGCCCGAAAGGAAAGAATACTATGGATTGGGAGGCAGATTGCTTCCCTCGGCCAATGGCTACTATGGGATTCAGAGAGCGCCAAATTCACTGTAGCAGACGAGTATGACATTGACTTTACAGCGAAAACACCTGAAGCCGGTGCCAGGGAGATTGTAAGTCTCGGAGCCGGCTCACAAGGCGCAGACGCTTCTCAGCCATCAAATTGAAACCTCCCCATAAAGCATTAATAGACTGCATAAATGGGCGCTGGTGGCTTTTTGATTTTGAATAGAGGGCGCCTGGCGCACAGGATTAGAGAAAAAAATTGGGATAGTAGGTATTCTTTCTTCTTACGATTGTTTCTTAATAATTTTTCATGTACGTTGTATGGTTCCTCCTTACATAGTCAATTATAAGTACATATCGAATATTGAAACAAAATCACAAAATATCCTCCATGATGCGCTCTGTAGAGTTTGTCTTGAATTACGTGAGTGCTTGCAGAAGAAAACATGTATTGTGACGAGTGCATGTTTTTGTTCTTTAGCCATCTACACTATGTTCTGCACAGGATAGAAGAACGTGACTTAATTCAGTACCAGCCTCAAAAACCCAATTCAATATTGAGCTATAGCTGATACTTTGATACTGCAGAGTTACTCAGAAACACTTGTAGTCTGAATAAGCTCAACTAGTTTGGTTGGACCAACCCAATCAGATGTTTCTATTTACGGCCCAATTGTTTCTATTTATTGATACGGACACGAACTATTTCGTGGTCATATATACTAGGGTATATGCGGCTCAAGTGGACGAACGGTGTAGGAGACATATCAGGATTGGCCGCAGTAGTTCGTTTCGGTGTGGCCAGTAATATCGCCTCCCATTGGCGTTCTGGGCAATTCTGGCCTCGAAAGCGGCCGGGCATCGACTAGGTAGTGGTACTTGTCGTTGATCGTGGAAAAACTCTTGAGAGTTGCACGTGGCCAGGAGAAGGCACGTGGATGAAGCGGAAGAGCAGGGTGTAGAGTAGCTTGATGTACAATAAGCCCGTGAGATATCTCGATGGGGAACACAAACCCTGGTCTTCGTTTATTGTTTACTGTAGTACCTGTACTTGGCACTTATGTATTTGCTGCATGTGCCTGATTCGGTACCTAGTAGGGATTGTTGATGTATCAGTTTGTATTAGTAGAAGACCCTGTACGAGGAAGCCTTTCGCCGTTTAGGCGATGAGGCAGTAACCATGGATTCAAAACTTGATGCAGTATGAATCATGATCCATACAGAGTGCGTGTCCGTGCGCCGTATATCGTCGTATATGTTCGTTTTGCGTTGACAAGAAAGGAGGAAGCCGAAGACTATTGAACCGGCCTAATGACCCCCCGCTTCTTTTACAAGGACACACCACAAGGCTGCGAAAGGCTGCGAGTGCAGTTCCAGCATTTTAGGCAAAAAAGGCGTTCAAATAACACCACGTTGGACGAGAATCCGAAGATGTCGGGTGAGAGGAGAAAAAGCCAAATGGTGGAGGGATCACAAGACGTAGGTTGGTGAGCCATTATGGCGTGATACATACCAAAGCATGAGGATGGAATGCTGTGAACACAGTGAGGGGTTTTCATCGAAAAAGTGGTGGATGCGCAAAAGTTGATGCGGTTGGTCGCCCGCTCGAGACGAAGAGAGCTATATTACAGGTATGATTTGAGCAGGCTCGGGCGCGGGGACGCCGTTCGACTTGATACGCCCGGGAATGGAATTATGTTTGTCTTTCGTGGGGGTTCTGATGCATTCTATCATCATCGCCATAATGATTCGCACGTCCAGATAAGGCATGTCGCTCATTACGGAGGCTCGGTGATGGGAAAGGCATCCGCGCTCGGGTGACATGCAGGCTGCACGAGATTCGAGAGCAAGACCTGCATGTTTTACTTCAAAGGTATGAAACTACATACATGTCCCCGATGCAAGCAGGGTTCATGTAGTATTGGAGTGTTACAGGGGTAAATGTTTTGGTCTAAGCTCGGCAAAGGCGCCGTCACCCGCCGCTCCTCACGAGGCAGATCTCCGATACCTCACATGGTCTACGCAAATGATGAAGAATCCACATGAGTAGAGTTACGCATAATGCTCAGCCTTGCTCCTTGAGCTCAGTTTCGGAAGTCATCCGTTTATTACTGAATTTTGCAGTACAGTAGAATCTTACATAGGACTGGGTCCGTATGTACATAGTATGCAGTCAGCGCGTTGTTTTCTCTAACCAAATCCTGATCCCTCGTCATATCACATTGGCCCAAGAGTCAGTGGGTCACGCTAATGCGGTTGCCTTTTTTTCTTTTCAACCCGGAAGTTCCCTTAAAGGGCCATGCATGAGGCTCCAGAAGCGGTGCCAGGATAATTCAAACGGCGTCGTACAACTCAGGCAATCAGGGCAAGAATTTACACATGGTGCATGTTCCGCCCTTTTGCGGGGGTTTGAATGAATGAGCAGGGATTCCTTGCAGCTGCAGGAGATCTGTCGTTTCTGCTTGCCGAGCAACGACAGTTCCCGGCAGGTCCCCGAGACCGTACAGTTTTACACAGCAAAGGCTCAATTGCTTTCACAGGCATATAAATTCTGTTGAACCTTGATTCCATAGCTGCTGAAGTAAGTACCTAGGCAAGTAGGATCCCCAACAGCCATACGGAGCAGGGTATGCCAGCAGCCGCAGGTACTACTAAGTCATGTAAGACCTGGTGGCCGTAAGACATGACAACCGACAGCCGAAAGATGTAACCTGAAAGGCTTCTGCCTAATCCAATAGCAGCCAGCTCTGAGGTTTTTTACATCTTGCTACTAGGTTGCGAAACAAGGCGGCCCTCAGTTCTGCGTCGATAATTTTAATCGGTTGGTCACAAATGAAGGCCTTCAGCTATAGGCGACGGCCTAAACCCAGCTGAAGCCGCCGATACAATTGCCTAATTCTCCATATTAGTGGCTATCGACGGGAGCCACATTGCGGCTGAAACCATTGTGACCGAAACCATCGGCCACTCGCGATTTGGGTATCTGTTGAGATATTCAGCTCGCCTTTTTTCGATTATCAGATTTCGGAGTCCGGTGCACCCCTGACGTCATGTAAATCCTCGAATGAAGATCTAGAACATTCCCGTTCCTTGGATCGGTTAAGGCCCTGAGAGGCAACCTCACTAGCACCGATAGGCGAAGGGCGTTAGGTTAGGCATCCATCGATGAGGCGACATACGCGCCGAATATCAAGCTTGCGGCTCTGTCCATCAACGGTGTGCGGAATGTCCTCATTCAGAACTCGCACAAAAGGGGCGAACAAGCGGAGATCTGCGAGTAATGTCAAACATATGTAAGATTCGCCATTGCCACCTGGTTCGCCTTTGATCGGCGAGTTTTTTTTTTTTCAGGTGCTTTTGCCTGGACTGATCCTCTTTCGGGCATTTACAAGACAGCTATCGGATAGCAGTCGTAATACGCCGTGGCTTAGTAGTGAATTCAAGGCCAGAGAGAGGAGGGGATCGCGTATTAGTATAGTCCTAGAGCCTCAAGTGTCCACAAATCTACAAGTCATAGGACCATTTACATATGCGAGTAATTGGGTGGCTGAAGCCGTCAATTTATCACCGGAACGTTTTTGTAGCTATAGACAGTGACTAGTCATAAAAATAGGAACCCGAGCAGCCCGGTAGGAGTTGGGAGGCTCACGTTGTCGAATCCTGATCGTAGCACACCTGTCCGAGCTTGGTCGATCTTTCCGGGGAACACTAGAATATATCAAGGCTATTACTGCACCCCTGAGCTATGTATGGGCGCTTGTGTAGCACACTGCCAGATGGACTAGCTTACTAGGTGTCGCATGTGATGGTGTGTATTAGTCGACTTGGTCAGTGTGTAGTAAGAAGGGGCTGAGATGCCGCTTACAATAGCACGTGTAATTATATCTCTTACATGTACTCATGACAACATGCCGCAGATCCCATTGCCGATATTTACTCCCGAATAATTCTCCATAATACCCCCATCGGCGGTCAAGCAGACCTGGTCCAAGGCAGTGGCAATTGGTGGGTTTCGAGCAGCTGTCAGTTCGGTCAATACGGACTACAAGGGCGCAGGATTTTTCAGCGGGCGTATATATACCTTCATTGAGCTAGCGGATACATATGGCTGCCTGATGCACAGTCCTTGATCATAAAAGAAGGCAACCAAACCATCGATGGAGCAGGCTAACCCGTGATGGTAGTATAAAGAAATGCACATATGTAATCATAATGATGAATAGCATAATGCGACTTGTAATAAGGCGGCAATGCATAGGGCTGACGGATGAGACGGCGCAAGGCTGGATGGATCTGCACATTGATAGTCGATGTATGTATACGGAGTACGTTGTAACTACATGTATCCGTGTTAAGTCTATCGATTGAGCAACTTGGACCAAAAGAAGATTCTCGATGCATTCACATGCTTTAGATATTGTCCGAATAACTAGTGCGTTGTGTCGTATTCCAAGATCGATATGACTGAATGCCAGGCTTGGGGGTGAATTCAATATAAAGTAGTTACAAGATGTATTCGAACCTCCTGAATCGAATAAACCAAAGGCAATATTAAACAATTTTAGGTAATTAATGCAAGGTTCATGCCATTTATATGACTTTTACATCTACAGTTGCATTTGATCTGCTGTAGTTAATTGTCTCAAGCCCAGAATATAATTTGAGTCCTTCTGATTTAGAGAATGGGTATACAGTTGGCTACACTGGCTCTTGCAACTTATATTAAACTTCATTATGAAAACAAGGGTTTTTCCCTTATATGAGCTGTGTTGCAGCTCACAATCGAGCACTTCAGATTGATCCCATATCCAAACTCATCTTAATCACTTACAATTGAGATCTTGAAGCTTCATATGTCATAAATTGCAGAACTCAAAGCTCATGATACTCATTGCAAATTATTACTCTTAAACTGACACACATTTATACATTTCTATTGACTGACATGGAAATTGAATAAAGTCAATTTATACATGGATTTTTCGCAGATGTCAACGTCGTACTATTTGTATACATGGACAAGTGAATAATATCCTTTTTACAGTATTGCTACTCGTCAGGAGAAGAGAAGTTATATGCCTTATACTTGTTGATGTTGTAATTGTAAATATGTGCGCTTATGTTGGATTGGGATTAAATGGAGCTTGGGAATCGGAATAGCATTAATTTGTTAACGAGATTAGGAGAGAAGTGAATAAAAGCTCGAGTTGCAGCATCATGTTATAGAAATATTCTTGTGACATTTTTGATAACTAACACATATACAGCATCTGGGCAATAATTATTTAATCTACAATTGCCCCTCCAATACATTTCTTCTTCATTCTCATTTTGCCCCTCCTCAGTGTATTCCGGTCGCTGTGATGTACAAAGACTACACTCTCACGACCATTATCACTGCAACAATACATACAATTCATTTATGTTAGTTTACCCTGGCGTTCAATTACTACTTCGACACCCTATCAAGTCAGCCTTGGCCTAATCTCTTCTGCTTAGCAAAATATTTCAAGGATGAGATTGTCTGTATCCACCTATTGGAGGAGACTGCTAGCCCCATCACTTCCCACGTAGTAATCTGCTCATTTTGGCACCAACAACCATCACCCACGTATTTATATCACCGAGCAATCTCACCATCAAATTACAATGTCGAATACTGGCAGCTGAACCCAATAGTGTCCACTACCTATGAATAATTGATACGACTTCCCGGGGAAGGTCCGATAAAAAAAGGCAACCATCATACCACAAATGGAACGACCTGCATTGGTGGACTTATTGCTACCTGAAGAGGCGCCTTATGACGACGCCGGCTAAAGTGGAGTTCGGCCAGCCACTCGCCCCCCTCGGTGTGAAGACCAACTCATCACAATCTAGCCCGCCCAATGCAGCAACCTGAGGAAAGGCCCGCAGCCGATGGATTCGTTACATCACTTTCTATCGAAATGTAAGAAATAATCTCAAATTTGACATATAAAACAGAACTACGATTGCTGTGCTGGTCTAGACCAGCCTACGTTTTCGGAGTAAATGCGTGGCTTCTCAAGGTGCACAAGAATGCATGTCGCATGCAATGGTCAGGAGACCCGTTGCTTTCTGCTCTTCTCCAATTAGCTTGTGATATGCAGCTAAGACGATGCAAGCCTTAGGCAGAGTTTCCGGTGGTAGGTGATGCGGAGACAGCAAAGTTTGGCACAGGCATGTTGGCCTTCTCGCCTAGAAAAGGGGCTCGAGAATTTGAGTTTGGGCACTGAGACAGAAATGAATCACATGTCGAAAAGGCGGCTCATAACTCGTAATCATATGCAACGGAATTCTGCAGGGGGTTTTATGACTACAGTGGTGCTTAGGCAGATCTGCAGTCGCTGGGTAGGGTTGACCGCTATCACGAACTTGGCCTAATGGAGAGGATGATTTCGGTAGATCTTTTAGTCCCGATCTTGGTAAATAGCAAAAGGAAAGGTACTGCGATAATCCGTTACGTAGGGTACAAACAAATCGATGGCTTGGGGAGACGCAGACATGAGCAAAATTAGGGTATATCACGAGGTTTCCCTCCTCGAGAACTTGGTTACTACTGATAGGATGGGTATACGAGAATAATAGCTAATCCACTTTTAACCCTTCTCAGTAGGAAATTTAAATGGTTAAAAGCAAGGCATGTAATAAAAATCCATTTCAAGAAGATACCCTCTCATGGACTGCTTCAATTATAGCCAAGCTTTGCACATACGCCGAATATATAACATTGATGAGATGGAAGATGCCAGCAGCACAAGATAATTATTCTTTCGGCTCATCAGTCTACCTTTCATTGCTATTTGCATAAGTAGTAAGCGTAATCCATGGCACGCGAGAATCATTTACTATCTACGGAGTTCTATATTACTACTTCCCAAGTTCGAAGCACTCGACTTTACTTTAAATATGTTCTAATAAGTCTATGCCTATGGCTTTATAATGTAATGGATGGAACCTTTCTACCTTTTCCCATCCTAAGCATCTATCGTCTTGTATTTGGAAAAGCTTAGAGTGGAGCGCTAACAACTCCAGACCGAACGCGATACGTCAAATTCGATCAGCTACTCTTGAAACTGGGTTGAGAGCATTTGCATACATTTTTTCGAATAAACTGTTATCATTACAATGTTCCCTGGCGTTATGCTGTTGCATATGCAGTTTCCCCTCATTGCTGCTGTTCAACAGATTTTACGATTTCTGGGCTAGCGCGACACGCTGCAGTATATGCGACGTGGATAGTGTCATATCCAATGAATCCAAACAGCATTGAACATTGCATGGAACAAAACCAGCTTAATAGGCAGTGCGGTGGCTATGCATTAACCCGGACAATAATTCACTTCTAAAGGCATCCTTTTCAGATTTATAGAATGTTTTGCACTTCCGCCATTTGCATTTCCATAATTTTTCGTGATTCATTATACTCATTCTGCTATTAGCAGGATTCCTAAGTATAATGAAGGCTTGTGCATTGTGAGCTTTCTTTGTAATTTTCCAATCACAACCCCCAAACACCGGAGTGGTGTTTATAGTGATAGATATCATTTTACACTAATGTCAAAGTAACCCAAAAACTTGACGAATCAGTAACTAGCATCTTCAACTATATTTAACTATGGCAAATATTCGATACTGAACAGAGAGAAAGAATACAGCATAATCGCGAGATTACATTAAAAAACTATCCAACATTACTATATGCGGGGAGGCTATTAACTGAGGCATGGTGCCACATCAAAATTCGCCGAATTCGGCTACTGAAGATATTGAGAGTTTGGCTGGACAAGGCGATAAGGAAACACTAGACGAAGTTACTACATTTCCCCTACGATCACCACTACCACTACCATCACGACAACGACGACAACGACGACAACCACGGCGAGGCCAAGATTCCGGTAAATTAACGCCTACTAGAAGTTAATTTTATCATATATACTGTCAAAAGCTTACACTGATTTAGGGCAATCATCAATTTTCGGTAATGTCGAGCAGTTTCGAGCGGAATTACCGAAATGGCCAGGATACATTTCACGAGCTCCTTACACTCCAAGCGTGCAGAGTGATTCCGGATATTCATCAGCTACTACTTCATCACGTCAAAGTGGTGTCACATGGAGATCAAGTGTTTACTCCCGGGGAGGAGGAGTAGAACGAAAATTTAGCTTCCACCAAAATTTGTCTGATTTTTGGGAGGAACCTACAGAAGACACCCTCCCTCAACGCATGCAGACTGATTCAGGATATTTATCACATCCTTGGACGTCCATCCATAGTGGCGATTCGCTGAGAGAACAAAACCTGAAATGGCCAAATGTTATTTCTCTCCCCACCATTGCCCCGAGCATGCAAACTAGTTCCGATTACGGATCAATATCCCGTGATGGCCCAGGACCAAGTCAGAGCTCTCAAATAAAAAAGGTGATTGAGGGTCCACTCGATACCAATATGGAGAGAAATATTACAGGACTTCCTCTTCCTCAAGAAGACGACACGAAAACTCAAATCTTATACCCTGAGGACCAAAGTATGATGGATACGAAAAGCACGCAACGGCATGTCTTGCGCTTCGCAAATCATCTTTACAGTCGACTCCAGAAACAACTTACGGAGGACAGTATATATATCATAACAAAGTTGCTGCCAGAGCTACTCGAATCATTCTCTTTGAAACTTGGCCAGACATCACAATCACAAATAAAACGAGACGCCATGTTCATTATTTACACACATCAAAAGTAAGTTAGGCTTACCTCTTTTAAGTCACTGCTTCAAGTACACTAACGAACTATTCTAGCCAAATAACTCAATCAATAAGAGCACTCGTTAATTCAAAGAGTTTGTCGCGCGAAGAGCTTTTGACTAGCAGTCTAGTTGCTAAGCCTGATGAGGAATACTCTATAAAAGACAATTTTCAACTTTTTGAAGCAGCTACAAAAGATCCAGCTTTTGAGTGGCTTGTTAAAAAACTTAGCAATGAGCTAACTTCAACTGATATAGATTCTTTTGCTGTGAAGCAATTTTCTAGTTGTATACGAGATCGCCTTCCTCGGTTTCGAAGGATCAACAGGAAATATCCATCAAAGCCATACAAGATTACATTTGATGTCGAGTGCGATATCCCTAAATTTATACAGGATCAAGGATACGAAGGCTCTGCTGCTGACGTAGTGCCGAAGGTGATAACTTTAACTGGGTCTATTCATGACGTCCAAGCAGCAACCTGTGAGCACTATCTTATCCAAACGTGGCCAGTGGTAGGATGCAATCTGTTGCGGACAATCCAGGGCGCATTACGAGAGGAACATACCTCTGAAACGTTTCAATATTCCTGCAAATGTAGGTACCTTGCCGTGCACCGAAGAAACAGAGACTTTGGGTAATTCTAACAAATATTTAGGCAAATTTGAAGATCGAACAGAAATCAAAGTCTCTATAGGCCGATCTATGAAAGTCGAAGCAATTGGATCAATTCCCTCTATCATAGAAATTGGCGAGCAAATTGGATGGTTAGCAACAGCATTCAAATCGTCATTTCAAGATTCGGAGATTTCGTTTTGCCATCCAGAAATTATCAGATTCCAGACCGAAGATGTTACTGGCTCGCGGTCCATTGGAAATGAGTTTGAGCAAGCTTTCAAATGTGAAGTCCACGTTGCCACCGACCATATAAGGGACAATTTACCGAGCATCAATGGCCAATGCTGGCAACAGATATTCAATAATCCAGTTGTCGTCACGGGCTATCCAATCAAGTTTAGAGATTTTCTAAACTCTGGAGTTGGTTTGGAATTGCCTTTTGATATGATGACAACCTTGGCGGACGCCCGATATTTAACAACATTCGATGACAAAACATTGGTGAAAGGTTTTTCGACTACATTAATCCCAACAAGAATACACGGCTCTATAATCTTGTGGCATTTACTTGTAAATGAGTCTGGTGCTCGGATATCATATCGAGATCCCCGTATACAGCAGGGAATATTAATTGAGCCTGATCGTCTTAAGAGTGCGCGTCATATCCTGGGATGGTGCACAAATGCTCTTAACAATATAGGTAGGATATACATGGTTCAAAATATGCGGAGAGGTATTTTCTAATCTGTGGCATAATTCAAGGATCCCCAAATGCAAGTTACGATATCGGATATTCTGGCCTCTCTCAAGGGAGAGGAAGCCTGTCCTGGGAGGGGATCGAGCTCAGCATTGGCGCCGGCAATTATTTCAAGGTTGGTACAACTTTCACAAGAGGCAAAAAGGATAGATCGGTCTGCAATTTTGTCTCAAATGGTTACGTATCCCTTGTTGAACACATTGGGAAGCACCATATCATGCTGTACGACGTGAAAGAAAAACGAGGTTGGCTTTCGGATGGTCTGCCTGTGCTTCTTCACCTCGTTCGTACCTCTTTGAGAAGGGATGAGAAGGAAGATCCATACCATCTCTTTACGCAGCATATCGAAAAGTTAAACGAGTCGCCTTCATCAGTTCAAGGCACCACCGCAGCAAAGGCAGTGTTATTTGATGGCGAGAACCGCCTTTTTAATTTGCATTTAATTGACACAAAGGTCACGGAGCAAATAATTGAGAGAACCATCAACGGAGATACTATCAAAGAGATTGTTAGGATAAAGGAGGCAACACATTACCGCTTCGAAAACAGGGTAGAAGAAATATGTCTCCTTCTTGAGAAGACCATTGACCAAACCGCTAAGGCGATCAAAGAGGGAGTCTTGAGAGATACACCAAAGAACCTTCTGGGTGGGTTCGACTTTGTTGGCGTAGCTACTCGCTCACAGCTTCGCCATATCACAACCAAGATACCAATTCCAACTCATGCTTATGGCTGGACGGATCTCGTGGACTCCCTTGAAGTTGTTACTCTTTTCGGTAGCGACTTTGGAGAGCTCATCAAACCAAGAGTAGACAATCCTTCAAAGTCTTGCAATCGTTGTGGATACGGAGCCAGCTTGCCCTCTGGGAAAAATCACGTAGCAGTGTGTGTTGACGTCCTGGAAAGAATTATTGAAACGAATGGCAACAAGGATACGACTGGTTGGAGACTAACGGATGACCTCTACTGGCATTTTAACGAACCTGCTTTCAGAAGCTGTTGCACCAGTTTGAATGGGCAGCGAGTCAATCCAAAAACTGGTAATTGGATCCAGATACTCTCTTCCAAAAACATCTACCATCATCCTGAACTTCTCATTCCAAAAAATGGTATGGGAAACGATGCGGTCATTTTCGGCCATAGTCGGCCACGGCTCGTCCGCATGAGCCGCAATATCGGGATAAAGAGAGATTTACTCCCAGACGAAAGCATATTATCGCAGACATCGTTTGAAGTGTCCATATCATCTAGGCCGCCAGATGAGAATTCCGGGGCAAATGAAAACCAGCTGTTTGAGACTGTGAGCTCTGCTACTCCTATTACCGGTTCCTCAAGAACAGATCGATCGGGCTCAGAAAGTTATCATGATCTGTCTGAAACCATGAGCTCTAATACTCCTAATACTTCCAATTCGTCAGGAAGAGGCGAATTGGGTTCAAACGGCACTACTGTTGATCAGCAGTGTTTTAGCTCAGAGGTATCTGAAAGGCCGGAGATCATTGATACCCTTCCACAGAATGCACCAAAAAAACTACCAACAGACTCTCCCGAGAAATCATTCGGAAGAATAAAAAATACATGCGCGAGGGCCTGGAATAAACTAAAACGTCATAAAGAAAGCCCCGATAGCAAGATGAGAGGTGTCAACCAAATTGAGATTTGAATTCAGCCTCCAACTAGACTTCTTTCTCGTGTTTCACTATACATCAAGTCACTCGACCTACTCTATCCTTGGGTAATTGATATTAATGATGTATACAATACATTTCAATGATTCTGAGATGTATCCATGGCCAAAAGGGAGAGCTCCCCCGATCTCGCTTCTTAAGTTCTTCTGGACATCAAGTCAGCACCCAGACCTTGATACGATTGTCAAATTATCACTTGAAAGGCACTTCAAAGGAATAGAAGTAGTGTGCTGCATAAACAGATAGTGTGCTCATATGCGTAATATTGCCGCAGGCAAAGCTGTCCACATGTACTCGAGTATGTAGCTCCGTGAAATACCTATTCTTGCAAAGAATTCAAGCATAGCTCTTTGAATATGGGTAGAGTTTCAGTTAAAATACTCCAAGTTTATTCTATCTGTCGCATAAATAGGAGAAAAGCAAGATTCCCAGGTATTAGAACTGGGAAAGAAATACCGGCCAGGACCAACACATTGTTTCTGTTCAATAAAGAGTCCGAAGAAATTGTTTGTAAGGAAAATATGTGTGTGTGTTCCGCGATTATTGAGAGCTATTGAGTAGTGATTATCGTAGCAGATCCGACATGGATTGTGAGGACATGGTTCGGGTTGTATATGTTCGTATCTTGTCTTAAAAGGAGATTCGTCATAAAGAAAAGCATCGGAAAAGATGCATATAAGAATTTGCGTGCTCTTTTGTTCCTGTAGAATGCGCGTACAGTTTGTTCCTCCAAACTCCAACGAGCAAAGATCAGTCGTCAAAAGATTTGGAGGGGATGACAAGAAAAGGCGCTTGCGGCTTCGGTAATGGGATTGTGGGTGACAATATTGTCAAGGAGCCGCATAAGATCATCTCTTATTTTGCCTCTTGTCCGTATATATATATATATTTGTGCCATGGAGCTGAGGAGTCCTGTGAGTCGTGATGTCAGGAATTGCAGTCCACTGATGGTGGTGCGATCATAACCATGTCGGGAGTGTTCTAACACTGCATGCTGTATGCCGTCTTATCAGAGGGGTGTAGATATAACGTGCCGGGGAAATATGTATTTTGTTTTAGGCTCTCCCGCTATGCGGCTCGAAGAAGGCGTTGCTTGCCCCCCTGTCTGCGTCGTAATCACAACTTTGCCACAATATGAGTGCCCAGTCTTAGAATAGTACTAATATTATGCCATTACATTTTGGTAATGGCACTGGTTATAAGTAAGGCACCAAAGCGAAGTTATATGTGTAATAACAGGTGTCGTCGTTGTCCTCATATGCTCCCGTTGTGCGAAATTGCAGTTGCTTCAGAAGAAGCCTTGGCGGTTCCGACAGCGCATATCTGAGCCGTTTGTGTCTATTCTATAATGGAAAAAAATAAGGGTTAGTAAGTTGTCCAAGTTGACAATTGTTGAAATGGATTTGAGAGTACTATTTGCAACTAGCAGCTATCTGGAGTGCGACTCACCACCTAAGAGGGTGTAGACTCCGACATCTAGTACATCCAGGAAGGTCGATAGGAAGGAAGTGAAGATACGAAAGCCTTAGATCTACCAAATTATATTAGTGATGTTTATAGATGGGAAGGATGGGAAGGATGGCAAATTTATAGTGTAGCTCTCTCCCATCAACCAGTGAATAGGTCTTGGATTTAGAGGACGAACAGACCACGGATCAAGCGATATATCTGAAGTGATTTCTGATGCCTCGCCAAATCGAAAATGAGCAACTGATTCACTCACATCTCCATTTGGCGGACCCAATCCTCGGCCTTGATTAGATGTCTTAGCAGCTCCCAGAATGGGTCTGCACGACAATAGCAATCACCTGTGCTTCACCCGACATCGTTTACAAGGCCCCCATCTAGAATTCACAACTCTAACGGCATTAAAAATATGATCCAAATATGATATCTCGGCTCAGAAAATACGACCTAACATACCACCACGCCCGGTGTATTCAGTCAGAATGTCACCAGGAACTTATTGACAATTGTGTTTATACTCAAATTGGTCAGAGATATCATAGGCGCGTAATGGATTGGTAACATGAGCACTGCCAGATAAGCCACTGCATTGGCATGAGACTCTAGTACGTACATGTATTTGACACGCCAGCAGGATCAGACATTGATTCAACGCAACAAAAGCAGTTCTTTTTGGATGATCGTCTATTCAATACTCGACTATCAACCGTGATTATGTGCTTGAATCTTCATTCAGATCCTACTAGGGAGCATCGAGCGCATCGGCAGAGCGCCACGCTTCTAGATCTACTAGTGCCCTCAACTTAGTTCCAACAGCCGCTTTAGTCACTCGCCTCTCCCGAGAGATTGTCTTTGCTGATCCGGCTTGTTGTCTTGAGTTGAAATAAGGCCGCTTTCCCTTTTGACTCCATTCCAAGCGGATGCGGCTTGGCTCCCTCTTCTGTTTTAGCGCCACGACATAATCTCGGGATTTCTTAAGATGCATTGCGGAGTTATCAGAAATTCATCGCCTTGGCAACTCTTTGGCCTACTATTTTGGCCAGGTTTGGCTTGGCCAGAGAGGCGTAGCCTCTCTGGTAGAGTTGTTTCCGAAAATCAAGCTTGGTTCTGAGAGCAACTCGTGGCTGACGTGGTGGTAACATTCAAGCGACGAAGACTTTTTTTCGGATTCTCACAGGAAGCGCAAGGACTTCATGAGCAACTCATTTCGTCTATAAATAAGTCGCAACATGCCTCGACTTTGTCTCGAGCGCCATCTGTCTTTACTGTTTAACGCTGGCTATGATATACATATACGCCATTCTCCCATACCACGATCTGGCTATTCATCATGAGGCAATCTCCGCCTGGCGCCTCCTTCGTGGGAGCGCATGTATCTGGACAGTCTAATAAACCAATGTCTCAGCCAGCGCACAGTTTGACTGCTGAACAGGTCCTATTAGAACTTCAAGCGAATGCTTCGAGTGGTCTCAGTGCAGATGAGGCTGTCAGACGAATCAAGGAGCTTGGGCTAAATGAGCTAGAACAGCAAAAGGGTGTTCAGCCAGTAAAGATTTTCCTTGAGCAGATCTTCAATGCGATGACTTTAGTAAGACAAACTAACCTACCTACACCCCCCTCATCATTCTTTAGCGGAACTATGATGAGCTGACACAGAAATCATTAGGTGTTGTTGATGGCATTGGCAGCCAGTTTTGGTATCCACGCATGGATAGAAGGCGGCATCCTTGGAGGCATCATCGTATTAAACATTTTTATCGGCTTCTTCCAGACTCTCCAGGCCGAAAGAACCATCGACTCACTCCGCAACTTGGGATCACCAACATGCGACGTGTTTCGGGACGGCAAAACTATCAACATTCAGACATCTGATGTGGTTCCCGGTGACATTGTCGACTTGACAACCGGTGACTCAGTACCTGCGGACATCAGGCTCATTCATGCCGTAAACTTGGAAGCAGATGAAGCGCTTCTCACGGGTGAGTCGGTTCCAGTTCCTAAGAACCCAAAAGCCACATTTGACGATGACACCGGTCCGGGCGATCGTCTCAACGTGGTCTATAGCTCCACAACAATCACCAAAGGTCGTGGTCGTGGCATTGTCTTTGCGACCGGCATGTGCACAGAAATCGGGCTCATTGCCAGTGCGTTACAAGGAGGAGATTTGACAGGCAAGGGAATCGAATGGGAGCCTCAGCCTACTCAACCTGAGTCTGCGGCCAAGATGTGGTCAAAGGCTACGATGGGATGGTTAGGCAGATTCCTTGGTCTTACTGTCGGCACTCCTCTACAGAAGAAGCTTGCACAATTATTCATGTGGCTCCTCGCCCTTGCAATTGTCTGTGCAATCATCGTTTTGGGAGCCAACAAATTTGACACGCATAGGGATGTTATTCTATATGCTGTTACGACGGCTGTAGGCACGATTCCAGTCTCGCTGCTGCTAGTCCTAACAGTTACCATAGCAGCTGGCGCCAAGAAGATGCTTGAGAGACATGTCATTGTTCGTAATCTGTCTAGCTTGGAGGCTTTGGGTGGAGTGACAAGTAAGCGTCATGTTTTCCCTATCAACTTTTGCTGCAGACGCACTAATCATTGTCTGTAGACATCTGCTCTGACAAGACCGGAACTATTACGCAAGGGCGAATGATTGCACGCAAAGCATGGCTTCCGGGACATGGTACTTACTCTGTCGAAACGACAAACGAGGTATACAACCCAACAGTTGGCCAAGTATCATTTAGCCCTATGCAGCCCCGAGATGTAAATGAAATCGAAAAGCAGCCATCGGAAGAGCAAATTACCCCTCTTGAAGAGGTTTCCAAGAAGCCCTTTCTACGAAGTTATTTAAATATTGCCTCACTCGCCAACTTGGCCACCGTTGAACAAGAAAAGGGTGACTCGACGCAACCAAACCAGTGGACTGCTCATGGCGCTCCAACTGAAATTGCTATTGAGGTATTCGCATCTCGCTTTGGTTGCAATCGTGTGCAGCTCTCGCAGGGATTGGGTGCGAGATGGAGCCACATTGGAGAGTTTCCGTTTGATTCTGAAGTCAAGAAGATGTCGGCTCTGTTCTTGAATACAACGACACAGGAAACCCACATTTTTACCAAGGTATGCAAACATCAGAATAGGTTCAGATATAGATCATAGATAACTAATATCATTTAATAGGGAGCAGTAGAGCGTGTAATAGAGATATGCAACCGCTTTGCTTCAATGGACGAAATCAAGCCCTTGGACAGCGTCATGAAGGCCACCATCTTAGAAAATATGGAGGTTTTAGCAAGCCAAGGCCTTCGTGTCCTAGCACTTGCTCACAAACTCAACAACCGATCAGCCTCAGCATCCGACTTTACAGATGGGATTGCTCCCAATCGCGAACGTTTCGAGCGCGATCTTGTCTTTCATGGCCTCATTGGAATCTACGATCCTCCCCGTCCTGAATCCAAAGACAGTGTCCTCATGTGTCAGGGCGCTGGTATTGTTGTTCATATGCTTACAGGAGACCATCCACAGACGGCGCGTGCTATTGCTACTGACGTGTGTATCCTTCCTTCTCCAGAGAAGATGCGCATGCTCCCTGCCGATGTTGCTCGTACTACAATGATGACGGCTCAAGAGTTTGATGCCCTGAGCGATGACCAGATCGATGCTCTTCCCCAGCTGCCTCTGGTGGTCGCTAGATGTGCTCCTAGCACAAAGGTTAGAATGATTGAGGCCCTCCACAGACGCAACCGCTATGTTGCCATGACCGGCGATGGCGTCAATGACAGTCCCAGTCTCAAGCGTGCAGATATTGGGATCGCCATGGGATCAGGTTCAGACGTCGCCAAAGAATCGTCCGACATTATTCTAACCGACGACAACTTCACTTCAATCCTAAATGCCATTGAGGAAGGTCGTCGGATATTCGACAATATCCAAAAGTTCATCCTTCACGTACTCGCGGCCAACATCGGCTTCGTTATCTCTCTTCTTACAGGTCTTGCCTTCAAAGACAGCGCAAACGTCTCTGTTTTTTTATTGACTCCCGTCGAAATCATATGGATGCTTCTGGGCACCGGTGCCTTTAGTGAGACCGGTCTTGGGTTTGAAACTGCCGTCCCAGACATTCTTAACCGCCCTCCACAAGACGTAAGGATCCCCTCTTTGTTACAGACGGTATACTTACCAGTGTAACTGAAACCCCAGCTAACAACCGTTTGCCACACAGCTCCGCTACGGCATCTTCACTCCCGAATTCATGCTCGACATGGTCATCTACGGCATCCTCATGGCCGGCTGCGTGCTCGGCTCCTTCACTACAGTCATCTTCGGCTTTGGCGACGGCAATTTGGGCGTCAACTGCAACAACGCCTACTCGTCCTCATGCCACGACGTCTTCCGTGCCCGCGCAACGGCATACACGGCCATGACGTGGATCTTCCTGCTCTTCTCGTGGGAGCTGATAGACTTTCGCCGGTCTTTTTTCGATATGCACAGGGGGGTCGGCGCGTGGGGGGCTCATCTGTGGGGAAACAGGTTTCTTTTCTTCGCCATTACAGTTGTCTTCTTTATTGTATTTCCGACGCTGTACATCCCGCGACTGAACACAATCGTCTTCATGCATACGGGGATTGATTGGGAGTGGGGCGTTGTGTTTGTTTCTGTCATAGTATTTGTTGTCGGAGCCGAAGCTTGGAAGTGGATGAAGAGAATCTATTTCCGGAGAAGAGCACAGGGATCGGCTTCGACAAATGAAAATGCAGTTGCGTGAGTGTTGCCTCTCGCTCTGTTAAGGGAATTTTTTCCCTCTTTTTTTTGCGACAGGGTGCAACGTTGTATCACATGTGTTCCTTTTGTCCTGTGTGGCGGATAAACGACTCGTATATGTAGAGAATTGTGAACTATTATTGGATATATATATAGGAGTCGTCTTGGCACAAAATGCGAGGCTCTGATCCTTACTTTAGGCTGCTTTGCACGTTGTGTCAGTCAAGAAAGGCATTGGTCAAACCCAAAGAGCAGTCATCCTCCTACAACCTTTGCAAAAACCCCAGAGCTGTATCTCGACTCAGATCTGACTGCAGGGGTCGGATCCCCTCCGCCGTTAGGGATTTGCGGTGACTCGTATTATGCATCCGATACCCTAGAGGAAACAGATAAGAAAATAAGCTCTGATCTTAGGCCGTGGCATGATCATCCAGCAGAATGCCCGAACGAGGACGGTGGACCCAAAGAGTTGTCTTCAGCACTAAAGAGTCTCCGTTATACTGCTCCGTGCTCCGTACACTTGTCAGTATTGGGAGATGAATCACGCGTGAGCAATGCTGGTACTGAAGCGTTGTCAAAGTCTCGCTTCTGGGGGACGAAGCATGTGCAAGTGAGGATATGCATGGTACAGGTAAGATACGGAGTCGGCGTTAAGACAACCTGAAGCATCGCATCACATCCCATCCATGCCTCGCCAAAAAGGGACCTGGCCAGGCTTTCAACAGAGCACCTGTCTGGGAGGAATGCCACAGGGTGATACTCGGCCACAGGGTGATATCGGAATACTACAGTGACGGCGCCTCACGAAACAATCTTGACATCCTCTAAATGAATACGCACCACAACCAACAGACGAGATGTCTTCGCTGGCAGACACCGGCTCATCGGCTACTCGGCTGCCCGCCAAGACATGCAAAGGAGTCATGCACTCATCTTAAGCGCCGCTATCTCTTCAGGGTCGCATTGTCACATGGCGGGTATCTAGCCGCAGAGCTTCATGTGATGAGTGCTAGACATGTATGTGCGCCCAGGCCTGTACATACATCCAGCTAACTGCGTGGGATCAGCCGCCGCTACTTTCTTACCGGGCTCGTACGCTTTTTAAAAGGGAAAAAGGATATATCGGGAAATAACCTCACGGATCTCATACATTACAGTATGCTTGGGCTGCGAATTGATTGCAACCCCTCCCCTCTTAGTTTCAACCTTGGCGGTATATTCACCGCAACTCAAACATGCCCATCTCAACTGAGCATCGGTCCGTTTTCTGCATGTTTTGTTTGCTGGATTCGAGTCATGACCTCGACATGGATGCAGCATAATGGTACCAGTTTGTTTCGATCCTAGTGGATTGAGCTGTGCTGAACATTCCACATGTGCAGCATATGCTTGTACATGCTTTGAATCTCTTTGGTTGGCAGTCGCCAATAACCAGCCTCATAATAGACGAGTACAACAGCAAGAGCCAGTTTTCTCACAGTGCGCAGTGCATACCAACAGCCGAAACTCCCCTCAAAGAAACAAAAAGGAAAAATGAAAACGGTCCGCCTTTTTGATGTTATCCGTTCGTTTGTCAAGAGAGAGGCAGGTCTTATACCCTTTTAGGCAGCCTGTGCCGACCGTTTTCTCCAGCCCCGGGCGACCAGTTATGCCTTGCAAATGTGCTCTGTTCAAGTAGTCTCCCCACTTGGTGGCAGATGAAGGCTTCTTAGACTCACCTCAGCTAGCTGGATCTGTCAAGGTACGTGTCTGCCACACGGTACAAGCTTGTAGTTTCTTTTTTTCTCAAGAGCTAGACCAAACTTTCAGCGTGGCTCTGCCCACGAGACCGAGAGGGCGGAGTATTGCTGATGGCCTTGGTACAGATGGATTCAGAAGGCGCACTCCAACAGGGTCAGTGCCCCTCGGGTATATACAGTAGGACGAACGCTGCATAGCTTGGCAGAGAGATCCTTTGGAACCCAAGACTTTGTTATGTCGGTACTTGTTGAGCGAAACCGGACACTCTCGGCCGGGCCGTAAACATTCAGAGGAATAAAAGGAAACATCTTGGCAGTCCATGATCTCCTTCAAGGACCAGGCGGGGCCCATAATTTTGAGCGGAGTTTTCTTTGGCAACTTCGAAGGAAGATGTATCCACACCCAGACGAGGTCGTGAGAAAAAAGACCAAGGTGTGACGGGTGTGACGGGTGTAGACAAACAAAAAGTACAGAGAAAAAAAGAAGAAGCAGCAAGGGGTGTAAAGCACAAGGGGGTTCAATGATGATCATGGAGAAACAGCCAGGGCCCTCTCACTTTGACGGCGGGTCTGACCTTTCCCTGAAAGAGGCCTTGTCCTTGACGAACGCGTGTCCTGGGCCATTCGGGTCCCGCCTCAGGGCTCCATGGCTCCCCAATTCTGGCCACTTGATGTCCTCCCAATAGCTTGGTTGTGATCGCCCGGGCATGGGTTTAGCGGAGAGCGCTGGGGCAAAAGTCCCCTCGTTGCGGAATAGTCCCTTTTACCCGTCCCTAAAAACCACAGTGACCCTCTCGTTCCTCCGGAACATGTCCTTGTGGCACTAGGAGATGGCTGCCCCCTGCATGGAGGCGGATGGAAGAGTGCTGGTAACATGCCAATGCTACAAGTACAAGCACGTTTTGATGTGTCTAATGCGCAGATGATGGCACAGATGTTTGATAGGACGCTGGCCGGGGTTTTGCCTGGGAGGCTTGGGGTTTTGACGGCAGGGATTGACAACGACGGAGACCGGGGAAACCGTGCCGAACAGGGGTATCGCAAGACAGGTCAGGGTCAGCCAGGGCGTAGCTTGACGTCGGTGTAGGGGTGCGGGCCTATTCCCACATCTTCTTTGCTGGCTTCATGTCTGAAGGGTCTTGCTCCGTAATTTTTGTATACTCGTAGCTGTGTAGTTTTGACATGGGGGAGTTGTTGAAAACAAACTCCCCCCTGTTCATTCAATGACCGCTGAGTTACGTGGAACAAATAGAGAGCCAGGGGAGGCGTGTCATTGTGGCGAGGACTAGGCTTGCTTGAGCCATGATGATAGTCAGAAATCTGCTTTGCTCGTCGAGCGAAAGCCGCAGGAGCATGAATAACGCTTTCTAGGTCGGTTATGGCCGCGTCCTTGAGCCTGCAGTCAATCGATCGATCCATTCGTGGCAACAATGTGCCAACAATGTGCCAACAATGTGCCGTTACGGTTGCCGAAGCCCGAAATCGGCATACATTCCAATACGACAGCAGCAGCACCAGTGCTTGGCAGGATTCATGTCTCTGGTCCCCATCTCGGCCCGACAAATTGGGAATTGGAAACCGGCTGAGCAGCGCCCAGTGGCGGGTACGCCGTACTCCGCATAGGCAAGGCAAATACGTACCCAACGGGGAACGTAGAGAACATTGGCCGGAGCGAAACGCGAGATGCGAGATGCGAGACACGAAATATGTTGACGCCTGGATTGTTAGGGATGACAGCACGCGACGTCGGCTGATCCCATGTTGGTTATTACTAATCGGTGGGTAGGTTATTGTGGCCTCAGGCACCCACTATCGATAGCCTTTCCACGTATTTCTCGTACTGTAGATGCCTTTATCCGCAGTAATCATGACATGACATGACAGGAGCAGTTCCGACGGCGACAGGGTGTGCACAGCTCAAGAGCACAGGCGCATCAAGCACACCGTTTCCCGTCTCGCCGTTTCTTCTCCATTTGCCGTTCCCGGCTGGGCGGTTCGACCGCACCCCCTCTCACATTGGCAAAGTGCTGTACGACGTGCTAAGGCAGATTTAGGTACATGCTCCGCAGGCATATTCCATAGCGCGGCTCCAAGTACCGCCCCGACCGGCGAAGCGACTCGGGAGCCGCCGGCAACCACCGTTTGCTCCCATGAACTGCTCCTTAGCTCGGGCAACGAGTCGTGACTGGGCTATTTTGCTATTTTGTGCGAAGGGGGTTGCTAGCCGCAGCAAACTAGCGTTACAGAGTGTCAGTCTTGATTGTTTTCTTGGTGGTTCAGATCGATCCTTGTTTCGCCCTGCTGATGTCTCGATTACTTATACGCCTGATCCATTGGGCCTCTACAGCCCAGGTTTCGTTTTCAGATTATTCAATGATATTTTACGGCCAGGACGAAGCAATGAGCTGTGTTTGGACTGTGCTTGGACTGTGCTTAGTCTGGTCTGGTGCTGCTTCTGTTAACACTGCTCAAGCGAGCAGTGGAGGAGGCCGCGGATATGCAATCGCGCATCGCTTGGAAAAGATCGAGAGCAGAGCCCAGCCGGCCGGCTGAAATGCTCAGCTGCCGGAGCTGGTTCCCGACGGAGTTGATGATCCTCGACCACGGAGTCCGGGGGGCAGACAAATTTCAAACTCCGGGTCTCTGGACACTTCGCCGATTATCCACAATTTTGCGGCTCATGTTTTTGAGTCAAAAGTCAATCCCGTGTAAGCGTTAGTCTCAAAGAAAAACTAGTCAAGTACAAGTAGCTGTGCTAACACCTCAAGATAGAGCCCGACCACAAGAAAGAATTGGAATTGGGAAAAAATGGAGAAGAATGCCACGAGGATTCACGCGCGGCCCGCCGAGCGAGCACCGTCAGCACCGGGGCAAATCACCGCCTTCTCCATCTTTGGCGTGCTTTTTTAACTAACTCGTCCTTACTTTTTGGAAAGGGGGCGTGTGATATTTCCGCTGTCTTGCGCGCTTGACTAGGTGGAGCTCTGGTTTAGGGCTGCATGGGTAAACGGCTGGGAAGGGGGATGAGTCAATAAAAGATCTTCAGCTAAGAAAACGAGAGCAAAGCGAGGAGGACAGACGAGCGCCCGCAGAGAAGAGACCATGCGATATGTCAGACGCTTTTTTCCTCGTCCGCCCCTGCTAGCTGTCTGTTTTGCAGCTGGAATTACCACTTTGAGAGCATCGATGATGATGGCGGTTCGTGATTCGACGCTTCGTATTTTCATACAAAAAGTTACAGAGCAGGCCAGATCACCCAGCTGGC